TGCACTTTAATCGCATTTTAAATTTTAAATTTTATAATTTTCTTAATTTTAATTAAACTATTTATTTATGTTAATTTTAATCTATAATTATTTTTACTAATACACTTTTTAATTACTTACTAATTATATTTTACATAAATTCTCGTGTCTACAGTAATACACTCATATTACATGGGACGGAGGGAGTAATATTTAGATTATTTTCAAACTCAAGCACAAAGTACAGTGGCCAAATCATTCTATTGTTAGCCTCCATTACTACAATGTATTTAGGTTTTTGACGATGGTAACTAAATGACTTTTTGTAACATCGAAACATAAGTTGGTATCTACAATTTTTTTTTTTTAATAAAAATATGAAGAGTGTAAAAATTCAAACTCATGACTTCTTAATTACAAATTCACTCTTATACTATCAAATTATTCCATAATATTTTACTTATGTCAAATAAAATATATATATAAATATTGTATATATATAACATAAATATAAAATCAACTCCTATGTGTGTTGAATTTTGGATGGGGGCCCTTTCAGCATTTAACTCATTTATTTCTTCTTTAATGAAATTCATTTTTTGAAAAAAAGTTAAATATTTAATTTTCAAATTAAGTATACTCCATCGGACTTCATTTTCAATGGGTTTTTTATAATTTTATTTTAGTAAATTAATAATAGTTTTTTTTTTTTTTTTTTTTTTTTTTAACATGAGAATCTACTGCCGCTACCATACAAATTAGACTCGATAAGGCAAGTCATATTAGACGAACTATGTATAACAGGTGACCTAAGGCGTTGGGGTTTGAACCATGACATCACTTACGAGTTCACATCCACATTATCATAAATATATTCGGTTCGATTAACCGAATTGAAAAAAAAAAAAAAGACAAAATTGTCTATAACTTCCTTGTTTTTTTGAAACTCAGCGTAAATTCTCATTTTACTTAAAAAATTCCATAGTGTCACTTTATATTTTAAAAAATATTGAATGAAACTCTACGTGGCTTCGAAAGTCAGCGTAAATCTTCACTTTACTTTAAAAAATTGCATGGCGCCCCTTATACTTTTAAAATTATGAATGAAATCCCCCGCCATGCAAATATATAGATAGAAAATCATTTTCTTATCATACATGAGAGGTTTTATGGTGGTGAGGTTTTATGCGATATTTTTTAAAATAAAAGGGGTGTCATCCAAGTTTTTTAAATATAAGGAGATTTTACGCTAAAGTTCGAAACAAAAAGGAAGTTACGAATAATTTTACCGAAAAAAAATATAAATTATCAAAACCAAAATCGAATTGAATAAAACAAATATGAAGTATTTGTATTTAAATTGAATGTGTTCGATTAACCGAAAATTTAGTTTGATTTAATTTGGTTCTAACGGTTTGATTTGAATTTTTTGTCTACCCCCAAAACAAGAAATTTAATAGAAATTTATTTATCATACGAAATTATATTATTTTAAAAATATAGTGTGTTTGTTTGTGAATTTGAATTTTTGGATTTAGATTACGAATTGTAAAAAATTGAATTTGAATAATTGTTTGATATGATATAAATAGACGTTGATATGATATTTTTAATATAAAATAAATTTGTAAAATAATATAAAAATAATTATTTAATTCATTTTTTTTGAAAAAAAAAATCTGAATTATAAAAATAATAAAACCTACGAGAGAACACAGTATATATTAAAATTAAAATCTAAAATACTAAATAAGTAGCAAAGGCCAGAGAAACACAATATATATTAGGGTTAGCGTAGGTGGGGGTGGCAGCAAATAGCTGCGATGTTTCACGTGCCCATGTTTACTTTAATTTAATTAATTTTTGTTTTATGTGTGCATATGTATCTGTATAATGAATGTATTTTATATTACTCGAGCGTCAGCTAGAAAATATATATGTTTTTATTTTGGAATGTTTAATTATAAAATAAATATTTTATTAAATATTTTACTTTTTTTTACAAATATCTTCGTTTTACATTATATTATTATTTTTGCAAAAATATTATTACACTATTTTTAACTACTCACTGTGTGAATAAATACTATTGTTTCAAAAGTAATTTTATATATATATTTTTTTGGACGGGAGGGAGTACAATTTACACCCCACCCATAGGTTTCTCCTTCTCTTCCTCGATTTCCGAGTTCTTTATTACACGTATAACATTAATACGTACGTACATATGCATTTACGCATCCATTAATATCCCTCCAGAGATGACACAGACACAGACACAGATATAGACACACACTGTAATTAATTAATTGCCGACGACGACCGTTATCATGCACGTATATGAAATTCGTATATTATTATTATTATTATTATTATTATTATAATTAATTATTAATTGCGTTGTGGTAGTCGGCTCGGCTGCATGCAAGCAAGCAAGCAAGCAAGCGAAGCTGATGAGCTGTAGCATCTGATTTCATCGTTCCAATAAAAATAAATCTATTATTTAATTACTCATAACTACACTCAGAGTGCGGACTTCCTGTCACTGCACTGCACTGCATGCCCCATCATCATATTATTATTATTATTATTACTACTACTACTGTACTCAACACTTTGAATAATTAATTAATTAATTTGGGATATGTTTTTTGATTATTTAAAATTGAATATTAATTTGGTCGACAAATGACCCTGAACGGTGGTAGTGATGGAGAGATCGAAGAAGTGGGTGGGCCGGCAGGATCGAAGGAGTGATTTCCCATTGTACGAAACCAAGTGAATGTCAAATGTCAAATGTCCAATGTCCTAAGGCTACTGCACTGCATGTATTTGTATGTACATAGTGTTACTGTGTTGTGTGTCAGTAGCTAATTAAGCGGTGAGGTGAGGTGAGGTGAGGTGAGGTCTCTTCCCTGGGGTTGGGGAGGAGAGAGGTCACTAATGAGTATATACATATATTAATGAATCAATCGTACGGCCACAGTTGCATGCATCTGACGCATGCCAAACAAACAATAAATAAATAAATAAATAAATATAATACTAGTAAGAAGGTAGTACATTAGTACAGAATAGGCAGGCAGGCAGGCTGCTGCTGCTATACACATACTGTTTACTGCTCACTCTGCGACTGCATGTAGTGTTGTCTTCCTAGCCTACCTAAGCTTAGCTTTAGCTCTAGCTTTATAGCTTCTTCACTTTTTTCGATTTTTCTAATCATTTCATACCATTCTATTCATTCATTCATTTACTACGATCGTCAGTGTATAATTTTGAAATTTTTATTATTTAATTTTAAATTAAATAATATATATTAGTATATTTATAATTTAAATAAAAGTAAAAAATATTTCGATATTAATATATTATTATTTTTGAACCCATAACTTCAAGATCACAAGTTTATTCTCGTACCACTCGGTCATTCCTTGTTAATACTCTCTTCATCTCAGAAAACAAGAGACTATTACTGTAGATACGAGAATTTAGATAAAATATAATTAATAAGTAATTAAAAAGTATATTAAGCCTCCTCCAACCCAGCAAAAAAATGGGGGGAGGGGCTCCAACCCACCCCCAAATCCCCCACCTATTTATGGAGTACATAATTGGAGTAACACTGTACCTCCACTCCAAAAATGGAGTGAAGCTTTTGTAGTATTTTGTGGTGTTTGATGTATTTTTGTAATTGTTTTGGTGTATTATGTAATTTTTATTTTTTTAGAATAATGATATATAATTTTATATTTTAAAAAGTTATATGTAATTTTATTTTTTTTTTTTTGAAAAATAATACAATATATAATTTTATTTTTTTAAAAGTGATATATAATTTTATTTTTTCAAAAGTGATTATATTTTGAATTGAATTTCACTAATTAAAAAGATACGATTAGACACTAATTCTTTCGGAAGTTAATTAGTGAGTGTATCTTTGATTATCTATATTGTAAGGACCTCATCACTTGTATTACAGAGTAATGAATTATTTGATTAACAACATATATATTCTTACTTTTTTGTGCTTCGTGTTAATCTATTAAGGATAGGTTGAGAGACCTTTCATTCTTATAAGTTAAAGGAGTTTTTATATTTTTATTATTGTGGGACAATATTCAACACTCTCTTCAAAATAATAATTTTAAAAGTTCATATAAGATCAATACCCAATATAAACACTCTGATTTTATACCATATTAAGAAAATATCTGGGCTTCCAACCTATCAATTTGGTGATATGTGAAGTGGTACTTCACCCTTATAAATTAAGGAAGTTTCCGCATATTTACAAATGTGGTACAATATTTAATACTTCTTCCTCGAAATAAAAGTCTCGAAAATTCATACAAGATAATACTCAATACGTATATCATGACAAGATCTAAACTTACAACCTAAATTATTCACCTTTATAAACTAAAAGAGTTCCGACATATTTACTAATGGAAAACAATATTCAACAATAGTGTAATTTGTCCCTTTCTTATGCTAAATATTACATGTAAAACAGTGAAAATATTTTAATTTTTTTCCTAAAACATAACTTTATATGGAGTATTATATATGTATATGCTAAATTCACCAAACAAAAATATACTAATAAATATAATTTGATTAAATCAAAACTTTGTTACAATTATTAATTTGGGTATTTTCTTTTTTTTTTTTTATTGTTTGAATTTGATAATAAAATAAATATGATATAATATATATTTATTGTTTGAATTTTAATATTAAAATCTAATTCCTTTTTCCTCTCTTCCTCTCTCGTTTTTTTTTCGTTCACTATTTCTATTTATATTCATTCTATCTTACTTGTCATTTAATTAATAAAATATATAATAATATATTTTAAATTTTATAATTTTTTTATTTTTAATTTATAATAATTTGGAAGAAAAAAAACACACCCTTTATATCTTTATGTTGCCTAAATTAAGCCTACAAATATAGATGAAATTATTGATCAACACTAGTTGCAGTAACGGAGAATGAATTTAAATCAAGGCAGAAACGAGTAGAGGAAATGCAAATGCAATTTCATAACATATGTATTTATAAATAATAATATAATAAAAACATTAAAAGTGGCTCCTCCCCTAGTGAGTGACCAAAATTGGGAGCCAAACATGCCCTGCCCAGTCCGCCCTATCACAAAAATAGGGTTCCCATTTCTACTACACATTCACTTCCCTAAATACTATAATATACTCATATTTAATATAATATTATTTTCTACCAAACAAACCCTTCCATAAACAAACAGACATACCAATCCCTCACTCAAATTGGAACATTCCGTATCTTAGCCACCGCAGACAACGGCTGCTTCATCTCGCACGACAGCTTCAGCACCTCCTCTAACTTCACCGGCGCCGACGCATCCTCCGTCCACACAAACTGCCGCACAAGTTTCGCTACCCACAGCGCCACCGTCGTCATCCCCAGATTCTTCCCTGGGCACACGCGCCGCCCTGCGCCGAAAGGAGCCAACCTCAGATCGCAGCCGCGGACGTCTACCTCCGCGCCGCCTAGCTCCGGCAAGAACCTTTCCGGCCTGAATTCCGCCGGTTTCTCCCAAATTTGAGGATCGTGGGTGATTGACCACATGTTGACCATGGCGGTGGTTCCGGCGGGGACAACCATTCCATTGCTGAGAGAGACATCGGAGGTCGACAGCCTGGCCCAGGACAGAAGAGGCCCCGGCGGATGAACCCTCAAAGTCTCCTTCACAACCGCCTGAAGGTACGGCAGCGCCGCCACATCGAAGTCCTTGAGCGGAATGTTGTATCCGACGGCGAGATCTATTTCCCGGCGAAGCCTAGCTTGTACCTCAGGGTACAACACCAGTTCCGCCATTACCCACTCCGTCAGCAGCGCCGTCGTGTCGGTGCCTCTGAAAATCATCTCCTGAAATAATCAAAATTAACACAAAATTAAATTAAAATTTGACAATCAATCAATCAACCGAACGTACCCAAAGAACTGCAATCATATCGTCTTCTCCGAGCTTTTCGTCACCGTCCAAAGACAGCAGAATATCCACAAAATCAGCAGAATCTGAGACGCCATGGCTGCCGTCGGCCGGATTCGTCCTCTCCCGGTGCTGATCGATGATTCTCTTGACAAAGGCTCTCACACGAGGGACTAGAGCTTCACAGCGCGACACGATTCTACAAGGATCGTAAAATTGGGGAAGCCATGGCAGATAATCCGACCAGTTGAAAGCCCCAAGAAGCTCAAACCCTTCCCTAACCATTCCCCGAAGCTCAAAAAGTTCATCACTTTCCGTTACGACGTCGTATCGTTTTCCAAAAACGCTTCCCATGATATTATTGAGAGCCGCCCCTTGTAAATGCTTCCTCAGAGTAACGGCTCCACGGCGCGACTGCTCAGCCGCGATGTTCTTAATCATGGCGGCGCAATCCCCTTGCCGACCTGGCCCGTGGGCGGCGATGCGGCGCGGAGCGAAGAGGTGCGAGGCGGCGATGCGGCGGAGGAGGCGCCAGTAAGTGCCGTTGGGAGCGAATCCGATGGCTCGGCTGAACATGAGGCTCCGAGCCGACTGCTTAATGGGACGATCCGCAAAGTGCGGGGAAGTCAATATCTCCTTAGCCAGCTGGGGATCGGAAGCCACCACCACCGGCGTGGAGCCGAGGCTAAAAGCCATAAGCTTCTTCGCGTTCATTGAGTCAGCCATGGAAGCCAATGATCGGTGAGCCAGGCCGCGGCTCAGAGTGAAAAGGCTGCCGAAAACCGGAAGCCCGCGCGGACCGGGGATGGGAACGGCGCCGGTTCGATTCCGGCCGTTCCTCCAAGCAGCTCCGCCGGGGGAGAAGGCCCACGTCAGCAGCGCGACGGAGAAGAAGGCGGCGATGATTGAAACGATGACGTATTGATCAAGGATGGCGTCGGAGCTAATAACCGCCGGCAGAGTGAATATCCACCAGGTCGAGTCCTTCGCCGCCATTCCCAAATCCATTTTCAGAAAGATTTTTTGGGTGAGTGAGACTGTGAGGGAGAGAGAGAGTGAGCGAACGATGAGAGGGGAGAAAGGAGGAAAGGTATTTATATAGGCGGAGGGCAGGGGTGTTTTAGTAATTTGGTAATATGTGTTAATGATGATTATCTAATCTTTATTTATAAATATGTTATTATCGGGATCATAAGATTCATATATTTATTTATTTATTTTAAATGTGGAATTTAAAAGGATGGGATGGATATTCATGTGTTGGAATGTATGCGATTTATTAATTAAAACATTATTCTATTTGTCTTTTCCAAAAGAGAATTTTTCTATTCAACTATACCAATATAAAATGTGTTGCCCCCTGTTTTCATTCGAGTTTCTTGGTTCTCATTTAAAACAATGTGTTATTAGAGGTTTTATTTAAATATGATAAAGGGAGAAAAAATAATTCCCGGATATTTTATCCGATTTACTGTAAATACTATGAGGGGTATAATTAGTAAATAATTAAAATATATAAGTATAATAAAAATAATTATAAATTAAGATTAATATAACTGATTAGTATAATTAAAATTAAAAAATTACAAATTAAATTTTTTAAAATAAAATTAAAGTGTATAATTTTTTTTTTTTAAAAAAATGATAAAATAAGTGAGACGGAAGAAAATGGAAAAGTGGACATGAAATGTGAGACGGAGGAAGTACTTTCTGTCCACTGCTAAACTCGTCATTTTTCATTTTAGTAGGTGCAAATAAAAAAAATAACTTTTAACTAAATATCAAAATAACTATACTTTTTATTTTTAATATTATTTTTTAAAAATAATATAGACATTACATTATTTTTAACACTACATATCTATAAAATACTAATTTTTCTTAATTCGCTTGCAAAAATCAAATAAAAATATTACCATTGGATAGAGAGAGTATAATTTTATTAAATATTGTATAAAATAAATAATATTGATTGTAATTTAAAAAATATATATATAAGAAACAAACACAGTTTTTTATATATGTTGTCATTTATGCCCGCAAGCACCGGGAGTGTCACTTTATTAAGTTATGATATTATTTTGTTATTTTTTATATGGGTAATGTTGTTGATATTTTAAATATATATACTATTATATCTCAATAAATTATATATAATATAAATATTATTTTGTAAATAATAAAATTTTATATAATACTTATTTATAATTAACTTAAAACTATTTTTATAAAAAATAAATTTTTTTAAATCTATATAAAAATATTTATTTACTTAGGGGAGATATATAAACTTAAACATTTAGAATTAGTAACATATGTTTAGAAATTTAATTAAATTAATTTGTATTTATGAAGTAAGTTAAAAGATGAATAAGTTTTACTAATAATATAAAATAATTATTTTTATGTGGCATAGGGAGATAATATAATAGATTATTAATAATCATTCAACTAATTAGAAAATGATTAAACCTTGTTAAGTATCTCACATTGGATGTAATGTTGGGATTCCCCTACCTTATAAGGGGTGAAGGGGGTTGAATTTCATATGGTAAATTGGCGAGAACAAAGACATCATCAATGACTAATGGGTAAAAATTATACTCCCTTCATCCTATATATATATATTTATTTGCTTTTTGCACAAAATTTTAGAAATATTAGTATTATATAGGGATAAAGTAGAAATAAATATAAAAAGACTAAATTAACCCTATTAGTATTGTATGATATAAATGTAATGACATTTGTGTAATATATTGTAAATTAAAAAGGTATTTGTAATGTTAGGTAAATAATACTGTTACTAAAAAATAAATAAATACTTTATTATGATACGAACCAAGATAGAAAAATTAATAAATTGTTAAGGGATAAAGAAAATATATAAAGAATAAGATTATAAATAATATATTACGATGTTCAAAAATATTTCGAATGAGTTAAAATAATAAACTATAAAGAATTGTGTATGAAATCCAATAGTAACATCATTTTCACCTTTGTAAATATTAGATGGTGCCATTTATAATTGAATATTATTATTTTTTAATTTAATATACAAAATAATAAGAAATAAAAACTCATAATAAGTTAAAAACAATCAATATACTCTATTCATCCGATTTTAAGGGTGATATTTATATTTTGCTTTATTATACTTAATATAAAAAAATACTTATATTTGTATACTTTTTTATACAAATATCATTTTATTAGTATTATAAAACATTAATAAAAGTATTTTTGTAATTTTTTTAAAAAAAATTTATATTTATAATAATTAATATTCAAATATGAACATAAACTTCTGCTTATCAACACAACAATTAATTAAAGACTATGAGTATAATAATTGAACTTATTAAAACTATATTAATGCATTTGACTAAAATATCTATAATATTCGCCTATATATACTATATCTCATCTCTTATATAAATACATCTATCCTTATTCAAAAAGCCCATTGAACCAATTCAGACAGCACAAGCAGAGTGGCTCCAAGTCCAAAATTAAATAAGCCCAAACTAAGGATAATAAATAATAAATTTACAACTAAAAAAGTTATTATACATTTTAAGATATTTTTAAATTAATTATGATACAAGAATAACGAGGCTGAACTATCAAAGTAATTGATCTTAACTACTATATTAAAAAGTTAATATAGTCCTTTTAAACAGTGAAATATGAAAAAATAAAAAATAAAAAATAGTTTTATAGACATAAATTGACACATTATACCAAGTTTGGAAAGAAAAGGGACAATAATAAAGAAATAAAAGCTTACATTTAAACAATTTGATTATCAATACTATATTACAATGTACAAACATGTTTCCATCGACTTAAGATAATAAACTATAAAGATTTTGTAGCATAACTTTCACTTTTAAAAATATTAGATAGTATCAACCTCGGTCTAGATAATTTGAGTGTTTTACTGTGGATACAAAATCTAGGTAAAATATAATTAGCAAGTAATTAAAAAATGTATTAATAAAAAATAATTATTGTATAATAAAAATAATTATAAAATATAAAATTTAAAATATGATTAAAATGAATAATTATGTTTTTAACCATAAATAAAAAATAAATAAAAAATTACAATAAATTACAGACAATTAATACAGAGGTAAAACCGTGTAATAAAAATTTCCACCTACTAACAATATAATTAAGAGTTTGGTTATAATCATTGCACTTACTAAAACTCTATTAACGCAATTGACTAAAATACCCTTATCATCTGCTATATATAGAGCACTTCTTCTCTATTCTTTTCATCACTCGTCAGCCATTACCTTCCCTCTCGTCTCAGTAGCTTACTTAAAACAAAAATGGAGTTGGGAATGACGACGAAGGACTCGACCTGGTGGATGTTCACTCTCCCGGCGTTTATGAGCTCCGGCGGCTTCCTTGACGGATACCTCATCTTGTCGTTAGTCGCGGCCTTTATCTCCGCCGTGCTGCTGACGTGGGCGCTTTCTCCCGGCGGAACTGCTTGGAGAAATGGCCGGAATCGGAAGGGCGCCGTCGCCATTCCCGGTCCACGTGGACTTCCCATTCTGGGCAGCATCTTTACTCTGAGCCGCGGCTTGGGTCACCGATCCTTGGCTTCAATTGCTGAATCAATGGGTGCCAAGAAGCTTATGGCATTCAGCGTCGGCTCGACGCCGACTGTGGTGGCTTCCGATCCTCAAGTGGCTAAGGAGATATTGACTTCCCCACACTTTGCGGATCGTCCTATCAAACAGTCGGCTCGGAGCCTGATGTTCAGCCGAGCCATTGGATTCGCTCCCAGCGGTACTTACTGGCGCCTCCTCCGCCGCATCGCCGCCTCGCACCTCTTCGCCCCCCGCCGCATCGCCGCCCACGAGGCGGGGCGTCAGGAGGACTGCGCCGCCATGATTAGGAACATTGCGGCGGAGCAGTCGCGGCGGGGAGCGGTGTCGCTGAGGAAGCATTTACAAGGCGCGGCTTTGAATAATATTATGGGAAGCGTATTTGGAAAGCGTTATGACGTGGACAGTGATGAGCCTGAACTTGCGGAGCTTCGGGAGATGGTTAGGGAAGGGTTTGAGCTGCTGGGAGCTTTCAACTGGTCGGATCATCTGCCATGGCTGTCGAGCTTGTACGATCCCTGCAGAGTGGTGGCGCGCTGCGAAGCTCTCGTCCCACGTGTCAGGGCCTTCGTCAAGGGGATCATCGATCAGCACAGATCGTCTTCGTCGGGGAAGGGCGATTCAGATTCTGCTGATTTTGTTGATATTCTGCTGTCTTTGGATGGTGACGAGAAGCTCAATGAAGATGACATGATTGCAGTTCTATGGGTATGCTTTAGATATATTGGAGTAAAATTAATTGATGATTAATTTCTGCAATTAATTAATCTCAATCTCAGGAGATGATCTTCAGAGGCACCGACACGACGGCGCTGCTGACGGAGTGGGTGATGGCGGAGCTGGTGTTGTACCCTAAGGTACAAGCCACACTGCGTGAGGAAATCGACCGCGCCGTAGGGAATAATCCTTCCCTCACCGACGCCGACGTGGCGGCGCTGCCGTATCTTCAGGCGGTGGTGAAGGAGACTCTGAGGGTTCATCCGCCGGGGCCGCTCTTGTCCTGGGCCAGGCTGTCCACTTCCGACGTCTCTCTCAGCAACGGCATGGTTGTCCCCGCCGGAACCACCGCCATGGTCAACATGTGGTCGATAACCCACGACCCTCAAGTCTGGGAGAACCCGTCGGAGTTCCGGCCTGAGAGGTTCGTACCGGGAATGGGCGGCGCCGACGTTGACGTCCGCGGCTGTGACCTGAGGCTGGCTCCTTTCGGCGCAGGGCGGCGCGTGTGCCCCGGGAAGAATCTGGGGATGACGACGGTGGCGCTCTGGGTGGGGAAGCTAGTGAGGCACTTCGAGTGGGCGGAGAACGCGGCGGCGCCGGTGGATCTCGCCGAGCTTTTGAAGCTGTCCTGCGAGATGAAGCTTCCGCTGTCTGCTGTCGCCACCCCGCGCCGCCATATATATAATTAATTAATTAATTAAATAATATTATTGCAATTTCAATTTTAATGGATCATCGATCCTAGCTAGCTAGCTAGCTGCTAGTTAATGTTATTTTCATTTGAGTCGGAGTCGAAGTCAAAGTCAATGTCAGAGTCGAATAAGAGTTCATGCTTCCTTGCTTGCTATGCTTTTTTTATCTATATATATTTTTTATTTATCTTCAATAAACTATATTTGTATGCATTTAAATTTTCTCATTTTTTTTTATAAAATAAAATAAATTATATATATACTTTATTTGTGTATTATATAAGATTTTTTTTTCCCTAAAAGATGGAGTAATATCTATATTAAAATTTTCTTTATTGATGATTTTGTAATTAATTTTGGAGAATTTTCATAATATTATTAAAATATTTTGTCAAATAGAATTGTATATTTTACTAAAAATAGTGTATACTGAATAAATGCAAACATACCCAAATATGTGGACTTATATTTGTGAAGACATGGATTCAAATTTATTTAATTTTACAGCGCGACAACACTGTCAAATTTTGTTTAATTGGCAGAATTTTTTAGTACTAATAAACCCCCAATAAGCACTCTAAGAGAAGCATATCCCTATGGTAAACTTCTATCAAATCTGTCATCTTTTGAATTATAATTTTTCTTATAACAAAATTGAAGATAAAATACCTACATAATCCCACCCATCATATGAATAATTCATGCTGTAATAGATCTAAACAGTAGTGTAGAGAAATATAATTCTGCAAATGATTCTAACAGCAATCCAAAATATATGTACAGTACAGATTGCACAAGCTCCACATTATACATATGGGCCTCATAATTCATTTGTTCATACCATTTAACATAAAGAAAGAAAGAAACTTGCAGAGTTTAAGGCAAAAACATCGATGAATCATCCCTGCTGTTGCAGCAAGAAACTCTTGATTTGTCCGAGCACCTAGCAAGTCGACATGAATCGTTTCACAAGATTAGCACCTGACATTTCGGACACCCAAAAATGTACAAGGAAAGATCGATAAACACACCTCGATAGCAATTACAGTTGGGGTGAGATCACAAGCATCTTCATATCCAAGTTTGGCCGTGATATCTACGATAAACATTTGCACAAAATTTACAAGAAAATAACGCACAAGATACATAAACAAGATGGGTATGCGAATCAAAGTTGTACCTTCAAAAGAAACTCGCACGGTGGCATTCGCATATGCTTCGCCCCTCTCTTCAAATAGGTCGGATAGCAATTTCATGGTCTAGATAAAACCCACACGGAGCAACCATAGGAAAAGAAATTGGAAATAGAAGATTAGCTATCTTTCATTCATTCATTTTTAATATTCATTTCTGATTCCGTGCTTCGTAAGTAATTTTAAGAGATAGATGACCCACCTTTCCATAAGGATCACTAGATTCATGATGCAAAAGTGGCCGGGACTTTGTTCCAGATGCTGTAAGTCTTCGTGCAAGCGCTTCCAAAGGTACATCTAGCCAAACCGTGATGCCGTTTCCCATATGTCTCCTAGTTCATCACAAACAGCAGATTAAATGGTCAACTAGACGGAGGTTTTCTGCAAGCTAATTAGCTAAATGATGCTAGACCTTCAAGTATTATTACCAATTGATGGGTCGAACCACAGCACCACCGCCAGTGGATACAATCAATCGATGCATTGAAGACAGCTTATACAATACCTCAGTCTAGACAATGAGAACAAAACACATGTTCAGTGAGATATTATGCATAGGTGGTGCTGACAATATTTGGCTCTCAGATAAAAGCAATAATATTTTACAATGATGGATATGAAGCAGCCAAAGCACTATAGGCTCTACACATACAGATCCGAATTAACAATGACATTTCAAAAATGATATTTAATAGTCAAGAACAGCACTTTCAAGGAAAACAATAAAGGGCATAATAAAAATCATTACAAGTGGTTGTTCGGAGGGAAGGGAAGATTTTTAGATTCATAAACAAAGATGTGTACTGTAAACATGAAAACTTTGTTTTGTATTAGAAGGAACCAAATAATAGCCAATAGTCAAATCATTAGGTATATGTTATGGCATTTATTACCTTTCCCGTATCATACCTACGTCAAATATGAAACAAATAGCATCCACGCTTTATTTCTATTTAAGAAAAATATCACCTACTGCACCATTCATAGATTGCGGAATATATAGGTTTTAATGCATCGTATGGAGAAGTGTGCAGAGTCTGTCCATCAAATAATACAGCCACACAAGGGGTGATACATGTATGCTTAGGTAACTTGTGGCAATAAATAAAGATCGTATCTCCATTTATATCGGTACTAGTATCCAGTATATTTATTTTTGGCTGAGAAAAGGTCCATACGATAGAAAATAAATCAATAGATAAATAAACTAACCTCATTATCTCTGAAGAAGTTCTCACCATATGACTTGAATATTTCAGCAACAGAGTACCCGCCTACTGCCTCCTCTATCAGTGCATCACTGAAAGATCCAAGAGTGAGAATGATTACATACTACTATAGGCACTTAACCAACAAAACCAAACTACTAGTCAAAGCTTTTTCAATCCAGCAGAAACCAATCAATTTGTTATTCGTCACAATAAGAATCAAAGTAAATATGCATTATTTCAGTCTTCCCAGAAAAGGAAAAGAAGGAAAAACAAAAATGCCTTTCTCTGCAGTCAAGTTATAGAAGGTATTAACTGCTGCTCACCAGTCATAAAATGAATATCCGAGGGCCTCTGCCAAAACCTTGCCCACTGTTGTTTTTCCAGATCCCATCATTCCTTCAATCCACAAAAACAGAATTAAAATGGAAGTGATCCTAACAAACAGTCTAACAGCGATAAAAATGCAGATGTGTCCCCACCAACAAGATATATACATCGCCCATTCAAAAATCGTTGAATCTCTTCTGATTTTTTCTGCAACAGGATCCACTGACACTAAGTCAGAGCTGACTTCAACTGTTTGAACACTTTTGAACTTGCCTCATCTTCCAATACACAACATTATCTCATGGATACATATGCGAAGCAACTTATAGGCTGCAAAAAGGTTTCACTGAATTTGAAGCCTTCTAGAATGAAGAATGAGCTAGAAGAACTTACCTTCATGATCTTCGATTCATCAACAGATTCTGAAATTTTGCCAACCTCCAGAACTGAAGCTACAAAAGGACAAAATGAATACATAAGCTATAGGCTAAGCAGCAGAATAGGCAGCCACCATAACAGTAGCAACGAAGCTATTGCCAGGCTCTTCCATACACCTCCTCCTAAAATCCCCACACAATCCTCATCCCTAATTTATCTTCCCCAATTTGCACCCACAAGAACAGTCCAATACCTTATAAGAAAACAATTTCTCTAATAAACAAGAATGATCTGAACTGCATACAAGAAAGTGGAATGAAATAAACTGCACGTGCAATAACCTAGTACATGTTGCTAGTTCTAGTGTTGCAATTATGTTGGGCATTACCTCACAAGAATTATCGTAAACATTGATGTCGTATTAATGGTGCTCACTGTTATCTTCACATTTTACTGTAATTGGAATATATATATCAAACAAGTGAATGTAAAATGACAGAAAGGTAACAGAAGGCAACCCTACTTGCTTAAACATTCACACTGATAACGAAAAAACCTGATGAAGTAAAGAATAATATGGTGACAACTACTCAACTTAACTTTGGAACTCAATTTCACACCAATACTATCCTAAAGATATTTTGCAATGTGGCTTCAGTCTCCATTTAACAAACTATTTAAGATGCCAAAAGAAAGGCGAAATTGGAATAATTCCCACACTTTTATGGTCTCAATTTATGGTTGTTCAACAGAAATGGTTTATTTCACTAATGCCACCACTAACAAGCACCCATCCAAGTTGCCCACAAACATAATGTCATGTTTACAATCAATCCAAATTAAGAGCAATGCTTATGCTTTCATTAACTACCTGGATTGTTCTCAGAAGTACACAAGACCTTTAAAGCCAGAGGCTCATGGAATCTTCCCCTTTGACTAAGATATCGGAAAGATGACATTCGACATGAACTTCGATCCACTTTGTTCCACCAAAAGGGCAAGGAATCTCTGGACTTTCTTGAAATAATTTCTGGATTCATCCAGGTTGAGAGATGCAGCCCTTGCAAAACTTTGGCCTCCATGATTAACCAATCACTCCCTTAGATTCCAACAAGGTTTGCTACAATCTACATCTCCATTAAAATAATTTTCAGTAAAGGCTAAAATCACTGCAAACAACATTCTGGTAACAATAAACAAGAATTAAAATGAGAGTAAACAAATCAGTATTCCAAACCACCCCGGAAAGCTAAAAAAAACCCAAAAAATCTCACCCTAAACTCGCTCACATCGAATAAATCAGATGAACCGAGAAACATTAAAATATCAATAGCACCTCAACAAAATCATAGAAACATTAGAATAGCACACACGCGGAATATATGCAAGAAACCGATACGTAATCTTTTCTTCCCCTCAAAAATACTCTTCCAATCAGGATGAGGATCATTTCCAATATAATACGCAAAATATTCAGCAGCAAAACCTGGGAAGTCGAGGAGCAGCAACTGAAGTTGATGAAATGGAAATTGTAGGGTAGGTGGCGATTGAAACCCGCTCCTAACCTCCAAATTGAAAATCGAGGTCGTCGCTGTCTCAACTAGAATATGGGCAAGATTTTCTGAAATCCACTACAGATGTTGACAAGAACACAACGTCGATGTGGTGTCTTTGTTTTACTGTTTTTTAATTTAATTTTTTTAATAATTGATATTTTAAAAATTTCCGATTAGTAATATTATTTTGTGAAAAAAAAAAATTTAATATGATATTTTAAAAAATATTACTAATTTAAATGGATAATTCCAAAATTAATTTTTAAGGATTTCTTCATCAGAATTAAAATGTACGACCACCGAAGTACCCTATTATTATTATTATTATTATTATTAAAAAAAAAAAAACTATAATGGTCCAGCCCGAACATGGTTTGGGCTTTCTAGAAAACTCTTCTTGGAGCCCTGTTCTGGTTTGCAATCTTACAGAGCGCTCTTCCCCGTTCAGCTCCGGCGTCCGATTATCGATTCTCGATTCTCCTTCAGCCGCAACCCCAACTTGTAGCCTTCCACGCCGTCGTTAAGTTTTTACCAGCGACGATGGCGACTGTTATGCAGAAAATCAAAGACATCGAAGATGAGGTAAATACATATGTTTTTTTGGGTAGAAGTGGTTTACATATGTTTGAGCAAGAAATCGCTTGTTATGTGATGCTCTTTGTGTTGCTTGTTTACTTTTGATTTAATAATTTTTGGTGTTTAATGGGCTTATGGAACTGCAAGTGTGTGGAGCTCAGTTTATGGAGGAAAAAGTTACTACATGTAATCGTTGTATCGACAAATTGTCGTAAGTAAATTGAAAATCATTGATTGTGTGAAATACTCTTATGAGTAACCTTTTCCCTCTGCTGAATTGACAACTTTTTTCTGAAGTAACAAACCCTATGAAATAGTATGAAGAAGCATTTGTTGGAACGATAATCTAGAATTAATTTGAGGCACTACGATACTTTTGGAATGGATTAAGAATCCCATAATTTAGTTTATCAACAGTGGACTTAAATATAATCAGGGGCTTTTATGCATTGACGTACTGTGGTTACTATGTGTAAAGTAATTAGTTCACGGGGTAATCGGTAATCAATAGTTGTAATCAATGAATTGTAGTAAACATGGCCATATGACTGTATAATCGTTACCAAGTTCTTAGTTTTATTTATAATTTATGATTCATTGTTGCAAGTGCTGTGATATTTTATTTTATTTTTCATCTTCCATTGTGGCTTCTTCATTGGTACTGTGTATTTCAAGATATTGATTTTTAATTCATGCCGTTTGCAGATGGCAAGAACTCAGAAGAACAAAGCTACGGCTCATCATCTGGGATTGCTTAAGGTACACCGTTAGATGTGTGTCTTTCTCCTATTGACTCGAATAAACACTAAAAATGTCTAGAATTATTTTATATTTGACTATTGCTTGGACATTCTGAAAAAAAAAGCATTTGAAACCGATTATGCTGTCTAAGTCTACATTGGGGCACATATTTCTTATTGACTTAAATTAACCAGAGTATTGTCGCCTAGAAGATTATGAAGGAATGAAACAAAACTGAATAACTGAACTGGGAAATCCGATGAGTTTAGAGTGAGCTCTGGATGATCTGTGAAATGAGCTCTGACTGTACACTTGTTCATTGAATGTACTCATAAATATCCCCATTATTGATCTGGAAAGATAAGGCTAGTCATTTACATTCTGTACATAAGTGCGATACATGCTACTGTTTGTTTTTTCAGAGGGCTCTTATTATTATTATTATTTTTTAACTCAATATTATTTAGATATTGCTATTATGGTTTTATATGAAAATAAGATCAGAATCTCAAATCATATTCAAGTATGTTCTAACACATTCCCTTAGATATGTAGTATCACCATCTTCTTATATTGCATATGGATGGTCAAAATGCACATTGTGTATTTATTTATTTTTATTTTTATATTGTTGGTGTGAGTTGTAACATGCTGAACCTAACAGATAGGGAAGTGTCTTCACATCTAGGAACATGAGTTGTTTTTCCTTTCTGTGCCTGTATCAAAAAACCAAGAACCTTTTTCTAAAGCTGAGTTTACTTTCAACTCTTCATCTGCATTAGGCAAAGCTTGCAAAACTTCGCAGAGAAATTCTTACACCAGCGACAAAAGGAGGTGGTGGTGCTGGAGAAGGCTTTGATGTTACAAAGAGTGGTGATGCAAGAGTTGGCCTTGTTGGTTTCCCATCAGTTGGAAAATCAACACTGTTAAACAAGTTGACTGGAACTTTTTCCGAGGTTTGTAGTTTTTGAGCATTTGAAGTGTTTTGTTTGGAATAATTTCGTAACTATTTGTTCTGTTGCAAAAATTATATTCTACGCGGTCGAATTTACATTATCATGAGATCATGTAGTGTTTATCACCAGGAGAAAATTAGTTCTCTTGCTTGATGCAAGCATATATTAGCCACATCTAATAGTTAGTCTGTAAAAGGCATCTGATCATGTGCATGACACTTAAATTTTTTTTTTAGCCTGATGAGTAAGTTACATTGATCAACTGAAATTGCTTGATGTCCAATATACCAATCTCATTTCAGTAAACCTGCAGGTTGCTTCATATGAGTTTACTACTTTAACTTGCATTCCTGGCGTGATCACTTATCGAGGAGCTAAAATTCAGGTAAAGATATTATTGCGTCCCATGGATCATTCAGTGTCTGGTTTGAACTGGCAACTGACCGATGTTTGATTTTTAAACTAAAACATGCCTATTGCCATGGCCATATCAAGTGCTGTTATTATTGATTTTTTTTCTTTCCCCTCTAATTCTTTCCAAAGCACATAAATCTTGCGGGCAACTGATATGAGGTCATACAATATTAAAGTTTACGTGGAAAAAAGAAGGACCAAGTTCACTTAGGTTTGATTGTGGGCCTTGTGGCACAAGGTTGATGACTCTAGAGTGGGGCTTTTATCTTCTTTTATTTTATTTCTAAGTCTTTTATTTAATTTGGCTTGAGGCAATGTAAATGAGCCCATGCATACAAGGGTCCATTTAGGTCAAATATAAAAGAGGGGTTTATCTAGTTTAGATGGATTATAAGGTTTTTGGGTAATGATGGCTTCGGCTTGGTAGCAGAGAGAATTTGGTTTTCCTCTGCATGATTAATTCGTCTAATTCTCAATGAAGTTCATTATTTTTGTTTTACCTACATCCTATCAGCAAGAAGAGTTGAAATTTTCGTTATGTTCTTAAACTCTCAGTTTGTTTGTTTGTTTGGTTTTTTAATGATTTTCACTTTTGATAAGCTTTGTGTAGTTGTTATTCTGATCAGAAACTTTTAGGGGAAATGTTGTTCTCTATTATAAAAAAATTTCTATTTTAGAATATAGCAGATGATGAGATGGCTAGATGCACTTGATTCTACTGATCCATGATGATATGCGTGCACACACACACACACATATATACTCATTCGATTATATTAGTTTTGGTATGGTTGTTCCCCTTTATGGTCTAGTTACTGCATAGCTCCATATCACCGATCTTTATTTTATTTGATAATATCTATATTTTTTATTCTTCCTTGTGCTTTTGGTATGCACTTATTACCTACTATTGTTGGAGATATGGTGGTGATAGCAACAAAATGGAATCTGAAGGAGATGAAGTAATCCGTGCAAGATGATAATTGTGAATTTCATTCTCAACCTGTAATTTGCTACTGAATTTATTTTGTAATGCAATATATGATATATAGATATTTAATTGATTTTCATACTTTTGACAGTTATTGGATCTTCCTGGTATTATTGAAGGTGCAAAAGATGGCAAGGGTAGAGGTAGACAGGTAATGTGCGTGCAACATAAATTATACATTCTTAACATGATTTAGATGCTTGTTCTCTCAATTAATTCTGGAATATGGTTCTCAAATAGGTTATCAGTACAGCACGAACATGTAACTGCATCCTGATTGTGCTTGATGCTATCAAACCAATCACTCACAAACGTCTGATAGAGAAAGAGCTCGAAGGTTTTGGCATAAGGTAATATGCTTTTGATTATGATAAATTTTCTGTGTTGTCTTTTCTACTTCATTGCAATGAAGTAGTTCACCATTATTAATTTACACGGTGAATGAGAATAGCTACTTTGGGAATTTCTATCATACATTCTCATGTTGTCCTGAATCATCTACTAATTCAATCTTTGTAAATTGTCATGCTTACAATCAATGCATGAGCTATAATCTTATTGATCCTTACATGAAGATTATGTAGCTTAATGCAATTTGTTTGTAAATCTTAGATACTCCATCTAAATGTGTCTATTTCAGAATATATATCTCTTTTATCTGCAGTTATATAATGATGTTATTGGTTTATGAAAACAGATTGAATAAGGAGCCACCAAATCTGACATTTCGGAAGAAAGATAAGGGTGGAATCAATCTTACATCTACAGTGAACAACACGAATCTTGACCTTGAAACAGTGAAGGCAATTTGTGGTGAATACAGAATACACAATGCTGATATCAATCTCAAATATGATGCAACAGCTGATGACCTTATAGATGTCATTGAGGGCAGTAGAATATATATGCCGTGCATCTATGTTGTCAACAAGATTGATCAGATCACGCTTGAAGAGCTTGAAATTTTGGATAAACTACCACATTACTGCCCTATCAGGTACTCCACCTGATTTTTGTTAAGATGCACTAATGGACTTAGGTATTAGATTGTTCTGATTGGTCCCTGTTATGTTTGTCCCACTTGTTTGCTTGTTTCCTGAGAGATTTGCTTATTGATTTCTGTAGTGCTCATTTGGAATGGAACCTTGATGGTCTTCTGGAAAAAATATGGGAGTATTTAAATTTAACCCGCATATACACGAAACCTAAGGGGATGAATCCGGACTATGATGATCCTGTGATATTATCATCAAAGAGACGGACAGTTGAGGACTTCTGCAATAGAATCCACAAGGACATGGCCAAACAATATAAATAGTGAGTTTTCCTTGAATTCCTTGACTTTAAAGCTCTCCTCATTTTTATTGTTTAGCATTTAGATCTGACGGAACTTTATGTTTCTTAGAGGCTTAGCAGAACATTCTTGGCTATAACTCAATGATTCCAATAAAAATGGTAGATAACTTATTAAGTTAATTTAATATGATGACTTTCAATAATTGCCTTTGATCAGATGAATGGAAGAATTTTCCTTGATCGATAACTTATTAGGTTAATTTAATATGATAGACTTTCAATTGATTGCATTTGATCAGATAGATAGAGGAAAATTTCCATGATGGGATTCATGTAATGCAGTGATGGTTTCTTTGTGTCACCTGCCATCGTATTAGTAAAATTATATTTTTGATATTATGTTTTCAATAAAAATTAGGCACTGGATGCAATCCTTTAGGGGAAAAATATTCTACTATCCCATTGTACTAAAACCGAAGAACATTGAAAACACATACAAACATACATAAAATTGATTTTCTAATGTTTAAATTCAATGAATTGCAGTGCTCTGGTTTGGGGTTCGAGTGCGAAGCACAAACCACAAAGGGTGGGCAAGGTAAAGTCTTTCAACTTGCTCGCAATTCTCTCCTCACCTGAAGTATAATTTCTCCTTGGAGATTACTAATAAGTTTTTTCATCGATTAGGAGCACGAACTGGAAGACGAAGACGTCGTGCAGATCATCAAAAAGGTGTAATATACACATGAAGTTTTGCTACTGAGAGTGATTGCGGTATGAGTTAAGAATCCACGCTCAAGTTATTTTCTTGAAGTACACTATTTGTGCGTGTATCACTCACTATCAGGTAGAAATGAATAGTGACGTAGATTTGAAACTATAATGTATGTTTTGTCTGATGAAAGCTGTTTTGTTAGTGAGTGAAATTAAGATTGCTGTATCTCATTCTATCCTTTTCTTTGTCAATTCATAACTGAATAGAATTGCATGATTTTGGAGGCCGTTGTTAGATATGCATGTTCTAATGATTTTTGATTTGGGTTTGAATCTATAACACCCCAAATTGGGGCTACCATTCTCCACTAGGGTGGGAAGAAAATACCATAGGAAAAATTAATAGAATATATATATTATTATTTTAATAGATTATATTATCATTGCATCAAATCGAATCATGTTGATGTAATATAATTTTATTAGCTTTAAGTGTAAGCATTCAAATCCTAATAATTTAAGTTAGGATGGCCTAAAAAGAATGTAAGTCTAATGAAATGGTAGAGTGATTAGGCCCAAAAATAGCCCAATAAAATGATAAAAGTAAGTTAGGGTGAATGTAAATCCAATGAAATGATAGAGTAATTAGGCCCAAAAGGAATATAGCCCAATGAAATGATTAAAAGTAATTTAGCCAAACGGTGGTCATTAACAAGATTATAAAGACAGAAAAGGATGATCATGACACAATTAATTTATATTTATATTACATTAACTAATAATTAATTTAAAATTTTATTATTCAAATAAAAAAACACAAAAATCAAACAAACAAAGTTACAAACGCACCTCTATTGTTTGCCTGAGGAGAGAAGAAACAGGAGATGGAAAGTCGGGAAGAACAGTAGTCATAGCATACTATTTGTGAAATTGGGATTTGGAATTAGGGTTTCGCTCGCTTTACTCTTTTGTTCGCCCATCGTCTTCATAAGACCGTAAGTTGAATTTCTGTATTCTCGTACAGTCAGTTGTGTGGATACATGTTTATACACTTTGCTCGTTTGCGCCTGTTAATTATTTACTCAAATATTTACCCCTTTTACACAAGGGTAAATTTTCCTACGACCTACGGTTCGTCGATCCTCACTCTTCGTGTTAATATTTTCATTTGTTTCTTTTTATTGCAGTTTATCTAAGGTAAGGATGCATCGTCGGTTGAGAAAAAAGAAAACGAAGATTAGGCGGCGCAAAAGAAAATCCCAAGCGATGAATCCATCGCCATTGTCGCCTCCTTGGGTTGATTTGCCTTCTGATGTGACAGCGAATATCCTACAGAGACTGGATGTGGTAGAGATCCTTCAAACTGCACAGAAAGTATGCACTACCTGGTGGAAAGTGTGCAAAGATCCTTCCATGTGGAAGGTAATTGATATGAGAGATTCATTGCCGGACTTCAATATTGAAATCATGTGTCGCGAAGCTGTTGATCGTAGCCAGGGCCAGTTGACTGACATTAACATTGGGTATTTCGGAACCGATGAGTTGATTTTATACATTTCGGAAAGGTAACATCATCTAGTTTCAATTTTGATAACATTTCAGTAGAAACTAAACTGATTGTAGTTTCTTTCTTGATTAACTTGGGTATTCCTTTATGCGGTAAGTCATGTTCTCTATTCAAATGTGGAGAAAGAAATGTCTCAGTTGTAGCTATAGTTTCGACCCACCTGAAAGAAGAGTTTTCCTACCCCGTGGATTATCACTTCGGTTTCTTTTCAGGCTAGATTGGGGTTGGAGGTTTGTGTTTTTTGATTAAAATAATGTTTAATGTAATGACTTGTGAAAAGGATTCTTTTTTTTTTTTTTTTCTCATAGAGTCTAAATAATAAAATCAGTGTGTAGAATCCCTAAAGAAAAAGGTTTGGTTCTTTTCAATACGGATTGGGTTTGGAGGTTTGGGTTTTTTATTGAAATAGTGTCTGATGTGAACAGGTTCGGAAAATTGAGTTTTATAGTAAAAACCCGCGCAGAATCCCAAAAGGAAAAGATTTGTTTCTTTTCAGTCTGGATTGGGTTTGGAGGTTTGAATTGTTGATTAAAATTATGTTCGATGAGATGTTTTGTGTACATAATTTTTTTTTGTATTTTTTTTTTCCCACAAGAATATAGACATCAAATAGTGAAAACAAGTGTAGAAACTGAAAAGGAACAAACCTTGAGAAATTTCATATGTTAAGCTATGCTATATTCATTCCCTACTCATTTGCTGTATTGTCGAAACAGGTGCAGTGGCCTTAAATCCCTCACTCTCAAGCTTTGCTGTGATGTTTCGAGCTATGCTCTGCGAGAAGCAGTTCGAAATTTCCCCAAGTTAGAAGAGCTGCACCTCTTATTCCACTGCATTGGTGCCGAAGATGTTGAAAATATCGGCACATCTTGTCCTCAATTGAAGTCTTTCACACTCAATGCTGCCGGAACAAATTATCCAGGATTGGGACACGATGATTCCTGGGCACTGGCAGTTTCAAAAAGCATGCTGAATTTGCACCATCTCTGTCTTCTTGGGCACAACATGACGAGCGAAGGTTTGGAAGCAATTCTTGATGGCTGCCCACATCTTCAATCACTTGACATCCGCCGTTGCTTTAGCATTGATCTAAATAAGGGAAATCTTGGCAAGCGGTGCTCCGAGAGGATTAAAGATCTCAAGTTCCCTCATGATGCAATCGATGATTGCAACAAGATTGCTTCCGAGTTTGTTCATTGTTACAACTACTATGACTCGGAATTTTCGAACTACTCTGATAGTGACTTGTTCGGAAACTATGAGGATTACAGTGAAGGTGACTACGAGGATTATACCGATCTATTTGCTGATGATTTCCTTGCCTCTTTCTTGCCTGGGGGCCATCAGTATATTTGAGACATCAGGTGATATAATTCTCAGTTCCTTGTTCTAATCCAATCTGTTTTTGTCACTACTGAATATTTCAACAACACTTTGTTGATCTTTTGCCTTTTGGGATCTTTAGAAACATCATTTCGGATTTGTCTTCTCCATTTGATTTGTTTTTGTACTGTGTTTCCATCAGTGTGTTATGTTTTGCAGTAGAATTACTGTCAACCAACAACAATTATTATTATTTTCTTACATAGAATTTTAATTAGTTGAAATGGAAAATACTAGAAATTATAGAAAAATACAGAAACAGAAATTAAATCTGGGAATGAAAATTAAAGGAAAAATGCAAAGATGAAATAAAATACAAAATCCATTCCTCATAACCTCATCACATATTTACACACACATATATATTGCTAGGGTAATATTAATCATATAATTTACAATAGAAAATTAATAAATGTGAATTGATCTACTATTGTATTGTTCAAAGGCCAAGGCCATGAAGAGATCTCCAACTCGTATTTTTTTTGATGTCCTTTCCTACAATAGAAAAGAACAATGTAAGAACTTAGATGCAAAATTCAATTTACTATCAATATATAAATAATTGAAATACAATATTGTACTTTTGAAATTTACCTTTTCACTTAGATGTTTCATTTCACATCCATAGAGCATAGACAACGCAACTCTTTCAGTGAACGAGTCTTGTAGGTGGATATAATACTGTCTTAGAAAATAGCAATTTTTATATGACATTATTAATTCAAAAAAATCAATATTACAAATATAATGTATCGTAGAATCATATACCTTATCGGTGAAACTTGAATTATTAAGCTTTTTTATTTGGAGTTCCCAACCCTCCAGCCGTTCTTGTAAAAATAAATTATAAGCTGGTTCAAGTGGTGGATTTATTATATCTCTTGATGGGTTTTGAGTATGTTGTTGTGACATTTTCTTCACTCCAATATCGAGTTTTTCACCCTTCCGTACAACAAATACATGGTACACGATTTTTTCATACTCGTCGCTCTATATGCACAAATAAATTATGATAAGTAAAAACGCTAATAAATTGCATCTCTACTTTATTTTTTATATAGCCCACTTTAACATTATAATAATATTATCACTAGATACGTTGAACCCATCATATATTATATAGAAAACTCATCATATTGAAGCTTATTAAACTTTGATATTGTTAAATAACATAACCATAAGAACATAGAATCCTTCGACATAATCAAATTCACATACCGTACAATTCATTTCGAGGATGTATGTATCACCACTTTTAAGTTTAGATAATTATTAATCTTCTTATTATCAACTCATCTATAACTATAATACAGAATTTTATTTACCATGACATTAATCAATCCCCACCTACCAACACATTTCATGAATGCAAACTCTTTTTACTATTTTATGCAACTACAAAAATATTGCATGAAATATAATTTATTTCAATAGGTGGATTAAATCCATTATACCTTGGAAAACTTCCATCACAACAAAAATGAAACACATACCAGTATAAAAAAATAAAAACTTTCAAGATAATTGATCCACTTACCGAAATATTCATTTCAAGGATGTAATTTTCATCGCCTAAGTCATGTTTGAATATTTCGAATGATGCTGTCCATGTCTTTTCTTTGACACGCTTTTGACGGCGTGAAGTTTGTCTGCTGGTTGATTTATAATGATCCTACGAAGTATTCCAACAAAGATAAACATGTTAAAAAAAAATTAACTATAAAAATATATTTAATTCATAAATGTAAATACACTAATTTTTCTTTTATTAATTTCGAAGAATTTTTTTAGTTATTTAAATTTACATATATTTAGCATATGTTTTGGGTAGTATTTAACAAGAAATGAACCGGTTGAAATGGAGATTTTTTAATAAAAGTTGACTCCCAAGAAAGCCAAAATTAATATGTCAATATTATCAATTTATGCTTAAACACTTTTTTCATATACATTTTTAATATCCATATTTTAACAAATAATATCAAATTTGCCACTTTTTTTTTTTTTTTTTTCTATTTACCAAACCACCATTTTTTTTTATCAATACATTAATAATTTTTTATAATACCTTACATTATAAATAATATTATTACATTAATCCCATGGTATATATAACATAGAAAACTCACTTTTTAACAAAATTGAAACTTATTAATCTTTGATTCTATCACATAACATAACCATTAAGAGCACAAAATCCCTCAATATAATTAAATCCACATACCATATAATGCATTTTGAGGATGTATGTTTCACCCCTTAATTTGCGTTTAAATATTTTGAATGATGCTTGTCGGTTGATTGATGGAGAGTGATACTGCAAAGTGATTCAAGATGAATAAAAACATTAAAATCAAAACTTAAAATTTATTTAACCATTGTGTACAATAAATATATCAACAAAACTATAAATTCAAATAAAAATAAATGAACAAAAAGTTTAGCTAGTGATATTAGATTGTATAAGCAAAAATCTATCAATACTTACATTGGTTTTTGGCCGCAACAATGTGATCTGCATCTTCTATCCCCAAACATATAAAACAGTTAATATGTTAGAGTATATAAAAATTATATGTAGGTGGATCTATCCCTAGATCTCAATCCCCAAACTTGTTTTGTATCTTTAGAGCTCAAGCAAGCTGACTGATCGAGTGTTCCCCTCAATGGTGGATAATCGGGTTTTCCCCTAAATGGTGGCTAGATCTAGAAAACCCAATTTCCTATTCCCAGACCATTTGGGCTCTGTGTATGTCCTCCAGGCGGCGGAGATGAATTTTCTTTTCAGTATAGTTTCGAATAAACAATTAGGGTTTTTATAGATAGAATTAGGGTTTTGTTAGGTGAATTGGGCTTCGCAAAATTCCATAAATTCTTTGTCTATAAAGCCCACAACATTGTAGTTACTAATGCAAGTATTTATAGTACTATCATATAAATTTTGGACCTATTATGATATTTGGACTTTAGTAATATATCTGGTAATTTCATAATTTACTTCATATAATTAATTCAATTGGATCCAATAAAAATATTGTGGAACATTCAAATCAAAATATCCAATCTCAAGATGAATCTAATATACAGGAACTATTATAATTTTGACTCGTCTCACTTAATAGTTTTAGCATAGTAAAAAAATATAGTTTTAGCATAGTAAGAAAAATATACTTTAAAACTCGCACTGAAATAAGTTTCGCATCATATTAAAAATATACTTTTTAAAACTCTACAAACGCAATTTATCACTTTTCAAACCCAGGTGCTTGACTCCATAGGTTCGTTTAAAAATTCAGTTCAGATGGTGTATTGGATTATGGCCGGTCAAAAGCTTATCACGGTTGGATCTCCGGCTTAATCAAGAAAAATATTCGGATCGGATCTCACAATGATAACTTGAGAATGAGCAGCCGAGGAATCAAATCAATTGAAGATATTAAAATACATAGGATTTAAATTAGCTGGAACGGGAAAAAGCTTAAAATTATAGAAAACCTACATAGAAAACCTACAGGATTTAAAGCTGTAAAAAATGCTGAAATGAAATTTAAAGGAAAAATATACTAGGAGATGAAATAAAATATAAAGAAACCAGATAGAGAACAAGGGGAAAAAAATCAACATTTGGATGGTGTTCTGTGAGTGTTTTTTAGGCAGCAAAAGTATGGTGAGTCTATCCATTCCTCGATCATCTTCACAATCTCACTTCTTTCGCTTTCTCTTCCCACGTCGTCTCACTCTCCTACAACCAAATACTGCCATTTTCAGTCATTACCAATGAATTGTTCAACTACTCTTCTCAGCCTGATCTTGAGGCCTCCAGGTTTCCATTCCTCTTTGTGCCTTTCAATGATTAATGAGGTTTAGTCCACAACAAAATCTATTACTTGTATTAAAATTAATTCCCTACTCATTTTGTCCTAAACATTGATGTGAGCCACATTCAAAACCATAGTTTGGATCATATGGGTCTTGTTAAAAATATATATAGACAATGGAACCAGACGAGACTAGTTTAATATACTTTTATCTATGTTTGTCCGGTCAACTTGATTACCTACTTTCCATACATGTTTATTACATTGAAGTTTAATTTCCACAGTATCATACCCTTCCGAAAAAAAAAAAAAAAAAGATGCACATTTTGGTTGTTAGATACACAACAATCACAAGCATGATTTCATGTAGTAAACCATCAAGTCGTTGATAATTTGATTTCACATTATATTTAAAAAGTCATTGTTTATTAGGCCAACATAGATACAACTGGATTTATAAAGTGAATTAAAACAATGAGATTGGATTAGATTTTCCTATTAAGTATTTGTAATAAAATCTAATGAGTATCATTTATACAAAATCTTCATATGCCAATATAATTCTCTAATAAAACAACAATTTTTATATGCGATCAAAACAATTTTAAAAAAAATATTAAAATGGATTGAAAGATACTGCATATTCCTATACATATGCAATAAACTTAATAACCTGGTTATAGAAATTATGGGTTTAAATTATTTTACCATACCTACTCACATACCATAATTGCATGATATAAAATTTAATCTTCTCGAGATAATTATTACATAAACCAATGCATCATTATACTTTCACTTCATTATGAATGAATTAGGTAGGAAGGAGAGTGACCGAGCTCATAGAGGGCTTCGATGTGGCTGTGTCGACGCAGAGTTTTAGGAAGACAGCTCCTACTCATCATCAAATCATTGAAAGAGAAAGGAAAAATATGTACTCCATCTATCTCTTCCAAAATATCTGAATTTTTCCAGCAAAGCATTCTCCCCAATGGCATTTTCCAGTTTCCTCCTCTTCACGATGCAATTATAGCTTGCGGATAATAAAATCCCCTCCTCATCCTCATCACATATATACATAAATACATACATATGTAAAGAGGAGCCGAATATCACTAGGGCAGTAATCATACAATTTACAATAGAAATTTGATAAATGTGAATTAATCAATAAGTTACAAACCACTATTGGATTGTTCGAAAGCCATTCAAAAATCTACATCTCTTTGTCTTTTTGTATCCTTTCCTACAATAAAAAAGAATAATGTAAGAACATAGACGTGGAATTCACTTTACTATCAATATATAAGCAATTGAAATATAATTTTGTACTTTTAAAATTTATCTGCTCACGAAGATGTTTCATCTTACATCCATAGAGTATAAAGAATGCAACTTCTTTAAGGCAACGAAGCGTATGCGAGGCTTGTAGGTGGATATAATACTGTCATAAAAAATATACAATTTCTATGTAACATTATTAATTCAAAAAAATCAATATTACAAATATAATGTATTGTAGAATCATACCTTATCGGTGAAACTTGAATTATTACGCTTTCTTATTTGGATACCCAACCCTCCAGCCGTTCTTATAAAGATAAATTATACGTTGGTTCAATTGGTGGTTTATTATTTCTCTTGATGGGTTTTGAGTATATTGTTGTGACATCTTCTTCACTACAATATCGTGTTTCCCATCATTTCGGACAACAGATATATGGTACGCCTGTTTTTCATTTTCATCATTTCTACATGCACAAATAAATTATGATATAAGAACTTTGATAAATAGCATGCAGTAACAATAATTTTATATTATATATAACGATAGAGAAGGTAAACAACTTAAGCACATCACACATATTTATTGGTTAGATTTGTTGAATGGGCAAACTATCAAAAGGGAAACATGATATAAGTTGGCATCATCAGCATTTATTATCATTATCATTATAATTTTTTTAATAGGACTCCACTTTATTTTTTACATATCTCATTTTAACATTATAATAATATTATCCCTAAACACGATAAACCCATCATATATATATATAACATAGAAAAAATTCACTTCTTAACCAAATTGGTGCTTTATTAATCTTTGATTTTATTACATAACAGAACCATAAGAGCATAGAATTCTTCAATATAATCAAATCCACATACCTTATAATTCATTTCGAGAATGTATGTTTCACCCCTTAAGTCGTGTTTAAATACTTTGAATGATGCTTATCTTCTGATTGACTGAGAGTTATATCGCAAATTCACGATTCAAGATGAGTAAAAACATTAGAATAAAATTTTAAATTTATTTTAACATTGTGTACAATAAATATATCAAAAAATTTATAAATACAAAGACGAAAGACCTAAACATGTCATATATATACATATCCATTAGATTTGCTAAAGTACATGGTAACAAAACTAAAGATCGTCTAGTATGGCTTTAAGGATCAAATATTTTGGCAACCCTGTGAATATTATTAAATAACTTTTATAACAAAGGGTATATAAGAACTTTCAAAAGCAATATTTTTCTAAAAGTAAGTGAAAAGAAATTTTAGCTAGTGATATAGATTGTATAAGCAAAAAAACTATCAATACTTACATTTTTTGCCGGCAACAATGTGATCTGCATCTTCTATCCCCAAGCGTAAAAGAAAAGTTAATATCTCTGTCTACAATTGCGTCTAATGGTTCTAGGCACAATGTTAGAGTATATAAAAATTATATATAGGCGATTCTATCCTTAGATTTCAATTTATATACGATGAGATCGGCGGATATTACTTTTAGAATTCCGCCGGCACCTTACGAGAAATCAAAGTTTTTGGGTTTCAGGAAGTATAGTCGCAAGGTTGAAATTTAAAGGAATTGACGGAAGGACAACTCAAACTGGTAAGCAGAATGATCTGAATATTCCCCTCAATGGTGGCTAGATCTAGAAAACCCAATTTCCTATCTTCCCTACCACTTGAATTCTATCTATGTCCTTGCGGCAGTAGAGATGATTTTTCTTTTTAGCATAGCTTCGAAGAAACAACTAGGGTTTTTATAGAAAAAATTAGGGTTTTGTTGGGTGAATTATTAGGTTTTGGGCTTCGATAAAGCCCACAACATTGTAGTTGCTAATGTAAGTATTTATAGTACTATTATATAAATTTTGGACGTATTTTGATATTTTGACTTAATAATATATCTCGGTTATTCACAATTTGCTTTACATAAATTCAATTGGATCTTCAATTCAAAATATCCAATAAGATGAATTTAATACATATGAACTATTATAAATTTGTCTCGTTTCACTTAATAGTTTTAGCATAAAATAATACTTTATAAGTCGTACTAAATAAGTTTCACATCGTATTAAAAATTTACTTTTTAAAACCCGTCAAAGCGGCTTATCAGATCACTTTTTAACCCTTAGTAAGTGACTCCATAGGTTCTCTTATTGTTCAGAAAAATATTCGGATTTTGGCCTGTCAAAATTACGGTGGGTTCTCCGAGTTAATCAAGAAAAATATTCGGATCGGATCTTAAAGCAATTGAAGTTATTATAAAATACATAGGATGTAAATTAGTTGGAATGGGAAAAGGCTTAAAACCTAAGAAAAATTACATAAATTAAAGCTCAAAATGAAAATTTAAGGAAAATTGCAGAGAGATGAAATAAAATACAAAGAAACCACAGAGAGGACAAGTAAAACAATTCAAAAGCATTTGGATGGTACGGTGTTCTGTGAGTCTTTTTTAGGCAGCAAAAAAATGGAGAGTCTCTATCCATTCCTCGATTATCTCCACAATCTCTCCCCACGACGTCTCACTCTCCTACAACCAAATACTGCCATTTTTAATTATTACCAAGGAGTTGCTCTACTATGATCTTCTCAGACTGATCTTGAGGCCTCCAGGTTTCCATTCCTCTTTGTGCCTTTCAATGATTAACGAGGTTTTAGTCCACAACAAGAACTATTACTTGTATAAAATTAATTCCTTGCACATTTTGTCCTAAACATTGATGTGAGCCACAATTCAAACCCATAGGTTTAGATCATATGGGTCTTGTTAGAAAATTTATAGGCAATGGAACCAGACGAAACCTGTTCGAACTTCTATCAATTTTTTTCTGGTCGACTTGATTACCTACTGTCCGTACATATTAATTAAAGTACGAACCACATAATGCATTGAAGTTTACTTTCCACATATCATGCAGTAGTAAAGCATCAAGTAGTTAATAATTTGATTTGGCATTATATTAAAAAAAGTCATTGTTTATTATGCCAACATAGATACAACTGCGTTTATAAAGTGAAATAAAATAATGAGATTGGATTATATTTCGTGTAAAATATTTGCAATAAAATCTAATATAGTATCATTTATACAGAATCTTCATATGCCAACATAATTCCCTAATAAAACAACAATTTTATATGCCATCAAAATAATTCTATAAATATTAAAATGGATCGATAATTACTGCACGCATATTTCTATGCATTCAAATATGCAAAAAAACATAAAGTCTCGTTATTGAAATAATATTTATCATACGGGATGAGTTAGGGTGTTGAATTTTTAAAATCCATCACCATACTTATGCTTTAAAAATAATTACACGTGATTATATTTATATTATTTAATTACATAAATTATAATTATTAAATTTTAAGGCATAAGTACGGTGGTGAATTTTAATTTAGTAACTTCACTCTTACCATACCTTTGCATGATAATCAATTTTTATCTTGTCCAGATAATTACTGCAACATAAACCATTGCATCATAATTATACTTTCACTTCATTATGTAGGAATTACATGGGAAGGAGAGTGAGCAAGTTCACGGAGGGCTTCAATGTGGCCGTGTCGGCGCAGAGTTTGAGGAACCATTGAGTGAATCCGACAAGTTTTTGGCTTTTACCACTACCTTTGTTTAGGATCCTCTTCCAGAAATTCAATCTTTCAACCATAAATCACCCGACCTAATCTATAAGGACATAACTTTAGGCAAACAAGAACATGCTTGCAAACCATTGAAATGAATCGGAACTCCGAAATCAAGAACATATGAGTAAGACAGCTCCTACTTATCATCAAATCATTGAAAGAGAAGGAAAAAATACGTACTCCATATATCTCTTTCAAAACATCTGAATTTTTCCAGCAAAATATTTTCCCCTATGGCATTTTCCAGTTTCCTCCTCTTCACGATGCAGTTATAGCTTTTGTATAACAAAATCCCCTCCTCATCCTCATCCTCATCACATATTTACATACAGACATATATATGTATAAAGAGGAGCCGAATATCGCTAGGTCATTAATCATACAATTTACAATAGAAAATTAATAAATGTGAATTGATTGATTAATTACAAATCAACTATTGGATTGTTCAAAGGCCATGCAAAAATCTCCATTTCCTCCTCTTTTTGTATCCTTTCCTACAATAAAAAAGAACAATGTAAGAACTTAAATGCAAAATTCACATTACTATCAATTGATAAACAACTGAAATACAATTTTTGTTCATGTGAAATTTACCTTCTCACGTAGATGCTTCATCTCACATCCGTATAGTATAAATAACGCGACCTCTTTCAGTGAACGAAACCTATGCGAGGCTTGTAGGTGGATATAATACTGTCATAGAAAATAGACAATTTATATGTAACATTACTAATTCAAAAAATCAATATCACAAATATAATGTATTGTAGGATCATATACCTTATCAGTGGAACTTGAATTATTACGATTTTTTAGTTGGATTTCCCAACCCTCCAGCCGTTCTTGTAGAGATAAATTATACGCTGGTTCAATTGGTGGGTTTATTATATCTCTTGATGGGTTTTGTGTATATTGTTGTGACATCTTCTTTACTACAATATCGTGTTTTCCATCATTTCGGACAACAGATACATGGTACGCCTGTTTTTCATTTTCATCATTCTACATGCACAAATAAATTATGATAAATAAGAACTCTGATAAATAGCATGCAGTAACAACAATTTTATTATATATAACCATAGAGAAGGTAAACAATTTAATCACATCACACACATATATATTGGTTGGATTTGTTGAATGGACAAACTATCAAAAGGAATAATTTATATAGTTGGCGTCATCAGCATAAAATATTATGAGGCAGTTATAGGTTTCTATATAAATATGCTTTATTACAAGAGAGAAATAAGAAGTTACATAAGCAGTAGTTTGCTAAAGCAGCGGCAACAACAACAACAGCAACAATAGCAATAATAATATATGCATAGAAATCTAATCTAAATGGGTATGCTGAGTCGATCTTCTACGTAATGAAAGAGTTTAGATAATTATTAGTCTTCTTATTATGAACTCATTTATGATACAAACTGTTATTTACCATGACACTAATCTATTCCTACTTACAAATTCATTTCATGAATTACTGTTATTACTATTTTATGCCACTACGAAAACATTGCATAAAACATAATTTATTTCAGTAGGTAGATGAAATCCATTATACCACAGAAAACTTTCATCATAACAAAAATGAAACACATGCTTCAGTTTTATAACATAAGACAGCCATAAGAACATAAGTTTATAAACATAATCGATCCACATACCCAAGTATCCATTTCAAGGATGTAATTTTCACCACCTAAGTCATGTTTAAACATGTCAAATGATGTTGGCCATGTCTTCCCTCTAACACACCTTTGTCGGCGTGAAGTTTGTCTGCTGGTTGATTCAGAGTGATCCTACAAAGTATTCCGACAAAGATAAAAATGTTAAAATAAAAATTATAAAATTATATTTAATTCATAAATGTAAATACATTAATATTTCTTTCTTGTAATTTTGAAGATTTTTTAGTTATTAATTAAAAAATATCAATTTACATATATTTAGCATATGTTTTGGTTAGTATTTAACAAGAAACCAACCGGTTGAAATGGAGTTTTAAGAAAAGTTGACCCCCAAGAAAGTCAACGCTCTATGATGATGTTATATACCGTACATGCAATGGTTAGGGCTGTATACATTCTTAATCTCAAGCGACTATGAGATGAGAATATTAAATCATGCAAGCTACATAGTTAATAAAAGTGATGTTAACAACATGTTAGGTTTCACAAAATCAACATTTTATGTCACATACAAGCCTATAAATGATGCTAATAAAAAGTGTAGTGATGATGTCATTTTAGCTTATGAAAAACTTCATTCCAAGAAAAGGATATTGTTAGCAATCGAGTTCTATGATGATATCATATATATTCCACTGAGGCAATATTTATGGACAAACACATTTAGAATGTTGAATGACTGAAGGGTGAGAAAATCAAGTCATGTGAGTTACATGCAGTGATGTTTAAGCTACATTTGAGCTGTCCAAAAACAAGGGATAAGAAGTTGTAGCACTTACAATTTATAAAAATGATGATGAAAACAAGTCATGTATCGCTAAATCTACATTTGATACCACATATGAGTCTATATGGGATGCTACTATAGAAGTATTGTAACTAAATTTAAGGACCAAAATAAATTTTTATTAACCAAATACAAGTTATATTTACAACGAATTTTGAAACAGGGAAAGTTTGGGTGATTTAAGGCTCAGTCACCCCAAATCACTCGACAAACACAAACTCAACACAAAATACACCTAAAATGCGATGAACACACAAAAAACTACCCGAAACTTACAACACACGAGAGGGAAGTCCCCCACAGAGAGATACAAGGTGAAACTGTAGTAAACTAGACACCTACAGTGTTGAACAAGTCCTTTGCAGCTTGAAACCACCCAAAATAGGGAAAAAAATATGCCACGGAGCTCCACAAGATTACAGAAGGAAGGTACAACCGTGAACCGTCGGAAACCGTCGCCGGAAGGTGTGAGAGAGTGAGAAAGGATGAGAGAGGCTAGAGAGAGAGGATGAGAGAGGCTAGAGAGAGATGAGTAAATATGAGAGTGTATGTATCAATTTGAAGCGGCGGCCTCTCTCACTCTCTCTTATATATGTAGGTCAAATATGTAGGTCAAAAGAGAACGTATGATTGTGATCGATGCCCTAGATTGGACAGACAGAAATCCATCTCAGAAAGGCGCGGATCTTAGATGGGTCAAAGGTCACGGGGTTCGGGTTGGGTCAAGGATCAGAGACACAGGTTGCGGGCCTGGATCGTAGGCTAGTGCTTGTTTCTCATGGGCTGCTAAATTGGACCCGAAAACCCAACAAATATATTGCAATGAAGTCATTGTTGCTTAAGAGTAACTTGTTGTCTAACAAATTACATTGTTAGGAGAAAAAGTAAGCATCTAACATGATACATTGATAGGTTACAGACAAATAATGTGTCTTCCTTAATGAGTAGCATAGCGATAATTAGAGGGATATAACAAAAATGGGTTGGATTGGATACAAATGAAATATGATGTGGTTAAAGAGGACAAAAATATTATCATTCAATATCTTTGTGTTTTATGGTCTTAATTCCAAATGTAATCTAATTACAACAATATTGCGCGTATGAGCGAGGATTTGTGCATGTTGGCACAAAGAAGGGAGAAACATTTGGCTTGAAACAAGACGACCAACCAATGGCGATAGCAAGATGTGATTCGAACTAGTGGTTCAATTGGTGCATTGATGCTAGCATATTAGGTTCAGTAATTAAAACCTTATTTTGTAATTACCCCATGCATTAATATATATCCTTTTATTTAAAAACATCCCAAGATATAACCCTCCATTGATGCTACATATACCTCGACGGGCTCAGTATAATGCTTCAAGTGCTAGGGTTTTGGGCACATTCAAGCTGAATGTTGTATTAGACAAGTTGTGGCTTTATAGTTGATAAAGACACCTTTCACATCAATGATGAGTCTCCGGAAGATAAGGAAGAAGCTATATTTGAGAATGAAATTGAGATTTTATATGCTGATAAGGGGTAGTTTGGCGAGTTCTGAATGGAGAAATGGGATGGGGCGATGAATGATTGTGTCACAATATCTTCTATAAAAATTGTATAGTCAAGGGGAATGTTTTCAATGCGATTATCGATGGATAAAGCTACAAGAATGTAGTGTCAACAAGTATGATGGATTATTTAGGTCTACCAACCCACGTACACCCAATGGGCCATACACTTATGAGTCCAACGGCAAGAGGGCTTGTAAGAAGGCATAGTTCACTAGGAAATTTTGAAAATGAGTGGGCACGATCCAATGCGCAAGACTTCAACAGCTCATTCAGCCCATAAGATAATCTTTCCTTGTATGAATGGGCTCATGGAAATCCAAACATTGATGATCTTGGGGCATTGGGACACAATAAATAGGATTATTGATGAAAGCTAATATCAAGACCATTAAAAGAGAGATGTGATCATGGAAACATTGATCAAACCAAACTTTGATGATGAGGTAGAGATCAAGGGTTGTTGAAGACAAAGTCAACACACATTCAAGGCATCAGAGATACACGCGTAAATCAAGGTGGTAGGATTGAGAGAAAACCATGGAAATGATCTTATGACAAGTGATGGGGACAATAATTTTGAGTGAACGGAATTTAAGATAATATGTAAGGAAAAGAAGAAGGCAAATGAAAGACACAGAATTCCACACAAGAATTTTCTTCTTTCTAGTTTTATTTATTTACATCTTGTAAATTACAACTTTATTTACATTTCAGCACCATTGTGTAATTTTCTTTTATCAATGATGCTTGTCCTTTATTCCATTTGCAGTTGCATACCTTTGGGAGTTCACATCAAATATATCAAATATCATAAGAGCCCACCATTATGTATATCCCAAGCTCGGGATACTTGCTCTACAGAAACATTGGGGTTTTAAGAGATAAGTTTAGGCACAATAATATATATCTCAGTGCTAGGGCTAGAAAAGTTTTGTATAAATGTATCACGAGAGTCGACTTGGGGGTAATATACATCACCATCTAGGGGCGAGTTGTTAATTTATATTTGCATTGATTTTTCAACTAATGAAATTAGTTAAATAAGAGTTTGTATCTCCATAATAAAATGTTCCAATAATTTATGCATTGAGTCTCACATCGATATAAAAGGATACAAACAAGTAAAAACTGTGTAACAATATACATTTTGACCACATTTCAGACTCTAAACAACTTAACACATCCACAAGAAATAACACACAAGCTATAGGAAACAAGAAAAAAAAAACTAAAATTCAACATAATAATAAAGTGAAGCCAGATACAAAAATTAACAACAAAATAAATTTTTTTTACCTCCATGCTCATTCTTGTATATGGCAATTTAGATGTACTGCCAATATGGTTGAATTTTGTATATGGTGGCTGAAACAATAAATAAATGAATGTTAATAATATTCTTCTGGGAATAGGAATAGTTGTTGTATAAATAATTTCTAGATATAATTTTTTATTCGAATTTTCTATTATTTAATTGTTGTTATAAAACAAAATTAAATGACATAAACTTATTTAATAAAATGTTACCTTATTATAGGCAGTTCAAAACACCTACTGCATGTTTACTTCAAATTCAAAACACCCCCTATTTATACAAAATAATATTTACTCATATATTAAAAAAATCATTAAACCTTTCATACAATAAATCCTTAAACTTAATTTTTTTTTTAAAAAATGTATATATTTTATATAAACTAAAACATTTACTTACATATATAATTATTCTATTTTATGCTTTTAATTATCATTATTATTATATATCCCCATTAAACTTATTGTAACGTATAATTTCAGATAATCTAATAAGTATATACAAAGTATTTAGTTACTATTTATATTCGACCATGGTACGTAACATAATCGGACATAAATCATAACTAAATTTTAAAATTAGAAATAATTATAATGTGATCCTATGTAATTTTCCTTGATTGTTGAATTAAAAAATAAGTAGATTATCGATTAAAAATTATGGAGATAATAATATACATATCCTATATAAGTTTTTAGTTATGTAGACTGTGAAAAACAAGAAACCCATACTTAGATTAGGTATTTTTTGAGATATGAGAATAGATCTTCAATCTCAAATTGTCTGAGAGATTGGATTTCTATTTTCTGTCTAACTCGGTCCAAAGATTAATGATAAAATATCAGATTTTTAAAAACTTTATTTTAGTTGAATTACTTCAAAAAAATCATACTCGTTTTGTATCTCTAAATCGCAAGCTCGATGAGTACCGACCGAATTTCTCCTCAGTGGGTGTTAGACATGAACAAAAATGTCTGAATGTGATTGTCTTTCCAGCAGCAGAGCAGCAGCAGCGATGATGTCTTATTACTGCAGCCTCAGAGAAAACCTAGGGTTTTTATAGATAGGGTTAGGGTTTTGTGTACAGTGGAGTATTTTTTGGGCTTTGTACAATTTCAAAAACTAATAAATAATAAATTAAATCCCAAAAATTATTATAAAAAAACTGAAATATTCAAAAAACTATTACATGAACTTTGGTGTATTAATTAGTTTACTTAAAACAAACATTTGTCTAAATAATCTCCACCATTATAATTAATACCTAACCTTTCATCCAAATATATAAGGTCTGTATCTGATTTTAGTTACTAAGAAAAATAATTCAATTTATTAGCTTTACTAAATAAATTAAAAAAAATATTTAAACTACTTTCTATAAACTCCACCTAACTGGATCGCCAGTTTTAAATCCTCATTGTGTGACTCCAATTAAATATTTGCCATTAAGGAATCCTAATATATGGAAAATACCTAGTAATTAAACCCCCCATTGAACATTGTAATTTCCACAAGTATATGAATAATGATGTAGAATTTTTAATCCATTTCTTCCTCTTTTTGTATTTTTTCTTACAATAAAAAAGAACAATGTAAGAACTTAGATGCGAAATTCATTTTACTATCAATATATAAACAGTTGAAATACAATTATGTACTTTTAAATTTACCTTATCTCGTAGATATTTCATCTCACATTCATAGAGTATAAACAGCGCAACTTCTTTCGGTGAACGAAATGTATGTGAGGCTTGTAGGTGGATATAATACTGCCATAGAAAATATATAATTTTTATGTAACATTATTATTTCAAATAATCAATATTACAAATATAATGTATCGTAGAATTATATACCTTATCGGTGGAACTTGAATTATTACACTTTCTTATTTGGAGTTCCCAAATACTTTGAATGATGCTTGCCTTATGATTGACTGAGAATGATACTGCAAATTCATGATCCAATATGAGTAAAAACATTAAAATCAAAATTTTAATTTATTTCAATATTGTGTACAATAAATATGTCAGAAAACTATAAATACAAAGATAAAAGACCTAAACAGTTCATATATATACATATCCATTAGATTTGCTAAAGTACAAACTAACAAAACTAAACATTGTATAATATGGTTTCTTAAGGATAAAATATTCCGACAAACTTGTGAATGTTTATAAATAACTTTTGAAACATAGAGTATAAAAGAACTTTCAAAAGCAATATTTTTCTAAAAGTAAATGAAAAGAAATTTTAGCTAAGGTTATAGATTGTATAAGCAAAAAACTATTAATACTTACATTGGTTTTTTGCCGGCAACGATGTGATCTGCATCTTTAATCTACAAACGTAAAAAGAGTTAATATCTATGTCTCCAATTGCATCTGATGGTTCCAAACACAATGTTAGCGTATATAAAAATTATATGTAGGCGAATCGATCCCTAAATCTCAATCCCCAAACTCGTTGTTTTGTGTCTTTAGAGCTCAAGCAAGCTGAATGATCGAGTATTCCTGTCAATGTTGGCTAGATCTAGAAAACCCAATTGACCACTTGGACTCTGTCTATGTCCTCGCGGCGGCAAGATGATTTTTCATTTTAACATAATTTCGAAGGAACAACTAGGGTTTTTATAGATAGAATTAGGGTTTTGTTGGGCGACTTATCAGGTTTTGGGCTTCGCAAAATTTATGAAATTTTGCGTTAATGAAGCCCACAACTTTGTAGTTACTAATATAAGTCTTTATAGTACTACTATGGGTGTATTTATTTGTAAGATTTTGGTTTTGAATAGTAAAATTTGAATTGAAATAGTTGTTTGATGTGATATAAATATGTATTGATGTGATGTATTGAATGTAAAAGTTAATTTCAGTGTAATATAATAAATAGAAAATAGCTGTCGATTTGATATTTTTAGAGAAAAAAAATTGAAATAGTAAAATCGAAAATCAAATCGCACAAAACACACCCTATATAAATTTTGGACTGGACTTAAGTAATATATCTGACAATTGCATAATTTACTTCACATAAATTCTATTGGATCCAATAAAACTAATGTGAAACATTCAATTCAAAATATCCAATCTCAAAATAAACTTAATATATAAGAACTATTATAATTTTGCCTCGTCACTCGCACTAAAAAAGTTTAACATCGTATTAAAAATATACTTTTTAAAACTTTACAAAAGCGGCTAGTCAGATAACTTTTCAACCCTTGGTGTGTGACTCCATAGGTTCGCTTAAAATTTCAATTCAGAAAAATATTCGGATTTTGACCGGTCAAAATCAAGATAGATTCTCCGGGTTAATCAAGAAAAATATTCAGATAAAGCAATTACAGTTATTATAAAATACATAGGATTTAAATTACTTGGAATGAGAAAAAGGCTTAAGACAATAGAAAAGTTACAGAAATTAAAGCTCGAAAAAAATGCTGGAAATGAAAATTTATAGGAAAATTGCATAGAGATGAAATAAAATACAAAGAAACTAGAGAGAGAACAAGTAAAACAATTAAAAAGCATTTAGATGGTGTTCTGTGAGTGTTTTCTTAGGCAGCAGAAAAATGGAGAGTCTATCCATTCCTCAAATCTCTTTTCTTTCACTTTCTCTCCCCACGACGCCTCACTCTCCTACAACCAAATACTGCCATTTTCAATCATTATCAAGGAATTACTTAACTATAATCTTCTCAGCCTGATCTTGAGCCTGCAGGTTTCCATTCCTCTCTGTGCCTTTCAATGATTAATGAGGTTTAGTCCATATCAAAATCTATTATTTGTATTATATTAATTCCCTACACATTTTGTCCTAAACATTGATCTGAACCACATTCAAACTAGGGTTGGCAATTCGGGTCAGCCCGGTTTCGAAGTGGGTTGTATAGGCCATGCCGGGTCAATTTGTTTTATTTTTTTAATTTAAATTTAAATTTTTTTATTTTTGAATTTTAAATTAATTTAATAACAATTTTATTTAAATCATCGGAATTGAATTCACAACCTAATATAATATAAACAACTTAAGCTCTTTGCCATCAAACTATATCTACATTTTTGTTATTATTTTATTAGTTATTATATATAAATATATTAAATTTTAAATATTAATTTTTAAAAAATCGGGTAGGGCCAGGCTCGCTTTATTGGCGTTTCGGGCCTATTTTTGGAGGCTCAAACACCATTTTTCATGCCGAGTTTAGACTGGATTTTTGTGCCTATTTTTGTCACATCTAATTCAAACCCATAGTTTATAATCATATGGGTCTTGTTAAAAAATTTATAGGAAATGGAACAGGACGAAACCTGTTTAATCTACTTTTATCTATTTTCGTCTGATCAACTTGATTACCTACTGTCCATATATGATAATCAGACCATTCAAGAGAAAAAAATGCAAATATTGATTATTAGATACACAACAATCATAAGCATGATTTCATAGTAAACCATCGAGTTGTTAATAATTTGATTTCGCATTATATTAAAAAAAAAAAAAGAAAAGAAAAATCATTGTTTATTTTGCCAACATAGATACAATTGAAGTAAAACCATGAGATTGAATTAGATTTTCGTGTAAAGTATTTGTAATAAAATCTAATGTAGTATAATTTATACAAAATCTTCATATGCGACATAATTCCCTAATATAACAACAAATTTATATGCCATCAAAATAATTCTACAAATATTAAAATGGATTAACAATAATTGCACGCATATTTCTATGCATTCAAATATGCAAAAACATAACACCTCGGTTATAGAAATTATATTTACCATACCAACTCACATACCATAACTGCATGATAATCAAATTTTATCTTGTCGAGATAATTATTGCAACATAAACCATTGCATCATTATACTTTCAGGACCATTTTCCAGAAATTCAATCTTTCAACCATCAATCACCCGAGCTATTTATAATGACATAACTTTAGTCAAACAAGAACATGCTTGCAAATCATGGAAATGAATCGGAACTCTGAAATCGATAATATATGAGAAAGACAGCTCCTACTTATCATCAAATCATTGAAAGAGAAAGGAAAAATATGTACTCCGCATATCTCTTCCAAAACATCTGAATTTTTCCAGCAAAGCATTTTCCCCTATGGCATTTCCAGTTTCCTCCTCTTCACAATGAAGTTATAGATCCCCTCCTCATCCTCATCACATATTTACATACATACATATATGTATATATATAAAAAGGGGCCGGATATCGCTAGGGCAGTAATCATACAATTTACAATAGAAAATTAATAAACGTAAGTAACTGATTAATTACAAATCTACTATTGGATTATTCAGAGGCCATGAAAAAATCTTCATTTCTTCCTCCTTTTGTATCCTTTCCTACAATAAAAAAGAACAATATAAGAACATAGATGCAAAATTCACTTTACTATCAATATATAAGCAATAGAAATACAATTTTGTACTTTAAAAATTTACCTGCTCACGTAGATGTTTCATCTCACATCCATAGAGTATAAACAATGCAACTTCTTTAAGCGAACGAAATCTATGTGAGGCTTGCAGGTGGATATAATACTGTCATAGAAAATATACCATTTTTATGTGACATTATTAATTTAAAAAAAATCAATATTACAAATATAATGTATTATAAGATCATTTACCTTATCGGTGGAATTTGAATTATTACGTTTCCTTATTTGGAGTTCCCAACCCTCCAGCCGTTCTTGTAAAGATAAATTATAAACCGGTGCAAGTGGTGGGTTTATTATATCTCTTGATGGGTTTTGAGTATGTTGTGACATTTTCTTCACTCCAACATCGCGTTTTCCATCCTTTTGTACCACACATACATGGTACAACTGTTTTTCAAACTCATCGCTCTACATGCACAAATAAATTATGATAAATAAAAAATCTTATAAATAGCATGCAATAACAATAATTTTATATTATATATAATGATAGAGAAGATAAACAACTTAAGCACATTACACCCATATATATTGGTTAGATTTCTATAAATATGCTCTATTACAAGAGAGAAATAAGTAGTTACATAATCAGTAAAATAAGTAGTTACATAATCAGTAGTTTGCTACAGCAGCAGCAGCAACAACAACAATAATAATAAATGCATATTTTAGTTAGCTAAAAAGAAAATTATGATAACTATTTATAAGTTTAGGCTAGAAATCTAATCTAAATGAGTATGCTGAGCCAATCTTCCACATAATGCAAGAGTTTAGATATATAATTATCATTCTTTTTATTATGAGGTCATCTATAATACAAACTGTTATTTACCATAACACTAATCTATCCCCACTTACAAAATCATTTCATGAATGCAAACTCTTCTTACTATTTTATGCCACTATGAAAATATTGCATAAAACATAACTTATCTCAGTAGGTAGATGAAATCCATTATACCTTAGAAAACTTTCGTCATAACAAAAATGAAACACATGCTTCAGTTTTATAACATAATACAACCATAAGAACATAATTTTATAAAACATAATTGATCCACGTACCGAGGGATTCATTTCAAGGATGTAATTTTCACCACCTAAGTCATGTTTAAACAGCTCAAAGGATGCTGTCCATGTCTTGTCTCTCACACACCTTTGTCGTCGTGAAGTTTGTCTACTGGTTGATTCAGAGTGATTCTGCAAAATATTCCAACAAAGATAAAAATCTTAAAATGAAAATTATAAAATTATATTTCATTCATAAATGTAAATACATTATTTTTTTTTTCTTGTTTTGTAATTTTGAAGATTTTTTAGTTATTTAATTAAAAAAATATCAATTTACATATATTTAGAATATGTTTGGGGTAGTTTTTAACAAGAAACCAACCGGTTGAAATGGAGATTTTAAGAAAAGTTGACTCCCAAGAAAGTCAACGCTATATGATGATGTAACAAAAAGTTAGGTTTCACAAAATCAACATTTTAGTCACATACAAGCCTATATATGATGCTAATAAAAAGTATAGCGATGACGTCATTTTTTAGCTTATGAAGAACTTCATTCCAAGAAAAGGATATTGTTAGCAATCAAGTTCTATGATGATATCATATTCCACCGATGCAATGGCTATGGACAAAAACATTTAGAATGTTGAATGACTGAAAGGTGAGAAAATCAAGTCATGCGAGTTACATGTAGTGATCATGATGTTTGAGACGATGCATAAGAAGATCTAGCACTTACAATTTATAAAAATGATGATGAAAACAAGTCATGTATCACTAAATCTACATTTGAAATCACGTATGAGCCTATATGTGATGCTACTATAGAAGTATTGTAACTAAATTTAAGGACCAAATAAAGTTTTTTATTAACAAAAACAAGTTATATTTACAACGAATTTTGAAACAGGGAAAGTTTAGATGATTTAAGGCTCAGTCACTCCAAATCACACGACAAACACAAAATCAACACAAAACACACTCAAACTCACGACACACAAGAGAAAAGTCCCCCACAGAAAGATACAAAGTGAAACAGTAACAAACTAAATACCTACAGTGTTGAACAAGCCTTTTACAGCCCGAAACCACCAAAAATAGGGAAAAGAAATATGCCAAGGAACTCCACAAGATTACAGGAGAAAGGTACAACCGTGAATCGTTGCCGGAAGGTGTGAGACAGTGAGAGAAGCTGAGATAGGCTAGAGAGAGAGAGGAGAAAATATGAGAGGGTATGTATCAATTTGAAGCGGCGGCCTCTCTCACTCTCTCTTATATATGTGTCAAAAAAGAACGGATGGCTGTGATCAATGCCCTAGATCGGACGGACAGAAATCCATCTCAGAAAGGCGCGGATCCTAGACGGATCAAGGGTCACGGGGTTCGGGGTTCGGGTCAGGCAGAACGGGTCGAGGATCAGAGACATGGGTTGTGGTCTTAATTCCAAATGTAATCCAATTACAGCAATATTGCGCATATGAGAGATTTGTGCATGTTGGCACAAAGAAGGGGGAAACATTTGGCTTAAAACAAGACGACCAACCAATGGCCATAGCAAGTTGTGATTCGAACTAGTGGTTCAAGCATTGGAGCATTGATACTAGCATATTAGGCTCGGTAATTAAAGCCTTATCTTGTAATTACCTTCCTTCATTAACATATCCTTTTATTTAAAAACATCCCAAAATATAACCCTCCATTGATGTTATATATGCCTCAACGGGATCAGTATAGTGCTTCAAGTGCTAGGGTTTTGGGTACATTCAAGCCGAATGTCGTATTTGACAAGTTGTGGCTTTATAGTGGATGAAGACACCTTTCACATCAATGATGAGTCTCCCGAAAATAAGAAAAAAGCTATATTTGAAAATGAAAGCGAGATTTTACATGCTGCTGAGGGGTGTAGTTCCATGAGTTCTAAATGCATAAATGGGCTGGGGCAGTGAATGATTGTGTCACAATATCTTCTATAAAATTTGTATTGTCAATGGGAATGTTTTCAATGTGATTATTGATGGGAAAAGCTACGATAATGTAGTGTCAATAATTATGATAGATTATTTAGTTCTACCAACCCACGTACGCCCAATGGGACGTACATATTGAGTCCAACGGCGAGAGGGCTGGTAAGAAGGCATAATTCACTAGGCAAATGTGAAAATGAGTGGACACGATCAGATGTACAAGACTTCGGCAGCTCATTCAGCCCATAATAGAATCTTTCCTTCTATGAATGGGCTCATGGAAATCCAAGCATTGATGATCTCGGGGCATTGAGACACAATAAATAAGATTGATTATAGATGAAAGCTAATATAAGAGCATTAAAAGAGAGATGTGATCATGGAAGCATTGATCAAATCAAACTTTGATGATGAGGTGGAGATCAAGGGTTGTTGAAGACATAGTCAACACGCATTCAAGGCATCGGAGATATACGTGTAAATCAAGGTGATGGGATTGAGAAAAAACCATGAAAATGATCTTATGACAGTGATAAGTGTTTGAATAAGAGTTTGTATCTCAATAATAAAAATTTTCAATAATTTATGCATTGAGTCTCGTCTCACATCGATATAAAGGGAAACAAACAAGTAAAAATTGTCTAACAATATACATTTCGATAACATTTCAGACTCTAAACAACTTAACACATCCACAATAAATAACACACAAGCTATAGGAAACAAGAAAAAAAAAACTAAAATTCAACATAATAATAAAGTGAAGCAAGATACAAACAATTAACAACATAATTTTTTATTTTTTTTACCTCCATGCTCATTCTTGTTTATGGTAACTTGGATGTACTGTCGTATATGGTTGAATTTTGTATATAGTGGCTGCAACAAATAAATAAAATAAATGTTAATGGTATTCTTCTAGAAATAGGAATAGTTGTTGTATAAATAATTTTTATTCGAATTTCCTATATTTAATTATTGTTATAAAAAAATTTAAATGACATAAAATTATTTAATAAAATGTTACCTTATTATAGGCAGTTCAAAACACCTACTATATATATACAAGAATGTTTACTTCAAAAAATCCTTACACTTCATTTTTTTTTTTTTTAAAATGAAAATTGTTTTAAAAAAAAATGAAAATTGTGTATATTTATATAAACTAAAATATTTACTCACATATATCATTATTCCATTTCACATGCTTTTAATTATCATTATTGTTATATATCCCCATTAACTTATTGTAACATATATTTCAATGCAAAAAAATTAAGAAATAAATAAGTGTTGATGTGATGTTTTGAATGTCAAATTGATTTTAAATATAATATAAAAAAAAAGTGTTTGATTTGATTTTTTTGGAGAAAAATATTGGATGAATAGTGTAAATTCAATCCAATCCAATCCCCCAAACAAACACACACTTAACTATATACCAAGTATTTAGTATCGGACATAAATCGTAACTAAATTTTAAAATTAGAAATGATTATAATGTGATCCTATGTATAATTTTACTTGATTGTTGAATATTAAAATAAGTAGATTATCAAGTAAAATTTATGGAAATAATAATATACATATCGTATATAAGTTTCTAGTTATGTAGACAATAAAAACCAAGAAACCCATACTTCAATCCAAATTGTTTGAGATATGGGAATAAATCTTCAATCCAAATTGTTTGAGAGATTCAATGTCTAGTTTCTGTCTAGCCCCAAATATTAATATGATAAAATCTCAGATTTTTTAAAACTTATATTTTAGTTGAATTACTTCAAAAAAAATCATACTCGTTGTTTTGTATCTTTAAATCGCAAGCTCGATGAGTACCGACCGAATTTCTCCTCAGTGGGTGATAGACATGAAAAAAAAAAGTCTGAATATGATTGTCTTTCCAGCAGCAGAGCAGCAGCAGCAATGATGTCTTATTACAGGTTCAGAGAACAACTAGGGTTTTGGTTAGGGTTTTGTGTACAGTGGAATATCCTTTTGGGCTTTATACAATTTCAAGAATAAAGCCCAAAAGTTTTTTTATTAAAAGAATGAAGTATTCAAAAAACTATTACATGAACTTTGGCGTATTAATTAGTTTACTTACAACAAACATTTGTTTAATTAATCTCCACCAATATAATTAGTTTACTCAACAAATCTACTATTGGAATGTTCAAAGGCCATGCAAAAATCTCCATCTCTTCATCCTTGTGAATCATTTCCTACAATATAAAAGCAACATGATAAGAACTTTGATGCGAAATTTATTATACCATCAATATATAAGCAATTTAAATACAATATTGTACTTATGAAATTTACCTTCTCAAATCGATGTTTCATCTAACATCCATAGAGAGAGCTTAGACGCAACGATGATGATTATTATGATGAAGATGATTAATAATGATGATGATGATGATTATTATTGTTGTTATTATTATTATTATTATTATTATTATTATTATTATTACTATGACCTCATCCATAATACAAATTATTATTTACCCTACCGGCTTTAATGCATCCTCACTTACAAACTCATTTCAATGCAAATCGTTATTTATAATTTCATTCCTCTACGAAATATTTTATAAAACATAATTTATTTCACTGGGCGGGTTAAACTCATAATATATAAATTTGAAAACTCACTTCTTAACAAAATTAGAGGCCATTAATCTTTCGTTTTGTAACATAACATAAGGGAAAATTACAAAAAAATATCCCTTATGTATACCTCATTATCATTTTTATTCTTTATTTATCTTGTTAACTAAATATATCCCACATGTTTTTAAAAGTCACCATTTCTATCATTTGGTTGCGCGTATCCGCGTGTGATTGCGCGTGACCGCGCATGGTGCGAATGTCACGTGCGGCCAAACGACAAAAATAGTGAATTTTGCAAACATGTAAGATATATTTTATTAGAGAGATAAATACATGACAAAGCGATGATGAGGTATACATGAGGGATATTGTTTGCAATTTTCTCCCATAACATAACCATAAGAGCATAGAATCCTTCAATATGTTATAATCCACGTACCGTATAATTCATTTCGAGGATGTATGTTTCACCACTTAAGACGTGTTTAAATATTTTGAATGATGCTTGTGTGCAGGTTGATTCAAAGTCATACTGCAAAATATTCAAAGATAAGTCAAAATATTAAAATCACCATTGTAAACAATAAATATAGCAGGAAAACTATAAATACAAGATGAAAGACCCAAGCACATCATATAAAATTTCAACCCAAAGAGCAATATTTCCATTAAAGATACATATCCATCAGATTCGCTAAAGCGACAAACTAATTTCCACTTGTGTCTAATGATTCCAAACACTGTGTAAGAGTATATGAAAATTGTATGTATCTTTAGAGCTCAAGCAAACCGAATGATCGAGTTCTAACCTCAATTGTGGCTAGATCTAGAAAATCGATATTTCTATCTTCCCTGACCTCTTGGACTTTGTATATGCCCTTGCAGCGGCGGAGATGATTTCTTCTTTACAGCATAATTTCAAAGTAACAACAAGGGTTTTTGTAGATAAGATTAGGGTTTTGTTTTGGGTGAATCGTCAATTTTTGGGCCTTGCAAAATTCTACAAATTTTGCGTCAATAAAGCCCACAAACATTGTAGTTACTAATTATATAAGTAATGTTGGCCCGATAATGATATTTGAACTTACCTAATATATCTCATAATTTTATAATTTAAAATACACTCGACCAAAGTTGCTTATCACTTGTCAATCTTTGTTGTAAGTTCATTCCATGTGCCAACGGAAAAATTCAAAGACATCTATATACAAGTTATGCGCACCCGACATGGATCCAACTCTTAACTTCAAGCATATAAAGAAAAATTTAACCGCTTGAACTACACACCCTCGCAAATGAGAGTTCTAGGTTAAGTCAATAGAGATTCTGGAACGAACTTTTAGGTGTAGAATATTGTAATGAAGAGGAGGATAATAATAATAATAATAATAATAATAATAATAATAGTAGTAGTTGTTGTTGTAACGAGTAAAGTAAGAACAAAGAAATTGAATATCAAGAGTATAACAAGCAAACGAGATAAAATAAAATACTTGAAAGCAATGAAAATGCAACCAAAAATAAATAAATAAATAAGGACCTATATCTTGAAAATTACGACATAAATGAAATATGAGATTTTTGAGTAGTCTACTTCCCATCAAAAGATGAATTTCTTAGATTACAATTAATTTGGAGTTGTTCGCATCCAGCAGCGGACATACCTTGGGGCAGACATACCTTGGGGCAAGAGTATATACTCTTGTTTCGGTACAAAGTCCTCTTTTAAATTTTTGTATTAGATTAAAAAATAATAATATTTTATTGATTACTGAAAATGTTTGGATTAAAAATGTGTAAGAGAATATTGATATTTTTATCTTTCGTATCATATATTTTTAAATTAATTTTATATGTAATACTATATTTGTAATTTACATAAAAGTTAACATTTTTTAGTATTAATATATACTCCTCCGTCATTCAAATATGTACTCACTTTCCTTTTTGGATTGTCATCGAAAAAGTAAAAAATTATTCCATTTTTGTACTGTTTTTTTTACTGTAAAAAAAAGTAACAATTATTACTCACTTTTATTAAAACCCGTGCTCGGTAAAATGAGCACATATTTGCATTACGGAGGGAGTATTCATTTTTACTATAATAAGAAACATATTTTCGTGATAAAAAAAAATATATATATACTTTTAAGGAATATGTTATATATATAATTATGTTAAATTATTCTTTAATTATAAATTTATCACCCCATTATTAACATTATAATAATTTGTAAATATTTTGAAAAAAATGGCCAAATGAGATTGGGATGCCAACCAAAACACAGTCTTAATTTCTCCTCTTTATTACTAACATTATTATTACCATCATCAAACTTTTTCTTTCCTTTGGGCCACCTTCATTTCATACCTCTTGGCCCAAATTCTTCATTTCATATTCTTTATATGGCCCAAATACTAAATTTCATAAAATGCCAATAATTTTGGGCTAAGTCCAACAAAGATTAAGAATTTATTATTTTTCTTAAATTTTTCTATATAATACCATAATTTTTATTTTAAACTTTCTCAATTTTCAACAATAAATTTTTTCTTAGTTATATTTTTTTATATTCAGTGAAATTACTATGCATTTACACAATATTATAAACAATGTCATTAAAAATTAAATTGATTAAAGAATAATTTTTTTTTTTTTTTTCTGTTGTACTATTATTTATAATACTAATATACTAAAATTCACCTGAGAAAAGACCATAAAATATAAATTAAAAAATATGTAAAAATTATTTGTTATAAATAAAAAAATACATATTTTTTTGAATAAACTTAAAAAAAAATTTAGGATTGGCAAAGTGATACAAAACTCTAGTATTTTATTATTTCCACCAAACCACAAACACTGTCAAAACATGAAAGTAAAATTTGGATGATTAAACATGTATGAGCTCTCTCTCTCTCTCTCTCTCTCTCTCTCTCTCTCTCTCTCTCTCTCTCTCTCTCTCAAGCTTTGACACAGCAGTTGAAGTAGCTGAAGAAGCTCTTCCTCGTCTGCATCGACAACACAAATATATTCATACATAAATTATTCACCACCTGTAATAAAACTCAAAGATAATCAAGAAACCATATATATATAAACATAAATATGATGGTTGGGGCTTTGCTATTTATTCAGACAGATAACTCATTCCTACAAAGCCTTACAACACAACATATCTATAGCCATTAAATTCAATTCAATGTTCATGTGGTCCACCTCATTATATTTTTTTCGATGCATCAAACTATAGTTCACATTGCTTTCCTCTTCGGGCACAACAAATTCCATCATCCCATCAATGCCATTTACGCCCTCGACGAAAATCCTCATCAAGATTTTAATTTTCGTGGGGTTCTTAAACCCGTAATTCATTCATTTCGCAAGATTTTGACAATGTCCATCTCGAACATCGGATTCTCCATCGAAAGAAAGAAGATTCTTGCCATAAATTCATGAAAGTAGTTCAAATTTTTCCCGACTTTTTCCCAGTTTTTTAATTAAATAGAGGTCGACAACTTGCCTAGCATAGGCTATTCCTTATACTAACCCAATATTTAGTGTTCTAACTAACAACTACCTATATCTAAAATTATCACAAATGCACTTTCCAAAATTAAAATGAACTAACTAAACTTTGATCATCAAATTGTTCGTAGAAGAGAAGCTAACCGTTGGGGAATGGCCATCGTGATGATACTTGGTGTCGTGGTCAATATTGTTGCGGATTGTGTCCGAACTTCTAGTGGTTGGAGCTATGAGCTCTTCGTCGTTTCCAAGACTAGCCCTCGATGGATCCCTCTTGTTTTGCTTCCTCATTTCTCGAATTTTTGTGAAATCCATGGAGTAGTCGGGCATGACGCCCTTTTGATCCCAGTCTCCAAATTGCGGCACAGATAGCCACGGAGCATTTTTCTACACGTCGACATCAAACAAGTGTAATTGTTAATCAAGAGTGTATAGATTCTTCGCCTTCTTTAGATCAAAATCATCGCTATCCATCGTAATGTATGGATTGAATCAAGAAAATAAAAAATGGAATAAAACATCTTCGATTCCGAAAAGGTAAATTTACACAATGAATGCTCATAAACAACTTCTAGAGTTACCATTCATATCCACGAGTAATCTATCGATTGATTTTCGCACATTTTTAGGTAGTCTAATTACAAAGTAACTATTTTAAAAATATTTCTTATTTTAGAAAAAATAATCGTGCACTAATATCAAAATACCTTTTGACTTTTACTTAAATTACAAACATATCATTACATATACAATTACTTTATAAAAAGTATTTTAATAATGCTTTGGCAATTCCATAAAAACTAACAAAAAAAACTCAAAACCAAACCAAAATAAGTCTATATTTTGACAGCTATAAAAATAAGCCAATGTTTTCATTCCTTCATCCCTCTTCACAGATTTCTAAGACATTATAGAAATTGATGTAAGAAAAAACATCCTTATTTATTTATGGCCTTTTGAAATAAATAAATCGAAAACACAGACTAGACTTTTCTCCATGGATGAAAGCTCGATTTTCTTCCTCAATTCAACTATTTGACCGAAACTCATCAGAAATCAATGGATGATCTATCTCACTCCTGCGAAAATCAACCAAATTGATTCGAACAAACATAAAGACACTGTTCAGACATTGCACAATCTTGAAATGCGATTCAAAACCTACATGTACAAGAAATTCAGAAACCCCCAAATCTAAACAACTTCAACCTAAAATTGAATTAAACTTGTCAAACCTGCAACAAATCAATCAAGAAGCAGAGAGATTCATCATACAATAGTTAAAAAAAACGCATGTAATAATTCTTGAAAATCGTCAAAAGCCCTTCAATTTGATACCTCCTTGTGGTCTTCCATCTCTAATCTGCAAAAGCTTTATCGATTTATCTTTTTTGTTCTTCGAGTGGCAAATTTCGATGAAGAGGCAGCTTTTAAGTTCCTACCAATAGATGCAGAATTAAAGATTGGGGAGATGGGAAGAGAGTAATAATTATATTAATGCATGAGGTGTGAGAATCTGACGAATCTAGCTACAGGTTTTATAGAGAGAGAGAAGATGGTTGATGGTGATAGAGAAAGCTTATTAAGGGCGCGTTTGGAGAGAGAATTGGAAAAAAAGTTGGCAGTGATGGTAAGGCAAGGAATCAATCTGTCACACGGTTTGGCCACCATTCAGGCACTTGCCCTTTTCACAGCTGTGCTTCACTCTGCCTTTTCTCATTGGAAATCTATAATCTAATATTATAATATATATATATATATATTGTTAATATTGTATGGTTTTCAATTATTCAATCATTATATTATACATATCTCTATAATCATGGACATGGTAATCCATATTGAAGAAGAAAAAGCAAATTATGAAAATACTAGTCCTCCAATCCTCGAAAAGTATTTCTATATTTTCTATACATATTTCTATATATGAGTATTTATTTTCTTATTTATTTACTTTTTAAAATACAAAATACAAAAAGTAACAAAATTTTACCAAAAAATAAAACAAAAATTATATTTTTTTTAAAGATAAGCTATATTGTCTGTCTTGCATGACTTCAAATTTAAAACTAATTGATATCAGATAGACTGACTCGTACATCCTTATAAGTCAAGAAACTTCTTTTCAATATGATACAATATTCAACACCGGACTTTGTTCCGTTGAAGAACTCCATGCCCAACACTGTCTTGTAATCGTCTGTTCGCCACATTCGCGATCGGCTTCGATGCCAGGTTCACTGCCTTGATCCATTCATCGTCTTTCGTCACCTTTATGTCCAATTGTGCCGCAAGTTGAACAGGTACTTAAATTTTCGTATCTACAGTAATATGAACAATTTTAGTAGGACGGGTAGAATATTTGATAGACCAAAACAGACATATACACACTCTTAAGATTGAACTCGAATTTAACCCAAGTAAAGAATGTCTTACAGCTTGAACTACAGGGTTTGGCTTTAAAATTCTTCTATTAATACTGAAAACAAACATATGATTTTTATTTATACAACAACAATCCATACATAAGCAACACATACAAATCAAACAATCTCCATACATATATATCTAGACAATCACTCCATCCTTCTAGCAACCCTAACCTTCAATCCATCCCTCATGTAGAGTATAACTGAACAATTCGGTTCAACGCGGTGTCCCTCGCTCATCCGAACGTCGTAATTATGTATCATGGTAGCCGCCACCGTCTTCATTTGAGTAAACGCGACATCCTTCCCCAAACATGTCCGCGGCCCGGCATTGAATGCCAAGAACTTGTACGAGGGCTCGTGTTGAATAGTTCCACGCTCCGTGATCCACCTCTCGGGCTTAAACTCTAGGCAATTCTTCCCCCATATCGACTCCATCCTCCCCATTGCATATAGAAAGAACATCACCTTTGTCTTAGAATGCACTCGATGCCCCGTGGGGAGAATGTCCGGATTCACCGGCTCCTTGTGTTGAAATGGGACCGGCGGGTAAAGCCTTAGGGCCTCGCACAAGGCTCCATGAAGATAAACTAGCTTGCTTGTTTCCTCGATCTCGAAGACATGCCACTTCTTGTTAGGACAAACGGATTTTAGTTCTTCGCGAATTTTGAGTTCCACGTCGGGGTGTGTTGAGACAAGCCACGTGAACCATGTTAGGGCCGAGCTCGTGGTATCCCGGCCCGCGATCATCAAGTTCAATATGGTGTCCCTTAGGAACTTATCGTTGCAATTTAGGTCGAGTGTTTGATTCTCATCTCCATTTATGTAAGATGTTAATAGATCAGCATCTTCTTCAGAATCCTTTTCTTTCGAGGAATTTTTATCAGTTAGTTCTGGCTTCTTGCTTCTCAACTCCTCCCGTTTTTTGGCGATGTATTCGCCGGTGACCTTATCCAAAACTTCCCAAGCCCGCCTCAACTTCCTCTCCGACCCGACGCGAATCCACCTCAAAATTTTCCACATTCTCTCCGGCAAGACGTGGCGGACGAATATCGCCTCCTCGATTTCATCCATGGCTTTCGAGAAGGGCACGTCGGGAAGATCCGGGGACAAGCACCCGGGGTCGTACCCGGTGACCAAAGCGCAAGTCGTGTCGAAAGTGAGCCTTTGGAAAACATCTTGTAGATCGATGATCTTGTTGCCGGCACAGGCGGCTTCGAGCACCGGGACGAGGCCCTTCTCGACTTTTTCGCGGCCGATCCTCACGAGACACTTATGGAACCTTTGGTGCCCTATTAGGACCCTCGCAACCTTCCTCTGCTTCTTCCACGACTCGCCGTCGGCATTGAAAATTCCGTCCCCCAACACGTCGAATATCTCCCGGAAGTCGGGACCCTTCGGAAAGTTGTGGAAATTCGAACTCATTATGTAGTGAACGTTGGCTGGATTCACTGTGCCAAGAATCTCCATGTTGGCAAACCAGGGCCCCTGGAACGTAAAAGTTCCCCGGCGAGTCTTCCGGAAAATCTCTGTGCAGCTGTCGTGGATCCTCCCGACGTGGATCACCAGCGCCGGCAGCATTCCGATCATCGGCCAATTCCAGGCGAGTCTCCGGCGGTTATGCCAGACTCCGACGGCGAGGAACCAGACTGCCACCAGGAAAAGCTCAGCGTAGATCAAGAAATCCGCCATTTTTGGAGCTTTGCATCAAACGTATGTAGCTTTTTTGAATCAGCTGATCGAACAGGACTGTATATATATATATATATATAGAAATCAGAAATTAGGGTTTCTTCTTTAATGGAATTCTCCGGGCAAAATGGATCAATATTACCGGATAACCACCACCGAACCAGAGGCCGTTACGCTTTGGCATCACGTTAGTGAAAGCATCGGGCGGCGGGTGAAAGTTGAGAAATCAGTCGATCTGCATTTAATTTAAGCTTCAATGTTGTAATAACAGATTTGGCAGAGTATCATCAAGAACGGTAACCGAATGAAAGGAAGCAATATAAATATATATATATATATGTAATATATGTGTGTGTATCTGTGTAGTCGTCACCTGAAGCAAAAAATAGCTGTATTGCATCACCCCCACCTTCGTCAACAGCAACACTAGACTTTTCCTACCTCTTTTCTTTTAGGTTCGAAGCGAGGCTATGAGGAATCCGTAGACAATATCGAATTTTTTAAGGTTTAGTTTTGCTTCCAAGTTCCATATATATTTCGTAAGTTGTAAACTTTGTAATGTAAATTGCAAAAAAATACACTATAATATATTTGTATCGAATATATTTTATTGAACTATATTATTTCAATACTTTTAGAGTATAGTTTAAATTTATTTCTAATAAAATTTATATTACATCACAACCGAATTTACAATTAAATCATTCATTTCTTAATAGTAAAATGTAACATTCAATTACAACTCCAACTTACAACCAAGCGAACCCAATTAAATATGTATTTATATATATACACATAATACAGGTAGGAAAGGGTTTGTTGGAATAAATAAATAAATAAAGCCTTGCATACCTATTATAAAAGATTATTATATAATTTTATGTATAAAATACATAATAAAATTTAAAATTATTTTTATTTAAAAATATATATTTCTATTTTGGATGTCCAATTATAAAATAAATATTTCATTAAATACCAAATTTTTTTTCACAAATACTTTTACTTTACATCACATTATTATTTTTACACAAAAAAAAGTAAATACAAAAGTATCGTTACCCTATTTTTAACTACTCAGTATAATTAAAATATTATTATTTTTTAAACATTGCGCCAAAAATAAATATATACATAAGTGGACGGAGGGAGTATTAAATAATTTTTTTTTTAAAAAAAAAAAAAACTTTTAATGAATAGTAAAAAATTTTGAACACACCTGTAAACTGAACCGAGTTTTTTTTCTTTTTCTTTTTTTCTTCATTTAGGACATATGATATATGCATAGGATTTTGGTGTGGGCCATTCTTGTGAACCAATTAATAGAAAGAGTAATCTTGAAACGTACGTACACTAATAATTACGGAGCATGATGTTGACTTTGATTTAATTATTAATTAAATAATATCGAAACACTAAATTGTAAGAAGAGACTTATTAATGTGCCTGCCACGTGGCATGTGTTAACATTGGTTTGCATGGAAAGATGTGTAGGTATTTTTGTTTATTTTGACAAAATTACATTATTCATCCAATAAAATTTCCTCAAAAACATCAAATCAAATGTTTATTTTTTTATTTTTTATATTATACTAAAAATTAATTTTACATTCAAAACATCACATTATTACCTATTTATATCAAGTCATACAATTATTCAAATTTAAAATTTTTACCGTTCAAATCCCAATTTAAAATCCAAACTCCCAAACAAACACACTTTAGTGTGCCCCGTCCCATGCACGTCGTCTCCTTCAATTACTATTCATCCAATATGCTTATCATATTACTATTTTATTTTATCAAATTATTAATTCCTATCTATCAACCAATCAATCAATCCAATTATGGTCATTCAACCCACAAGATATTATTCCCAAGAATGCAAATTAAAGCTGGCCTAGACGTGTAAAATATGTGGTTTTTTTTTTTTAAAAAAAAAATGTGGATTCATGTTAATTGAGCCAAAATAGTATCAAGGTTTTTTATTTACTTTATAAATAAGGATGTGAATCTCCGAGCTAATTAAATTTGACTCAATTAACATATATAATAAAAATAAATAGCAAATATTTTTATATAGTACAAAATATATATATATATATATATTATTTTCTAAGTTGACAGACATGAGATACATGAAGAATTTGTTAATTGAATCATTAATTCATATGACAAAACGATGAAAGTGAGGACAATTATATGATGGTTAATTAAACTGTCAATTCTTGAGTAAGTCCTATGTTGATGAAAATTAATTACTCCCTCCGTCTACAAACTAACGTCCTAATGTTCAACAATTATTGTCTTCTTTCTATTTTTATACACAAAATTTATTCTTTTATCCTTACTTTATTTACTCTTTCATTTTCTATACATAAGATTAAGGACAAATTTGTCATTTTATAACAAAAACCCTAATTACTTAAAAATCCGTGTAAATATCAAATAGAACATTTGAAAATAGACGGAGGGAATAGTATATAATCACACCGTGCTTCTTCGGTTACGGCATCATACTAAATTCTCTCTAAAGCATAGAGTAAATATTCATATAACATCAATTTTTAGTGCAGATAATATTGTAGAAATAAGAATTGTCTGCTATTTGTTTATTTTTTAAACAGACGTTTTAAGAAAATATATTTAGGGTGTGTTTGTTTGAAGGATTTGTAAAGATTTTTACTATTCATTTCATTTTTTCCCCCCAAAAACATCAAATCAAACACTTATTTTTCATTTTTCATATTATACTAAAAATCAATTTTACATTCAAAACATCACATCAACACCTATTTATATCACATCATACAACTATTCAAATTCAAAATTTTTACTATTCAAATCTCAACTCAAAATCCAAACCCCCAAACAAACACACCCTTAGTATTGTAGAAAAATAAGTGTGGTACTCTATAAAACACTTACATAGAGTATATATTGTGCTCCTGTATAAATATAATTTGTGTTCTTTGTATTTTTTATTGGTGTTATCAAAATAATTAATTGGAATTTTCTAAAAATTTAAATAGTATTTTCTAAGAAAATCAACACATTGTTAAATCAGCACCATAACTGCTGTCACTAACACAAACTATAACTCAATAACACATGAACTATAAATATACATCATAAAATGTCTTGTTAACATACTACAAACATAATATTTGAATTGACAGGATATGACAATAATCCGCCTAGCATATAAAGACTATCCTTAAAAAGATATATAACTATATATGATTATAAATATAAATATATGGAAGATTAAATTAATTAAAGACACATATATCAAAGAAGAGCTTACATATATCAAAGAAGAGATTCATGCTTTATACTCTATAATTTTTTATTTATTTTAGCACAAATTTATTATAAAAATATAGTATTAATTTTTATATTAAGTATAACATTCATATACTATATAAAATGAAAAATAAAACATAACAGATCCTCAAAATAAGTACACACATGAATGGATTGATATTAGCACCTGTGTCTTGGGGAAGGCAGTGAATCAATTCAGTCAGTTGTGGCAAGCATATTATATTTCACACTGCAAAATTTATAAGCAATATTATCCACATGATTTTTCATGGCTCAAATCAAAACACTAAACAAATGTACTAACATTACCTTGAAGTTGTAACATCAAGTTGGCCCTCATCTATAATTTCACCTGATGATGATGGCCGTCGAGTAAACTGCACCTGAGACCACGGCGGGGTTTCACTTGCATCCAACAGGTATCTCCTCCTAATTAACTGCACAAACACACAAATTATCATATCATATTCAATATATAATTACAAACAAATTACTAAATGATATTTATTTATTAGTATAGATATCTGCACACCATTTGGAAAAACTTCATCACTGCTTCCTTGTCATATCTTGCTTTCTTTGCAGCCTGATCATCAATTTTGTGCAAAATATATATTACAAGGATTGGAAAAGTCCCATCAACATACATATATATTACTCAAGCAAAATTTGGAATTTATTCATTCCTCTGCTGCATTTTTATTGAATATTTATTTTTCCCCCTCCTGTTTCTACATCATCTCTCAAGACAATAGATTTGATCCATATGAACAAACAACTAAAGGACTTGCTTCTCAAGAAATCTCATATACGGCTACAAATTTTGCAATTCTTGAATAATGTCTACTCCAAAAATCGATAAAACTTTGATGTAGAATTCGCAAGGTCAATTAACCAGTTTAATGGATTTAAGTTCCACGAAATCCCTACCTCTAATTGCAAGATCTCTTGTCCTAATAAGATGCACAGGCAAGAAGTCTATCTAAACTTTTGTATGAAATGGTTCGAATTGCCATAACCTGAAACAGAACTTACTGCTAGGAGTCCTCCACCAGTAGGGAAAGTCTCAGTTAACGGAAGTTCTTCATTCCGTGGAAGAAGACCCTGTTTCTCAACCCATTGACGAGCAACATCGAGAAGATTACCATTTTCCTCTTTCACTGCAATATCAGCTTTATTACCAATAACAATGTAAGGGACAGGAAGGCCCCCCGGCCCACCCGATGCTAATGGTGCTAAGAATGTGCCATTTTCTGCAATCTCAGCAGCCCAATTTTGCAAGCTCGCCTTTGTCCTCCTTTGAGACAGATCGTGAACAAACATAACCCCTAAAACCAATGTTTGTGTCATATCATGCGAAAAAGGGATTGTAAATTTGTGATCAAGAAACTTACACCTAAAAACAAAGATCCACCAATATGTAACAAACATTACTTAAACAGGCAGATGGCACATAAAGAGAGTCCTACTTATATAAAGGAGAAAGACAACGTACCGTTGATTTGAGAGTAAAACAGAGACCGGCAATCTTTATAACATTCACGCCCTGATATATCCCAAAGTTCAACAAAAAAATCCCTCTCATTGTCGCTTCTGATGCTACTTGATGAGCTAACAGAGCTTCCATAAGTCGTATGCTGCACAGAAAGAGTGAATGGCACTGCTACTCTCGGGGGTAGCTATTTATCATTCGGAAGAAGAATTGGGATTTTACCTTAACACTGACTGTACATCCAATAGTTTGAGGAGGACGAGCTATTGAAGAACTTTTCATGATCAGATGAACGAGAGAAGTCTTCCCCACACCTGAACAAAGATTGTGGTAATTTTGGCGCAGTTGCTGCTGACTATACAATGATGTTGAAAGAACATGTTACAGAAATGTAGAGAATCATCTGCACATTTTCGACTTTACAAATTGAAATAGTTGGTTCCTCTGAGATCCTGGAATATTGATCCCTAAAACATTACTATACACTTGATCTTGGAAATTTTCAACAAGTGCACCATGAGTACAGATTGTCGAGGAACAGCAGAAATTGCAATATGCTAATATCCATAAATTACTGTGAACAGCTCATGGCCTATTTTTTAAAGATTATTTATAAATTTATGGATTTAACTCCCACATATTGTTTGGTTTATACATACATATTATATATATATATAGAATATATCCCTTCTACAAATTTGTCTGCGTATTCATTTACAGTTCAAAAGGGATAATCTGATCAATTATAGATCAAACTGCTAAACACACCTTGTTTACTATTCATAAATGTCCAGACTCCACTGAAAATAGAACATTCACTCTTCTGTCAAAAACAGTTTCTATTCTTAGAGATTGTCACTTTATACATTGAGATTAATCCATCTCTGGATCATTGGTGGTTCTTTCATTTCAAAATATCAGCCAGCTCAAGTACATTCCTGAAACAGAATATGCCACTTACCCATTGTTACACATGGTTTTGCCTCATTTGAACACAATTGAAGCAATGAAGAAATAAAGATACGTGGGATCAACTAAAAGAATAGATCAACATGAGATATGAAGAATTTATTGGATAAGTTTACTGAGAAACTACTAATTTCTATCCCAAATCAAATACAACAAGATTATAAAATCAAAATTCATGATAAGATTTGAAGTCACTTGTTAGAAGATGTTCTTTATATTTTATGTATTATGTTTGTGGACTGCACATAACCACAATCAAGATGGACAGATCTTTCGTGAAAATGTTCTTAGTTAAATCTCTTAACCAGGCAGGAAAAAACATTTCAAACCATTATCAATAATGGAAAAGGCAAGATATCTCAATGAATGTCAAGATTTACCTGAATCACCAACAAGAAGGACTCTGACCTGTCCACCAGGACGCCCACCGTTCTGCTCTTTGCTCTCTCTTTCCCTTCCAAACATTTTTCTCCTTCTTCAGGGAAAAACAACCAAAATTGCTCCTCAAACAATTATAGGTATCCCAAAATATAACTACAGAGATGTCTCCTCCGGTCGCATCAAGAAAAAACCCCAAATCTCCACGTAAAACAGCGCTTCCTCCAATTAGGTCTTTGAGGTTCCAACCGACAATCCATCTCACATTGACGTTGAAATCGATTCCCCGAAACCAGTCTCGTAAATTCCCGTGAGATTCATCATAAACCAACAATTTCGAAATAATTAATCAATTGGAACTTAAATTCTCACCCAGCAATCTCGTAAAAAGACATACAACCAAAAAAACATTCCCCTCCGAGAGGGCAGAACACTTTTTTTTCGGTGTTCAAATCAGATGTACAGAATCGCAACGATGGAGAGGAAACTATCTGAGATGTAATTGCAACGCAACGGGCAGTAAATTACGTTGAGTTGATCCGACGGTTTAAACGGTTTGGCGGTTTAGCTCTTCAACTCGAATATTTTTGCTCTTTCAACCTTAAAAAAAATTAAAATAAAATAAAATAAAATGTGTAGTTTATCCTTTTTTTTTAAAAAAAAAAAAATGATTTTTGATTTGAAATCATTTGTACATAAAAATTACTTAACATAATAAATATTATTTTCAACTTACAACTTACTACTTATAATACATTACACATTTTTACTTTTATACTTTTATATACTTTTTGTTTCAGAGAAAGATTATCGTTTATTTTTTCATATAGATATTTTAATACTCCTTTCATCCGAGTGTAAGGTTACAGTTTACCTTTTACACTTAAAATTTTTAATATTAGTATTATAATAAATTACACTGAGAAAAAAGACAAATATATTCCTACTAGTATTGTGTAATACAAAAGTAACGACGTTAGAAAGATATTTACTATGTTAATGTTAAGTAGATAGTACAATTACTAAATTAGAAAATAATAACTTTGTTTTAAGACGAACGAAAATAAAAAATGACAATAGGACGGATGGAATATTAGTATTATATTAAGGTGTTGTGAAAAAGACAAAAGTATTCTTATTAGTATTGTGTAATATAAAAATAATAAGTAACATAATGTAAGTTATGATATTTATTGTGTTAGACATGTAATACAATTACTAAATTAGAAAATAATAATTTTATGTTTTTAAAAAAAATAAAAAAATAACAACTTAATATGACAAATGGAGTATTATAACATACTTAATAATAGTATGTTTATCTTTTTTTAATTATTATTATTATAATTCAATATAATACTAATATTTACGTTTAATATAATAATAATATTTCGATACAATAATTTATGAAAAATAATAATATTTATTTATAAAAAAACAATACAAAATAAATAGTATTGAAATATGCTTCAAATAATAAAAAAAACAAACAAATTCTAATTAAATGTACACTTTTTTTTTTCTTAATAAAAAAAAAATAAAAATTATCCAGCTATATAATGGGGTAAGGAATGACATAGGTTTAAGGGGTGAACTTTTTTTACCGTAAAATCGTGAGTTCAAACCGTTTTTATACCGGATTTCATTTTAATGAGATTTTTCTTTTCTATTTATTTATTTATTTAAAAATATAATTAGGAAGAAAAACGCCCATGATTCTTACTTCAATAATTAATAATTAATTGAACAAATATTTATCTTTAACCTAAAATTGACGTGGCTATCAGCCAAGGGATGTCGAATTCATGACCCATTCTCGCCGGCGCCGCCGGTGCCATGTCAAAGAAACCCTCCGGCCACCGGCAGAAAACCTTGAGTTCCGCTGCGAAGATTACTCAAGATTGAAAAAAGAATTGCTTCAGATTTTACATGTTCCGCACCCTGATATCTAATAGACTTCACTGTACCCGAGGGTTTAAGCATTTCCTGATATCGTTGATGTAGAGGGTTTAGGAAAATCCCTTATTAGGTCGGGAAGGGTTTCATCAGGTGCGTTCATGTGTGTATGGAATCGTCTGACTTTGGTTTCCACAATCCGGTGTGTTTCTTCCAGGAAGCTTGTTAAGAATCTCCAGTTTATTCGATTGCAATCGATTCCGTCGATTGCACATTCCACTCCCTATTTCTCGGACTCCGGTTCTGAGTACTCCAGTCGCTATTCTGGAAACGGTGCTAACGCAACGAATCACTGCAACAACATTGGAGGTAGTGGCGTTTCTGTGGAATTAACTTCTTCTAGCGTTGTTGCGATTCTGAAAAATCTGCATAACGAACCTCTTTACGCATTGGATTTCTTCAATAAACTCAAGGGGAAGGGTTTTCAGCATAGTGTGCAGACTTACTTGGCTATTATTGGAATACTTTGTTGTTGGCGTATGGATAGGGCATTGGATTCTCTGTATAAGGATGTTATACTCTCGAAATATGAGAATCAATGTTTGGAGGTATCAGAATTGTTGGAGGCAATGGTAAATGAGCTTAAGGCCGATCGGAAAAGCCCGATGCATCGGGCTATTGGTTCTATTATCAAGTGTTATGTGGCTTTAGGCATGTTTGATGAGGCCATAGGCATTCTTTCTGAAATGAAGAAGCATGGTGTTGTTCCTTCTTTGTTGTCGTGGAATTTTCTGATCAATAGGTTGGTTTGTCATGGGAAATTGGATGATGCCATTGAGGTCTATAAGGAGCTGAGAAGTTCTGGGCTGAGTCCAAATGTGTACACTTATGGTATTGTGATTAAGGCGTATTGTCGAAAAGGAAGTTTGGAAGAAGCTGTGGAGGTGTTTGAGGAGATGGACCATGCTGGGGTTGCTGCTAATTCTTTTACCTATGCAGCTTATCTGCAGGGGTTGTGCAGTCGTGAAGGATCGGATGCCGGCTATAAGCTTCTACAAGCTTTGCGAGCCAAAGATGAACCAATTGATGCACATGTATATACTGTTGTGATTCAGGGATTTGTCAATGAAAAAGATTTGAATAAAGCGGAGATTGTGCTACATGACATGGAAAAACATGGGCTGGTTGCTGATAGAGTTGCCTACCATTCCTTGGTTCGGGGGTATTGTGATTCGGGGGATATAAGTAGAGCTTTGGCTATCCATTGTGAGATGGAAGCAAAAGGTGTTACGACCAATTGTTTCATTCTCACACCAATTCTTCAGTTTTTGTGCCAGCAGGGAATGTATTCTGAAGTTGTGGAGCAATTCAAGAACTTTAAGGATTCGGGCATCTTTCTTGATGAAGTAGCATATAACGTTGCTATTGATGCTCTGTGCAAAATGCACGATTTAGACAAGGCTCTCACTTTGTTTGGAGAGATGAAGAGTAAAAATCTAATGCCAGATGTTAAGCACTACGCCACTTTGGTAAGTGGCTACTGTCGCCAAGGAAGGCTTGCGGATGCCAAAACTTTATTTGAGGAAATGAAGGAAAGAGGTATCGAAGCTGATAATGCCATTTATAACGTCCTTATTAGTGGGTTGTCTCAGCATGGCCATTTAGACGGGGTGTTTGACCTTATAATTGATATGAACGCGCAAGGTTTAATTCCGGACATGGTGACACACAGCATGATCATTGAAGGCCTCTGTTGCGGAGGAAAAGTGAAAGATGCTGAAATATATTTTAGTAGTTTGAAAGAGAAGAGTGTAGAAAATTATACAGCAATGATTAACGGGTACTGTGAGTCGAGCAAAGCAACCAAGGGATATAGACTTTTTCTTCAACAGTTCAGTAAAGGGATACTGATAAATAAGAGTTCTTGCTTAAAGCTTCTTAGCAGCCTTTGTTTGGAAGGTGAAAATGACCGAGCAATAAAGCTATTTGAAGCTTTACTTTCTTCGGGCAACGGCCCCACAAGGGCAATGTATGGGAAGCTCATTGCAGTGCTTTGTCGTGCTGGGGATATGAAAACTGCCCAATGGGCACTTGACGGTATGATTGCTAGGGGATTATCTCCAAATCTGATTACATACACGATAATGTTGAATGGTTATTGTCAAGTGAATTGCCTGAAGGAAGCGTTTGATCTTTTCAGCAATATGAAAGAAAGGGGCATTAGGCCCGATATTGTTACATATACGGTCCTGCTTGATGGATACAATAAAATTAGTGTGATAAGGGCTCGTACTCGAAATGATACTGAAGCAAATAAGAGAGTTATAGAGGCCATTCTCTGTGAAATGAAACAGCTGAAATTAAAGCCTGATGTTGTTTTATATACAGCTTTAATTGACGGTTTGTGCAAATCAGACAACCTTCAGGATGCTATTTCCTATTTCAATGATATGATTGAAGAGGGTTTGCTACCTGATACTGTCGCATACACGGCTCTATTATCTGGCTATTGTAGGCATGGAGACCTCAAAAAGGCTTCACGTCTCTTGGAGGATATGTTATCAAAGGGAATAAAGCCTGATTTCCGTACAGTATCAATATGGAATCAATGGAACGCAAGGGAGACAATTATATAGTTTCAACATTGAATTCCTGGAATTTCCTTGACAGTAAGCGAATTCTTGATCTGGCTATCTTATGGCAATTTTATTCATCTTTTTTCAAATATTAATAAATAAAATCATTTGGGATCTATTTGGACCCTGTTGTTTGACACCCTTTTGATTATTTGTAGATGGAGCAATCGGAAGGTCTGACATTCAGTGATTGGTTTGGGCTTGTCCGAAAGAATGCACCTTCGATTCGGTACTGGACTATCTGTAGTGATTTTATTTTGTCTCGCAGATCAACTATATTTGTATTTTGTTCTCCTGATATATATCTTGATTGTCACTATGAAACAGGGAAAATTAACAGTGCAAGTACATGAATTTTCAGGAACTAAAAGTTAAAGCACATTGGTTGGGATATTGATTTAGTGCATTCATATCAAGCTTCAGACAATGTCGTTCATGCAGCCAAGTTATATTATACGCATGAATCTCTGCTTCGACTCCAGGTAGTTTTCGTATTTATGCAGCAGAATGTTGAACCCCTTAGATCCAACAGCCTTCCAAAATACTAAAACTGGCGAGGACTTATCATTGACTACAAACCTTTCAGTGAGTCAGGCCTCAACCTCAAAATATTCCTTCTTATTCTATAAATTTTTATGTTTGAATTGAACTGAACTGAACTTTATTACTTGTTACAATGACTACTTGTGTGTTTTGTTTACAATCAATCAACCTAAGGCTGTCCTGTTTTTGTCTAGTTTAGTTTAGGTGAAGAGTTAGTTGCTGTACAAATTTGGTGGGGGAGATGATGCATTCCGGAGTTACTTACAGATATGGAGGGCCATTGATTTTCCACAATGACCGCCCAGGCCAAGCCAGGATGAAGATGATGGTGGCGACCGAATGGATAGCAAGCAAAGCAAGAACTGGCTGGCTGGCTTTGTTCAATTAACATATAATTATCACTTTCTATTAAAAATTGTTATATATTGATGCATTTTATATCTTTTAAGTGATAGATATAACTCTGTTATTATAAATTTTAATATTAGTGTTGATAATAACAAAGTATCCAATTTTTTTATTTTAGTCTGTCTGGTAACAAAGTATCTATTTTTTTTATAACTGTAATATCTACCAAACATTACAAATATCGCAAATGGATATTTAGTAGAGAGAGTATATATTTTTTTTGGATGAAATTATTGGTTTTTATAATAAATTAATAATTATATAAACATTTTTAATAATATTCCGTTATGAAATTGATTATAATGTATTTGTATAAAGAATACAAGCATACTATCATACTATTAAAAAAGTAAAAGAAATATCCCACGTCTCAAAATTTTATTTCCTACACTATAACAAAACTAAGTTGAATAAATAAATAGTGTTGTTGAATAAATAAATAGTGTTGTCCGTAAGGGATGGCCTGGTGGCTTTCCGAATTTACCCAATGCATATAAATTATTATTTTTATATTTAAAATATAATTTTTTTATACTTAATATAAAAAATATGTACATATATTCAAAAATACAGAATAAACAAATCCAATAATAATAATAAAACATATCTAAAGAGAGCATAATATAATACTCCTATAAAATTTGTTTGAATTATGTTTTAATTTATAGCACATTAATAAAATTTGAAAAAGTTATAAATATGGTAAGTAGCTAAGAGAACTGATTATTGCCTTATCCGTAATCTTACCGTTACTTAATTTTGGAAGTAATGTTACCGTTGTAATTAGGCGCGTGAAGTATTTATTCTAGTTATTCTTGCGCAGCACTCACACAACGAATTCCATAATAATTTCAAGAAATCAGAGAGAGAGATCAGAGCGTCTCAGAGGGAGAGGAAGAGAGGAGCGTCTCATCGCCGCCGTTTTTGGCCTGACTTCGAGAACTGCCTTGCCTAAGGTTGAATCGTCAATGGAGAAGAATTGTCTTCTGGAAGTGGCTCCATTGTCTTCTTTGGAAGAATTGCAATTCATCTGGAAGTGGTTCCATTTTTCTTCTGAAAGTTCCATTGGCTGCTCTTCTGCTCTTCTCAACCATTTTCTTTAATCAGATTCTAAGAATTTAGCACTATGGTTCAAAATTATGTTCTCTTTTGGATGGATTTAATGTGTTCTTGGTGGTCTGTCTCTGCATGTTTCTTGGATTCAATTATGTTTTTGCTATCATGAGAATTTCATCAAATTTGTGTGCTTGATTTCAATTCCATGCATATTTGATTATGTGTTATTTCCTACCCTACCCTACCTCACCTCACCTCACCTCACCTCACCTTTATATTCATTTCCATAGAGCTAATGCACGGCAACAACTTTGTTGTCTGGGTATTTCTTTTTCTCATTTATCCCTATGGTCTCCTTGTTGGAGGTTATGTTTCATATGTTGACTGTTGTTACTGGTTTACTATGTGGTGTTGCATTGCATCCGTGGATGATGTATTTATTGTGTCAATCGATTGTTACTGTAGAATGAGGATGAGAAGTTAGGTTTTGTTTCCCAATCTACTTGAATTAAAGCTATTCGTGCTTTATTCTTTTCTTTTCTTTTCTTTTTTTCAAAAAAAATTGCTATGAAATCGTTAACAGAGATCCCATTTATGTGCTTGATCTGAATTGAGTGTTTCTTGAATTAGGCTTTGGTGACTATTGTGATTGGAAGCAGCTCTTAAAGCATCAAAGGATTAACGGTTCGTTGTTCAACTTTCCGGCCACCACTGCTGCTGCTCTGATTCAATGCCCTGAAGATCATAAATTCTTTCAATACTTGGCTACTGTTGTCGACTCTTTTGATGGATGGGGTAAAAGCAGTGGGTAAGTTTCACTTGGACACCCCGTATTCTAATGTAACTAGTGATATCTCTTGGAAATGAAACTTTTGCAGGGTTTGAACACATTATCCCTCTGATTTTCGATTTAGATAATCTCTTTATAAGTTATGTTTGTGCTTGTTGAAAATATGTCAATGGTGCCGTGTGGTGGCTTTGACAGGACAAGATATACATGGATAATATAAAATCTAGTGTTGCTGTTATAAGGAAACTTTCTGAGAATTGGAATGAATTTTCTTTGCAACTCTCATCTCTTCAAGCCATTAAAGACACAGTCAAGAATTTCAGGAAGAAGGTCATCACCAAATTTATTTGTTCAATATTGAAGGCCTTGGTTAATTTGTATCTGATGAAAAATTTAGCCCACAAAACATCAATAAAATTTTGTTTCTTTTGTAATTTAGGGAACTGTTAATTTCATTCTGAGGATCCACTGGGCTGAAACTAATGAGAATTATCTTCTATAGGTAAGATCATCACTAGCACATCAATTGACCATTTTTCTGCTACTATCTGTGCATTGTGACATGTCTGGAACTTTACAGAGCTTCACATGTGAGAATATATGAAGAACTGGTTTTGAAGAAAATTCTTACATGGAAGAGAGAGTTTCTGAAGCAACAACTGTTGAACCAAAACATTCCTGACAAGAAATTATTTACAGAGGTGATATTTGTTTCAAGATTCATATATCAAATTTTAAGGGAATGACCTCCTCATTCCTTAACAAGCTGACTCTTTTAATGAAGTTTGACTCAAATTTTTCTTCGGAACTTGAAAGGTGGAACATGACTTGAGGAATTCCTACGGAAAACTCGATCGAGTTAGTCATGGACGAGGCATCGAATTATACAGTGTTGAAGAATTTCATATGCTAAAAACTGCATATAGGTGGAACCTCTTTCATAGGTGAAACTAATACTCAAGGCATGGTTTGAAGCTCTAATGGTGTGGCAGCACAGTTAGGTTGCTGCTAATGGTGGGAGTGTCGGAGAGAGAGAGAAAAAACATGGTGGAAAGATGCAGCAGGAAGAAGAAAGTTAGTCGTATGAATGGACGCGGCTATGGCGGTGGGAGAAGAAGACTCGACCACCCGGCGGAAAAGGTGACTCAATTTTGCGATGCGTCCACAAATATACTCCATTTTCGTATATTGTTTTGACCTTGGGAGTATGAATTGCTTTTTTCTGGTCGGCGATCAATCGATCCATGCTTATTTAACTTCTGAATTTCTTTAATTCATGAGTCAATTTCAACCAACTTCTTCAGTGCTCATCGTGCAATTGGAACATTATCTGCATCTGGACAGGAAATTCATTACGCTGGGCTCATCAGGGAGGGGGGCTATGGTGTGCTTCTTCGTTGCTTCAACAGATGAGCAAGAGAAAAAGGTAATGCACAAAGAGCAGCTTCTTAGTAGTGGGATTATCACTTTATCATGCTTCATATCTTCTGCAGTGGATTGGTAAAAGGATGAACGCCAAAAAAATCAAAAAGGGCACTGGCCACTAAAATGTGAATTCCGTGAGGTGAAATGTGAATCACAGTAATTACTATTCAGTAGGATGACATATATATATATATATATGTATACACAACGGTGCACTTCAAAAACCTCGAAAAGAATTCTCAGTAGAACAAAATTGCAGGAATAGTTTGGCCAGGATAATGACCAAGAGTTCAAGTAATTTAATCTGCCATTCTTTTCAGGAATGTATTTCTCATATTTCACTATATTGGTAATATTAACATATACATGTTTTTCGAATAGGCAATGGGAGAACTAGTAGAGCAGGTTTCGGAATTGTACCAGAGGAGCTAACTGAGGATAACTATGAATACTGGAAGGTATGTCTGAAGAATTACCTTGTTGGGCATGGACTCTGGGGAGTTGTCTCGGGGAAGGAGATCGAACCAGACAGGAACCAAAAACAGGAGCATGAGGAGTGGAAGAGGAAGAATGCACTGGCCTTGCATGCCATCAAGATGTCCTGTGGGCCGGCAATTTATTCCAAGTTTAAACAAGTGCGCATCTCTGCTCGTTATGCTTGGAATCACTTGGCCGAAAAAGTGAAAACACCACATACATTTCATCCTTCGGATCATGAGGATGAAAGCAGCTTGCATGAAGACATTGGTTAGTTTTCCATCATCATGTGTTTTCTTCTCTTCACATTGATATATTTTATTTATTTTAAGGCTTCGAATGTGTTCCTAGGCTAATTATCCACCTAATTAGGCTTGATTTGATTCATTCCACAACCTCAATGGTTATAGCTAGACTACCTGTTATCAGAAGAAAAAAAATTGTTGTAATTACTTTCTACTTGACTAGAAATTAACCGAGTTTTTGAAGAAAAAAAATTGTAAATTAAGTTGCTTTAGCTCAAGCTCAAGCTCTCAAGTATGTAGATCTTCACACTTAATTTTCTCTGTGCCTATTCTACAATATTAAATGTAAAACCTTTGTTTTCCTGGTCTTTTCTGGATAAGGAATGGCAGAGTACATTGGTTATGAAATCTTATACAAGGCCATTGAAGAAGGCAACTTGAAGGCAGTGCTAGATTTCCTTAAACACAACCCAGATGGAATGAGGGCAAGAATTTCTTCTCACAAAGACACAGCTCTTCACATTGCTCTTCTATCAGGACAGACAAGATTAGCTGAGGAATTAGTGAAGATGATGAATCCTGAGGACTTGGAACTAACGAATGAATATGGAGCCACTCCCCTCTCGTTAGCTGCTATCGATGGGGCTGATAAACTGGCTAAGCTAATGGTACATAAAAACAGACACTTGGTACAGATGGATAATGAACACGAAGATGGGCATCTTCCGGTTATTGTTGCTGCACAGTATGGACAAAAACATATGGTTCATTATCTCTACAAAGTTACCCCTAAAGAAGTGCTAAGTCCTGAGTATGGTGAGAATGGAGCTACACTGCTTAACTGCCTTATCACTGCTGAGATTTACGGTAAGTTAATCTGCATTCGATACAAATGCAATGTCTCAGTTCTAACTGTCTTTTGTTGTACTGCAGATGTAGCTTCAATGCTGTTAAAACGGTATCCAAGACTTGGTGTAACCCCAGATCATAGTGGCAATTACACCCTTAAAATACTGGCCCATAAACCGTCTGCATTCCCCAGTGCAACCAAACTTCTGTTCTGGGAAAAATGGATCTATACTTGTAAGTATATTGTTTGCATTACTCTCGTTGTTCATATGAAAGTGTAGATGGTTAATATACCTGGTCATATCCATAGTCAGAAATCTGTTAAATAGCCTAGTATTGTTCCATGTGCTTTTAGTCATTCGATTAAGTCCTATGACTTTATAGTTTCACTGAATGAATGTCACTTAAGTAGGTGTGCGGATACATTCGCCATGGGAAACTCAACGAGTATCCCATAGTGAGGAGCACAAGAATATTGAGAGATGGAAGAGTTGCAATGATCACTGCATTGAAATCAAGGAAGTGAGCGATGAGGAGAGCTCTGAAACGGCGCACATAGGCCAACGAATAAAGGCTCAAGGTATCATCTCGATTCCTTTTTCATGGATATCTTTTTGTAGAGCTTATTTTCCATTCATTTACCAAGTAATTATGCTTATGCAGTGCTGAGGCTGCTGCACATACTCGGATGGAGCATTTTGCGCTGCCTTGGTAACTATACTTTTAATGTACTTAAGTACATAATATAACAAAATTTAATTCGAATCTTCTCCCCATTTTATTTCGGGTGTAATAATATTGGGACTTGAGAGACAAACACTATAGAATATTACTCACATTTTGTGCTTCTTATGCTACATTATCACATTAATCTTAGTTTTCTTGAAATTACTTGGCTAAAGTTATTAAATTTCGACTATATTGTAAAGTTGCAGTAAATCTCTTGTACTCACATCGATTTTGTATTGACTCTAGTTCCAGAAATCAAGCGCATACACCACAGAAAGTTGATACACGACGAAGCAGTGAAGCTCCTAAGCTGCATTTTTAAGGAAATGAGGAAAATGAGCAAGTCCGAGCTTGAAAAGATGGATGTTGATAAGATCATTTATGACGCGATCAAGCATGGTATTGTTGAATTCATCATCGAAATGATCAAATACCAACCGGAGATCGTATGGAGAAAAGATAAAAAAGGGAGAACGATTTTCTCACATGCCATAGTTTTGAGACAAGAGAACATCTTCAGCCTCATATACAACCTGGGCACGAAGAAGAACATCATGGCCCGCCGACATGATCTTTTTGGAAATAACTATCTGCATTTAGCGGCGAAGTTGTCCCCTTCAAATCAACTCGAACGTGTCTCGGGAGCTGCCTTGCAGATGCAAAGAGAAATGCAGTGGTATAAGGTATGTTATCTCGATATTTCTTAATGTATCATCTTACATATTTTCTGATATGAAGTGCGCAAATCTGAACATTATTGTTGAAATGCAAAATCAAGTCTCACATAGGTAGATGTGAAGAAATTCTAACATCTTATAAGTTTCACATAAACTCCACCGAGCCCAAAAACAAATTTGTGTGAGCCCAAATCGAACAATATCATACTAGTGTTAGTTGGCCCAATCCATCTTCAGTTGGTCCCTAAAAGCTCGTATGTTTCGAGAAATGCTGCAAGTGGGGTATGCCGTAAATAGAGACGACGGGACTCGAATTTGAGACCGTCTCACCTAAAACCTCAAATTGTTCGAGAAATGCTGCAAGTGGGGTATGATGTAAATGGGGTGGTGGGACTAAGTTTGAGACCGTCTCACCTAAAAGCTCGAACTGTTCAAAAAATGTTGTAAGTGGAGTATGTCGCAAATAGGGACGGTGGAACTCGAATTTGAGACCGTCTCACCTAAAAGTTCGAACTGTTCGAGAAACGCAGCAAGTGCGGGGTATGCCGCAAATCAGGACAATGAGACTCAAATTTGAGACCGTCTCACCTAAAAAGCTCGAACTATTTGAGAAATGCAGCCATTAAGTTCGTCTACATTCGTTTACAGGAAGTGGAAAGCATCGTGCAGCCGAAGCTGAAAGAAGAGGCGAACGAGAACAACAAGACACCGAGCACGGTGTTCAGCGACGAGCACCGAGCCTTATTCAAAGACGCCGAGCGTTGGATGAAGAACACCGCTGGATCGAGCATGATCGTGGGCACGCTCATAGCAGCTGTCATGTTCACAACAGCTTTCACCGTCCCCGGCGGCAACGAGAACAGCTCCGGCCTGCCGACATTGCTGGGAAAAGAGCAGAGACCGTTCCTGTTCTTCATGGTCTCGAACGCCATCTCGATGTTCAGCTCGAGCACCTCCGTGCTGATGTTCCTGGGGATCCTGACGGCGAGGTACGCCGAGAAGGATTTCCTCAGGTCGTTGCCGACGAAACTGATATTTGGGCTGATATGCCTCTTCTTCTCGATTGTGACGATGATGGCCTCGTTTGGGTCGGCGCTGTTCCTGATTCTGCACAAGGAGGTCGAGTGGATCAGCGTGCCGATCATCGTGGTTTCGACCATTCCCATTGCGTTGTTCTCGATCCTGCAGTTTCCGATCTTGGTAGAGATGACCCACCGGACGTATGGATCCACCATCTTCAAGAAACCGAAGAAGCTGCTTCTTCGGTTCTCCGGCTGACTTCCTCCAACCGGCTGACGACGGTGGTGGTACGTGTCTGCCAGGTGTCGGTGATCTGGCGCACCCGTGTACTCCAGCGAGCTATGTAGCAAGCATTTCCAGTCCCCGTTGACTAAAAATGCAATAATTTTTTATTTAGTAGAATAAAATGATAAAAGTGTTCTAATCCGCGACACTAAAAAAACTCAATTAACCCTATGTGATTTAATCAAGTTAAGAAATCAATGTTAACAATTAACCAACGAATAGAAATAACACATTAATTCAAAATAACTAATATTTCGTCACAAGATAGGATAATATATAGTCAAATTACTGATATTAAAATATACTATTTCTATTTCTATTCAACATATTTAAATTGATATATAATTAGTACGATTTTGATAATTAATATGTCAACATTGAATATACAGCAATATTATAGGTGTAATTTCAAAATATTTTTAAAAAAATTATTACAGTTGACCTTCAAGTTTGAATTATAAAATTAAAAGCTATTACAATAATTTATTAAAATTGAATTGAATATACTATATAAAATATTCATTTATTTTAAATAATATCTTGATAGATTAAATTTATAATATACAAAACACATGTATGTGTATGAAGTTTTGATTAAGTTTTACTTCAAAAATTTTTTGAGACAAAAGGTTGGCTCATAATCGATTTTGCATGCCTCATAAATTATAGGCTACAGGATCCGTCCGACCTCAAAAATATTGGGTGAGCCAACCCAGAAAATCGGTATTGTTTTATAAAATATATATATATATATATGTATTTTTATTTTTCTAAAGTCATAGTATAATATAATATCATTTTAAAAAAAAAATAGGTATTAAATATCAAATATTTTAAATTGCAATGACATTAGTGCAGCTATTGCCATATTGTGAAAATTTGATAGTTGAGAGTTACTAATACATATGCTTGAAAGTTGTAACAAAAATCAATGAAGTTGACAAATATAAAATTATAAAAATATCAATTCAGGATGAGACCGAATTTGGAAAGAGTTTATGATCAAATCCTTGAATCCGATGAAGATTTAAAATTTTAAAATTCATAACATCCCATGACTATAATTTTATCAATGCCATTTATTTCATACAAATTAAATAATAATCATAATAATTTCATAAAATATGTATTAATAATTATTATTATTTAATAAAAAAAAAAAAAAACCGTTTTTGATAAATAATGGCAAGAGTTAAAAGTATCCATGTCCATATCTTAAAATATTTGTCTAAATGAATCATTGGACTTCAAGAACTCACTCTCTCTCTCTCTACCTTCCTTTACTCTCTCTCTTCCTTTTCTCTCTCACACACTCGCAGAGTTCTGCGGTGAATCGCTCCCCAAATCTCCGGCCGGCCGGCTATAAACTCATGAACATCCCACCGGAGTTATTCTCCGGCGGCGGCAACAGACCCTCCCCGAGAAAAGAGTTGCAAGGCCCCCGCCCCACCGCCCTAAAAGTCAACAAGGACTCCCACAAGATCCGGAAGCCGCCGCCGCACCCTCCGACGGAGCCGCCGCCGCGCCCCGCCGCCGACGACCGGCAGCCCGTCATAATCTACGCCGTTTCCCCCAAGGTCATCCACACCACCGTCACAGATTTCATGAATCTAGTCCAGCGCCTCACCGGAAACTCCGCCGACACCCAAGGGCAAGGAGGATCCGCCGCCGGCGACCTATCTCCGGCAGCTCGATTAGCTTCGATCGAGAAGCTGAGCCCTAACAAGGACCGCGAAATAACCGCCATGGATATAGCCGGCGGCGGCGGCGGCGGAGATTTGATCGGAGAGCTGTTGGATGATTCGCAGGTGGAATTTTCCGGCAGAGCATCGGGCGTACTCTCACCGGCGCCGGCGAGTCTGCCGCCTATATCGCCGGGATTCTTCTCTCCGGCGGGTGACCCGTTCATGACGGCGTACGGAAACATGTTCATCCCGAGCCCGTCGACGCTTTTCTCGGTGCCGATGGTGTCGCCGTCGCCGTCGTCGTCTTCCTCCTTCGATCTGTTCAATCCATTCTTTGACTTTTAAATTTTTTTTTTTCTTTTTTTTTTTTTTTTTTGAAAAAATTAATCTGAAATTAGATTTGCTGAATTTTCTACATAGAGGAAAGTGGGCATTGTGGAAATTTGGGATCCATAGGTGGGAACAAATTAATTATTATTTAATAAAAAAAATACCCATTAATTTGTTGGCTTCATTTTGTGGCTGTAGCTTTTAATTTGTTTTCTTAATTTTTAAATAAAAAATAGTAATGAGCTTTTTTATGGGACTAATTAAATTGTGTTAGGAAATTTATTGAATTTTTCTAGTAAATTTACACAAGTTTGTTTGGTTTTGTTTTCTCTAATTTGTTTTTATTAATTACTTATGAATGATTTAATTTTTTTTTTTAAATATTGTTATCATATATTTATTTTTTTATTCAAAATATTAATTAAATATTTATTTATATTATGGTAAATTATTATTATTATAATTCGAATTTTTTTTATTATTTTAGAAACATCAAAATACATTGGAACAAACCTAGAACTTTCTTTTTCTGATTATTGTTTCCTTCTGTTTTTATATACTTAATAGATAATGTATTATAGATTTTAAGATTTTACTTACTATTAAAAAGTTTTGATAGAATATTTTGTAATATGAAATAAGTATTTGGTGTTAAACTTTAGAAAATTATTATTAATATATAATAGCAAAACTTTAGAAAATAAGTATTTTAAAAGAGTTTTTATATGATTTGTTTTTTACTATTTACATGTAAAATTGACAGAGTTAGAGAATTTAAATTCATAATTTTACGATCATAAATTTATTCTCGTACCATTATATCATCTTTTTTAAAAACAAATGAGTCCTTATATATATGATTATGGATAATATTGTGGGTAGTGTTTGAAAGTAATATTTTTGTTGGAAAAAAATACTCCATTGGGTTGGCTATAATTATGTAAGTTGTCTTTCTTTTGTTTTGTTTTTTTTTTTTTTTTTTTTTTTTTTTTTTTTTTTTGTTCATTAAACTTGTGATCACAATTTTATTATTTCTACTTTAATAAATAATAAATAATTTACCACTATTTTTTTTCTCTATTTATCACATTAATTTTTGTCCATTTTTTAATAAATTTTCTATATAATCTCCTCTTTTAAAAAAAAATAAATTATATTTTTATTGAAAAAATATTCCAAATAAATAATGTTGATTTCAATTTAAAATTATACATGAAAAAACCTAAGTAATATTTTTATGGGATATATATATATATATATATATCACATGTTCAAACACAAAATAAATAAATAATACTGCAAACCTATACAAACCAACAAAGTCTGCAAACAAACATCAACTTAAAATTCAATAATATATATTCACAAAATCTGGAGTGTCAAAAATTCAAGAATTTGTGAAATTCCAAGATCCTGAAGATGAAGAAATGAATTGCATTGTGCAGAACAAGGGGCTGCGCTTAATCCTAATTCTGTCGTATATAATATGTATAAAAATATGCAATTTCCAGAAATTTTGAAAGAGGATAATAACTTGTAGGCAGACTCACAATTTTTTATCAAGCCTTGGTCATGGCAGAACTGCGATCTCCTCCAATGTAAGTCCCTACATTCTCTCCTCTAATGGCTTTAGCGATGTTGCCCGGTTTATTCAGGTTAAACACCACAACTGCATTACAGAAAGACAATGGGGGATCGAACTTATTCGTATAATATATAAACATATATATATTGATTGTATTTCACAGGCTTTGGAGGGATTTTCATGAAATGTCGACAACAGTCATGCTAATTATGGAGGATTGATGAAGAATCACCTGGAATGTTGTTCTCCTGGCACAGAGTAATGGCAGTCAAATCCATCACGGAGAGTTCCTTCGAAATGACGTCTTGGTAAGTTAGAGTATCGAGTAGGTGAGCATGAGGATTGCGCCTCGGATCGTCGTCATACACTCCATCAACATTTGTTGCCTTCAGCACAACCTCAGCATTAACTGAAAGCATGAAAAGTTTGGAGTATTCAAAACTACAATAATTCAAACTAGATAAAAATTTGACAACAGACATAGCATTATACGGTATGTTGAATATTAGCCCCTGCAAAACAAGTCGCGATAAAAAAGATACAGAAAACATAACACCAAAATACCAAAATTTTTTACAAGATTTTTCTGCGATAGAAATATATATTGATCTAATGTAAGCATTAATGTCAAAGAAAGAGACTCACTCTCAGCACACCGAAGCGCTGCAGCTGTGTCTGTGGTGAAGAAGGGATTCCCAGTTCCGGCTGCAAAAATAACAACCCTTCCTTTCTCTAGATGCCTTACAGCCCGTCTGCGTATGTACGGTTCGGCCACTTCTGACATGCGGAAAGCTGTCTGGACTCTAGTCGGGATGCCAATGCTTTCCATCGTCGATTGCAGAAATATTGCATTCATCACTGTTGCCAACATCCTTAACAATGAAACAGCTTAAAATCATTACCGTCTGAAACAGTTAAAACTTACACAATACAGAGCCATTAGTTCCATCGAAATAATTAAGATCAATCTTCACATGAAATTTTGGAATGACTGTTTAAAAGTAGAAAACGACGAAAATACTCCAAACTGGAAACTCCAAATGAAATCAAATTTCATAAGATCCTAACGCTTAGTTTTGCTACGGTTGCATATGATAAAATTGTTCTGCTGTATATTTAATAAAGTTTTTTCGTATTCTTGTATATTTCTCCAGCTACGTGCGGTCGGGCATATGAATCATGTGTCAACCACAGCAAATCGATAAATAAGAACAAAATATCACAGTAAGCACCGCAAACCAGCAAGATGCATAGCCCTAACATTTCACAATACCAAACTTACAAAGCAACGGAAATAAAGCACAAAAAAAGTTTCCATTAAAAAGAGAGAAAAAAAAGGGTACCCAATATAATCAGCAGAAGATCGATCAAGCTCGCTGCTACCTACCCAGGAGGCCCCCCTGAAGATATTCCCCCCACCAACTACAATAGCGACCTGAAACACTTATTAACACAGGTCAGATGCATATTTTGAATAGAATGACTACCAGATATTCTGAATGGGAAGAGGACAACCTCAATACCAAGCCGAGTAACAGATGCAACCTCTCTTGCAATGGCCATTGTTATCTGCACAGGCATCTTCATTATTTAACATAAGCAGTAAGCACAGAGGACTCAATAAATGAACTTCACAAAAAATGTAACCTTTGGATCGATGTTTTGTGTTTGATCTCCCGCAAGTGCTTCTCCACTTACTTTAAGCAATACTCTTTGCCATTTATACGATTTCTTTTGCGGGGTATTATCACTCATTGCAACACTAAATGGAGGCATAGACATAGAGGAGCGTATTGGTTGCCTACAAAGGAACAAGTGCGTCGTTACAACATTGTTAGAAAAATAAAAAATAAAAGGGAAAGCAATATATGAAACTCATGAAGAAAGACTCCGCATAAAGAAAGAGAACAAACCAATTATCAATGAAAAGTAGATTGTAGAAGAAATTTTCCGAATTTCCTAAAAGCAACTAGAAAATAGCATGAGCTGCAGATTCCTTGAAAAAATTCTTCATGCAACAAAAAACCTACACTTATCCACTACTTCCCCTAATTCAACATAACCAAGCTCAGTTCTTACCTCAAGGTTTTTATGAAATGAAACATTGAGACAGCATTCCCATTATTACTCTTAGCTTCTAACAGAAAAACCAAACTTAGTCAAGTGATAGTATATTCGAAGAGAGTTATCCATTGTAGTGATTTTTCGATTCATCCGCCTTGATCCTACTATCTAAACACTCTCTGATAATGTTTTCGTAATTGTAAGGTTACCCGAATATGTCCAAATAGTGATATTCTAACCTTTTGGTGTCAACAAATGGACTACATGCTATAGAGAAAGGCAGGCAAACGATATTACTAACAATTAGTGGGAAAGACAGAAATTTGTTCCTTATTTTTATTCTTTTGCATTTCTTAAGTTTATTTCAGCTAATTTGTGAAATGATGCAATGTCAAAAAAAAATAAAAATAAAAATAAAAATGCAGGGAATATCACACACAAATCGAATATAATCACAACAAAAGTTCCACCCACCATATTTCAGAGCAACAATCCGGCCACAAATATGAAAGCCTTTATAAGACAAACCTCAAATCGATGGAATCGGAATCGGAGAAGGAACCCATCTGAGGCGAGCGGCAGGAGATGGGCGTAGGACGAAGAGAGGTGTGAAATCCAAATCCCGCGACATTATTCCGAAAAGTAGCGTCGGTAATGATGGTGTTGGGGTTGGAGAAACAGAGCGAGTGGGAAGTTACGGCATTGAAGGAAGTTGAAAAACAGTTCATGGCGCCAGAAGAAGTTACTATTAATAATCACTCCTCGTCTTCCTCCTCCTCCCGCTGCTTCGAATCAATTCATGGGTATGAGTATGAAGTGCTTCCTTGTTTTCTTCAAATAAATGATATGGAGGCGAGGGTTTTGTTTTGGGTTCTATCCTCTCGGAAGCCTCTCTCTCTCTCTCTCGTTGGAATCTAAATTGGGTAAAGATAACACACACTACACTATATGGGTACAGACATTTCTGGCGGCCGATAAAATATCTGATGTCATGTTTGCATATCCACAAAATGAGGAAATGAAAAAAAATAAATCATAGAGGAATGAATAATTGGAGTTAGAAAATGAATCAGTGTTTCTCTCTCTCTCTCTTCACTAATATTCTCTCTATCCATATACTTGAGTTAGTATTTTTCTTTTTTTCTTTGTTTAGTAGTAAATTTTTCATGATACTCATTTTATTTCTTATAAGCTCGGACTAAATTGCATTAAATAAATATATATTATTATTTTAAATATGAACAATTTAATTATAATTAAATAAATTTTTTTGCAGTAGTGTGTGTTTTTTTGGTTGAATTTGAAAAAAATTAATTTAATTTTTATATTAAAATAATATTTGATGAAATATTTTGTGATTGAAAAAAATATATTCTTTCCGTCTCATTGAAAGGTTACCATTTTTTATTTTCGTCCGTCCCAAAACAAGGTTACCATTTTTTAATTCAGTAATTGTACTATCCACTTAACATAATAAATATCCTTTCAACTTACAATATATTACATAAATGTCATTACTTTTATAATACATCGTATTAACAGAGTATTTAATAGAGTATTTTTGTCCTTTTTCATTACAATCAAATATAATACTAATATTCAAAAAATTACTTGAAAAAAGCAAACATCACTCTCAGAATGAAGGAGTATATTTTTTTAAAAAGACAGTACAAAATAGTAAAATTTGGAGAAATTTTGGTAAAGAAACATACCCTTGAATATATCAAAGTTTGGCATACCCAAGTTTTCAGCATACTACAATTAGTTTGTTCACTTATTTTAAAATAAATTGATTTTTTCATCCATAGTATATATATATATATATATATATATTTATATTTTTTTAATACTAATATTTTTGAAAATTTGTTATATTAAAAAATACTAAATGAACAGAATATATATACATGATTTTCCGTATGACAACCATATTGTAAAAAGAGTTTGTTCAGTTACTTTTAATTTTCCAAAAATATTAAATTCAATGCTAATTTTGAATACCAACCCTATATCACATTCTTAAAAACCAAAGTCTCCAAGAAATGCAGCGCACTTGAATATAATGACAACTATGTACCAGTAAAATAAAATTCAACACTGAAGCAAATATCTATTAGAATGAGCAAACAAAAATCAAAGAAACCATAGATGGCAGCTAAAAGCTTAAACTTAACTCATAATAGTGTTTAGGAAATCCATTTTGTTTTGCTTCAAAATTAACAATACACTAATAAACTCTTCAAGAAAATTGAGGAATTTCACTGCATTGCGCTTCAAAATCATTAAGGTAACACAATAAGTTAAAAGCAAAGGATTACACAAACAAACACCAAAATCATGCTCGAGAAACAACAGTCTGATAAGCAAAGCATTGCTTGTACCTCTATATGTAAGGCAGGCAGGCAGGCAGGCATTCGCTTCATTCTTCGGATTTCTTCTTCTTCTTTTTGTCTTTCTTTTTAGCTGAAGTCTCATCGGCTTCCTCTGCGGCAGCTTCTTGCTTTTTCGCCTTCTTTTTCTTCTTCTTCTTTCCATCCACATCCGCATTTTCGTGTTCATCCTCCTCTGCGTGCTTTCTTTTTTTCTTCTTTCCCTGGTCGACATTCTCGGAGTCATCTGCTTCTGCATGCTTCTTTTTCTTCTTCTCTTTCTTTGCAATTGCTTCACCTTCAACTTCCACATCCTCATTTAAGCCTGCGGCATTGTCTTCTTGATCTTTTCTCTTCTTCTTTTTCTTGCTCTTTTTCTCTCCATCGGTCATAGGCACATCAGTGTCCACCTCCCCGGTCACTTGTGGCATGGATTCATTCTCATCTTTCTCGGTCAAAGACTCCGTTAGCCCCAGAATCGAGTCAGCTGCTGGATTGTACGTCTGCAGGAAAAGATAACAATTATTTAGCCAAAATACAAAAGAATAAAATTCCTCAAACCATTAAATAAACTGCTCTGTACCTTTGCTGGAGTAATTAGCCCCCCGGATCCTTTCTTCCTGTCCTTATCATATACTTCAATCTTGGGTTTGCCTTTAGCAGATCCAGCAGCATGACCAAGCTCTCTGCCTTCTAAGCTCCTTAAACGAGCTTCAAGCTGTATTTATGCAGTAAAGATGAGTGAGTAAATAGGGCCAAGTTTTATTAAATCGAATGATGCTTGTAATCATCTGAAATATAGTTTTTATATAATAAAATACCTTAAGCCTGTTTTCCAAACCCATGGAATTGTCGATATTGTCTCCAAGAGCATCACACCTAATTGCTAAAGCAGATTTTGCTGCAAGAGACCTAGATATTTTGCCCTTGTGCTTCGGTGCTGCTTGACCGATTAAAGATGCATGATAGATAAGTCCATATTTAGGAGTTGCATGCTTAGTTTTTAGTGCCCTGAACAGTGCCTTCTCCGCACCAAGTATCTGCACCGTACTTCCAGGCTGCTTAGCAAGATTGATTAAGCTGCCGCCATGGGCAATCAATCGAGCACCAACTAGTTCTCCAACAAGTGCAGTAAGATTTGGGGCAATTGTGTTCATCCTGCTCTTTAGGTAATCGTAAAGCTGAGCTCTGTATTCTGCAAGAGAGAGTACTTGGTTGCACAAATCTTTGATGTTTGTCAAGTCAAGGTCACTAACTTCAGTTCCCATGGAAATAACAGAGGCTTCTTTGAGTTCTGCTTCAACATCTTCAGGTAGAATCTGTGATCATTCAGGTGCAATTGTAAGGACCAAAAACAGGTACGCCCAGTGAAAAATGCATATAGTAAAGAGGGGGGAAATGGACAATAAAACAGTGGCACAAATAGTAATTTCCCAAAGCAGGCCTTTTGAAAAGAACAGAAGTAACAAGTAGCAACCACCTTTGCTGGCAGCCAGAACTTCAAATTTATGCTCTAAACAAGGGATTTATATTAGTTAGTACTGTAAGAAAAACTTTGACTTAGTTGCGGATTTCCATTGCCATAATTTCATAACAATGTCATGAGAACACATTCAAATTTTGTAAGCACACATTAAAATTTCTTGGTCATAGGTTACATGGTATATGTGATTTCCATGATAGTTGACAGAAAGGGATCATGGATTTCTCTACCTCAGAGAAGTCGAGCTTTGCAGCATTTGTTCGGTTACCCATCAACTTCACAGACTTGGCATAAAGGATATTATCTGTTACTATTTTTGCAAGCTCTGGAAAATGCCAACCATACCATTCCCTAACTCTCATTGCATATGTGTTCAGCTCTTTATCAAGGTCATCCAACAAGCTAATGGCTTGTATTATCATTGTATCAACCTACAGAAGCACCAAACAAAAGTTTGTTATCAGCTGAAACTAAATAATAACGGCAGTAAGTACACATTACATAAACGATAAATAGATACAGCTGTATAGCAGGCTTCGCAGCCACCACTTTAATGACAAGAGGATAATGCAAACTGAGATATTAATATCTGCAAATAGAAAAAATCTAATTCTGCTGTAATTTTGCAGTGTATGGCGTCAACTTCCAAGTATGGGTTGACTCCATATCAAGTTCCCCCCTATTTATTTCTAAGGAGTAATTAGACCGTTTCTGAATTTATCGTCACAAAACAAATAAAAAATACTGCTTCATAACTTCTAAGAATAGCATCTAAAAGGTCATTACAATTTGTTTACTTTTCAGTATAAAGGAAATTATCTGGGGAACATATGCGCCATTTTTCCTTATATATCATATTAGGTTAAGACTGATTCAATAACAAATTATAATATTTCTATCATATTATCAACTCCAGTCCTGTAATCGCACCCATACATGCTTGGGGAAAATTAATACATAACTGTTCTCAACATATATTACAACATACACTAGTGGCAACCCTAAATAAAGTGGAGATTTCAATCGCACAACCAACAATAATAAACTGCAAAGAGAGTCACCTTGTCAGGACTAAATTTCAGTTTATATCGTGACAAACTGTGGGACAAACCCAAGCTCATTGGAGCCAAATCTTGTGAAGCTAAACCAGATATAAGCTCAGTCAATTGACTTCTCACTCCTCTCATGAGTTCCATGACAGCATTGTTGTGGACACATTCAATTTTCTGTAAGTGAAACAATCAGAATGGAGAAAAAGATAAACAAGTCAAAACAAATAAATAATTGCCTTATTGCATGGATCTAGCTCACCAGCTTCTCTTTGATGGTGTTCCCAAGTTTGGAATCAGCTACAGCTAAAATGTCATCCTCACAATGGCTGCGCAAGAATTTCCGAAGGCCTTTGCTGGGCTTGCTATCTATCAACAATGTAGCAGCTGATAAAGCCTCAGCCGTGTTCTCAAACTTGGAAAAAGCTTTTAGCTTGACAACCTATGGTTAACATTGAAATACTATTAATTAATTTATTAAAATCCAGCAATTCAAAAACTTTTAAGCCCAACAATTCTTTTTTCTAATTCAAGTTTGCACTATTTATTTACAATATATTGAGAATCCCTAAAATCGTAATATGATCTACACTGCAGCAGATCTCAATATATGAAAAACATGAAAATCTACTTTATCTGCAGTTCTAGAAAAAGCCAAAACAAAGAAAAATAAAAATAATGCATATATTCTCAACCTAACAAAAATTCAATTCAGTTTAAGGATTGCAACTACAGCAAAAATTCAGAATCAAGACCTGTCTGGCAGATTCAGGAGTAGTGAACTCCTTCCCCAAATCCTGCAACATTAAATAATTGAAAAATCAGAAAATCTACATAACATCAACAAGCAGCACAGGCAAAAAAACGCCCTTCATAACAGAAATACATACATATACATACACACACGCGCATATATACAAACATGCATCATTAACGAAACAATTACCTCAACTTTAGAAAGTTTGCCTTCATCCAAAACTTTGAAAAGCGCGAACCCCGCGGGGGTTTCAAACAGTAGCAACATCCTCGCTCCAACTCAACCAAAAAGAAACTGATTTTCCACCGTCTCCCGAGCAAAAAAAGTACCTAACTCGTAAACAAAACCAAAAACTACCGTCAGCACGGATTGGCGACGACTGAAAGAGTTAACTGTGTTCAAAGAACGTTTATACTTCCAGCATTCTCAACATCACTAAAATCCTCATACAATACTTTATAGTGAGCAACAACACCACGCAACCGTACCTGGGATTACTCCGGCAGATTACAGTGCGGCGGAGCAATCGGCTGCCTCAAAATTAGGGTTTTAGAGGAAAGGGTTTAGACTTCCCAGCAGCATTTATAAGGCTAACTAACGGTGTAGATTTGCGCACGAGGATATAGTAGTAATTGCGCAATCGGCTGGAACCGCCGGTTCGATGGTTTTAAACCGGATGTTCCGGCTTGAACCGGTACCGCATTGAACCGAAATCGGAACCGGTTTACACTGTTCGGTTTTGGTTCCTGTTTCGGTTCGAATCGGCGGTTCGGCGGTTTTTTTTTTAATATATATATAAACCTGAGGGTGGTGGGTGAAAAAAAATGAAAAGAAGAGGAAAGAATAGGGACAGAAAGAGAGGAAGAAAAGTGCAGGCGGCGGCTGTGACCTGTGGTTGTCTTGTGATATTTCTGATTAGGGCAAAAATTTTGAATAGAGTGTAGATTTTATTTATTAATATATTTATAATTATTAAAAATATTCATTATTATAGTTTTTATAAAAACAAAAATAATATATTAATAATGATAACAAAAAATACATAACAATTATATAAAAAATGTAATATTATTTTTTATATTCATATTTTAAATTTTTAATCTTCTATTATATAATTATATTTAATTTAAATTATATATTTTTATCTAATATACTAATATCTTTTATAATAAATTTAATTTTTTACGGAATTTATTGTTTTAATTATTTTTTATTATGAATTATTAATTTAATCAACTATTATTATGTATATAATGTTTATACAATAAACAAATAATAAATATATATGTTTAAATAAAATCAAAATTAAAAAATACTTTCTCTGTCAAAATACCTTCATTTACTATTACACTAAGGGTGTGTTCGTTTGTAAAATTTGTGCAAAATCTTGTATTTATTCAATTTTTTCTCCCAAAAAACATCAAATCAAACACCTATTTTTCATTTTTTATATTATACTAAAAAATCAATTTTACATTCAAAACATCACATCAACACCTATTTATATCGCATCGTACAACTATTCAAATTCAAAATTTTTAATATTCAAATCCCAACTCAAAATCCAAACACCACCCTAATAATATAATATCCTTGTCAAAATCTCTTACAAAATCCATTTGAAGTTGAACAATAAAAAAAGGAAAATATTAAATCATGTATTGACACCTATATTTGACATGTTTTCCACACAATAATGATTAATTTAATTAAGCACTCCCGACCAAATCATATCCATATGATTTGCGACACTCAATTTGAACTTGATTCATTTTGACAAAAATTGGAACTGTCAGTTCCAAATAGTTTGAGCTATTCTAATCTTAATATGAGTCCATTCACAGGTATGAGGTATCAAGAGTCAATTCTTTAGTAAAATTTTATGCAGTTATTAAAAAAAAATAAAAAAAATGTTGCATGCCAAAATGTAATTCTAAGAATGATTAATTAAAAAGAGAATATGATATCAACAATGAAGAAGAGAATAGATTTTGGTATGAAGGGGCCTAACCTCTTCTGCAGCATGGTCTTGTAGAGCCACAGCACTTCTTACCCTGCACACTAAAATGGACAGTCCCGTCGTCTTCCTCCTGCACAATGTGTTTTCGTGCCGCGCCATCTCTAGCACCTGAAGACCATGCTGAAAACAGCATCTCTATGGCTTCTGTAGGGAGCCCGTTGCGACTAAGATCCAACAGCTTTAAGTTCCCAGCCAGTCTTATCCAACTTGCAAGTTCTTTCATCAGCTGGCATTCTGAAATGCACACACTCTTTCGGGAGATGGATACTGTAGCCTCTGCCCCTGTTGGATCCTCGTCTTCGCTGTCAGCAACCTCGAGCTGGATTTCATTTGTGTCTTCATTAGTTGCTGCAGGTGCATTTGATGAATGATCGCCGGCTTGGTTGGTGTTTGCATTTTCTTGTGAGGATCCATGGCTGTTTGCTAGAGCTTGAATTTCTGTTGGAGTAACATTGTCGGCCAGATTGAGTTCTATGAGAGAAGAATTCGTTGACAGTGATTGTATCACACGAATGGCGCCAACCAGACCGAGTTGGCATTTGCAGACAATGAGAACTCTTAAACAGGATTGAGTGCTGCTGAGTAAAGATGCCAATTCACTGCAACCCTGCATTTGTGCAGAAACTTGTTAAGAAAACTGTACGAATATGGAACTCGGTGGTGCAATTAATGGAAGCATAATTCGACAATGTGCCTGTAGTGTAATTACCAAGAAAAGTTTATATGTTGAAGGTGGAACCAAAAAGATGAAAGTTATGACCTAAAGGATGAAACTTTTCTTCCCTCTAGTCGAATTTTGGCAAGAATAAATTGTAATAGATAATGTAAGATCCTGATATTAGATAAAATACGAGCAAATATTCAACTCGTCTAGTCAAATGTGAGTAGAATGCAGACCAAACAAAACTCTCCATCTGAATGCAAATTACATTGCATGTACCAAGAAGTCAGATTGAAATCTCAAAGCAAAACACAAGGTAGAAGGTTTTATAAGACTTGGCGACGAGAAAATTATGATGATAAGTAATGGTATGTGGTAGATCTCTATGTTCATTGTTCATAGAAGTGACCATTAACTGGTGAGAGTGCGGATTCAAAATTAATAAATGCTCAAGTGCAATATGGAAGTAAAAGGGAAGCACACCTCTCTCATGATTGGATTTCCACCGAGATTCAACTCTAGAAGACCATTAAATAAGGATGCTTCGTCTTTAAGCCTAGTAATGAAGACACTAGAAAGTCCACAGAATGATAGGTCAAGCCTGACCAATTCTTGAGTGTCCTTGGACAATGGTTTAATCAACTGCATTGCACCCTCCTGCAAGAATTCCTCATGTTAGATTAAGTACAATAATCATCAACTTTGAACATCAGCTGGAAAGTTGATGTCCATAATTCTGAGGTCTGTCGTATATTTTTAAAATACCACATGAAACCAGATACACTAGGATTGCATATGTTGTCCACTCAGAAGGTGTTTGTTTCTTCTCTTATTATCCCAATATATACATACAACTTTGCAATTGAACCTAATCCCCTCCCCGAAATTCTCTAAAACACATTAAAGAGAATATATTATTGGAACGTTAGAATAACCGTGTGGGTGGTATTGCACAACAATCAGTAAATAAGGTATAAGGATAACTTACAGTTCCAATATTGGTATTTCCTAGCAGCAAACCAGACAAACAGCAATTCTTAGCAAGTTCACTAAGGCTATCAACTACAGGCTTGCTTAGCTTTAGCCCACTGAGATTTAACTCTTGAAACCTGTAAAAAGCAAAATAACTCAGCTTGACATTCAGGTTATTTCATTTTGTTGAAGTATAAGCAGCAGTTGATAAATTATTGACCCTTTTAAAGTGGAAAGCTTGAGCAAAAGATTAATCAAGGCATTTCCAGATACAGGGTGATTGTGTCCTGTTCAAAAGACATAAAAGTTTCAAAGTTATTATATATGCAGGAAATATTCATAGACACAATTAAGACATATTGGAGATAGGATCAACCTATAGAAAGGTGCGTAAGTACTGATAGCGAATCCAATGAATCAGCAACCTTTTGAATTGTTCTTGATGTGATTGAACAGTTCTCTATATCCAAACTATAAAGATCTGAATAAAAAAAAGGCTTTTCAATACAGAAAAAAGAGCTTGCCAAAGTGTCAATTACACATCCAATGTATAATTTATTTCATATACAACAAGATGGTTGGATTGCATATCTGATTCCTATGTAAGAAATTTTTAAAAAGGACACAAAATTGGTGCTGCTGGAAAGGTGAGAATATCAAACTCCACAAGTTAAAAGATGTCACCTCTGCAGCGCCGAATGATAGTCGAAATGTAAGATGCACAAGCATCAGTAAGGCAGTTTCCTGATATTTTGAGAACTTCCAGTCGAGTGTACAACACTGGACACTCACAAATCTGCCATATCAATAACAGTTAAGGGAACAATTCAGAGAGTTACATTAATCTCCTAGTAATAGCAAAATTAAAGCTTGCAAAGCAATGAAGTTGGAGAAGATGAGTTTTGTAGGGGTTAGAAATCTGTAAGATGATCACATCACAAAGGCTAAAAGAATATGAGAATATTTGTTATCTTAAGATTTTGCATCTATGTTGCATTTCATAATAACACTATATAATCAACAAATTTAAGTAATACTCTAACAAAGAAGCCAATCATCGCATCTCCTCATGTGACAAAGGGAAACAAATAAGTGGTCAAGTTTATATACTTAAGCTCATTGAATTTTCACCTATGACACTTCAGTGTGCAATTATAAATAAGAATTAAAAAATACTTGTTTATCCACCGAAGACACATTCTATGCAGACTTTAATGCTTTAATACGTAACATCTCAGTGATCATCCAAGTAAAAATACTCAGTTGTTCAGTATCATTGTATGTTCAAATTAGTTCATGGAGGTGTTTGAATAATATTCAAATTAGTTCATGGATATTCATGTGGTTGTAGAGATTTCAAAACCTGAAACAGAGCAGCTGGGCCCAGTCGATTATTATGCAAATCAAGTACCAGACCACCATAACTTTGCTCTAATGACATGAATAGTTCTTTAAGTTTCTCAACAGTTCCATTTCCTGCAGAATTGAAATAAAAATAATATAAAATAAAATAAAACAAAACAAAAACATATGAAGAAAGATGATAATACTTCCTGAACTTAATTTCCAAAAATGATAATTATTGTACACATGACAAATGTGCAAGCACGAGTTTACTTGTGCAAAGACTGATAAGTTGAGAAATTGTACCCAATAGATTATGAGAAAGGTTCAAGACAGCAAGTGTTTTGTGCAGGCGAAGAGCATTCAGTAATGGTTGTGCAGATACATCTCGCAATTGGCAATCAGACACTATAATTTCATCTTCTGACACCTGTTAAAAGTTTTTTTAAAAGAAATTAGATTTAGTAACTCAATTGTTTAGGTCTTGACTGGATTTGTAAATAGTGTCCCAAGGGACAACTGCATGTAATTCAGGAGTGTGCTGAGAAAATGAGTTTAAAAGGCTTACCTCTAAGGTATACAAGTTTCGTACAACTTCCATATTTGGTGGTTCAGATAGTTCTTCACAGCAGTCAAGGTAAAGTTTCATCACGTGTTTTGACACCATAACTGATAAAAAATAAAAGCATTCTTGAGAAACCGCATTTTAATCCTATAAAGTAAAATTAATAAAATGGTTGCTCTTATCTTCCAGATTCTAGGAAAATGTCATCAGATACACCATGCTTGCTAGTTTAAAAGGTTAAATATCAATCTTCAAAGCAAACCTTGTACTGATGCTGATTTAATCTTCAAGTTCAGGCCAGTATTTTCAAAAAAAAAACCAAACATATTCCACATTCCATAATGTAATTTAGTGACAACCGAAATTCTTAAATTGAGTTCACTACAAGCAACATATAGAGTGAATCATGAACATATTGAAGCAGCATACAGTCATAAATGAAAAGTACAAGTCAATGTTACGTACCAACTGAAAGCTCTAACAATATCTTTTCTTGTCCATGATCTCTTAAGTTATAAAGTGTTTCTATGGATTTAAGAATTTGACCACCATACTTCATATGTTGAATAACTGGAACCAACCCTGCTGACAAAGAGAAAAGAGTATTAACAGCTAATGCACTTCAATAGGTAATATATGTTTACTCCAAGTAACAGAGGTTGTAAAGTAGTGGCAAAGACACATTCTTATGCAATTACTTAGAAGAGGTTTCCTAAATAACTCTTATACATGATATTCAATATAGGCCTATCACGTTCTTTGTCAAGGTTCAAAGAGAACTTCTAGTTCTCCTCCATTTTCCTCATCCAAAAATACAAACATAAAAAGCACTCAAGCATACAATATGTCAAATATTATGTCATGAAGTCCTAAATAACATCATATCATAAACATTTTGCATATAATATACTACATCCAAAATTTATTTTCTATTCAAAACATCAATTAAATACCTATTTATATCACATCAAATAATTTCAATTCAAACTTCTACTACTCTCAAAACACTAAAACAGAATCAAACACTTTCAGATGTTTGAAATTGTGCGTGTGTGTTGTTGAAGCAACAGTAATGAGTTTTTGTACTTTATATATTGTACTATATTCATGGATGCTGTGATGGAGAATCTCACTTATAATCAGGTACAGAGTATTGTAAATATAAATGGAGGGTAGGAATTAAAAATTTATTAATAAGTTATTAGTTATCAATATTTTATTTTATCTAAATGCGGAAAATGTTAGTTATGAAGAGATAATTTCAGAAGATAACGGTTCTCTGTGTCTTTTTTTTTTCACTTTCTTTACTATGCAATATCAGGGTTCCTTATAAATATACACTATGTTTTCTCACGAAGCATTACATCCAATTACTATTTAAACCAAAACCAAAACCAAACAAACACGTCCAGGAAGAGTTTACTCAAAAGCTTTCATAGGCCTGTACATCTATAAAATGTTTGACGGCTCAAAAAAATCAGTACCTCTGGATTTTTTTTCTCTGAAGAGTTGCAAATAGTACATGCATGCCAACTCAATCTTCATTTGTTCCACGTCAAGTTTGTCAGCCAAAGTGCTTATATCTAGGTCCATATGTACCAAATCATGCTCAATTTTGAACATGATACGTTGCTGCAACATAGTCAAGTTTAAAAATAAATAATATCAGTAAAAAACAGAAATTTGTAACCATTTTAGGTACCTGCCTCACAGCTTACTTTTCAATAGGGTTAACAATCAGTGAATAACAATTAATGTTTTATGTTACTAGTCAAATGATAGCTTTGCATTCAATCTCAGGGCATGCAATTAATTTAAAGCAAGTGTTGAATGAATCTTGCCATGCTCCAGCAGCAAGAATTGACAATCACTATGACATATTTACAGCATGAAGAACAAAAGAGTACAATGACACAAGCACACAATGTTCAACACAACAAGCACCCATGAACTAACAACTGATGCTTTCACTCCCATGAATGTAACATATACCCACCTCATCATGTGTGCCTGTGATGCTATTCTCAGGTTTTGGAGTGCAAGTACCGTCTGGACATCTCGAGGCAAAAGGTGAAGCATCCTATAACATACAAACTAAAAGTTAAGTTGTGATTGCTAGGTTTTCATGTTGATTCAATTGTAAGAAGCTATAACCTGGGTCTCACTAATGGGGATTGTGACAGATTTTCTGGTTGCTGCAACACAAGCAATTTGGTTAAATTTCTTGCCTTCAAACAATCAAGTGTTGAACGGGATAAACATTAACTGCAGCTTACACTCCTCAGAAGTTGCAATGCCTTCAGCTGGACACTTGCAATGTAGCCTCTTCGAGCAACAATCATCTGCATTCTCACCCTCATCATCAGAAATGATAACCCGTACACGCTTACGGTTTACAGTAGAACTATCAGTGGATCTGCATGTGCTCTCTCTGGGCGATTCACATGGTCTGGAAGAAGCATTATGTGCAATTCCACAAGCACTTTGCTGCTTTACTAAATTTTTATTAGATTGAAGTAAGGATCTCGAAGGTACATTTTCATTTGATTCCTTACCACCATCACTAGACATTCCTCTCAAGGGATTCAGTTCACATTTCTGTGGTGAAAAGCTACCATCAGACTTATCATCTGCTGAGATGTTATCCAACTCTGTTTTAGTCTCAGAACAACAATCTACTGAAAGCCCACTCGCCACAAGCTCTTCATTTTTGGAGTTCTTCAATTCATCAATTAACAATTTTGTCCTCCTGAAAAGTACACATTTTTCTCGCCCAATTAACTTAACAACCATAATGATAAAAATGAATAAATAAAAACAAAAGTACTTATACTTTGGTCTTCATCAAGATGAGTTTCATCTCTTTTCATTAAGGAAAACATTCTCTCTATAGCTAAAAATTAAAGATACCAATCACAGACGAACTAAGATTTACCCAGCCTCCTCAGAATCATCAAAACGAATCATGTAGCTATAGTGCATGTTTTCCAAAGCAGAGAGCTGCAATGAAACCAGGTTCCCCTTAACAGCGATCCTGCAAAAAGGAACACCATATTCAATAAATGTCAAATCAATACAATTTAGAAGTAATATCTGTATACATATTTGTGAGGACTTGCAACAACCGAAGGTCAGTATTGGTCAGAGTACACTGTAGATTGGAAGAAATACCTTGTCTATTAATCTCTATTGGGAACACACACACACATATCTATGTATACAATTAGAATCCTTACGGTTTTAAGAAACCAGATAAATCAGATTCCCTAATATCACTAAATCTGATCCTACAATATTAATGCCAAACACTACCCCTCAAGTTGGAGCATATATATTGATCATACCTAACTTATTACAAATATTATTCATTCATACTCCTCCACTCAATGCCTCAGTGAGATCTTATATTTGTCCTCCCACTTAACCATGTCATGACACCTCAATTCCCACTTGACAATACACCACTCCACTTGCCTAAAATTCCCAATTTGTTCTTGTTTTAATACTTGAATGGCCGACCAAACAAGCTTCCAACACTTACATGTATTTTGTTGGTGTAATAATGATAATGCTTGCACATAATAAACGTGATGACACTAATCTCAAATTAATGAGCAATGGTAAAGGTAATTGCCTGTATCCCTCTTTGAAAGCATCTAAAGCACCTTGCCAATCACCACTGCAGTCCAAAACATCTCCTATGTTAATCTTCGACAATGCTTGTCCCTGTCAATAGTCGTTTAGAACCAATTTGCATACAAAACAATATAGTGACTAGTGGTGAAATATATTCCAAAATAATTTTTTTCTCAAATAAATGATAAACATGGCAAACTGCACCTGCTTTGTAGACTCTAGTACTCTACTTACTGAAATTGAACATATAGCAGAGTAGGGATAATAAAACTAATCACCTCCACACTTCCAATCAAGCGATAGGTTTCCCACCCCTTCGTGTACCATTTAAGGGATTTAAGGAATTTCCTCAACTTCTGGTATGATTCGCCAATGACTAGAAAGGAATCACTTAGCTTCTCTTTGTCACAAAGTTCACTTGCTATCCTCTTCTTCTTTTTTCCATATTCACGAAGCTAAAAACAGTTCAAGCATGAAAGTTACGTCAAAGCTTCAACAAAGAAAAATGGTTTAAAAGGGATTTTAAAGCAATTTCAATATCTTTCCAAAGACTCCATGTGTGCTAGAGATCTACTAAAGGCAAACAAAGTGCAATATCCCAAAAGTTATGCATCTTGTAAATTTTATCTTCCAAATTTTTTATTATTTTTTATTTTTTTGATCGGAAAGATCAAAGGAATTTTATAAAGAATAAACAAATACACCGTGCATACCCGAGAGAATCATACAAATATAAGGACTCTTAGGCCTAGAGTTTAAGTGTAATGAAGCCGATAAAAAATAGTCATAGTAAGTGTTTAAGATATATACATACACCAATTTCAAGATAATTATAATTTTTATCAGGGAGTACACATATGTTTGAGAAAAAAAAAAAAAAAAAAAAAAAAGAAGCACTATTACTGGTAACATACTTTAATCCAAGCAAAGATGATCCTTGATTTCTCCACGAGGAAATCAAGAGATGCATCCTGCTTCAGCAGGCATTTCCTTTCTCTTTCTGTGCCTCTAGCAAATTCTGTGTTTCTTTCAAGTTTCTTAAAGTTCAGCTCTTCTTTTCTAAGTTCTTCCATCACTTTCATCGCTTCTCTAACAGTTTCAAGATTTTGATCAATTTGATCTACTAAAGCATCCTCATCCTCCAATGACTTTGCCAAATCAAGTGCTTTTTGATAAGATGCAATGGCTTCATTGTACTTTTGAGTCCTGTAGTGCAGCTCTCCAAGATTAACGTAACCTTTAGCCTCCCCTTGACAATGCCCTATTTGCTTACAGATAATAATATCCTTTTTTATGTGCTCGTAAGCTTTTTCCCATTTCCTGAGCTCCAAGTATACATTTCCAAGATTGTGATGGAGTCTACTGCGTGCATCGTCATGTTCAATGACCTCTTCTTCATCACAGATATCCAATCCTCGGGTAAGAATCTTTTCTGCTTCACCCAAGTTGTCAAGATCTATTTCAATCATCCCAATATTATTATGGGCATCAATATACTCCTTTATAAAAGAAACTCTCTCAGAAGGTGGATTTTCCTTGATCATTCTAGCTAGTTTCATTGAAGATCTAAAATATTTCTTAGCATTCCGAACTGAGCTATGATCATCCTCAGATTTTAAAAACATTTCATGGTAAGTTCGCCCAAGCTGAGTGCTGGCTCTTTGTTGTTCTATGAGGTCATCCTGATCCTTGGCAAGCTGTAAATGCTTTTTCTGCCAAAAACAAATACAATGTGTAGGAAAAGGGATCAAATCTGGAAAGTAGAAATTGAATAGAAACCAGCAATCTGCTGCACAGAGTTTGTTTGCTTAAAGAAGACAGGACTCATAAATCCTTAAAAATCGCAATGTATCGGTATACAAAAAAGTGGTGTACACTAAATGGAATCAACAACTATAGAAGTTAAAACCCTAAGTAGTCTGAATGAACAATCAATAATATATGTGGAATCATCAATTTTCTAGCCAAGTTACGCGAACACAATGCACAAGACAGTCTAAACAGCGCACACCATTCCAATTCATAAGCAGTTTAATATAATTATCTAATAGACTTAGACATCCACCAGACAGTAACAACTAGTTTTAATCAAAATTATGAAACCTTACCATTCTCCAGTACAATAAAATATGTTGATATTAAAGAACAAATAAATAAAATAAAGATACTTTCAAAAGAACACGTACAGCGATGGAAGATACCTGATAAATTAGAGCGTCGCTGTAGTGCTGAAGGCGGAGATAAAGTTCACCAATGGACTGGCAAGTGGCGAGCAGCTGCTTCTCCGGCAAGTACTTAACGGAAATCTCGTAGTCCTTTCGCAGCCATCGCAGAGCCTCCACGTACTCCCCTCGGTTCTTGAGTATGTCTCCGATGACATTCGCCCACCGCGCCTCCTCCTGCCGATTACCCTCCTCTGTCGCCGCCTTGTATGCCCTCTTCGCCGCGCTCAGCTGCTGCTGGCGGCTCCCATCCTCCTTCCGAGGCATTATTACAGGGTTCGATCAAAGATCTCCGATCAATCTTCCGGTGCAATTCCAGTTTGGGACTTGGGAGGGTTTCTTGTGAAATTGTGGCATGAGCAAATTAACTTCCCGCCAATTTGGCAGCGCCGCAGTTGAAATATTTTAAAGAAAATTCTAATTTAAGTATTTCGCGTTTTCGTTTTCCATAAAACGTTCACACAATCATGAATTTGAAGTATGAATAAAAATACAGAAAATTATGAAAATTACCAAAAAAAAAAAAAAAAAAAAAAAAACCTGACTTTATTTTATTGTTTTTGCCCTAAACAAAATCAATTTACTTCGTTAATTATAACTAATAAAACCTTTCAATCCATTCGTGTATGTATATTAAGGGATGTATTCAATCCTAACTCTCTATAATTTTGTTGAACTTTTAAATTGCATATTCAATTCAAAGTTTTAAAAATCTTAAAAATTGTGATTGTATTCTACCATTCTTAAAATCTATAATTTTATTAGATTTTTATGAAAATATTATTATTATTGTTGTATAAGTGATAAATAATACAGGAATATATATAGTTGGTAAAAAAAATATAATAAAATACATTTTTGAATAAAATATATTTTTGCTATTGCGAGTGTATTAGTGTAAAATGTAATGGTAATTGTGTAATAATAATAAAAGAATAAAGGTAATTTTATAGTGATATAGTTATTTATGGAAATAACACTATTGTTTTGAAACGGACCAAAAATATTAAACAACACTATTGTATTAGGACAGATGAAGTATAATACTAATATTTATTAATATTATTGTAAGTTTTAATAAAAATGATAATTTTAAAATAAAATATATTAACGAATTATTATTATTTTTAAAAAATATTTATTTTTATATATAAATATAAATTAAAAAATATTATTATCATAATAAATTTATATTAGTGTTGTCTTTTGTTTTCAACTATAGAATCATTTCAGTGGCGTTCTCTTATTTCAATTATGAATACGCTATATTGTTATATCGGTGAAAATATAGCATATATTTATATATATTTTGTTCGTTGAACCATTAGTTTATATCTATTTATTTTTTTTATTTTAATATTATTTTCAAAAATAGTAAATTATATTATTTTTTTATTTATATAAATATTTTTTATGTAAAAACATATATAAATAATAATAACTAATAAAAATAATTTAATATATTGAATAATAATATAATAACAAAAATTACAAAATTAAAAATATTAATATGCAATAGAGTACTCCCTCTGGCTCACCTACCATGTCCATGTTGCATTTTCTGTTCGTCTCACATTTAATGTCACTTTCCTTTTTTAAAAATATTTATACACTTTAATTTCATTTTAAATTTAATAATTTAATTTTTTTTAGTTTTAGTCAATCTAATTAGTTATTTTAACCTTAATCCATGATTATTTATGTTATAAGATAATTATTTTCACTAATACATTTTTAATTATCTATTAATTATACTTATCATATAAATTCATGTCTATAGTGACCCAGACATTCAACGTGGGATGGAAGGAGTATCCCATAACTACAAATCTATTTGTTTTTTGAAATGACTAAAATAATCTTATTAATATTGTGTGATACAAAGGTGATGATATTTGTCTAATATATTGTAAGTTGTAAGAGTATTTGTAATATTAGGTAGATAGTACAATTACTAAAAAAATGAAATGGAAACTTTGTTATAGGACGGACTAAAATGAAAAAATGGATAATTTGTTATGTGATGAGAAGTATATATTATAATATTTTTATATTATTAATATAATTATTTATTTATTTTATAAAAATATAATAACATATATAACTTTAATTATAAATATATTACATTTATAAAATTTGTATTTGATATAAATTTATATAATTATATATATTAATAAAAATTATTCTTCAATCCTATAAAATTCATATAAATTCATAAAAAAAAAAATCAATTAAATTTGTAGAAATTCATTTAAATCAATTATTAAAATGAAGTAATTTTTATATTGTTGATGTAATATATAAAAGGTAAATTCACTAAAAAACCTAATTATTGACCCAATTATATCAAAGTGGAAAAATCTGACTATTTAAATTATATTGATAAATTATTGAATAGCAAATAAAATGTGAGTTCCTTTCATGAAAAGTTATTTAAGGGTGTGTTTGTTCGGAGATTGGATTTTAAATCCAATATTTATATTATTTTTTAAAAAAAATATCAAATTAAACACTTATTTTTAAAAATCAATTTTACATTCAAAATATTACGTCAACACTTTTTTATATCACATCATACAACTATTCAAATTCAAAATTTTTATTATTCAAATTTCAACTAAAAATCTAAACCGTCAAACAAACACACCCAATGAGATATTGATTAATTTATAACAGACTAAATATATTTATTCATCTTATATCTATGTACTAATTTATTTTTTTTACAGAGTTTTAAAAATATTAATATTATATTAGAATATAGTAGAAATAAAAGGTAAAAAAAGACTAAACTAATTTTATTAGTTCACATGTAATGAAATTTGTATAATATATTGTAAATTGAAATGATAGTTATAATGTTATGTAAACAGTATAATTAATAAAAAAATAAAATTAAAATATACCAAAATAGAAAAATGAATAAATTGTTAAAGAATAGAAAAATCATTAATTAGGGCGTATTTCTTTACCCATTAAACTCAATTTTTTTATTATTTGAATTATATATATATATTTTAAAATATATACTCCATTTGTTTAATAACAATGTATATTATATTATATTTTTATTTGTCATAAAATAGTGTATTATTTTATAATTTAATAATGGTATTTGATAACAATGAATATTATTTTTTATTTTTATTTGTCGTAGTAATAATTATACTATTTATATTAATTTTTTTAATATTAATATTATATTAATACATAGTAAAAAATTAAAATACTAATAATATTTGTCAAATATATTATAATATAAAATAAATAATAAAATTATTAAAAATATTATTTTATTTTAACAGAGACAAAAATAAAAAATAGTAATTTTTTATATTTTTTACAAAAATATTTTATTATATATTATGTTAATATTTTAAATCCATACTAAAATTTACCCAACCAAATCAAAAGAAACACCCTCAGAAAAAATGAATATATTGCCACTAGGAAGGACCCTTGACTGCACCCACGTTGAAATTACCCGACCACGAAAAAGTTTTCAATAAAAATATGACACGTGCGCAATAAGGTTCCCGAAGGCGACACGTGGACATAGAGCACCCGCGCTAGTGACACCTGAATCCATTCTCCCTTCCTGGCAATGAAGCCTTTACTGCCAGAAAATCCAGGACCTGCCACACCCGATCCATTCTTAACGTTTAATCTCGATCCAATGGACGGTGCAGATTAATCCTGCCCTTAAATCCCAGAATCTCGCCAGAATAGGCGGCCAAGATTAAGAGGGAAAATCGAAAGCCTCCCCGCCCGTTCCAAATAATATCTCACCATTTTACTAGGTTTGTTTGTTTGTTTGTTTTTTTTTTTTTTTTTTTTACTAGTTAGCACTATTTTTTAATATTACAAAATTATTACCTGGCAAAATAAAAAACAATGTGATACGAAACTGCGTTTATATATAAAAAATATAAATAAATAAATAAATAAATATATATGTACATATATATGGTATATTGTAATTATAATGCCCTAAAATACAGCAAATAGTTCTTCCCCAAAACCCCTGCCTTTGCCTTTTGATTCTTCGTCTCTCGATTGCACGGATTCCGTTGCAATCTCACGGTGGATCGGCCGGGCGTCGTCTATGATCTGCGGAATTCGGAGGTTTTTGGTTTTCTGAGTATAGCTTCGTCAAGTTTGGGGCCTGCTTTGTGCGTGATTGTTTTTGTGTTACGGTGCTAAGGGGCTGTAAGATGGGGCATCATCGACCCGCGACGAGGAGTAAGAATAAGCGACCTAGGACTGAGGACAATGCGGAGGCTACCTCTGAGATTTTCAGGTATTCGCTGGCTGTTGGTTGGTTTTGTTTTTGTGTTGTATGCATAAATATTGTGCTCAATTGGTTGATATGTTGCTCTCGAGTTAATGTTTAGATTGCGATGGAAATTCACTCGGGTAATTTTGAATATTGCGGTGGAAATTCTTATTTAGGATTTGTTTGGGTGATTTGGTATTGGTGTTTTGAAGGTTCATTGAACTATTAGTTACTTTTAGTGATTATCGGCAGATATTAGGTCTATGTAATACCTTTTCCGTGATTATTTCTTGTATTTTGGATATTTTTTGCCTTGTATTCGAAGCTGCATTTACTTCAGATTCTGTATTGGGTGCGAGTTATGCATATATAAGAGCACGCACTGATTGAGAAAGGAAAGGAGAGTACACAATAATTGCCTTAGTATTAGTATTATTATTACTCTTTATTCTTTAACAGAAAATTTTCAATTGCATTACTTCCCATTTTGTATGAATTTTTATCTGGAATGTAGGAAGATTGTGTCAGAGGGAGATATTACCGAAGAGGATGTTAATCAGCTATACATGATATGGAAGCCTGCTTGTCAAGGTTGTCGTGTAAACACCAAGGACAATCCTAATTGTTTTTGTGGGTTGGTCCCACCTCTCAATGGCAGTCGGAAATCTGGTTTGTGGCAGAAGACTTCTGAGATTGTAAATTCACTAGGGCCTAATCCTTCCAATGATCTTCGTGCATCCTCCAGTACACCAGCAGGGCTCACAAATCTTGGTGCAACTTGCTATGCCAACAGCATACTACAATGTCTCTACATGAATAAATCATTCAGGAAAGGTGTTTTCTCTGTTGAACCTGAAATTCTAGATGCTGAGCCGGTATTGAATAACATTGCAAGACTTTTTGCTCAGCTGCATTCTAGTAAGATCGCCTATGTCGACTCAGCACCATTCATCCAGACCCTGGAACTAGATAATGGTGTTCAGCAGGACAGCCATGAATTTCTTACATTGCTCTTTTCTTTGCTCGAGCGATGCTTGAGCCAGTCCAAAGTTCCCAAGGCCAGAACAATTGTACAAGATCTTTTCCGTGGTGGTGTCTCACATGTCACTAGGTAAGTTGCTATGCTAATTTGCAGTCTCAGGTCTAGTAAAGGGTAAACTGCAAATAAAAACAATATTATTAATGCAAAGTCTTTCTGGAGGTTTTTGAATGTTTTAATATGCACCCATTACTCCCTTAAATTAGCAGTTTGACAGACATAGAATGACTACAACACATGAACTATAATCACATGGAATCAGTACTGAAACTTTAATTATCTCCAATTTTGAAGACTCAAAAGTCATTGTTTACATGGAAGTTTTATTGCTGTAGGTGCTGTCTTGCTGAACTGGGTTTGTCTAAATACTGCTGATATTCTAGACTACATACTCTTGAATGTAGATGATATCTTGTCATGAACAAAGAGAAGTGTTAAATCAATTATTTTCTAAATTAAAGCTCAATTGCAGGTTAACTAATAAACAATTTTATCCTTACTCTATTGGTTATAAAATTGCCAATGTCTAAATCAATATCTTTTTATTTTTTTTATTAACTAATAAACAATTTTATCCTTACTCTATTGGTTATAGAATTGCCAATGTCTAAATCAATATCTTTTTATTTTTTTTATTAACTAATAAACAATTTTATCCTTACTCTATTGGTTATAGAATTGCCAATGTCTAAATCAATATCTTTTTATTTTTTTTATTCTAAACTTGTAAAAAGCTAACTGCTCTATCCATTTAACTTTATTTGATGTGCTAGTGTTCTTGAGTTGTGTGGAGGTACATTCATATCCGCACATCCTTATAATCTTTCACCCTCTGTTTGGATGATTAAAGCAAGGCATCATAAAGTAAAAAAAAGTATTTTCTTTTTGATTGATTCACAGTTAGGAGATGTGTTCTTTCAGATCTACTGTAATGTTAGTCTTAATTATCTGTGGGGATTGCCAAGAGCCATAATGTACATTTGTTAGAATTATGAAGTTGTGAGCTTGAATTTCATATCGATGAGATGGAGTTGTTTAAGGTTCGGTTTTCATTCAGCAAAAGCATAACCGTAATACTGATCTTGTTTGCTTTTAATTTTTTTGTTTGCTATTAAGGTGTGCAAAATGCGGAAATGAGTCTCAAGCTTCCTCAAATATTGAAGATTTCTATGGCCTGGAATTGAATATCCAAGGTCTAAAGAGTCTATATGAGAGTTTGGATGATTACCTTGGCATAGAAGAGCTGCAAGGAGACAACCAATATTATTGTGATGCATGTTCTATGCGCGTTGATGCCACCCGCAGCATTAAGTTGCGCTCACTGCCTGCTGTCCTAAATTTTCAACTCAAGCGATGTGTTTTCCTTCCAAATGTAATTGATTATATCCTCATATTGAAACTCTATACTTTTTCTTATATCTTCCTTTTTATTTTTTAAATCTTTAATATAACTTAAAAGTGTTACATTTTTCTATAATATAATTTAGTATTAGGTAGATCATCCAGGCTTATGATTTTTCTCCTCAAGCTCATCTGGTTTCTCCTTGAATGCGTTCGACTTAAATTGCCTCTACTTAACTTTCATTATTGTTTTAAGCATCCATCCTTATGTCAGTACAGTATTGGGTGTGTATTAAATGTGAAACATTTTCATGGTGAATATAGCTTTGTAAAGTGAAATTGCATTCATATATCATGATATATGTAAGAATCAGTATTTATCTGTTACTTTGTTTCTATTTGCAGACAACCACAAAGAAAAAGATAACTTCTGCATTTTCTTTTCCTGCTGAAATCAACATGGCAAAATGGTTATCTGAGCAGTCCCAATCAAACCTGATATATGATTTAGCTGCCATCCTGATACACAAGGGCCCTGCTGTTAACAATGGCCACTATACAGCCCATATAAAGGATGAGAACACTGGTGAGTGGTGGGAATTTGATGACGAGCAAGTTTCAAACTTGGGCCGACAGCCATTTGGATCTACGAAACAGGTTGATGTTCTTGTGGATGGGAACAATGTTGATGACAACCAATTGCAATCTATGCATTCCAATGGTCTTAAGCGTGTACAGACATTTACATCAAGTGATGCATATATGCTGATGTATGTTCTTAGGAACTCAAAAATTGGTGTTGAAAATACTGATGCAGAGTCGGTCAATCACAAAATGGAAGTAGATGGTCCTGTAAGTTCACAGGATGAGAGTCCTCTGCCTCCACATCTATTGAAGGATGTCACTGTTATGAATTCAGAATATACTGTTTCTTGTGAAGAATATATTTCAAAAAAGGATTTCAAGCTAAGTAAGATTATGGAGAAGCGACAGGAAGTGCGCAGCATTCTTTCTAAAGCACCAGTTCCATCACTTGAGAGTTCGTACTTCTGGATTTCTACTGAGTGGCTTCGCCAATGGGCAGACAGTTTGACTTCGACTTCATTGTAAGTGGTTTCTTCCTTTTTACCTTACTTTAGCATACTGTTGTTAAACTTTCTTTGTTAATGTGTCATCTTTTACCCTCTCAAGAAATGCCCTACATAATTTTCAATTCTTAAATCTTCCACTTGGATACTTTCATAAGCAACACTTCATACAGAATTTTATATCCATGTGATACTAGCCAGAAAAATATGGACTCTAGAGACAGCAGTATATATACTCTTGTGAAGGTCAAGTGTCTCTCATGGTGTTGCATTTGATTTCCTGTCGTTACTACTCTGCATTAAAAATTTGTTGATGTAGTGGCAGAAGCTTTTCCACCTGAGACTTTATGATACCTTTTGTTTTGTCTGAGTGCAGAACTATTGACAACACACCTATAAAGTGCATGCATGGAAAAGTGCCAGTATCAAAGATCAATTACATGAAGCGTCTCACCCCCGAAGCTTGGACAATGCTGTTATCTAAGGTATCCTTCCGAATGGTTTCTCTGAAAACTATGACAAAAATTACAATATATCATATATTATTTTGATGTCCAATACTTCTGACTTCTCATCTCCCTTCATATTTTTCTCTTTCAGGATCTGTTTATGCCTAAACCGTTTATGTTGTTTCTTTTTAATTTACAGCCTTCTATAATATTCTGTTTCGCTGTTCTTTTTACTTTCTGCATCATGTCATCAAAATATAATTTTTGAAAGGTACCCATTGTGTTTACCGGGTGATGCAATTTGCACTGGCACTTTGAAAACCCCCAAATACTTATTGTTTTATTTTTATTTATTTGAATTACAATGAACACCAGTGTCGCTGGCTTGATGTACTTCTTTTTGTTTAAAATGCTTGGCAATCCTGTCAGTAGGGTTTATTGAATCCATTTGAGTCCAGAGCAGCAGTCTTTGTGACGTCTATTAATGATCCAGTTTGTATCATAATCATTTCCAACCAATTTCGGTTGATAGGTTTACATTTTGCTTCGATTTGACTAATTTACAAATGCTGGTGAGAATTGAGCTCCAAATGCTTGAAATTGTTTTGAAACTTTTCTCTGTTGCCTTTTGAGTTATGCGACCGTTTTACCTTATCTTCACATGTTTGGAATATCTTAACATCAGGGCACAGGGGTGATTTTCGTTTGTATGGTTACTTGCTGTCATGTTTGATTCTTCTAAAAGTTGTTCCAATGAGAATGAGTATAAAGCCTTTATTCTATCAAATGACCTCTAGTTATTTTTAGCATATTGCAATACAGAGGTTTGATGTTGCAATGCAAATATCTGGTTGTTGCTTGTGTTTCACGATACTTGTATTATAAGGCTGTTTTACCTATCTTACAAGTTGGGAATTCCATGATTTCTCTCTTTTAAACTATAGTATACCTGACTGACTAATCTGGGTTTTTAAGTATGCTTGACTTGTATCTATTGATGCATTCATTGTTCACTGATAATGTCATTCTCATGAAAAGTATGGAGGTGGCCCAACATTAGCAAAGAGTGAATACTGCGTGGATTGCATCTTTGATATGGGGCGCAACATGATGCGTGCAAATATATATAGAGATCAAAGGTCTGAGATGAGAGGACTTGCAGAAGCAGCACTTGCTGGGGGCCATTCAGACGGGAAGTTATACTATGTATCTAAGCCATGGTACAAATAGTTTAGAAAAGCTGATTGCCTTTCCATCTTAATTTTACTTTTTTGTGTTCTTGATTAATGTGTTCTTTTCAAAAATGCAGAACTGGTAGTTAAGGCATATTTGGTTTGTTCAGTGCTAAAGAAATCTATATGTTCAACCAACTTATGTAGCATACTCTTTTAATGTTAGACTTCAAATTGGCTTTTCAATGTTTATGTTTTCAGAAACGAGAAGCTTAAAACGAAGCATCATGGGGTTAAGAAAAATATTCATCCATTATCAGGCTTCATTGAGTATGGGTGAATAAAGTGGTTGCTGAAATTAGTGTTGCAGGTCAAAAAGAATTTTTTTTTATTAGACTGGTAAAACCTGAATTATTCTGTATGCCTATGTGAAACCCCCCAATGCTACTAAGAAAAAAGAAAGAATATAAATGATAAAAAATGTATTGCTCTTCTCATATAGTAGGCACTCATGTTGTGCTTTAATTTGTTTCTGAATATAAATGATAAAAAATGTATTGCTCTTCTCATATAGTAGGCACTCATGTTGTGCTTTAATTTGTTTCTGGTTCTGGCTTTCTGCGAATCATTTATTTACGCATTCTTACAATTTGGTTTTTCCTCTGGCCTGCATAGTCTTAAAGAAATATTGTTCCACATTTCAATATCAGAAATTATTTCATAATTGGTATGTTCTGATTATTATTTATATGATACTTCTATTGGTGTGCATTATAGGTTGCAGCAGTGGCTTCGCCGAAAAAATATTGATTTGCCATCTGATGCAGACTCTGGGCCGACTGCTTCGATCAGATGTCCTCATGGTGAACTCATGCCTGAATTAGCTCCGGGAGCAAAACGAGTACGGGTGCCTGAGAATCTTTGGGAGTTTATACATCAGACTGCTATGAATGTAAAACCCAATGACTCTGTGGGTTGTTCATCCTTCTCATCAGACTCTGAGCCATGTTCTATATGCAGTGTTGAACTTACAGAAGCTGCTTCCTCGGAAGATAATTTAAGGTTATTTAGAATATTTAACAAATATTGATGTAAAACTAACACTCTTTCATTAGGCTTATGAGAAGCTGTATACTGCAGGGAGTTCAAGTTGAAGCAGAAGCAGAACCATGAAAAGTTAGCCATGAACAAAAATGCTGCTCTTTATCCTGATACCAAATACTATTTATTGCCCACCTCTTGGCTGTCAACGTGGAGAAACTATATTAATGCTAGCGGGAAAAATGCTCCTTCTGTGGAAGTAGATACGATCGATACTGTTATTGATAAGCTTCTGTGTAAAGAGGTTTTCTGCAATCCTTTTTTCTTTCTTTTTTTTTTTTTTTTTTTTTCCCATCTTTATTTTGAAATCTATATTGAAATTTGTTCTTTTCATTTCTTCAATTCGTTGTGTGAACCTATGGGGTAGTAAATTTGCACAATGCTAGTCATGTCCCATGGTGTTAGGTGGTGGATACCTTATATATGGCACTCGTGTAAACTAAGAGTTGGCTATATTTCTTCTATTCTATGTCACTAGCATGTACATGATATATATGCTTCCTGACTTCCATAATTTGAATCAGCATTGTAGACTACTCGAGAGGCCCCCAGAACTTGTTTGGAAGAGGGATCTTATTTTCCAAAAGTCTGCTGCTGTAAGTGTTTTCTGAAATATCGACTTTCTTTTGCCTCAAGCTCCTTCACCCTTTCTCTAATATGTCATGTTGATCTTTTTTAAGAAAAATTTGTTGGTGGGACTTTATTTTCATATTTGATCAAATCCTTCAATACTTGTGAAGCCAAACTATGCTTGAGTAGTCTAATATCATGTTTCCATTTTTCACTTTGTATTCTAGGCAGATCAACTCACATTTGTTACGGAGGATGATTGGAAATTACTCTGTGAAGATTGGGGTGGCACATTGTCCAAATGTATTGCTGCCAGCATTGAGATTGATGATACTGTGCAAGATATCAAAAAGGAGATGCCAACTTCTGAGGAGCGTATTAACATATCTGAAGTCAATTCTAGTCAGTGTGGTAGGCCTATTGTTAAGACTTCTCCACAGGTAATTATGGATCTATCTTCCATAATTCTGCTCATGCATTATGGATTATTTGTTTGAGATTTATGGAATCCTAGTCTTCATAATTTCTTATACCTTCACTTACTCTGATTAAAGTTAAAGTAAATAAGTCAAACTGTGATCGGCTGAATCTAATCCTTGTCATGTTGTGCATGCTGTGTTACACATTCCCATGATAATGTCTTTGTGGGTTATCTATTGTGCTTTTGTTGGTAAGTTAAGCATCCTAAAGTAACTGCCACTGCCAAAATGTATAAGGTATATGAAAGGTGAAGTTAACCAAAAATAGCTGCAATGCAGTATGAGTGTACCTATTATTTAGATAATTTATTGAGTGAGTTTGTGGACAGGTAAAACAGTTGTATTTGTGTCTTGGCTTTGAACTGGTTGCTGAGCCAGTTGAGTTACCTTCTCTGATTTCAGATTTGTGCATGTCATCAAGTTTATTTTCTCCTCTATTTGTAGGTTTGTGAGGAGTGTATTGGTGAAAGGGAAAGCTCTGAATTGGTGATGAAACTTAATTATACCAATGAGGATATTTGTGTTTGTTTAATCCGCGGTAAGGAGCCTCCCAAATCAATCTTGGAAGCTTCAGGGGGCTTTTCTGATAATGGTCGTAGAACTTCCAAGCGCTCAAGGAAGGCAGCATATGGTAACTCTGTAAATTTAAATGTTTCTGGGTCTACATCCATTTACCAGCTGAAGATGATGATATGGGAATCATTTGGGGTATGATGTTCTCTAAATTTAATCTAAATTGCTCTTTATCTCTCTCTCTCTCTCTCTCTCGCCCTCCTAAAAATAAATGCTGCCAGTTTTTATTCATTAATTAGATTTCATATGTTGCCTTAAAAGATCAAAGATGTTGTGTAGGGTACTGAGCCTTCCTATGTAGGACTATCAATTTCATTCTGTGCATTGCATTAGCAAATTCCAACCATTAATTTTGATCAATCACATTTCTAGTTTTCATACACACCAGCAACTCACTTCGCTTCATGCAATTTAGGTGGATGGTGCTTTGTGTTCAAGTAGTTCTTAAGGATGAAAAAAAAAAAAAAAAGAAAATCCAGGTGCAGGTTTTGGTAGTGAAGAAAAGCAAATAAATATTTGATCTTGGCTATCTTGGCTTGCAATGTTGTATTGAAAGATCGAGAAGGGTGATGCATGGTACAAGGAGAACAATAAATCCTGTTGCAAACATAAATGGATTGATGACTCCTAAGGAGGAGTTTCTGGGAGCTTTTTGATACACAACCGGATAGATTGTGGAAATGAATAAATGAAGTTCAGGAGGTTGGAGTCCTTTTCCAATATATATAATTGGAGTTGAAGTTCCAGGAAGAGAAAATGCTGACTTAAGTTGAAATTAGGAATTTTCTTGCTGATCGCAATATACCACGTTATTGTTATTTTTTTTGAATATTTTAGGAGATGGAAATTAGGTTACTTTTTATATTTTAGCTGAGATAACTAAGGTGCATTAGTTTTAAAATACCAAGTTTATCTTATGCATTCAGCATGATTTAATTTTAAAAATTTACAAAATTCAAATATCTAGCAAAGTTTAACAAATGCACCTGAGCATATAAATGATGTTTGATCTATTCTGTAGGTTGTCAAGGAAAACCAGGTGCTCCATAAAGGGTATAATGTCATTGATGGTGAATCCACTTGTCTTGCTGATGTCAATATTTTTCCTGGGGATGTGCTGTGGGTGACTGACTCGAAGATCCATGAGAATCGTGACATTGCTGGTAATGCTTTGTAACACTATATGGCTTAAATACTGTGGCAATTCAATATCTGAATCTTCAAATTCTTTTTGCGCCTTAGTTCTCATTCATTTTATTTGGATGCTTGCTGTTTCCATATCAAGTACGGCTATGTTCATTCTGTTTTCTATATTCATCTCCATGGTGTTAGTCTAACCAAAGAAAGTGAGTTCTGACAATATATATTAAAGAATGTTGTGTCCAAGACAAGTTGTGGCAAAGATACATGAAGTAAATTAGACGATCTTTTACTTGATAAGAAAGCTTATCCAGATAAGTAGAAATGAAATTTAATTTCTTTGACCATGCAGTAGCTACTGTTGTAAGGACTTCTAAAAGGAAGTGATTGTATTAAGTAACATCAGTCTTTCTGATTAGTTTTCATATGTATGATTATTATGGTTTGTTAATTGATTACTAATATCTTCTAATTGGTAAGAGGACCTTATCCATCTAGTTAATTCTTGATTTACCATAGGTGTATTGTTTGAATATTGCAGATGAGCTTTCAGAGCCAAATTTGGATGCAAAAACAACAGAAGAAGGCTTTCGTGGCACACTTCTCACATCAACTGTTCCATCTCATCCTGTATCTGAACCATGTTTAAACTAGTACAGATATTGGCCTGATGTTTCTTTTGGATATAGAGAACTTTCTGCCGTCATCTTATTGAAGGTGAGTCTTCAGTTTACATAAGCCAATCTTTCATCTCTGGTATTTTTCCCTTTCTTGTCGATTGTTGGAATTACAGATGTATCCCAACACAGTTTATTTGTTATTTGCTAAGAGTGTAGTTCCCCAGGACTTTTAAAAGTCGAAGCTATCATTTGCCAGTGCTGACTGAAACTTATCAATCCTTTATTCATCATCATTTTTTTTCCCCCTAATTTCTGGCACCCGAAGAAACATGAGCATCATATTTAGGTTTCAATTCATTATTTTTATCACAATAATTTGTTTCATTCCTCATGATTTTCTGTATTTGAAGTTCCTAAATTGTTCAAAATGCTATCATAACACGTGCTGTTTGTTCCCACTAATATCCCCCTTTATGTATTACCTGCATTCATGTTTGCATTAACATCACTCATTATGCTATCATTGTTACTCACTCTAAGCAGCAGTTATCAATTTCTTTTAATTAATTGTATCATCATTAAGCAGATTATACCGTTCTTTAATTTGACATTGATGTTTCCTTCAGCTGCCTTTTTGAATTCAAGGAGATGGTCGAGCAGCTTTTGTGTAATGAAGAAGTGAGGTGTAGAGGTTATGGTTGCATGTACAAAGTTTGTACATGGAAGAACAAGACTGACTGACAATGTATCGTTCCTTCCTTCCTTCCCTCTTTGCCTTTTGCCTGGCTTGTAGATTTTATTGTGGATTTGGTGACACACACTATGTATTACTACCATACATAAACACCTGCCCCTCCTTTGTGATATAATCCAATGTTTTGTCACTTGTTTATGTTTGTTTTGATTGCCATGACATGCGGTATGGTATATTGGGGGTAGACATTTCATTTTTAACATAAGTCGATGACAAGTTTGGATTTTGTTGTGGAGATGAATTTGTTTTCTTCTGTTATGTGGGGTTGGTTTTTAGTGATTCTTTATGTGGAAGTGTAAGTAGATTATTATATGTGATTTAATTATCGTGCATTAGATGACAAGATTTGATTAATTCTATAGCACATGATAGTGTAGGTTGGAGATATATTACTGATTTGTAGGCGAGTGAGTGAATGCACCGCACCCACAACACATGTTTTGAAAGTATTTTGTAGTTTGTGTTTATTTTAAGAAGAGAATAGGCTGACAATTCTATTATCGGGACGACGTTTTCTTGCACCGTTTGTGTAGGTTTCCTGTGGGGATAAAGGAAGGCTAGAAAGAAAGTAGATTGGTTGGGATGTGAGATTATTTGATGTATGATTTTTATATTTGACAGTGATTTATTATTGTGGATGGAAGTCTCTATTGATTTTATTCGATTGTGATCAAACTGGTAATCATATCGTATGATTCGATTCTTGATATTCTAACGGTCACAATTTGTGTACCGGTAGCTTCTTCAATGTTCTGACTACTGAATCCAAATAAGTTTTTAAGTTTTAATTTTGAATATCATCTCTATTTATATTTTAAGATTTCTGAAAAAAATCACTTCACCGACCTTTTTTGCTCTCTGCACAACATTAAACGTAAAAAAATGACCTAATAATAATAAAATCGAAACTCCAATAGTAATAATAATATGAAAATTAAATAAAGAAGCAAATTTTTAAGATTTGAATTCTTATTAGTATTTTATTGTAATATTTTATTCAAAAATACTTGAATATTTTTTTTTTCTTTCAAAAACACACTTTCTTTGTTTAAGGGAAGATTTCCCCATGTATAATATTTCTGTCAATCCATACATACGAAAATGTCCGAGAGGCGGACAGTATATAAATACCTACTATGGTGCAATACAATAATCTTATTTATTATTATTATTATTTTTTAAAATTATTTTATTTTTTTATTTTTATTATACAATTACCACAAGGGCAAATAAGTATTTTATCTACTCATTTCATCCCATAACTAAATGGATAAATTGTCAAGGGACAGAGGGAGTATTATTTTATTATAGTATGTAGGATAATTTTGGTATTTTTGTTATTTGTATTTTATGTATAAAATTATAAATTAATATACTAATGACATATTTATAATTTATCAACTACCAATATAATAGTAATATTCTTTAAATTTCTAATCCGGTGCCTATTCGTATTATATATAAATTTTTATTTCCTATTTAAAAATCAAATATAATAATTACATTAATTAAAATTTTCTGTTTTCAAAAACACAAATTCACAATTTACTAATAGCACTCGAAAAGTAAATGGCAAAAACAAACTAAAAGAAGTCCCATACGTGGGTAACAAAGTGAAAACAATCTTGCCAAAGGATCAAACAAAATGTGTACAAAATTAAAGATCCAAAATTAACAGTAGATGAAGGGCAGAACTGTAGTTTCATTTCTCCACATTCATAAAGACGTATATCTGTAAATAATAAGAATATGAGCAACAGCCGAAGGTCGGGTTCAGACATACGTATCGATCAATGACTTCCTCATCTCATCGACCAGTGCGCTGGGTCGAGCTTCTCTTAACTTGAAAACACTCTCGATAACAGACAATTCAGTTGCAGTTGTGTCCGATCCGCAGAATGCTGTCCAGTCATTGACTGTCAAGCCGGCAGCTATAACTTCGCTACCTCGATTTACAGTCCCCGCCACCAGTGGAACCTGGAGAAGGGTCGACAGTTCATCTAGATCCTCAATGGAAGTATGCGGGTGGACCTGCTCAGAAAATTCCAACAATAAGGGGGTTTAAAATTTTTTGAAACTTCATCCCTTCTTACACTGAAATTTGGTTGAGGAATCAATTGCTTCGAGAAAGAATTAAACTCGTACCAAACCGCCTTGGTTGGAAAATGCGCAGAAACTTCCCACGAGTATATTACCAGCAATTGTCTGCCGGAAAACTTCAACCCCGAGAACGTCAGCAATCATTTCCTCAGTTTCCTGACAAATATTTTGTCCATTAGTAACATCAATACTTCTAGCTAAATGCATTTGTTGACCAAAACTATTCAATAAGTGTTCCTAAACTCACAACACGTCCAAAAATTAGACGCCCTTTTGCATATCCATAAAGTAAACAAGTGCATCTAAGGTGGGTAAGCGGAAGATGAGAAGAACTTCAGGAGGTGATGCTGTGGTGACATAAGTAGTTCGGTGTTGAATTTATTTCATGCTTTTTTTAAAAGTAGTTCATCATGAAATAGATCTTATTTGATTTATCTTCAAGCTTAAGGGTTTTAAGCAAAGGTAGATTGGGCTCAAATAAGTAGAGTATCGGTCGGAAATGATATATATAAGTGAACTAAATATAGATTGATATTATGTAGATACGGCTAGCAATTTGAACATATCCAAATGTTTACCCTGTCGAGATCAGGATGAGTAAGAGCAACATGATCATTGCATGCAATGCAGTTTCCTAAAGCAGACAATCTCTCCTCTATGCGCTGAACAACAACCGAGTCTGGTAGAGCATTCCTCAAATGCTGTAGTTCTATGACACAAGAATACATCAGGTCTAGAAATAGAATAAGAGTAAAGATACAAGAAAACCAACATTATATAGCAGCTTATGGCATATCAGGGACATTTTGGATTCAAAATTCTCATATCAAATTAAACACACTCAAAGGTGGAGATGAGTAAAAATCAAAAACTACAAAAATAATTTGAAAGAATGTACAAATAAGAGTTATGGCTAGAGCCACCACACCAAGAAGCATTACTAGTCCTGATACAGTTCAGCAATGCAAAATATGCAACGATGATGAGTTGACAATAACACCTTTATTTATTCACACTACAACGAACTAGTTGCTTATATGCCATCATAAATAACTCCTATTGCAAAAGTCAGCAATATTGGAAATCTGTGTTAGTAGTGATCTCAAAAGTTGCAAGAGATACTGTTTATTAGCAAGTAAAACTTCTAATTATTTAAATTGAGGTAAAGAAACAAAAGAGAATTAATAATCATAGCACGTAACTAGTCGAGAAAATTCTTGTTACTTAAACAACCCTAATAACACCAACAGCTTCAGATTGTGTTTTAAGTACACATTACATTACACTCAACAATTTAATAATTGGAAGTACACATATGGATGACTCTATGAAATAAGATACTACATATGATGCACAGAATCACCTTGATCAGTAGTAGTGTGAGGCAAAAGCAAACCATTTTTATTTCCTGCAACATAAGCATTTTGGGGTGTGTAGGGAAGGTCATTAGTCTTCAATACTTAGATGATGAATATTAAGACAATAGGATAATATTTAATTTTACCAGCACAGAGACGTCCAATGATTCTAGTGCCAGCAATAGAAGTTTTAACCACTGGAATTACATCAGCCAACTCGGCCTCAAATGTACTGCACAGAGTAGTAAACATATATAAATAGTGCATCTTTCATCTAGAGAAGAAGATTAACAACAAAGTGAAACTGCATAGCTATAATAATCATACCTATAAAAGTTCTCAGAACCCCCAATTGCAACTAAGCAATAAGCATTGGTTAGCTTCGAGAAAACCCCAATTTCGCAATTGTTCTCGTATTGCAATCCTGTCAAGCCAATAAAGATAAATTGTTGGTATCTTACATTTAAAACCAATACAGTGACCATACAACAATGGTGTGACCAAGTGTTGTAAAGATACTTACTTGTTGCCATGCTGGAAGGAAATTTCACTTGGTAACGAATAAGTTTGATGAGAGAGGCGAATCTACAGTAACAACAAGTAGATTCATAATATCAAATCGAATCACAACAGGAAAATAACTAGATTGATAATATAAAGCCAAATCACTATAAGCCCCTACCACCTATAGGGAGTTTTAGACAAGTTTCTTATAAAAGGAAGGTGAATATAAAAGGGAAATATGCTCATCTCCAGCTTTAATGAATTAATCATGACAAACAGAGAAGGCACCAAATGAACATATGAATTCCCGGAGAAGGAAAACAATTTCCGAGCATCGAACATTGGATGCAACATATTAAATTGCCCAACTATTGGACAAGAGTGAAGAAACAAATAAAAACAAACAACAAAATTAAGCGGAGAAACAGAAGATGCTACTGAACACACAACACTAAAGAAGAAAAACCCAAGAAGCAAAAAACAATAAGTGTCAAAGGGTTTCCTCCATGAAAAAACAAATCCTTACAGTATGATATTCAAATAACAATATATATATATATAGTGTTCAATACTATTCCCACAGCAGAACCAAACTACTGTGGAAGAAAACGTTCATAAATTCAACAGAGAAGATTGAACAGCTTGTAAGATATCAATCCGCAACAATAAAAAAAAAAAATATATATATATATATATAATCGACGCCATCTAGAGCAAAATAAAATGAAATTGAAGGCAGATAATAACCTTCAGGCGGTGCCTGGCCGGAGACGGCGGTTGCTACGACGCAGCTAGGGTTTGTAAGATTCTCCGCGAGTTTTTTTCTTTTTCTACCTCACGTTATGTTTTGTAGTATCCGTACAACGCTACTATATAGATTAAAATAATTATATATTTAGAAATTCAAACTTTTGGAATAAAAAATAAATAATAAAATTTAATTTAATTACTTAATTTATTTCTAAATAAATACTGTTGAATTATTCTATATAAAAAAAAACGTTTTGTACCACTAAAATTGATATCTTACAAGACTAACATACTCGAATTATATATTTAGCTCAATATTTTATTTATTTTTAAATAAAATTTATGACCCCTGCAATATAATGTATTATATATATATATTATGTAATAATATATTTTTATTTTTTAGCAATAGATATCAATTATCACAATTAAATTTATATAATAATTATTTCATTATTCATTTTATTATTAAAAAAATATGTAAGACTAATGAAGCTTTACTATGCATAGAAAATTCTAGTGATCCATGGGAAGAGAAAGAAAGAAAGAAAACAATAAAATTATTTGAATCAAAATAAACAAATAATAATAATAATAATAAAAAAAAAAAGATAGTAAATTTACATTGAGTGTTCAATTCGTGTTTTTGTATATTTTAATTTTTATTATTTTTTAGATGAAATTGTTAGACATAGCTCATAATGTAAAATTGATATATTTGACTCATTTAATTTGAATTCGGCAAAATGTGAACTGTTAGTCGAATCTAACTATTGCTCGAGCCCGAAGCTTGGTTTGTTTCTTTTTGAGTTTTATCCGAGTTTGATAGTTTAGTAATAATTTGACATAATATTTTTATGACATAAAGTAGCAAATTAGAACAATGAATAGTGAAAAAAAAAAACATAAAAAAAAAAGAAAAGAAAGAAAATTAGAAATTAATAATTGTGTTGTCGTCGACGACTCTCTCTAATATGAACAAGTTTCCTTGATCATCTCTGCCTATTCTCAAAGAATCATCAACATACCTGTCAAGATCATCCAAAAAATAAATACACAGCAAACATATAATGTAATGTAATCGGGATCGATGTTCTTACGTGATATCAAGCCATCCTTCCGGGTTGAAGATGCCGAGAAGAAGATCATAGTTCTTTCGGAAAACATTCATCAGCTGTATGTCGCCGTTCATCGAACAAAACCAACCCAAATCACGAACTTCATCATCAACAAAAACTGAAAAAACAAACAATTCACCTGACTGGGAGTGATCTCCGACTTGCTGTAGCTGATATCAACGCGCTGCGACAATTTCAAAGATAAATATCATCAGCCCTCTTGTCGTAGGAAGCTGCATTAGTATTATTAGTTCATTGATGAAAAATAAAATTGTACAGACCGTCTTTGATGCAACCTTGAATGTGGCTTCGATGATCAGCTGACCATTCAGCAGATTCAGACCCTTGGAGCTGAACTTGATTATGTTCACGGCTTTCCCCTCCATTTACCCGAAATATATTGAAGTTTCAAACAGTCAATAGATCCATCAGCAACACACAGTGAGTAGTTCTAATCATTGATAGACAATGCACAAAAACAGCTCCATGATAATTCAAATTACCATCATAGTCTATGCTATGATTTTCTTTTCTTTTTAATTGTAATCCAAACTTTTTGGAAAATGTATGTTTTAAATTGGTAAGAAGTAAAACTATGTTCTAAGATGAGAACTGTTTGAGGCAGAACTATTGTAGAATAAGATTGATTTCGATTTACAAGATGTAGGATGGATAAAGTTCTTAGATGGATTCATAGACAAGAATTGTGTGGTAGATATTGTGACCTTTCAAGTGAGGATGCACCTAGTGTTTACTCTATACAAGTTATAACTCTCTACCATCTATTCTATTGTGATCGGAAGGCTTTTCTAAACTTAATTCTTCCGTATCCAATTCCATTTCCCGCCACTAAGATCACAACATTTTCACATGGGCAATTTACTCATCAAATCGAAGAATCGCTCAATCAAGTAATTTGTGATATCAAGCCAGCAAGTGGAACATCCACACGAGTATATATAGAGCTTATGAGTATCTTTTCCTTTCTATTAATCAGAATGAAATATCCCAACTATTGAATTCAATTTCAAATATATTTCCTAACAACCAGTATACAATATTGGCAGAAATTCAATCGACGAATATTCCTAATAATTTCACCAAGTAAACTTTGCAGGCTGTCCTCCCATAATCAAGATAAAGGAAATACTCAAGAATGGGTACCTCAGCAACATTGATGGCCTGGATAAAGTCTCCCAGGGAAATGAAATCTCTCAATCCTAGCTTAGTTCTTTTTGGGCCCAGAATGGTAATGGTGCTGTAGACCAACCTCCAGGCTCCACCTACCTGAAGCAAACAAAAAAATTCAGTACAGAAATTAAGCACCAAATCCATAACATATAAAATTAGATTAAATGGCACCTTCTCTAAGCAGAGGGTTGGGTGAGGAGTGGGGTTCAGACCCTCCAATAGCTCCACCAGTTTTTCAATTTCAGCCTTCTTTGCTGATGGGGTCCCAAATATGCCTCTATTTGTTCCTGTGACAATATGCAAATGCAACCATCAATTTTCCTCTATTTGTACAGAAATCAACCAACAGATAAGAGAGAGAAAGACAGCTGCTGTGTACCTTGAAGTTTAGCAAAAAGATCCTCTTTAATCTGGGATAGAGAAGCATAGTCTGTTGGGAATATTACATCATCATCAGCAACATCAGCTGATTCAGACTCTACACTATCTGTTTCTGCAGCTTTGATAGAGAAAGAAGATGACAATGAAGAAGAAGAAGAAGAAGAAGAAGAAGAAAAGGAGCTAATGGGGTGAAATTTTGTCAGTCTAACAGAGGTGGGCTTTGGAGGAGACACGTGGCAAGATATTGGGATTGGGATTGGTGGTTGGATAAGCTGCTTTGTGGCCATCATTGCTTCTCTGATCCACCCTTACTGAAACCCCACTCTTATCTACTTAAGAACATCAATGGAAGCAGTCTATCTGCTCAGTTCTGATCAATCTTGGAATGCCCACAAGGTTACAAATGAATAAATAATGACAATGAGATTGGTTCTTGGAGTCTGTTCTCCTCTGACTTTGTAGAGAGAGAAGTATACAGGAGCACATGGGATGTGCCCAGAGTTCCAAGATATATAGCAGACAGGCAGATAATAGATATACACACATATACATATGTATGTATCTTTTCCACATTATTTACCTCTTCCTTTTATTGTTGGTGTGTGTGTTTACACGTAGATAATTAGTCAGCTATATCAACACCGTTTGGAAGGATCATTTAGACAACATATAAATAAAAAAGACTAGCATTATTCAGGATCAGGGAATTGTTCTCATGTTGGTAATTGATTGCTAGACAGTGTTGGCAAGGTTTAAGAGCATTATTACATGCATTACAGAGCCATGGAAGAAGATAAGCTAGAGGGATCAAGTTTATGAATATCAGACCTTAAGATATGCAGGTTTACATTTCAAGTAGATTTGGCATCAGATTTTTGAGCCTCTTGTTGTTTCCACTGCTCAGGTGTCAGGGCTTTTGTTATTGAGAGGGCGTGAATCTGCTTCATCTCTTCAGCTAATGCAGTATTCACCATGCGATGCCTGTCAAGCAACCGTTTCCCTTCAAATTTCTCGGACACGATCTCTATTGCAAAGCTTGCACCGCATCTGATCATAGGAGGAAGAATTTTTCGGTGAAATTATGAACTTGTGGCAGAGTTTGTTGGATATGCTCAAAGGGGAAGTGTTAGGGCTATGAGCTTACCCTCCAGAAGTGTCGACAACATCCTGTCGTTGACGTATGAAGCAATGAGACACATAAAAGACAATTAGTATCCGAACATAGCTGTGACATACGTTTTGCACGATACAAAAAACAAAGAGGAAAAGAACACACAAGAAGTTCACACCAAGGAGTATGATATATTGCTATATGCAAGACACATAATCCCTCTTACAAATTTTTCACTCTATAGATCTAAGGAGAAGATTCCTTCAATTCTTAAGCATGCATAAAGTTGATGAGATCCAATACTTGGTTATCCCTACATACACATTCAAACTAATTCAAACATAATGGGCAACAAATTAGCTTACAGAAAATCCCATTGCAATCCGCAGAAGAATCCAATTACGAATAGTGATTTCATGTTCACAGAATCAAGGATTGTAAAACTTTGGTAAACCCCTTTTTAGATCCAAATAGTCCCACCAGATCAATTTCTCTCTCTTGATCAGGACCACAAAGCTATTATGCACTCTGTTACGTTATATAAACACAAAAGGAAGAACAACCGATGATTCAAGTAAACTCCTGTTGCTAAGTGTAACTATTAGCAATTTTGTTGCATAACCATGGCTATTTTGACTTCGACTTTGGTTGTGCATGCAGAGTCTAAACACTACCCAGAGCCTTAATCGCGGCAGCAAAAGACTAAAGTGTAACCTCTCCTTAACATTAGAAGTTTGCAAAAAACCTAATCCATGCTTCAACAATTTTCTTGTGCATGTAAATGCTCTGCACAGACATGAATAGAAGAAAACGACTTGCAGATTCAGTCTATGCCTAAATAGATTACAAGAGCAAGAATCAAGCCTGATGCAGGAGGATTCTTCAAAAAGTCACACTGAATAAATAAAACCAAAAATGCAACTCCCTATCCAGACAAAGTGATCATATAGTCTACACTGCACACTACAAATCATCATGTAGAACATCTTTTACCATTTCCAAAGGCCGAAATTCACATTCCAGCAGGTAAAAAACTGTTGTTCAATCTCCTCAATCTATTTAGTTAAATTTGGATTATACAAACACGCATTCCTTTCCGATTAATTGACGATAGCATAAGAACACATCCCTAACTGAAGCTAACCACATCAGCCAGACAGACGAATACAGCGAAACGAACAGCTGTTTTTCCACTAAAGTTCAGCAAAAAACAAACAAAGCTTAAGCATATACAGAGCATAAGACTTGAGAATTACAAACATTACTCCAAAACAACTGCATCAATCCAACTCCCGCCCAAATCCCAATTAGAAATAAAAGCCAGAACAAATTTCACAAAGAGTGTCAAAGAACACGAAGACCCAATTCCGCTGGAACATCGTAACAATCATTAGGTAAAAAGAAGTTGGAAAGGGGAGATCAAATTACGAGATGAGAAGGGTCGAGCTGAAGCTTGAGAGTTGATTCAACCCGTTCCTTGGTCACTGCTGCTGCCATGTCTCTGCCCCAGTCCAACCCTACCCAGCGTGCTATTTAAGCTCTTTTTTATGCAGACCGAAAAAAGAGGAGAATCTTTTCATCTCATTTTCTGCCATAAGCATAAAAATATGTTCATAAAATATATATATATATATATATATATGTTACCTAAATGACATAAAAATATAAAAATTATTCTATCAAAAATATTTTTATAGTTTCTACTAATAAACAATAAAAAGTACATAAACTTTACATAAAAAAATATATAAATTACATAACTTTAAAATACTAAACTGGCCTGGTCTTAATATGAGCCCTATCCGTTACTCATTCATTAAAAATCAACTAAAAAATTAAAAAGAAATGAACATATCATCGATCTTATTGAACATATTATACGGTAAACTTATGCTTGCTTAGAGTTTGTCTCTTATGTCGAAAAATTTTCTTACATATTTTTTTAAAAAACTTAATATATTATATATATTTATTATTTTTATATTATTTACATAATTATCTCTGGTTTATATAAAATTTTCTTCTTTTAATTTAAAACACAAAACAAATGCACCTTGTAGCTTCATTTATGATTACAAAGGAAATGAACTTATTAATTGTTTTATTGTGCAAGAGAAATGATGAAAATTGATGAATCAATTCAAAGAATAGTAAGTAATAATATATTTTGGAATTATATATTTGTAATTTAAGTAAAAGTTAAATGATATTTTGATAGTAGTGTATGATTAGAAAAAATACTTGTTAAACAAAAAAAATATCCCTCTGTCCCGGTGCAAAGTTATCGTTTACTTTTTGCACATAAATTTTTGTAATATTAGTATTATAATGAGTTGTAGTGAAAAAGACGAAAATACTCCTATTAGTATTGTAGAATATAAACGTAACGACGATATTTATATAATATAGTGTAAGTTATAAGGTATTTATCATGTTAGGTAGGTAGTATGGTAATATTTTGGGACAAACGAAAATGAAAAATGATAACCTTTCAATGAAGTTGAGGGAGTAAGTTACTTTGAATTAAGACCGAGAAAGTAACGTATAAAAATAAATTTTCACTTATAAATTACACTAAACACCATATTTATTTATTAAAAATAAATTAAAATATAATATTTTATACAAATAAGAATAATTAGTTAGTAGTTATATTCTTATAAAAAAAAGTAAATAATTAAAAAAATAATAAAAATAGAACAAAAAAATTCTGACAATACAATCAACAGGGTGCAAATGCTATATATTAAATAGTGGCAGCAGGACCACGCCCACCTACTCCCCCACCCGTTGGAAACAAATAATGATGCAATTGCAATTGCAATTTACCCCTCCTAACATTTAAAAAAATCATTTCAAACCCACATATTTATTCAAATTCATCTTCCGCATTATATAATTATTAAAATAATAAAAATATCTCCTCATCTTCCCCATCCTCCTCTGTGACTGCAGCTTCCATCTCGAATCTCAGCACACTCTCCAATGGCGGACTACGAAGGCACCACCGTCCACCAGCAGCAGCAGCAGCGGAGCACGGTGTCGAAGGAGACGGCGCTGCAAGCTCTAAACACGATAATCCAGCTCCACTTCGAGAAAACCCTAGAGAAGAAGCGCGCAGTCGATCTCCAGAAGAAGCAGCTATACAAGCTCTTCCACGTGTTCTTCATCTTCCTGGCGCTGATCTTCGCCGGCGAGGCTCAGTCGTCGGCGCGGCTGCAGTGCCGCCACTGCTGGGTCCCCATCGGGCTGCTCTCCATGGGCCACCTCATCTTCTATGTCTCGGTGGCGCAGACCCTCCGGTGCATCAATGGGTTCAAGTACCAGCGGCGGTGCCATAAGCTGACCCTGGGGCTCGCGACGGAGCGGCTCCGCCACCTGAAGATGCGCGGCGGCGGCGGGGCGGAGGAGATGGGGGAGGAGCTGGAGATCCATTACCAGGAGCCGCCGGAGAGCTATTTGGGGAAGTTTAAGAGGAATTGGGCTCTGCATTTTGGGTTCCTCATTTTTGTCTACGCCTTCATGGTTTCGTCCTCTGTGGTGCTTCTCTGTTTTTAATTAATTAATTAATTAATTAATTACCTTTTAACATTCCTTCCATCGTCGCAATATTATTCATTCATTGATCCATCTATCTTATATGTCTATCTCATTTTCTTGCAAGGTCAAAAGGTAATGATTTTTTTTTTTTTTTTAATTAGACTAATTTTGATTAGTATATTTGAATTAATTAAAAGAAAAGGAATTGATTGGATCAATATTGATTTTTGTTCGTTAGACTAATTTTTGTTGACGTGAGATTTATCTGCATCATTTTTTTTTTTGTAATTTTTTTTAATAATAGATGAAAAAGAAAAAAAAAAAAAAAGAGTAAGAAATATAGAATTTTAATATTTTGTGAGTTAAATTAGTATAAATATAAATAATTTTACACTAAAAAAAATAATTAAAATTTGAGGGTTGAAAAATGCTATCATCAGTCCATCTGCAATCTTGTATAAATATAATTATAACGTTACAATTAATAATATATTGTATTATATCAAATTATATTATAGGTTATCATAACATGTCTTGCGATCAAATATGCATTATTGATACTAATTTGATTCAGTTAACATTGTTCTAAAATTATTTGACAAACGATCTGTTTGAATTGATAAAGTTCTATTATTATATAAATAAAAATATTTGATAGAAATAAGTGTATCATAAAAAAATAATTCTGTTTATATAAAATATTATTTAAATAAAAAATTAAATTAATATTTTATTCTAAATAAATTTTTAAGTACAATCAAACAATCGAAATCATTATCATTATAATAATAATAAATATCTTTAAACAAAAACAAAAACAAACAAAATCAAGTAGAGCGGAGCCCATCTGAAGGTCCAGCAAGGCAGTAACTGTGTCAGGTCCACAAATGACCCGAAACCGAGATGACCATTGAGAAACGATGTCGTTTTGTCTGTACGAAAACGACGCCGCTTAATGGGGATATTAGATAGAATTCCCAATTCAACCAGCAAGTCATCGACCTGACTCTCGCCTGCCTACAATTCAATACAAACTCTCTCCTTCTCCGCCGAGGAGCAGAAGGGGAGATTCCGGCGGCGTTCATTGCAGAATTTGTTGTCTCCGGCTCTCTGGTTTGCTCTGATTTGCTTTTATTTGAGCTTGATTCTGTCGATCTGCTTCCGCCACGGTAATTGCCTTATTTTTGAGCCGGCATTTCGAATCAGTTGAAGTATATCTCGATCTTTAGTTGGGAATGTTCGATTTGAAGTATGATCTCTATAATCCAGATTTCGGTGTGGTTGTGGATTATTTATGCCGAATGTGCTATGCTGACGGGGAGTAATGCAGATAGATATTGGACTCCTCGGCGTTAAAGATTGTTGTACGTGAGTCTTTCTTTTCTTTAACTTGTTCAACTGTTCAGTGTGTTAGTTCTGCGTGCTAATTGTTTCACTTCAGCTGAATGTGCTTCTAGGAATTTGGTTGACAAAGCCCTACGCTCAAACGTAGCTTCATTGGTTCGTAGGTGGCTTTTCCTCTTTGTGGACTTGCATTTTTGTTTTAGTTTCTGTATATTATGTGGGATAACCAGTTGGTATCTTCAATACAAGCAATGTGTTGTAGCTCCTTGTTATAACTTAGTTCCTTGTGCATCAATAAGATGCCGCAGGGAGACATTTCGTCACCGCATGAACGACTTAAACTGGCATATTAAATGATCTATAGTCACAGTTATCATGTTATAAGACTATGTTTGTCTAATGTTGATTAGAGTAGCAGGATTAATTTTTGGGTATGTATGCTTGACTGTATTTTTGGAGGTGTTCTGATGTTTTGGAAATAGTACAAATTTGAATTGGAAATGGGTGTAAGAGTGATTTTAAAAATGAAAAATAGTTGCTGGAGGTGATGTTTTGAGTGGAAAATGGGTTTCTTGATGGTATAATTATGACGGGAAAGTTTATTTTACTTTAGAATAAATGGTGAAAAAATGAATTTGAAAAGAAAAGTAAATGATATGCTATAGGTTGTCGCATGATTACACACTTCAAATGATTGGTTAATTGGGAAGCATTATTGGTCTTGTATTCTTCTGCAAAAGTTCTTGTGCTAATAAGTTTGAGTGAACTCTGAGTAATCAGAAATAAACAAGTTCTATAATGGACGTTCCTCTTAAGATTTCAGCTGCGCTTTAAGTATGCCATTACAGTACAATTCTTATCATAGTTTTTAGTTAATTATTATACTTAAGGGTTTTCTTGTTATTCATTTAAGCTTCAAGTGTTTTTTGTTAGTATTGTTTAGTTGAAGATCTTGTCTCGACTAAAAGGAGTTTCACTAATTCCACCACTTAATTGCTTTGATACATTTTTGACTGATTGTTTAGATTGGTAGGAATTACTTTGGCGTTTTCAAGTGAAACCTTATTTCAGTACACCAAATTGACAATTTTTGTGTTGTAAGAATTATCCACTATATATTATGACTCAACTTTATCCCACATCAAGGTCATCATTTAGAATGATTAGTGTTGATGTGATGCTCATCTCTGTTTAGTATCTGTACAGTTTGCTAGGTCTCTTTCATCACTATGATCTCATTTTTGCAGTATTTGGCTTTGTTTGTACAGGAAAGCATTCAAGGGAATGGATTTCTAGGCTAAATATTAATTTACTTTTAATGGTAAGATATTCTCCTTAGTTTGCATTTTGGGACTTAATTTTCTCTGTATTGCCATGTTCTTTAACTGAGCCTTTTATCATTATACTGCCTGAAAAAATTGCGTGGAACAAGTGTGCATGCCTTCAACATTGGAACAGAAACTGGATTACTCAATTTTGATCTTGAGTTGTGAAGAATCTAAAATCTGAAACTATAGCAGAGAAGAGCAATATGACAGGCTTAGATTGAATCGTGAAACTTAGTGTCATTTCTTCTTTTCAAGAATTGTGATGCACTAGAAAATATTGCAAGTTATGGAGTAGGTTTCAGACTTTATCTTCACATCAGACTTCGAATCGGAAAAATAAAGTTTTGGAATTGGATATTGAGATTATTTACCTTGAGCCAGTGCTTTTGCAGCTGGTGTGTGACTTGGTCTCTGGTTAGATCGGTTAAGTGCTATTCATATAATGATACATACGTATATATGTATATTATAATACATATATGTGCTTGACCATTAGAATAGTAAAATATCTTCCAGGAAATAAATTCAATCCTTGTTTTACAATCATTCATTAACTTTAGATTTTTGTAGTGTGGTATGGAATATTGTACCACTTTTTAAAAGAGAATTTTATACAGGTATAATAAACAAAAATAACCATCAATAGACACTATTATACAAGCTGTGCAATGAAAATAACTTATTAGTAAGTTTGAAATGTAATAGCTGAATTTGTAACAATTTAATTAGTTATTATATAACTAAGTAATGTAGGCTTTACATAATACTTCCTATGCAAGAGGTCTTTACTCTTTCACCAGTTTGACTGATTCTGAATTTTGAAAAAATCAAAATATGTATAGATTTTAAATACACATATTTCAATCTCTGATTCTAACAGTGGTAGTCTAACTCCCAACAATATTTTGAAATTCGTTCTAACCTCCCATTCCGATAGCTCATATCCAAAGCCATCTAAAACATGTTATACTGAATAAATTGATAGTATCCTCTGCATCCTGTATACATGAGAAATAGTGAAAAATGATAGTAACCAAATTCGATGATGTAGAAAAGTGCAGCTAAAACCAGTTATGAAGAACTATTATTTGAAGAATTATCTTCACTTCCATTTTATGAACTCATATCATCCTCTATTACAAATTGATATGTGATCACCATGTTGCTGATTTTGTGCTCTAATGAAAGGATAACAATCATTTGACAATCAAGACCTTTATGGCCATCACGGCTGAGAGGGATGCCGCCATCCGAGAAAGGAATATGGCACTTGAAGAGAGAAAGAGGGCTTTTGCCGAGCGAGATATGGCAATGTTGCAGAGAGACGCTGCGATTGCCGAGCGTAATGCTGCGATAAAAGACCGAGATGAGGCAATTGCTTCCCTCAGATACAGAGAGAGCTCGATGAATGACAACAGCACCACCCCCGACTCACTCGGAAATGAACTCTTAAGCGGAGATCGACACTTCCAGTACCAGCAGCAAATCCATATGTCGGAACCAGCATGTAGTCCAAGGGAAAGTTTCAGAGACACCAGCGGCGTCCGTATAGCCGAGCAATCCGAAACTCCCAAGCCCAGGAAAGAACGACAACTGAAAGACGGAAAGGTCACAAAGTCAGCCAGGTCTCAGAGCGCCGGGAAAAGAACATCCGAAGGACTCAACAAGGCGAATCCTGCAGCGCCGACTGGTTTTAATCCAGAGCAGAATGTGGATAGTGACGAAGACGACATAGCCAAAAAGGTATCATGGAAGGATAATCTGGGGTTGAACCAAATTAACTTCGACGAGTCGTCGATGCCGGTACCGATCTGCACGTGCACGGGCTCACCCCAGCCGTGCTACCGATGGGGAAACGGTGGGTGGCAGTCGGCGTGCTGTACAACGACGATATCGATGTACCCGCTGCCTCAGATGGCGAACAAACGCTACACTAGAGTTGGTGGCCGGAAAATGAGCGGCGGCGCTTTCAGCAAGCTGCTTAATCGACTTGCTGCCGAGGGGTATGATTTCTCGACCCCGCTTGATCTCAAGAACCATTGGGCTAAGCACGGGACGAACCGATACAGCACGCTGAAATAGCTGGGAAGAGTTATAAGTTATATTGTGGTTTGGATATTTCTGGGCCATTAGGTGTCTTGTTCTTAATTCGCCCTGGTTGGGTGGTTGTTGTTGTCGCCGCCGCCGTCGTCTGTCGTCGTCGCTTTCCGAACGTTGTTATGTGTGTATGTATGTATGTATGTGTTGCTGTATTTCTGGGGAACGGCTGTGTTTTGGGAGTCTTGGACATCTCTAATTTCTAGTGATTTTAGAACAGGAAAGAAATTGATGTTTATATAAGATTTAACGTTGATATTGCTAGGGGTGTGCAAAATGACGGATTTTCGATTTATCCATGGAAAAAATTCCGAAAAAATCGAATTCAAATATTAGTTACCAATTTCGTTTACGATGCACACTTGTGTTTGTTTAAAAGATTTTGGTGGATTTTTACTGTTTACAAAAAATTTCCTTTAAAAATATCAAATCGAACACTTATTTTTTATATTATATTAAAATTTAATTTTATATTTAAAACATCACATCAATCCATATTTATATTACGTACTGATCAAATCTCAATCCAAAATCTAAAGTCTCGAACAAACACATAAGTAAATGTTGGTGTTAGTTAAAGTCTTGGGGGCTGAATTTAATATAAAAATAATACTCAGTAATAAAATATTTACAGCTACCCTTATAATTTAAAATATATTATACAAATATTATTACATTTATATCATATGTACTAATAAAATTATTTTAGTTATTTCTACTTCCGAGACGGAGGGAGCAAATAATATATTTTAGTATATATATTTTATACTAATATTTGTGGAAATCGATAATAGAATAAGCTTTAAGTGAAGATAAAACCTTCCTTTAATATAAAGAATTTAATAAAAGCAGTGATAAAAAACATTGGCAACGAAGACCTGAACGAATTCATATGAACCCAATTCATCTGTGTATTTGTTCATTCTGCACTTCATAAATCAGCGATGAAATAAATAAGCTCATCAAGTGAATCCCTGTACACATGGGCGCCTCCGAATCAACACTAACGACTTCCCGAGTTAGCCCTCCCTACCTTCTATTTCATCACTTTCGAATTGAATTGAAAGCTAGTTTTCGATTCCTGTATATGATTAATGTATTTTGAATGTGCGCTTGAAGAATTCGGAGGATGGGATCACCACCGTTTCTGAGCCGACCAAGGGCGTCGACCCCATTTTGCAGAGGCTTCAGTCCCTCAAAATTGTGAGATTTCATTGCCCTGTCCTTTTTTTTTTTACATCATAGGTTTGCGTTAGTTATAAAATTTTCTTCAATTTTGTGATGTATGTGTTTGTGTGTGTGTTTAATGAAGACGAAGCCTATACTTACATCGGTACCTGAAGAGAGTAGCTTGACGGATATCCTTGTCCGGAAACCTCTTTCTTCCACTAATACTGGTAACTTTTTGTTTATTAGTTTCATTCTTTTCAAATCTGTGAAAACATACCTATTCAAGAACTTCTGTACTTGTTCTTGTGTTCAAGATGAGTTAATGTGTTTTCCTGGCCAAGGTAATGGGGATTGTAGATGCTGCAAGAATCTCAATTAGCTCATTGTCTTTTAAAATTTTGTTGTGAATGAAGGAAGTTTCTTGTTGCTATGATTCAAATTATTTATGTCTTGCAATGTTTTGAGTAGGTACTGTAAATCCTAATGTACTGCTGGAGCTCTTCTCCATATTTCGTGATTGGCAAGATGAGAAAGCACAAAACATAAGTAAAAGACAGGTCTGTTTTTGTGATATCATGCTTTTGAGTTCTTTATATTCAGTCAATTAGTTCAAGATTATTTATAGAGGAGAATTTATCATAGATTCTTATAAATGTGTCTGATGGTAGATTTACGTAACATCGTAATATGTCATATATGTGTAAAGTTTAATATTCCCGAATCCTTAAATCGTTCTCATTAATATAACATGAGATAGGGTTGAGACTAACGGATTGATCTAGACTGCCCTTATTTACTCTTTCTTGTATAGGTTGTTGCTACTAACTCAATAAGGGAAGAGAATAGATTGGTACACTTAGATCATAATATAATGTTTGAACTCTATTAGGAATGCTATCCATGGTTTGTTTTTGTTTTTGGAACCAAACCTTGTAAAATAATATTTTGGAACCTCCTAAAACGACGTGAGTTTCAAGATAAAACCTTAATACAGTTGATAAAACTCTCTACTTACGGGTTGATTCAACATATTTAATGTAACCTAACCACCTAAGCGACACAACCTTAAAGAGTTCTACCTGTAAAATATTTAATTTAATGAGGACGCTGTGTAACAACTCCTCTCTACTTTGGAAGCATCTTGTCCTCAAGGTGGAAGTATCAAAACTAACTCTTGGCATCCTCTATGTCCATCCATGTTGCATTGTCTGTGCTAAATTCCCACCATGGATGTTGGGTTGTACCCTAGCTGCTTCTTGATGCTTATTGTCTCTCATTTTCATCACACCTTGATTCCAGTAACCAAATCCTTGATCTCCACCTATGCCATCAGATCTCTTGGAATGCCATCCTGATGTTTACAATCTTTTCTTTGACTTCCAACATTTACCTCACATTGTTGGCTCCAAGATATCTTACGATGTAACTTGTTCTATTAAGATATATCTTACAGTGTAACTTGTATTGAAAAAAAAAAAAAATTCAGTCGAAAACTTTTACTAGGAAATGCCTCTTCCAAAATGAAACCAGCTCCTAGACCTACATAATGAAACCTATAAGACTATTCTAAAAATATCCTACTTATACTCAATGTTTGTCGGAATTTCAAGTTATTTGTCAGGTGTTTGTGTAAGCTTCCCCTGAACTTTTGGCCATGAGATAAATGGCCTCAATGCTTTCATATAATTTAATATGCAGGAAGAGATTGAAAACAAAATAGAAGTTGCTGATGCATTAGGCGTAAAGCTTCTCCAACGCTTCAATTACTCGGTGTCAGCAATGAAGACCACATCCAATCATCTATCAGAAGGTATCTGATGCATCTTTAAAGTTAACAATCGAGGCATCTGTGAGTGTTAGAGCTTGTTATCTATTTATGTGTATCAGAAAGTTGTTCAATGGGGTTTATAGTAGTGTCTTTTTGCTCTCATTAGACTGTTGGCTTAGTTAAATTTGGCTTATAATTGCGTTTATTGGTTGATGTCTAAATGTTGCAATGGGAAAATGTATGATTACATATAAAAATGTATGTATTGACCACCTGGGAAAAAAAGAAGGCTTTGTTTGTCGGTAAGTTCAGATTATTCTGAGTGTGTGAAAATGTGTTCTAATTGATTGGAATAGTAAAGGATAGTAATTTTTTCTATATATGTAGACACAGACAATTGGATCTCTTTCAATTCATATAATTTTATATAAATTTTTGTCAATATGATTGGGTAGTTCCTAGGATGGTGGATTTAGGCAGATGCAACTATGAATAATTTGAATATGGGTGAAGGAAAGGTTGCAATTGAGTAAAAGTCATTTTGAAAGTCATTATGAACAACTGCATATTTTGTTGGTGAGAGGTGTTTCAAATATACTTACACACGAAAAATGTATATGGATTTGCAATGGACTCTCCAAGTGTGTTACTCTGACGTGCGCTATATATATATATATATATTCACATTGCTGCAGTGCATTCATTGCAAGTCGAACTGGGAGAGCTGAAAGGAAGATTAACTGAGACCATTAGCAACTGTGATGCATTATGCAAGAGAATCGCCAGCGAGGGACCAGAATCGCTGAAATCTTCTGTAAAGCCTCTGACAGCCGTCTCCTATAATCAACAGACAATCAGCATCGAACAACACTTGCCTTCATCATCAGTGGATGAGAAAGATGAAGATACATCTTCGGTGCAAGAAACTAGTTAGGACTTCCGGCCCTTTTATACGCCTTGTTAAATCTTTTTACATATTCTAACAGTTGCAGTCTGAGTTGTCGTCTAGCCGTGCCGAACATCACCAACATACACCCTGCTTGGAAATGCCGATTTGTTATTCCCAACCCTTTGGAGCAACAACTCTAGTCTGTGCTCTCAAGGCATGATGGGATTTTATTTTATTTTATTTTTAATTTTAATGAATATTTGATTCTCTTGTGCTGAATGTGCAATTTGTTGCTGCATGTTTAGCAAATGTTACATTTGATGCGGTGGGTTGTAGGAAATATAGATCGATTTAGTACTGTAACTTCGATAATTGTTTGGCAGTTGCTCATGTTGAAATTATTGTGTATATAGATAGTGAGGTATTGTCCAAATATGTACTCCCTCCGTCCCACCACGATAGCAATTGAAATATTTCTAATTTTTGGTAAAAATTATTAAATCAAAACATATTCAACAAATATAAATCAACTTAATTAATTACGTAACATACACAATAGGACTCGTTAAAATTTCTTTATTTCTATCTTTCTCCTAAAAAAAATATTTTTATTTATATTTAAAACTACACATTTTTTATAAAATTAATTTATGTTAATTATAAATTAAAAAAAAAATATTTTTTATTTACTTGTATTATTAAAATTTTTTTTTTACAAAATAATATCCATATTGCATATATTTTTTCATTGTTATATAATTTTTAAATATTTAAATATATATTTAAATTTTTTTAATTATATATATTAAATTTACTTTAGAAAAATAAATATTATTAATTATAAAAAAAATATAATAATATTATAATTAATTATTATTAACTAATTAAATATCTTCGTTATTCAATTCTGGTGGAACGGAGGAAATATATATATATGTATATGTATGTGTATATATTGTTAGACGTAATCTATTGATGCAAGTTGTCCAACTTAGGGATGATAAGTAGACAGATTTGGGATGGGCTTTGGTAACCCAAAATCCGGCTTTAGAACCCAATACCCGTTTTGCCTTGAACCGGCTGGGTTTAGGGCAACTTGAAAAATTCTTTTTATTTTGTAATATATATATATATATACACATATAAAAGGGTTTTTTTTCTTTCTTTTTTTTATATATTTTTGTTTTAATTTTTTAAAAGAAAAATGCTTTCAATTGTGACCACATGGATGTAGCGATGACTGATGACTAATCATATATGAAGATTGTAAAAAGTTAAAAGAATTATAAATACTCCATGTAGAAATATAAAAATATAAATAAAGTAAAAATAGATTTTTTTTTTTTTTTTTTTTTGTCTCCTCCAAAATTTTTGATCAATTTTGATTTCGTTCAAATTAGAATCAATCAATTCTAACTTTATAATAGCTAATACGGATAGCACAAAATATGATTATTTAAAAAATTGATTAAGTTTTACAGAGCGTCAATACGATATTGTGGGATTAATAACTACTGTGTTCCTTGCTATATTCATACCTCATGTTCATAGATTAAATTCTACAAAATTCATCCGTTGATTTCACAAAATTGCGCGAAATCTCTTGTATTTTCAAAACTATGTTCAAACTCCTTCTTAGTTTTATAAATTTGCGTCTAACCCTTTTCGGCCGGCTTTATTTAATAGTTTTGAAATTCATTCGCAGTCTAAGTGCGTGTAGGTTAAACATAGTTAAATAAGGTTATAAAATCACGAGGGAGTTTGACACTTTTTTGAAAGTACGAATAATTTTGCATTATTTTGTGAAATTACAGGTAAATTTTATGCAATTTAGCAAAAATTTTAGTTTGGCCAATTAGTGTTCTTCATTAATTACAAATTAAGAGCAAAGAATGCACACAATATAGATATATATGCACAAAAGACGCACTGCCCTATATATACATACGATGCCATCACCTGCAGATACATATGTTCCATTTTGCTTCTCCGATCCTCCCTTTCCTTCTACAATGGCAGCAGTACTCCCCAGGCCAGGCCCAGTGCTTCCAATGCCTCTAATGCCAATGGCATGGCCGAACGATTACGGCTACAGTAGGCCCCCACAACCACAAGGGGGCCGGGGTATTGAAGCAAGAGACCTGGCCGGGGGCAAGGGCCAGAACAGGCACATGAAAGAACATCAATTGAAATGAATAATGCAACTAAGCATCGATCAGGGTTCTTGCATGTTCCTTAATGCCCCAAGGGATTGCTGGAATGGTTCCCTGTCTGGGCCCCCATCAGGTGAAGCAAAGAAGATGAAGTTCAGTGGGCAGATGGGGTGAGGTGATCATACTGGTGTTACACCAGCTAGTTCCAATGGGTTCCGAATAGATTCACAACTCATAATCATTTAAAAAAATATATATATTTTTAATGAAAAACTGAATGAAAATAGTATTGATTTCAGTTAAGAACAAACCCTAGTTTGTGGGCACACATGTTTCAACTTGTACATTCTTGTTGAAGCATTGTGCAGTTTTGGTGCAGTCTTTGGCAATATGGAAACTAATCCAGACTTCAGATGCAGATGTGTTTGTTTGTGGGTTTTAGTTTTTGAGTTTGGATTTTTAAATAGTAAATAATTGGATTTGAATAGTTGTTTGATGCTATAAATAGAGGTTAATAATAGTAAAAATTTATGGTAAAACCCATTAAAAAACGTAACCTTAAAGTCTTTCTTAATTTTTTCAACCTAGTTATTCCAACTGCCCCAAATTCAAAAATCTCATACGCTTTTCAAAACCCTAAAAGTTAAGCTTTTAAAACCCTCATTTCTCCGATAGATATAGTCTTTTTTCTTTTACGTTCTTTTCCATTATAGTATTATCATTTTCTATTGCTTAGCTTCTTCTATCTCTTTTAATCCCCTAATTAGTTAACCCTTTTTTTATTTATTTTTTTTTTGAATTTGAATAGTTGTTTGATGCGATATGAATAGATATTGATAATAGCAAAAACTTGTGGTAAAACCCAAAAAAGAACGCAACTTTAAAGTCTTTCTTAATTTTTTCAACCTAACTATTCCAGCTGCTCCCAAATTCAAAAATTTCATACGTTTTTCAAAATCCTAAAAGTTGAGCTTTCAAAATCCTCATTTCTCTGATAGATTAGTGCATATAGTTTTCTTTTACCTTCTTTTCCATTATAGTATTATCATGTTCTATTGCTTAGCTTCTTCTATCTCTTTTAATCCCATAATTTAGTTAACCCTTTTTTTTTTTTGTTTCCTTCTTATTCTTGCTTTCACTGTGTGCTCAATAGGATGGATTTTGTGCATTGTTTTCATGCACTGATAAATTACATAAATCATCATTAGAGAAGTCTTCAAAAGTATTGTTACAAATATTAAGTATTATGAAATATTTAGATAAATTTCTTTGTAGACTCATAGTGGGTTGATAATTATATTAGAATATTAATTAAACCTAACAATATAGTATATACCACCTGCTGTTGTTCTTGTCGATGCCATAATATGTTTCTTAAATCAATTTATATTATGTTTTTCAAATATTCCTATATAAACATTTCTAGACAAGTCATTTCCAACCAAATTTAAACACCCAATTCAAGAATAACCCATCCAATAACATAATTTTGTTAATAGTTTGTCTTAAAGTACTGAAATAAGAAAATGAAAGAGTCCCTATTTTTTCTTGTTGATGTGTAATAAGGATACTAATGTTTTAATAAACCTAATATTGTAAGAAGGATGAGATTATATATATATATATATATATATATGAATATTTAGGGTAATATAAAAGGTTAAAGAGTGAGTTGGATGTTTATGTTTTTATGGAAATGACTTATTTGGACAGAAATATAATTAGTCAAAGTTGGGTAGGAACAAGATAGATAGAAATATTATAAACTAATTTAAAAATAAAATGAGAATTACATATTTGGATAAAAATCGTAATAAATATATATTTATTATTTTTCTAAAAAAATATTCCTAGTCATTCAAATTTATGTTTATTTTTTCAAATTGTCATAAAAAAATGGGTTTGTTCACTTATAGTTTCTTTTGAGTGAAACGATTTTTATAAATATTATTAAAAAATACAATATATACATATATTAATACAATATATATTATTTACTAAAAAAATATCAATAATTTAATACAAAATATTATTTTTTATATTACAAATATAATTATCATACTTAATATAAAAACATATTCATCTAAAAACATAAGTCATTATATTTTTATTTTTTAGTAAAAAATTATACCAATTCTTTGTACTTTTTTACTAAAAACGCAAAACAAATAATTATTATTTACTTTAATTAAAGCACCTGTTTAGGCATTTGAGCACAAATTTGAATGATAAATAGAGCAACGGTTAGAGACTAAAATTATACTAATAGATAAATAATCAAATTTGTCATTTTTAAAAATAGAAAAACTAAAATCTGACAGAAAATGAAATAAAAACAACAAAAAAAAAAATGTATTTTCCCCAAATTCATCTCTCAAGGTAGTTTATAGATTCTATTTTATTTTTTGATTTTTAATTATGAAGTTACTATTTATCATTTTGGTAATTGAGTGAAATTATTTTATTTCTTGTTTAATTAGATAATGAGGATCCATATATAATAAATTAAATTCAGTATAGTAATAAAATTAAAGACAATTTAATTATTACTTATAATGGTCAAACATTCATATTATTTCCATTAGTAGCATGTTTAACGATAATTACCTAATAAATTATTATACTTTAAATGAAAACACAGGGGTGTGTTTGTTTGGAGGACTGGATTCGATTTACACTATTCATCCAATTTTTTTCCCAAAAAATATCAAATTAAACACCTATTTTTTATTTTTTTATATTATACTAAAAATCAATTTTATATTAAAAAATCACATCAATACTTATTTATATCACATCATATAACTATTCAAATTCAAAATTTTTACTATTCAAATTCCAACTCAAAATCCAAACCCCAAACAAACATAGGAAACAAAATATAGACATATAGGACTAAAAAAAAAAAAGAAATAATACATAACATAATTTGATTGCCTTGGCGCTAAGGGATGAAAAGCAAAGCTTTTTAAAACAAATAACGGGGCCAAGATGAAAAGTCCAGATAGAGAGGGACCTGAATTGAAAATATTTTGAATGGTAGAATCTATAATAATAATAATAATAATAATAATAATAATAATAATAATAATAATAATACCGTTGTTCGTCCAATGCAGAGCCAGCGAGAGAGCAATGAGAAATGCAAAACGACGAACAGTTTGGTGGGTGAAGGAGCTGTTGAATTTTCAATATGAGGTGACACGTGCACTGCACACCTCCACCTGCTCTATAAATTAGATTCAAGCACCTTACAGCCTGCTCTAGCTGGCTAGCTAGGGTTTGCCATTTGCGTTGTTTTTGCGCCGTTCCGCGAGGGGAGATCGATCGAGGTTATTCAAGTGCGAAGAAGAGCTCAATTGCAGGTATGGCGTCCAGAGCGGAGGGTTCAGACTCATCGACGAAGCATTCGAGGCTTCCTCTTCATCACAGAAGCCGCACGGTATGTATATATATATATATATATTATTAGCTTAGATCGTAGTGTTTGTTTGTTAATTAGGGTTTTCGTTTCTGAGAAGCTCACTGGTTTAATTTTGATTTAGTTATTTTTGCTTAATTTTGTGTGCTCGGCGCCTTAATTTGGAGTTGGAGCTAGTTTGATTAGTTGTTATGGAATCTACTACTTGGTTTCAAACTTATAAAATCTAAGTTAAAGGAAGCCAATGAAACTCAAATAGAAGGTGGTCGTGGATCGATGTTTCAATGCTAACGAGGGTGGGGTGGGGTGAGGTGGGGTGGGGTTGGGGGCCAAAGAACATTTACATGGCACTAAAAAATCTAGTGTGGAACTATTTCCGTAAAAATTTATCAATTTGTGACGAAAATAGCTATATACCACGAGAATATGACATTTTTGTGGTAGTGTTGTTCGACTTTATTGTGATGGTAGAGTGACGCAAGCCGGACAATTAAATAACTTTAGCTTGCACTAGCTTAGGGAAAGGTTTAAGTTGCCAAGTGTTAAAGAATTAGCGATTTATTGCAACTACCGAGTATGAAATATATACTTGGTGGGGCCCCGCATGCTTGCCACGGGGGATTGCACGTGTTCCTCGTCAAGCAATAGATCGCATTCATTCATCTTTTCGGCATATGTTATTTTAGATTGACTTTCGGTTGAGCCATGTTGTAGAATTAGTAGCGAATTCAACCCGCGAATCCTGGTGGCTCACTGTCGGCATTTTTTTTTTACTGATTTGATATTTTTTTCGATTCTTATTATCGCATTAATAATAGATTAAAAAAACATAAAAAAAATGATAATCTTATTATTTTAAAGGACAAATGAACATAATTATATTATAAAAAACATTTTTACACTAGAAAAATTAAATAAAATGATAGCATCTTTCATAATATATAAATGTATCATGAATGTTATAATAGTTAAATGAGAATGAAGTACTTAGTCTTCCTTTCAAGTTATATAGCTATTGTTACCAAATTTCACAAATGTATAAAAATAATAATATAAAAAGAAATCTATAAATAAATATTATACATATTCAGGATCAAATAATAACAATATAATTTCGATAATAAAAATCTTCCATGAGGCCCTAGCATTTCGTTTATATATATAATATAGTAAGATTCTTCTATAAGTCTATCTTATAGTAGTAAATTGAATAAAAAACCTTAGGGATGCAATCTATGTTCTAAAATTTACATTTGTAGTAATTACGCAAAATCTAGACGCGAGTTTACTTTTACACCATTACGTCATTTTTTACGAGACAATTATATTTTTTATATTATTTTTGATATGCTTGTCAAATGTATATTAATTGTTTACTTCTCACTTAATGTAATCCCCAATAGTCACTTTGAATTTTTCTCTTTTTACTATATTCAAAATTTCTCTACTTTTGTCAATAAGAAAAATGGCATATGTATGTTTTTGTACTTTGGATTGTAATAGGAATTTCTTTTAGTCATTCCCATTTCAAATTAGGTCTATTTTATCATTTCATTTCCTTTGCTTGCATTTCTATTTTTTATTTGAAATCTTTATTATTGTAGGTATTTTCTCTTGAGATATTTCTTTACACGTAGATAAAGATGTCCAAATTATAATATTTGTTAGTCATTATAGTATTATTTGCAATGCTGATTATTCCGGGTATATTTCTTTAGATCAATTTTTCAAATTTTATTATTTGGACTCTGAGTTTTTGAAAAAAATATTTTTTTTTCTCACAAAATATCCTATCAAATATTATTTTAATATCAAACTCAAACTAAAATATTCCAAACTCAACCAAAAGAAACACACCACACCTTATGCGTCATGATGCATGCATCTACATATATATATATATATATATATCAGTTTGGATTTATCTGTTGTCTATTTTAATTATTCCAAACAGATCGAATCGGAACGTTCATCAGCTGTTGAAGTTTACGCAGAAGCGCGATCTGGATCGTCAAGCCGAGTCAATTCACAAGCTACAGCCGGATTAATGGAACCTCGACTCAATATGCTGGATCATGTCAAAGACAGAACCCTCCTGAGCATACTAAAGACATTGAAACCAAAGTACCGGGACTTTGCTGTTGAAGCTGCTTCCACTGCCATAGCAGCCATTGTGCAGGAAAACACACAGATCGATCCAGCGACGATGGTGAAGATTCTTGCCAACCCAGAAATGGCCAAGGCTCTGATTGACAACAGTATCGCCAGTTTCAAGCCTTGAAATTAATGCAACAGTAGTTGTATAATCAGTGCTTTCTTTGTGTTGCTCTATTTAATCAAGTACTCTCAAGTGGAATATCTATGGTGATCTGATCAAGAATCTCAATTAGCTCATTGCATTTCTAATTTTTGTTGTGAATCAAGGAAGCCTCATGTTGCTGTGATTCTAATTATTTATCTCTTGCAATGTTTTGAGTAGGTTCTGTATATCAAGATTGTTGGAATTTTAGGAATGTTTCATGTATGTTTAAATATAATTTATTATATAGATTCAATATGAAATGGTAATGAGATAAAATATATTAATCGGGTCCAGCTCCCGTCTATCTTTTGACCTAAATCTAACCCGATTAGCATATATGATCTGACATATACCGGAATAATTGGATTCGATTTCAAATTAATAAATGTAAAGCCTTTTAAACCAAAAAAGGGGTCAATATGGAAATCTCAGACAGATAAAGACATGAATTGAAAATATTTTGAATGGAAAGAAAGCCCACAATCTGTAATAATATATATAGGTCTGTCAAGAAGCTCCAAACCCATTATTATTTTTTAAAATCCAATCCCCTTGTACATATTAGGTTTGAATCAAAATTGAGTTAATACATAAAATTCTATCCATATTTAAAAAGACCCAGCAATTAAATTTAATTAATAGGTATTTTCATTTTAAATAGAAAAAAATCATCATATTAATAAATAATATTATATACGACTACTATATAAAAATCCAGATCCAAATCAATTCCGGATCCAAGTTATAAATATCATCATATCTGAGGATCCGATCCAGATCCGATATCCATACGAGCTTTCGAACCCGGGTAAAATATACTGAATCTGGATCGGATCGGATCCGAAACAGGTCCAACTTAGCCCTAATTCCTATGGGCTGTACTGAAAACAACGTGGTAGTCGAATTGTTGATTTGAGGTGACACGTGGAGGCACACCTTTGCAGCAGCCAGCTCAGCTCTATAAATTAAGTATCGCTCTAGGGTTTGCTATTCGCATTGTTTCCATGCCCTAGAGTAGTCCGCCGTTCCGTTCCGCTGCTCCCTACTCTTCTCTTCTCAGGGTCTGAAACGCCTCCTCCAGGCTTTGCTGATCCTCCGATTGCAATGTTTTGCTTGATTTCAAACAGAAGAAATTGGAATCTTCATCGTCTGAGAAGCGAAGCTTGGATGCGGCGTTTCAGACTATGAGAAGAGTAGTACCTCTGCTGCTGTTTCGTGTACCTACGAAGTTTGTGCAAAAGCTCGTCGAGGAGTGCCGATTCACAGTCTACAGCCTTGTTCAGGTGGATTTATGGTAGATCTGATGATGCCTGCTTGTTTTGCTAGCTTGTTTAACAATCTCAATTAGCTCATTGCATTTTTAACTTTTGTTGTGAATGAAGGAAGCCTCCTGTTGCTATGATTCAATTTATTTATCTCTTGCAATGTTTTGAGTAGGTGCTGTAAATCCTAATGTGCTGCTGGAGACGCTCTTCTCCATATATCGCGATTGGCAAGATCAGGAGAAAGCACAAAAAAAGCTTAAGTAAAAGGCAGATCTGACTTCTGGCATCCTCCACATCCATCCATGTTGAATTGTTTGTGCTAAATTCTCACCATGGCATCCTCTGTTTTTCACCATACCTTGGTTCGAGTAGCCAAATCGTAGATCTCCACTTGTGCCATCAGAATTCAAGTTATTTGTGTAAGCTTCCCCTGATATTTTGGCCATGAGATAAATGGCCTCGATGTTTACAAATAATTTAATATTCAGGTAGAGATTTTAAACAAAACAGAAGTTGCTGATGCATTAGCAATAAAGCTTCTGCAACGGTTCAATTACTCGGTGTCAGCAATGAATACAACGTCCAACCATCTATCACAAGGCATCTGATGCAGATCTTTAATGCTAACAATTGAGGCATCTGTCAGACTGTAACTGTTAGAGTTTGTTATCTATTTATGTGTGTCAGGGTATTATTATTTATTAATTTATTGATTTTTCTGACATGGAAAACTGATTCTGTTCAAGTGTCACACCAGACAATCATCACCCTAGCAATCATGCGGGGAAGACTTTCATCCTTCAACATCATATTAAATCCCATCAATAATTATACATACACACAACATCATATATATATATATATATTTAGAGAGAATAAAAACAGTTTACCTCGAGAGAAAAACCCATCTACTACTCATATATACAAAGAAATTTGTGACCGTGAGATCATGTTCAAACATTCAAATAGGGGCAATTTGAATTAACTGAATTTTGAAAAAAAATAATTGCAATGAAAATTTGGTGAAGAAGAAGAGGTTGTTCCTTCTTTTCCGATTTCTATAATATATAATTTTTTTAAAAGGGAGGTGTGAAAGCCACTTTACCGGTAATAATATAGAGGTATTTTTCACTTAAAGAATTTCAATCATAATATAAAAATATTTTTAATATTAAATATAATGAGATAATTGATCAAAATTATCATTTTAATAATATAAATACTAAACTTGACAAATTTTACCTCAATTTTTTTCTCAAAGTACTTTACATATCTACCTTCTTATTATTATTATTATTATTATTAAGTTACTATTGATTATTTTGGTAATTAGTTAAGCTAAATTTATTTAAATAATGAAAATCCATAAAATTAAATTCAATATAGTAATGAAATTAAAGACGAGTACTTAATACTAATCAAACATTCATTTTATTTCCATTAATACATGTCTAAAACGATAACACATTATAAATAATGATATTTTAAATAACAAATTCTAATAATATATGTAATAATCATTAAATTTCACTACTATTTTATTATTTAAAATAAACTACAAATATATATATATATTTAAATATGACAGAAAAAAATATACATGGTGTGGTTATACGTAAGATTATGGCTTTTGTTTTAGTTTTGAATAGTAAAATTTTGAATTGAAATAATTGTTTGATATAATATAAATATGTACTGATATAATATTTTTAATGTAAAATTAAATTTTAGTCTAATAAAATAAATAACTGATTTGATGTTTTTTTTTTAAAAAAAAAGAAAAATTAAAATAATCGTGGATAAAATCTTACTAAGTAAAGATTTAAAAGACCATGCCCAAATTGCCCAATCACCCGAGCTAGGCCGGCCATGTAGAATGTCCGTTTGAAGAGCATATACAATTTAATACCATGCACAACGATATATATTTAGAGATCTCTTTTTTTCTTTTTTTTTCAAATAGAGACCTTTTTTAAAAATTCTTTTTTTTCAAAATAAAAAAAAAAAAACATAAAATCAATCAATTTACGAAGTCATTTCAATTAACAAGTTTTGCTTAAGCTTACTCCTATTTTTCAATTTTTTATATTATACTAAAAATCAATTTTACAGTCAAAATATTACATTAATAACTATTTATATCACTTCATACCAACTATTTCAATTCAAAATTTTTACTATTCAAATCCCAACTCAAAATTTAATGCTAAAAAATAAACGCACCTAAGTTTCTAAGTCAAGTACACTAAAATTAAAAAATAAATAATAAAAGAAATACATATCGTTTGAAGGCGTTGGCGCCAAGGGCTGAAGTGCAAAGCTTTTCAAAAGAAATAAGGGGCCAAGATGGGAAGTCCAGATAGATAAGGGTCCGAATAGAATATTTTAAATTGTATAAAACCCCAAATTTTGCAATAATAATAATATAGCGTCGTTCGTCGGACCTTTGAAGCGCAATGCAACGAACACTTTGGTGGGTGAAGGATTTGTCGAAAGCAACGTGGTAATCGAATTCTCCATTTGAGGTGACACGTGCACACCTCCGCAGCAGCCAAGCCTGCTATATAAAGCATCGCTCTAGGGTTTTCCATTCGCGTTGTCTCCATTCCCTGCTGCGCCGTTCCGCAGAGAAGCTTCTCGAATCTGAAATTGCCAAGGAGTGCTCGATTGGACGTATGGCGACCGGAGCGGACGGTTCCGACTCATCGAGGAAGCATTCACGGCCGCCTTCTCATCACAGAAGCCGCAAAGTATATTGATTGATTAATTAATATGCGGGCACTTGCTTTCTTAGCTCGATCGTGTTTGTTTCTTTGTTAGGGTTTTCGTTTCTGAGAAGATCTGTGGTTTAATTTTGATTTAGGTTTTTTTTGCTTGAATTTGTGTGCTCTGCGCCTTTGAAGCTTGTCTGATTTGTTGTTATGGAAAATCTACTACTTGGTTTCAAATTTAAATCTAAAGTAAAAAGAAGCTACTAAGAAAGATCTTTTTTTTTTTTTTTTTTTTTTGAAAAAAAGTGATGAAACCATGAGCAATAGAATGGAAATATCTAACTGTTCGGATTAAAATCTCTACCATAGATCTGTTAAATCTCTCTAAATAGTAAAGTTCTAAGTTAATACTAAGACACTTATAAAACCATTGAGAATTCTCTAGATCTAGTGTCCTACATTTTGGGGTGAATTTCACCAGCAACAATTCACTCACTTGATAAACTGAAACTTATAGATGGATGCATGTTTCAATGCCAATGGGGGGGGGGGGGGGGGGGGCAAAGAGTACTTACGTGGCGCGCTTTTTGGAATGTTCGAATTCCAAATATGGGCACTAATAATATGTTTCTCGACATGGTGAGATTTGCTTAAGTCGCGAAGTTATGGTGATTTGGTGCAATCATCTTGGAGTTTTGTGATTATAGAGTTGCCAAGTGTTGAAGAATTAGTCGATTTATTGCAACTTCCGAGTATGAAATATTCGGTGGGGCCCTTGTATTCTTGATTGCACGTGTTACTCGTGAAGCAACATATCGCATTCATTCATCTTTTTGGCGTATCTTAGATTGACTTTCGGTTGAGCCACGTGGTAGGGTGATAGTATCTTCTATAATACAAGTAGATGTTATAGAATCTTTTTTATCGCTAAAATAGTTAAATGAGAATAGCTCATTTATTATGATCGGCGAATCTTGTCTTCCTTTGAGATTATAACACTATATGATAGAACAATAGTCTAAAAAGAAACAAAATAAAATAGTATGACAATAGAGTCCAAGAAAAATCACATTCTAATTGTTGGCATATCTTGGCATGCCTCCCGATTATTGAGCCAAGTGGTAGAATGGCGAGTGCAACTTTTCTTACTAACGTAGTTTGCAGACAATTAGAATTCGACATTACTAAAAAAAATAGTATGAGTTAGTAATCTGAAAATTGATATCTTCTTCATTTCTGATATGTTTTGCCCAAAGTACACTAATTTTATTTGCAATATTCTACTTTGAATTTTTCTCTACTTATGTGGAAAATGGCATTTGCTTTTGTACTTTGGATTGTAAGAGGAATTTCTTTTTGTCAATCCCATTTCAAATGAGGTCTACTTTATAAATCATTGTCTTTGCTTGCATATACCTTTTTCCTACAAAAATAGTTTTTCTCCTTGTAAGACAATGCGGGTGTTACTTGATGTTCAGATTATTGAAATATTTCTCCACATGTAGATGAAGTTAGTCAAATTATAATTTTGTAGCAATTTTTGGTGTTGGATGTGTATTTTTGTTGCTTACCAGAGCTATAGGTATAGGCTGATATTGTTTGTTTACATCTTATGTTTATTACCAGGACACTTATTCATCGAGTTCCATTGCCCGCGCCGGAGCGAGTTCTTCCCAACCACATCTGCCGCGCACAGAGAAGCAGTTCGGTTGGTGGTGTCCGTATAATCCTCCAAAGCCAAATGTAACTCGAGAGGTAATCCCATCCTATCGCTATAGATTCTGAACGGCTATCCGATACCACAACTAAGCTGATCATCGTAAATTTTATTTATTTCAAACAGGTCGAGCAGGATCGCTCCTCCAGAGGTAAACAGACTCTGGAGGAAGCATTTCAGACGCTGAAAAGAGTCGTACCTCAGCTGTTTCATGTACCGATCCCAGATGACGTTTGCGCAGGAGCGGTACCCGAATCGTCAAGCAGGGTCGATCCACAACCTACAGCCTCGACCAGCTTCCCGCCAGGATTTGAACCTCAGGTCAATACTGTCGATCATTCTAGAGACGGATTCCTCCTGAAAAACCTAAAGACGCTGGAACTAATGTACCGGGACTTTGCTGTTGTCGCTGCCTCCTCTGCAATAGCAGCCATAGTGCAACAAAATCCGCAGGTTGATCCCACCAGAATGCTGGACATTCTTGCAACGCCAGATATTGTCAAGGGACTGATTGATGACAGTGTTGCGAGTTTCAACCCTGGAAATGAAACAACAATGCCAGCCGCACCAGAGCCTGCTAGGGCTGATATGCCGGGAAATCAGCGCAGTGAACCGATGAACACAACAATGCCATCGAGCACAAGGTCACCGACAACAAATCAATCTCCTTTCCTGATAGCATATGATGCAGGAAGCAAATCAGGTGGGAGGGATGATGCAAATCCACCATTAAGGCTCGAGTACTCTCCGATCCATCCAGCTTCTGGTGTGGAGCGGGTACCCAACGAGTATATGATGAAAACAGGATCAATCAGTAAGCATGGAAAACCCGATAACATTTCTGTCAATCCTTCCTTCTCAACACCAATCGTGCCAGTAAGATCCCTACCGCTTAACACCTTAAGATCCAATGAGGCAGAGGAAACCTTGAAGATAGGACCAGTTAGCCAGATTGGGAAGCAGAATCCTCTGAGCCAGTCCACCTCCAGAACAAGCATAGAAAGAGCTCTTTCACTGCCGCGCAACCAAGTTTCTAGTCCTCACCCATGGCTCCCGCTGGAGGCTTTCAGAACTGCTGAAGAAATGGCTCCTCCTCCATCTCAGCCCCCGCCACCTCCTCCATCTCAGCCCCCGGCACCTCCTCTTCCCGTGGACTGCCCGCCTACCTTTCTCCGTGGATTGGAGATTGCGCCACCTGTGCCATCACCAGGTATGTTTCATTTTGCTCCTCCTTCCTTTCCTTCTACAATGCCAGTACCCCCCAGGCCAGGCCCAGTGCCTCCATTGCCTCTAATGCCAATGGCATGGCCGAATGATTACGGCTACAGTAGGCCCCCACAACCACAAGGGGGGTATTGGAAGCAAGAAACCTGGGGGCAAGGGGCAGAACAGGGAAATAAAAGAAAACCCACTGAAGTGAATAATGCAACGAAGCATTGCGTGTTCTATAATACCCCAAAGGGTTGCCGGTATGGTTACATATGCCCATACCAACATGGTGCAGGGGAGGCCACTGGCTCTGGGGTCCCATCAGATGAAGCAAAGAAGATGAAGTACAGTGGGTAGATGGGGTGAGGTGTACTGGTGTTATCTTGCTCATAAATTCTAATTTAAGCTTGGAAGAGACTGTAACTTACCTGAATCATTTCCTTTTCGAGTTGGACAGATGTTTTCCCCTAAAGTCTGCATGGAACTGCCTTTATCTTGCTGTTAGCTTATCTGTGAACTAAAACATTACATGTACACAATGAATGTGATGCTGATATCCATAGAATGAAAGCTTTGACAGACATAAGCTACCTTATGTGTATACCCGCATTTGAAACTCTAACAACTTCCTTGAAAAGTAGCATAATGCATGTTAAATTGCAATGCATGAGTCATATAGTGCAACTAGACATTCTCTACTTTTTCACCATAGGAATTTATAGGAAGGTAATAAGATAGGATGGTAATACGATCCATTATGTTACCCTGTCTGGTAATGAAAATACATCAGCATATTCAATATTTTCTGTAATAGGTCCAAGCTTCCAGCAGGCAATTAGGCAGTTCTCAGAATGATATGAACTCCGCTGTCGGTGTCCACTATGTCGCTTATGTCCCCAACTTGTAGTGCAAATGTTGTCTCTTCAAAAGGCTTCTGCATCTGACCTTTCCCAAATGGACCTGCACCATTAGAGATACACATTCAGTTCCCTAAATTCATAGCTGCATCATCCTAATTTAATTCAGTTTTGTCTCCTCCATGAAATACTTGTAGGAGATCCCTTCAACTTTGATGCACTTAATTCATGCTATTTCGAACTATCAGTCACTATAAGAGTTTTTATTCCATTAATGCATTGAAATTCACTTATATTTCCGGCAAATTGTTTCTCACTCAAATAGTAGGGAAGTAAACCAAGAGAAAAGATCAACCCAAGAGAGCAATAAAATTAGTAATGGCCCATCAGTTCCAGATTAAAGCAACCAAAACAAATAAACATAACTGTCAGCTTGATTTTGGGCCCTTTTGAAATACAATGATGATGGGAAGTTAACAATGTTGAAACTAGAGTTTAGAGAGGCATGAAAAAAATAGAGTCTGCACAGCATGCATACTTTTGTAGACCAAGAAATTCTAGTAGAGAAAAGGGTTACCAAACCATAACTTAAATCACTCCATATAGCACTGAAATCATGCCATATATAATTAAATTTACCATAGAACTAACTTCCATTGTAAAAGGCCTGGATTTAGGATATGAAAGCATATTGAGCGGTAGGATAGTACTTTTGCTGGTGTGAAGTGGCCGACCTTCCTTTGACTCCAAATATCAAATAACTATGTGGTTATTAATACACTAATCATATATAATGGGGTTGGTAAATAATACTGAGGAAATTGTTTATCTACCACACACTTAGTATTGCAGTTTCCAATGGCCTACCAATCAAGATCCATCCACTTACTGGCTCAATTAACATTGCGAAGTCTACTCATTGTACATATATTTGAACAATCACCATAAATTTGCACAGGTGGTAGCTACATAATATCCCAACTGAATGACCACCAAGAATTTATCGAGGGCATGGGCATACATAACCATAAACATTGATGGAACACAAAGGCACACGTTGTTGTCCATATACATGTGCTAATAGTTCATTAAGAACAAGCATGAGAGATTTCAAGATTTTATTTTATTTTTTTTGGAGCGACCAAAAAAATCTAATCAAGACACATAAGTAACTATGTGAGTCTCAACTATAGATGCAGCATTTTTATTTTTTTCAATGGGCCTAAATAGTTAATCTAGGAATTATTACAACAATTAAAAAGAAATGCTTACAGGCTATTCAGCTTCATAGCTGTGGATAATTGATTTACTAAGCCCAGTTCCTTATAAAAAAGAAATGCAAATAAGTCTGCCTTGTTTACTTGCACACTTGTGATTTAGCAGCATAGGCAGGCAGGACTAATAAGTAGTAACTCTTATCCATATGGGAATTCCATTACACAATTTTGAGAGCTAAAACGCTCTACTCGCCACATTTTCTTGGATAACCTTTTTTGATTTATTGACAATAGTATAAAATCAAGAAACTAGAAAGTGCAAATCATTATTCTTGACCTAATTAGCTTCACTCTTTTATATACCACAAACCTAACAAAATAGCATTAGGTCAGTCGACTAATTCTTGAGGCAGGAATAATTGAAGATACAAGATAAATTTGAGAAGCACTGTATTCATATTGGTTTTTACCAACTATAATATCAATCACAACGAGGCTATTTCATCAGCCATCGAAAATCATTCAAACAGCACCATCACCACAAAGAATCTCACGCAATAGTGAAGGAAATCCGCGGGATTAGGTCATGTGAAGCGAGATGCTAATTAATCTAGGATACCAAAACTGACCAAGATCTCCGCCACGCTTGGCGGAGCTGCAGTGAGAGTGCTGCCTGGCGAGTTCCTGGAAGGTGGCGTCGCCGGAGACGATTTGCGCGCGGAGCCCCTCTAGCTGAGCGACGGCTTCCTCGCGGGTGGTGGCGGAGATGAGGTGGCCCTCGGGATCCTTCCAGGACGACTTACGGCGAGAGCCTTGGTGCTTAATCAAAATGTGCGAAGCCCTAACCTTCTCGGACGAGGGCGTCTTGGTCCTCTTACTACTTCCATGCTTGTGCTTGTCGTGGTGGTTGTGGTGATGGTGGTGGTCGGCTGACGTCTTCCGCTTCCGATCGGAGTCAATTTTCTCCGATCGGGGGGTTTCCACTGGTTCGTCGGAGCAACGGCGGTTCATATAGACGCGCAAAGCAGAATCTGAGTTGTGATGGGTCGAGAGGCAGACTTCGCTACTCAGTTTTACTACTGGGTATTTATCTTGATCTTGAACCCTTACTATTTGGTGTAAAAGTTCATATTTACCCTTCTACCATAAAATGGGTCGGGTCTAACGGACCGAAATACAATCCGAATCCATATTATTAAACCCGACATTTGAATCAGACCCGAATTCGACTCAGTGGACCCAACAAACTTTAAATATTTTTATAATTTTTAAAAAATTATTTTAAAATTTAACTTATTTAAAATTTAACTTACTTGACGTATAAAATTTTATGTATTTACTAGAATAAATAAATAAATAAAACTAAAATATATTTTGAATATAATTATATTATTAAAATTTACTCTTTTTTTTTTTTAATATTATTGATATATTATTAAGATATAAAGAAAATCCAATTTAGATTTGAGTTTGGACAAAGTCCACCCTTAAACTCTAAATTCGATCCGAATCCAATTAGGTTATATAATACCTTATATCCGAATAATTAGACCTAAGTCAAGTCTACAAGGTTCCATTGTCATACGTAAATATTTTCTCGTTGTGGACATTTATTCCATATTTTAAGATAGAAATTAATAAAATATTAATATTTTAATATAAACAGAAAATAGATAAAAAATAATAATAATAAAAAAAATTGAAGTATTATTAAAACTTTATCAATCAATTAATAAAAAAAACCAATAAGACAAATAAAAATAATTATTATTTTTTATTAAAATAGTAATAATAAAATTAAAAGTAAAGAATTATTTTTACTATTAAATGAATTATTTGAGGTAACTATCTTGAATCGAAAAAGTAATTTGTTTGTATTCCTTTCAGTTTTGTGAAAAATAAAGTTTCCTTTTCAGATTATACAAAAATATCTTATTTTGGGAATAATATCTCACTTACAAATTACTATTTAACTAAAAAAAAATTAGTATTTAAATAAATAAAAAATCAAAATAAAAGAGCACAGCCTGACCAATTTTGTTATGGTCGGAAAAAAACAAAAAGATTTATGGCACACGACCTGTTGTATTTTATTTATTTCTAAAATAAAAATAGATAAAATATCTTATATTTTATTTATTGGATCAAACATGTTTATGTTGAATTACATTATACACAAAATATAAATATTTGATTGTAATGTATATTAATTATGCACATTTTATATAAATAAAAAGAATATTTTAAATATTGTAAAAAATAACCTGACCATATGGAGACAGTAATAGTCATGCTTTAAACCTGTGTATGCATTTAAACTATATATATATATAAAAATTTCATAAAAATTGTTCGAGATTATTTTAAATTTTAAAAACATAATTCGCCTAATCTAACTTATGAGTAATTTATCTATATATATATATATATATATTGGAATGGTACAGTAGAGGCCAATCATAAAAATATCCCAATAACAACAGTCTCTTTCCCACAAATATGTAATAAAATACAAAGTGTGCTGTGTTCAGAGATTGGGCAATTGAAATTTGTTATCCTCACAAGTGCCACTCACTCACTGCATTGGTCTTCCCTTCCCTTTCCATCTCCTCCACCCAATCCTCAATCTCCAATCCTCATATTTACTTCCATCACTCTCCCTCCCTCCCTATTCACACCAACAATGGCTGCTGCTGCCGCTGCTGTAACCGCTGCTGCTGTCTCTCTCCCTGCCACCAACTCCTCTTCCCTTCCGGCCAGAACCTCCATTGTTTCTCCACACACAAGAATCCAATTCACCAAGGTATGATATCAATGATGCTATATATTAAATCACTCTCTGTTTCAAATTAGGGTTTGGAACGATGAGAATTTGAAGAATTTGGGCAATAATTCGTCATGTACTCTCTGGCTGCAGGTGCCGCTGTTCCGCCGATGCGCCGCCGCGAAAGTAGCGCCAATCAGGGCGCAGGTAACCACAGAGGCGGAGGCGCCGGCCAAAGTTGAAAAGGTTTCGAAGAAGCAAGAAGAAGGATTAATTGTGAACAAATTTAAGCCTAAGGAGCCGTACATCGGTAGGTGCCTTCTCAACACCAAGATCACCGGCGACGACGCTCCCGGCGAAACATGGCACATGGTCTTCACAACTGAGGGTATGTCTCTCTATCTCTCTGTATGTATGTATTTCTCTGCCATTAAACCACACCTTGCCTCAATCCAGCCATTATCTACTTTCTTCATTCACTCCATTTTCAATTTTGTAACTAAACTAAACTAGTCTAGATTAGATTAGATTAGATTGTTCACTTATATCATCAGATCTTAGCTACAGCTTCAATATAAAACTGATTATTGTGATGAGCAGAGGAAGTGACGTATGAAGTAGCTTTGTTACTTTCTGTGCTAAGAATTAATCGATCTGTTGATTATGTTGGTGTAGGGGAGATTCCCTACAGAGAAGGCCAATCCATTGGAGTGATTGCCGATGGCGTCGACAAGAGTGGGAAGCCTCACAAGCTCAGGCTCTATTCGATTGCCAGCAGTGCCATTGGCGATTTTGGAGACTCCAAGACTGTAGGCCTTTTGAATACAAACAATGTTATGTTTGATCTTCTTAAGCTAAGCTATAGTTTTGAGATATCCTCCATTTTTGTTTAGGTATCGTTGTGTGTGAAAAGGCTCATCTACACAAACGATCAAGGGGAGGTAGTTAAGGGAGTTTGCTCAAACTTCCTTTGTAAGTATAAAATCGATGTTTTCGTATTGCAACCATTGAAATGGTTTACGGGGGATTTTCCTATGAGGAGATGATGATTTAGTCGACGTGGTGAATAAATTTGACATTGTATGAATACAGGCGACTTGAAACCAGGCGCAGAAGTGAAAATAACCGGACCGATAGGGAAAGAGATGCTCATGCCGAAAGATGAGAAGGCTACGGTTGTAATGGTATGTTGTGCCCAAATCGGGCTATTCAATGTCGAACAAATTTTTTGTTTTTTTTATTTGAACACAAAATTGAAATGAAAGGTGTTTGTGATGCTCAGCTTGCCACCGGAACTGGGATTGCACCTTTCCGCGGATTCTTGTGGAAAATGTTCTTCGAAAAACATGAGGATTACAAGGTACCAAACATAGGTAGATCGAATTTCATTGATTCTTGGTCGCTAATTTCAATCAGTTGTTGTTTTGTATGGCGACAGTTCAATGGTTTAGCGTGGCTGTTCTTGGGTGTCCCGACGAGCAGCTCGTTGCTCTACAAAGAGGTGACGAAATATATATATCTATATATATAAGTTGGATACATTCGAATGAATAATAACACAAACAAGAATAATCTTCTGTTGGCAGGAGTTTGAGAAAATGAAGGAGAAAAACCCGGACAATTTCCGGCTAGACTTTGCGGTGAGCAGAGAACAGACGAATGCCAAAGGGGAGAAGATGTACATCCAAACTCGGATGGCGGAATACGCAGAGGAGTTGTGGGAGCTGCTGAAGAAGGACAACACGTTCGTGTACATGTGCGGGCTGAAGGGGATGGAGCAGGGTATCGACGACATTATGGTCTCCCTCGCCGCCAAAGATGGTAAGTCACGACATCAAATTATGTTATATTCGACGAGTAGCGGCCGCGGATTTCTTAAATTATTAAATATTGTTGAATTTTGATTGTTGGTTATAGTTAGTTAGTTTGTGTTTGTTTGGATTTCAGGGATCGACTGGCTGGAATACAAGAGGCAGTTGAAAAAGGCAGAGCAATGGAATGTGGAAGTGTACTGAGGCGAGCTAATCTGTTGCTTTTTGTACAAAATATTATTATTATTATTATTATTATTATTATTATTATTATTAGCTGCTTCCATTTTCTGATATATATAATATATATATATATATATTTGTTTGATTCTCTGGATGATAAAAGATCTGAGGGGATTGTGGTATAAAAAAACAAAAAAAGGTTATTTTGAAACCAAATATTGAGAGTTTTTCTTACCTGATCTGACTTCTGAATATTTTTTTGTTGAATATGATATTATTGTTACCAATATTTTGTTTAGGGTTTTGGATTTTGAGTTGAGATTTGAATAATAAAAATTTTGAATTTGAATAGTTGTACGATGTGATATAAATAAGTGTTGATGTGATGTTTTGGATGTAACATTGATTTTTAATATAATATAAAAAAATAAAAAATAAGTATTTGATTTGATATTTTTGTGAAAAAAATGGGATAAATAATGTAAATATAATTCAATCCCCAAACAAACACGCCCTAAGGAAACAAAACATTCCTTATTACATTATAAAATATCCGCGCGGAGCACGGGTCATAGTGTGTATATATATATATATATATAATATAATTGAAGACAAATTAATTGAGTAATTGAAGAGGGAGGGAGTTAAAGTGAACCCATTGGATTTGGATGGTGTGAATTTGGTGGTGGCTTATCAATAATCTTTATAGGCAATCCATTGGCAACCCACTCAATGTATCCTCCTCCCATGTTACACACGTGCTTGAATTCCTGTAATAATAATAATGATAATAATAATTTTATATCAAATATAAAATATTATATCGATAATAATTTAATAATGAAATAGCACTAATTCATTCATGTATAATCATTGAATCAAGCTACATTTTTTATACACAACTTATAATTATAAAATATTGGATGTCTGTTTGCTTTCAAAATTTATCATTCTCGGTACATACAATTTTCAACAAAGATATATCATTTATTCTTATTATATATTTTAAAACAAAAGAAAAAGAAATATTATAATAACATTTTATAGTTAAATTCTAAATATTAAAGGAACCCAATCTTTATTATTATTTTTTTATTTTAATTTTCTAAATGATTGTTGTTGATGTGATTTTTCTTAAATAAAAAATATGTTTTGATTATTATGTTATTAATAATATTTTTTAATTGAAGAGAGTTTGTTTGGTTATAATTCTAAATTGATTTGAAATAAAATATGAATTTAAAATTTTGTTTAAATAATATTTTAATATAATATGTTGTAAGAAAATATAATATATTTTTATTGAATTTAAATTAAAATCACAATCAAATAGATAGAAAAAATATTTAAAGCGACGAACTCACCGCTTGAAGAAGATCAGTAGTTGCATAGACGGATCTGACACCACTTTGGCATCCCTAAATAAGATTTCATATACGTAAAATAAATAAATAAAAATTTAAATTAAATATTTTAACAATATACTATTAATTACCACAACAAGTTTATCCTCTCTTCCACATACTGCCAACACTTGATCCATGAATTTGGGGTTCTTCACCCTGCCTGAAATCAACAATCAATAATTACAAAAACATAATTAATAAAACAGATCGAAATGAATATTTTTTATTAATAATAATAATAATAATAATATCATCTGAATATATATATATATATAACCAATCAATTACCTTGTGGAGTTTTAAACATATAAGGGATGTTAATGGCACTCTCGAAGTGACCATTCTCGAATTCTTCCTCAGTCCTAATAATTCACAAATAATAATAATAATAATAATAATAATAAAAGTATTAATTAATTAATCAATTTTACAGACCTAACGTCAAGACATCTGTGGCCCTGATTGATCAGATTCCGAGCCTCCTTCACATCAACGGTGGCGATCACTGCTGCTCCTGAACTACTGCAGAGACACACACATATATATATATAGCAAATTAAAACAAACAAACAGCAGCTGGAATTAAACCCTAGTTAATTAAAATTGGATATGTACCAAATTAAGATGTAATTAGTACCTTTTCTTGTCTGAATCCGAATCCATACGATATGAAATGAAATAGGGTTTTCGATCTTCTTGGCAGTGGTATTTAAAGAACGAATATATATCATATGGAGTTTGGTTTTGGGGGTGGAGACAAAGTGGGAATGGCTTATTTATTAAATTAGTAAGTAGTGCACATATATATATATATATAATGGAAAATTAAATAATGTTGTGAGTGATGGGTTTATATATATATATATACATATATATTATGTTACGTGAATAATTGCAAGACGACAGTACATCAATTTGGCTGTTAATGGCTTCCGTGTTGGACTTATATATATATATATAAATATCTTCGGTTAGATAGATGCTAATTTAAGATTTATCACTATACTTATATAATTATGAACATATGAAAAATACATCTACCTATACATATGAATCAAATAATTCTTTCACCAAAAACAATTTTGCAACAACTTTAATTATCTTATCTCTGAACTAAATATTTCAAATTTAGAAGGAAAAAAAAAAAAAAAAATCCTCTATAAGTTAATTCTTCCAACACAATGAAGAACAATTTCTTGAAATTCAATCTATTGGGGATGAAAAATACACATATAAATTTCAATCAGATTGTTTATATTTTTGTATTCTTCATATTGAAAAAATTGTGTAACTTTTTGTTCATGAATTTGTTTATATATATTTGAATATATATATATACATATATGAACATTTCAATCAGTTTCTAGTTGAATTTTAATTGTTCATGCCAATAAACTTCACTTATGGAAGATGACGACGACGACGATAACATTGAGTTATTTACTCAAAATCAAGAATATATATTCTCTAAAGATCAAATTTATTTTCTTTGTTCTTTTTAACATTTATCTATTATCATCTGTTCAACGTTTATTTACAAAAAATATCATTATATTTATTACATTTTCTCTTCAATTTATTCAATTTCTTACTAAAATTTCAAAATTAGTTAGTCGCATTAAATATTCTATAATTTTAGCGACGAAGGGACATATATCATGTTATCAATAATATTTTGTAGGGTATTTCGTAGCCGTTGCGAGTTCCCACGTCATAAAAAAAAATAAAACTTTCTTTCTCCCTTAACAAACTATCTATTTTTTTTTATTTTGATTCGTATTATAACGAAGTATTCATTTTCTTTTTTTTTTTTTTTAGCAAATATACTATTTACTAAATGTCATTATTTTTATATTAAGTTATTTTAGTTATTTTTACTTTATTTTATTCCTAATGCATTCCAATATAATATTAATATTTCTAAAGCTCGTGCAATTGAGTAATAATAATACTCCCTCCGTCCCATGTAATATGGGTGTATTACCGTAGATACGGGAATTTAGGTAAAGTATAATTAGTAAGTAATTAAGAAGTGTATTAGTAAAAATAATTATTATTTAATAAAAATAATTATAAATTAAGATTAAGATAGGTAAATAGTTTAATTAAAATTAAGAAAATTATAAAATTTAAAATTTAAAATGCCATTAAAGTACATAATTATATTTCCAAAAATAGAAAGGACAAGTTACGTAATGAAAATAGAAAATATGAATAAATTATGTAGGACGGAAGGAGTAATATTTTAAATCTCCGATAAAAAAAATAATAATAAAATTTCTAATCCATTAATATTCTTTATCGATTGATTTTGAAAACCCTTGTTCAAGAACAAGAACGTCATCAACCTACAGAAAAAATGAAACCAAGAAGAACAGAAACCATCCAAGAGAGATTTATTCAGCCAATTATTACATTCTCGATCGGCCGTTACGTTACGCCGTATTTTTCCAACCGGCCGGCCGTCCATTACCGGCTTGCCTTCCAACCGAACTGATGTAAGTACAGATCATCCCACGTCGGAAAATTTTTGCCACAATGATTACATCTCCCACCACCGGAAGGGACTCCAACCCGCCCATTTCGGAACTCGCCGGCGTTACTCGCCGGTAGGTTTCCGGCGCTCGATGCCAGAGTATTAATCCCCAAATTAATTAGCCCTAATCCCGACGGTTGCAAGATTTGCTCCGGCGACGAATATGGATCATTAAAGGCGGCAACTGTCACGTAAGACGACTCGTCAATCCGACGTCGTTTCTCCAATGGTCCGGCGGGGTTCATATTGGAAGCGGACCTTTTAAGCGATCCTTCTCCGGCTGACTTGTGGAAGCATCGGAGAGGCTGATCGGAGAGTTCCTTCTGTACAGGGTTTAGGTTTTGGATCGTCGATATTTGGTTGGGATTAATCTGCAAATTTGCGACGTCCGGCGAGTATTGCTGGGTGAGGCAGAAATGGAAGTTTGTCGAAAATGGCGGACGAGGCGGGAAGAAGATAAGAGGGGAATGGGGCGGGTAGGGGAGAAAGTTGAATTTGGGGACAGGGAGAGGGTTTGGAAGATGGTATTGGTTGAGGGGGTGGATAGGTATGGGCAGGAGAAAGGGTGGATTGGATTCTCCATTGTTGGATCTTGAACCAGCTGCAGAAGGTTGTTGATGATCTCCATTGTTGGAATTGGAAGCTGCAGAAGGTAGTTCTTGATCTCTCATTTTTGGAACGACGATGATGAAGAGAGTTGAAAAATCAAGAACTGATGGAGAAATGGGATTGATTTGGGTCGATGCTGTGGATTGAGAGCTTAATATATCACGATTCCAAATATATACTCTCCCTCCCACACTAAATCTCCAATTTTATTATTATTATTTTTTTATCTGTGTGGTTTCAGAAATATAATTATAAGTGTAATTTCCAATAATATACTTTATTACATGTTAAATTTTATAATTTATAATTTTTTTAATTTTAATTAAATTATTTATTTATTTTAATTTATAATTATTTTTATTATATAATTATTCTAGAATAACGTAGACATTTTTTTTTGAAACTCATAGATATTTCTACCCACGTTTTCGGCTATAGTGCGCGAGCCCCTTGTTCTGTACGGCTGATTGATGACATATGTTTTGGTGCATGTATGCATAATTCTTCCATTCCATGCTGTATGGTATATCCGTATGGTATATCCTGGACAGTTAGTTAGGTGTCTGGTTACATTCTTGGAATTTATCCGGAATTAAACCCTAAGTCCAATATCTTTTGTGTTGAAATAATTAAGATAAGAAAATAAAGAAAAATAAATCTTATTCAAATCTACAAATTAACAGAGGTTTGTGTTCTTCAAGTAAGTGACGCAACATCTCTTGAGAAAGCCGTTAGAGTTTCTGTAGTTATTCTCATAATAAGATATGAAAAGTAACGAATCGTCTAAACTAGTTTAAATCACCAGTTCACCACCCTAATTTACATCATTTATTATTAATTGGTCTCACTATCCAGTTAATAAGTTACTGAGTTTTTACACCTAAGAGATCCGCAATTACTAGATGCATTTAAACATGAATCATTCAATATAAATTTAATCGAAAATTAAATTTTTAATCCAATATACATTATAGTATCATAGTAAACCTTGAGAGTGGTAATGAATGAAGTAGACAAATGGGGCACTGCTAGGTGAAGAATATGTCTTTGACACTTCACAGAAGAGTTAGTCTTATAAAAGAATTTTGAGAAAATAAAATATATATATATATATATCTTCTGAAAAAATTATATATTTGACGTAAAATTTTATTTTTTATATTAATAATACGACTTTTTCTCCTCTCTGTGACTCTTTCTCCTCACACAGAGAGAATATATATTATTTATTTAATATTTTAAATTAAAAAGATAAAATTTTAATACTCTCTTCTTTCCGGTGCAAGATTATCATTTACTTTTTATACGTAGATTTTTTAATATTAGTATTATAATGAGTTATAGTAAAAAAGATGAAAATATTCCTCCAGTATTGTGTAATATAAAAGTAATGACATTTGTGTAATATATATTGTAAGTTGGAAGGGTATTTATAATATTAGTAGACAGTTGAATTACTAAATTAGAAAATGTTTTGGGACAAACGAAAATGAAAAATAATAAGCTTTGAATAAGACGAAAAGAGCATAATATCTACTAGCTAGAGAAAAAAAATTGTGTTATGAGTGGTGTGGAAGCAATTTTGGAAAGACAAGAAAAGAAAGATTATTTCTCATGATCCTCTTCCCCCTCATTTGAGATGATGATGGGCTCTAACTCTAACCCTAAGTCTCTAAGTTGGATATTGTTGCCGGTGCTGTTTCCGTTAGCAGCAGCAGGAATGGCGTGATGTGTTGTAGTGTTATTGACCTTCCTCCGCCACCCATGGAGTGATCTCCTCACGTTTTCTGATACTATCGTTTTCTTGAACTTGGAACCCATCTGCAAATATATATATATCATCATCGACCATTCATCATCCCATCCTGATCTTTAATTAATTAATTAATTAATTGGTTTTGGAGTTTGCTTACTTGTGCGATTATGACATAGAGCGGGAAGGTGACGAAGCTGCACCAGAATTGGGACACAACCCTACACAACGCTAATTAATTAATTAATGAAACAAAAGATGTAATGAATCGAGTGTTTTGTTTGTTACTGACCCGAACATGAGGCGAATTATGAGGAACGTACGGTCTCCATTGTAGCACGAAACTCCCCTGATTTCCCACTGCAAATCCATTTCTTCATTCAAATATTTAATCGTATATATAACAATCCATCAAGAAATTGAATTTCTTACCAGCGACCACAAATATATCGACATCTCAAACGCATTCTACAACACATAAATATCAATTAGAATTTATGTATGTATGTATGTATCTATATCTATATCTATATACATATATATATATATATACCTGGAAAGATACAAACTGTATGAGTCGGAGAATGAGGGTGGGATTCCCAAACCAGAAGAGCTCATCCCTTAGATTGAACTGCTGAAATCCTGTCCATCCACTCGAATCTACGATTTCAACGGCCAGCTTCACAACGATCCGATGCAGTTTCGTTCCCACCAGGAGAATCAACTTAATTTATACATATACATACATACATATACAACAATTAATTACTTCAAATTAATATCCATCTCAACGCTAGCTAGCTGCAGGCTAATAATATTAAATGTAATCGAATGAATACTAACGATGACCGGCAGGAACGATATCCACAAGTATATGTTTGTTCCTGAATCCCAAAAACATTACATCTTAGGACAAGAACACACATATAATTATATATATATATACACGTTGTAATAGAATCGCTGTTTCTTACCATGGAAGCCGAGAACAATGCAGACAATCGCAAAAATCCAAAGAGGTATGCTGCAAAATAAGGGACAACTCACATGTGATTTGAAAAATCAGCTACATTTTCAGCAGATTTAAAAAAATATTGCACAAAAATCCCTTTTTAGAGACTATTTCAAAACACTAGGAAGTGTCGTGTAATTTCTAAATCACGAGGGAGGGAGTATAGTGCTAATTTTTCAAATTACAAGTGAATTAATTATATGTAACTGTAATTTAGTGTAATGCACCTAACATCCACAATAGCATCGAATTCGCATTAAATTTTTTAGTAAGAAACGATTGTTTTAAATTACCTAATGCCAACAATGTCGCAAAACTCTTCCTCCATGCTCCGAAGCATGTAGTTATGAAAGTCGTAGGTAAAAGGAAGTTGATGAGTCTGCGATTTCGTCGCAAGTTTTGCCATCATTAAAACACGACATGGTTTACCGTCTAACAATGTAATAAAGCATTGGTGCACTGTCATGTAATGGCTTAGGACATTGTAAGAAAGGGAAAGTTACAGTAATAAAGCCGAGTCGAAGAGCCATGTAGTCTGCTTGGTTAATCGAACTCCAAAACTGGCGGCTGAAACAGAGCTGCATATGACTATGAAAGTAGTGTAAGAAGCAAAAACATATCAAACCAAAATTAAAAAATTGAAATTTGTCGCGAACCAGCCAAACAAGAACTCTGTGTCGACTCCACGGGTGAGAAGTCTGATGCGAGATGAAAGTCGACAGGCGCCTCATTCTTACGCCATCTCTGCAATCTGCATCCATTAATCCGAGGAGACTAACTTCAGACATGTTACAGAAAGAAATGTAGGATTATGATTTACGCGATTGATCACCCGAGGAAGTGTCCATTGTTAGAAGGCCGCGAAAGGCCATTGTCTTGGCATGATTCTCCCATGTTCGCCAGCTGTATATCTGCATTTTAGGACAGCAGCAAATTTGAAGTAAGTCGAGGCGAGGCGGAGTGTAAGGACGAGCCCTCGAAGGTAAAATGCTGACCTTGATCATAGCTAGCGCGACGGCTAAAAAGCTGTAGGAGACATGGGTAACACCTAGAACGAACAAAAAACGGTGTAGTTGCTCGAGGCTCTCGTACGAGACAAACGGTTGGCGATCCTGTAAGAAGATATGTAGATTGATGCTGCTAATGAAATCCATTCGTGTCAAACTAAATTTTGAATTTTCGAACTTGATCAAGTTTATGCATATATGTCACACTAAATGTTTTCAAACTTGACGAAGGATGTCTTCCTAAAGCTTATTTATGTTAAATGATCATCTCAGCTTAAGTATAAAGGAATACATATAATTAATTATGGGTGCGAAGTGCTGATCCAATCAAATTATGATAGTGCTGATTTGATGAAGTCAATATATAAGTAAAGGCTTACATCATATATATTTGCATAATAATATACTTCATCTGTCTCATAATAAATTATCCATTTTTCCATTTTAATCCATCTCGTAACAAAGTATTCATTTCCTATTTTAGTAACTGTATTATCTATCTAACATTACAAATACCCTTACAATTTACAATATATTACACAGTCATTACTGTTATTTTAGTCATTTCTACTTTATTCCTATTATATCTCAGTATAATACTAATATTTCTAAAACAACGTGTAAAAAAACAAATGAATATTGTGTCATAAAATATCTGAATTATGACATGTCATAAATATATTATGATAGTATATAATATATGCTGATTGTTTTATATAATATGTTGATTTGATTGAGTCAGCATCAGATTTGCAACCATTAATTATTATATAGTTAATCTATACGGCTTTTACAATGATTAATGGACAGTGGCTTCTAACTTTGATATCATGTTAAATGAGTTATGACTCTCGCCTAAAAGTTATGACAATTAATATCAAATGAGATGAGAAGAATTAATAGCAAATAAGCAACCCCCTTTTATCGAAGAATTTCAAGACTCGGCTCGAGTAGCTAGCAAATACTTGTTAAGAAACTCATCTAACACGATCATCGAACAAAGTTGGAGCTCAAAATTGGGGTAATAGAAACATTAAAGAAAGACAAAGTTGAGAACTTAAAATCAACATCAAAATACAATCGAGGAAGATCAATTGACTAATTAATTAGGAGAGACTACCTCACCTCAGGGCAAAAATCCTTGTGCAAATTGTCCAACAAAACTCGACCAATGGAATGATTCAATAGATGCAGCTGATGATGATGATTGTTCATAGCAGCACAAGGGTAGAACCGACTGCTCATTGCCGACGACTTGACGCAGATTTTGGCCACAAAGATGATCCAATGCCCCATCAGCAATGACAAAACTCCGAACACCATCACCTCTGCACATTTATTCGATTTAATTTAATTTAATCATAAATAAGACTAAGACTGCAAATTAAAGTTATTGGTATGACGACCTTCCTTGATCTTGACGAGTGCAGCCAGCAGGTGCTTCCTCTTGGTCCTATCCAGCCACTGATAAAACACAACACCATTAATTCAATTCATTAAATATACGATGAATGATGAAAAGGTTGGCTTGCCTTGCCAAATTTGGTGAGAGCTGAATGGATGCAGAAGCCGAGGGAAACCATTACAGTGACGACGGTAGCAACTGCCCATGTTGGGGTTTCTGCCAAAGATCGACGTCCCACCTCCATCATCAAACTTGCTTACTTTGCTAGATAGCTTCAGTACTTGTGTAGAAGAAAGATACAGACAGACAGACAGACAGACAGGTTAATAATATTGAAGAAATTTAAACGGGGGGCGGCTGCTTGCTACTCAGTCAGTCATTAATGGCGGGACGAATCGATCCATCCATCCATCCATAATTGAATTGCTAAGAGGGTTTTGTCTAGTCTAGTCTAGTAGCTTTATTAATTAAGTATTGTTGAAAACTGGATGGAAGAGGAGGAGATGATCTAGTGGAGGGCATGGCCATGGGGGGTGGGTGATACATATACATATACAGATATATGCATGTGTGTGCAGCAGCAACGAGCAGGCATGAGGTCCCATTGCATTTATGTATTTTCTGTTGGTGTAGTAATTGGGTCTCATTCAGTGATAGTAAGAGCAGCCCTGCAGCCTGTTTAATTTAGTGTTTCTTGCACACCATTCATTCATTGTTTAATTATGATCCATATCTACCTACTAGTTTCGTTTGGTGATAAAATACTAATCGGGTCCAACTCAGTTTAAGTGAGGTTTGTTTGAATAATAAAAATTTCAAAATAAAATAGTTATATAATATAATATAAGTTAGTATTAAATGTAATATTTTGAATATAAAATTAAATTTTTTTTAGTATAATATAAAAAATAAAAATAAATATTTAATTTGATAAATAATGAATTGATTGAAATACTTAAATCGAACGCACCCTTAAAAATAATACTCCTTCCAATCATTCAAATCTAAACTTATTTTCCTTTTGGATTTTCATCAAAAAAAAATATATATATATATATTATCGTTTTCTTTTTAAATAAAAAATTATTATATTTTTGTACTATATTTTTTTACCGATAAGAATATTTTTTATTAAAATTTGTGTATGACCAAATGAGCAGAGGGAGGAGCAAGTAATAACAATTCGTTCATTCACAAATTTAAATTATACAACCATCATTCATTCTCATTTCTTCCCATTTACAACTCATTGCTATCTCTATCGATCAATCGTACCCATCATACACACCAAGCAACAAAAACCACACAACTTCATCTTCTTCATCACCTAACAACAACACTCCAAAAATATTTTACAGCTTAAAAATTACATTTTACATTTCAACAAGGGTCGTGGCATCGACAACTTCCGTCTCATTTACAAAAGCAACTTTGATCAACCTTCCTCTTAAGCTACAACATTGCGCCTCGATTCACAGTCGAGTTATTCCCGCCCATGCTCGCAGTTCTCAGGAGTCGCCGGAATTCTGATAAACTGATCCGACCATCTTTATTGATGTCCGCTTCTTCCAGAAGTGGGTCGATCGAACCCTTTAATCCTGTGTGCTGTGTTACCAAGTATTGAGCTAAATAAGAAAGGAGATATGGACATGGTGATAGAGAACAAGATCGATAACATTGATCAAGAGAAGTAGAGCAATCACTGTGAAAATAATACGACCATAATCAAAGTAATAGATGATACTTAACCATTTTAAGTTCTTCAGGAGTTATAAATCCATCTCTATCCACATCGAATTTTTCGAAAGCAGCCTTTGATCTCTGCAGCCATTTCGCTGAATTATGCTCCTCCAGCTGATGGACGTGTAGCGTAGCTGCAATGAACTCCGAGAAATCTACAAGTCCATCCGTGTTGCTATCAATCTGCTCACAAAAAAAAAAAATAATAATAATAATAGTGTTCATTTCTAATATGGACCACCTTATTAGGAAATCTTATATCTTAGATTGGAACTTTCCTGAATGAAATTTGAGTGACCAAATTTTCGAGAAGGCGTAAAAGTTAAACGATGTTTAGAAATGATTCATTTTAAATGAAGAGTATGGGTTATCATTGATAGATGATGAACTTACTGCTTGAAGGATTTCAAGAACACGTGAATCCTTTAATTTCCAAGGAATATCCTTCTCCAAGGCCTAAACGAGAAATAAAACTTCACGATAAATATTACAAATTAAAATCCAAATAGATTCTCAAGGAAGGTAGATTAATAACCTGTCTCATTTCTTCAAGACTGATAACACCATTTTTATCCACATCAATGGCATCAAACTGATCTCGGAGAACAGTCAGCTCCTCCTCATCTAGTGTGCTGGCCAACGCCTGAAAATTCATGTGATGCCATAAAGGTGTATCCCCAAATTATAACAAAGTAGAGCTACTAAAGTTCTACAAAATATAACACAATGGCCTACCCGAAGAGCAAACTGCTTGAATCGACTGTATTTGACAAATTGCCTCATGTTAGACAAAACTGAAATGTCTAGAGGAATCTCTGAGGCTTCACCTCCTTCTCGAACCCATGGATGTGCTGGACAAGCTAAAAATGTAATTATGCAGCTCCAAACAGAGGAAAAGGAGTACAATTGTGACAAATGAAGCACATGAACGCGAGCCATAGAATGTTTAAAATATAATTTGATATGTAAAAAATGTGGGTATAGAGCAAGAGTAAACATGTGTTTAAACTTAAATGTTAGTAAATTTGAACAGAACCACTAAGAGATGGTTTACTTTAGAGAGGAGGCATTTGATCAAAATTACCAAAGGCCCCCCCACCCTTCAGAAATAATGCCCAAAAGTTTCTCACCCTAAGGAAATTTTCTAGACACCATTCCTCAACTAGTCATGGTTTTGCACTTACAGACTACTTATAAAGACCATAATGCTATTTTGAGCTCAAGTGCAAATTCATTTCAGTAGTATAGAAGGATAATAGCATTTCATGTCCAAAATTTTGTTAACCCAAAGCATGTCCAAAACCCTCCTGAAGACTTTCTTTAAGAGGAACCTCAAGTGGTTTCGAGGTATTTTGTATCATGATATGATGCGAAGGACTTGAAATGTAAGAATGATCACGTGTACCACGAAATAAAAAGGTTGTGATCTAGAACGACAAATAATTAATGATGCCTCAAGTAAGAATATAGTTGTTTATGTTTCATCGAGCTTGGAACGTAACACTACTCTAGAGCTGTAGCTAAATTATATCATTTCAGCTTTCACTAAGATACTATTACCTTTCATAGAAAACATTAAGTTGAAAATTATTTAGAATTTGTAAGTTATGGTATGAAATTTGTCTTTGCATTGCTTTGGCAAATAATTGACGGTATATTATAATTTATTTACCATCATAGGTCATAGACAACTATGAATAAGAAATAAGTTGCTACCTCTAATTATTAATGACACTGCAAATGCGCAACTATAAGTAGATCAAGAGTCAGCAAGACATACATAAGGCCTGGGCGGCGGTAAGTCTTGCAGCAGGATTTTTCACTAACAATTTCTTCACAAAATCTTTAGCTGCGTCACTTATGTTTGGCCAGGGCTTGCGCTTGAAATCGGGCTTGTTTCTGAGAACCTGTAGACATCAAAAATACAGGTACAACCTAATTAAAGTATGCATCCAAGCTATGTAAAAAGCCATGACTGCATGATATAATCATTTGTCCAACAACAGACTCCCAGCGACTAGATGAATTAAATACCTTCAGTTGACATATCAAGACATAAAATTTTACAGTATAGAATAGAAAATGTGTGAGGTTAAACTACACCTCAAGCTCCGCACAAAACACATTTATAGTCTTAATATATCACCTCTTTAAATATGCCATCCTCAGTTTTGTCCCAGAAGGGTCGCCGACCACAAAGCAAAATGTAGGTAATCACACCAATACTCCATGCATCTGATTCTGGGCCAGACCGACGCTTTAATACCTCGGGAGCAACATAATAAGCACTTCCAACAATGTCGTGGAATCTCTTCCCTAATAAAAGGTTTAAGAGTTTGTATGAAGAATAAGAGAACGTGAACATATTTGTAGCATGTCATAAAAGTAAGGTTTGGATGCAGTCAGGAACCAACCAACAGGCCATAAGAGCATGGGGAAATTCAGAAACTTGAAAGGGTGTGTTTCTTTGTGTTTTGGGACGTTTTGGATTTTTTAATTTTGTTAATAGAAAGTAAGTTTTGGATGTGATGTTTCAAAAGGAAAAAAATAAAAGGACCATGTTGTTTTAAAAGGAAAATAAGAATTGGATGTGATACGTTTTGTACGAAAGAAATATAAATTGCATAGAACAAAAACAGTTACGAAAACACAAACAAATGCACCCTTGGTTTCTTCATTAACATTAACTCAGAAATATACGTACAACTGGCTCAGATCAGGTTACCTGGTCTTATGAAGTCCGAAAGACCGAAATCTGTAGCCTTCAGTGGTGAATCCACTTTAGTGGACTTGAATAGGAAATTCTGTGCAAAAACTACTTTAGAACATCTAACAATAGCATCCCATTATGTAATAGGAAAATTTTTCACATACCTCTGGCTTCATATCACGGTGTACAAAACCGTGTAAATGGCACTCTGCTGCAACCTTTAGCATCTGCCTCACGACAATTGCAGCATCTTTCTCTGTGTAACGGCTATCCTTTCTGTTGGAAAATATCTTATTTATCTCAAAAAAGAACAAAAAGAATAATACTATGGTTCTACGGAGTAAGAAAATACATTATAGATGGTTCATGCTTACTTGGACAAGATACGGTCGAGTAATTCTCCACCCTCACATAACCTAACGATTATAAGATTATATGTAAATCCAAAATGCTGGATGCAGGAATATAATTTGGGCAGATTTCAAAGTTTGAATTCGAAGCTTACTCCATCACTATATATACATAAGAATCGTCCTCAAAAGCATTATAGAATTGAACTATATTTACATGTCCTGCTAATGCTTTCAATATCTTGACTTCTCGCTTTACATCCTCAACAGCAATAGGAAGAGCCATCTGTCATGCATTCAGGAGCTTGTTCACTGCCCAGCTTTTGTAGTAAGTGAAACTAACCCCGGCCAAGAACTTAAAAAGCAAATTAATGCCTGCCAACAACTTAAAAAACCAATACATCTTCATCTAAATGTCCACTAATTCATGCATCAATGCATTAGTTTTAAAGGGCAATTCTTCAAATACATAATATCTCCACACAATGCCTGTAAAAAACCTCAATGACTAATGGTGGAAAACATCACCACTGTAATTACCCTTTTTCTCTAACAAAACATCACGTCGCATACTAATTTTTTAATATTCTCAATTTTTTTTCAGAACTCCAAAAGACTCATATCAAAACAACAAGATAGTGTTTTACTATATGCAAATTATACCAAGATAGTGTTTTACATCACAAATTTTTTACATGAAAATTATACCATATAAAAAAGCCGAAAACAAGATAGTGTTTTTTACCATATAAAACAACAAAGAAGCACAATTGTACTTGGAACTTGGAAGTCCTATATTGAGCTCTATGATCCATTTTTTCACTTATATACAAACTAAATCCACATCCACATGGTAAATGCCTATTTAATCAAAAGCTAAGTATAAATTAATGAAAAAATGAATACAAACCCCAACTAGATAACCATGGAAGCACAGGGTAGGTTCTGTTGATAAGATTCTTGCTGAATCACATATCTGAACAACCTTCCTTTATTACAGATTACTTAAATTTATGAAAGGAAATATAACTGATCTATCATAATATCTCAGCTTCCAATTAATCAATCAAGAATCAAAATATGTGAAGTAAATGGGGAAGAGCAATGGAGGAATGGATGAAAAGGAGAGTAAAGGAAAGTAGGAGAAATACCTTATTCTTGTCTATTCTCTTGACGGCAACACGATCACCATTAGATTTATCGATTGCAACATATGTATACCCAAATTGGCCATGCCCTAGCAACTTCCCTATCGTATATCTCTTATCGAAGTCCCTATCATATCCAAAATCCGTCCGCTTTCCGCACGGAATGACTCCTGCCCCCCTCTTCGAACTGTTCTTGATGACCAGGTGGGAACGCTTCTCTTCTGGCCGATTCCTATTGTTTCCTGTCGTCTTATGACGGTGAATATTCGATGGAGCTGCCGTGGAAGTCGAGGCTGTAGGCTGCTCGGATTGCCGGCGGACGTTCCCGGCGGCGTTGCTATTGGAACCACTCACTTTGCTGGTGGAAAAACAGCTCCCCATTCCTGAGGAAGGGATTCCCAAGGTGTGCTTCGAGCCAAATCTGGGGTTGTGGGAGTCCTACAGAGGATTCGAGGGGTGGTGATGATTGTGAGACAATTGCAGAGATGGATGGATAAATAGAGGAAAACATGCAGCTGCAGCAGTAGAAGAAGAAGAAGAAGAAGAAGAAATTGCAATTAAAAATGCAGGAATGGTGGAGGTGGGACGATTGATTTTGATTGCAGGAGGAAGGAGGAAGGCAGCAAGGAAGGCGAAGAAAAAGGATGGAAGAAGATGCACAGGTCAAAGGGAGGAAGGAAGGAGGCAGCTCATCAGCTGCAGACTAGAGAGAGAGAGAGAGAGAGAGAGAGAGAGAGAGAGAGAGAGATCCAATCAAACTCAGGTTGTGTGTGTGCTGTTCTTTCAAGAACTCAAGGTTCACACTTCACTTTACCTGTAATTCTAGTGTAATTTATAAAAATAATTTTTTTTTTTTTTCGTAAAGTTAATTTAATTATTAGCTTATTTATAACAAATAGCATTTAATTTTATATATTCTCTTTTTATTTATTTTATTTATAATTTAATTTTTAAAAATAATCTAATTATTTATATTTTTTAATAAAAAAAAATTCTTCTGTGTCAGACTCAAAGGAATTATTTTTAATAGTGACCTTTTTTACGTATAGAATATATATTAGATCGACAAGATAAATATACGACAGAACTTGTAAACGTTTTAGAATTTAAACATATTACCTTATGGTCAAAAGTTCATCCAGAAGGCCGTTATTCTTTACAAGACTACCTTTTTATCTTTCATTGACTATGGTATATTTTAAGATGATGGCAATATTTCATGTTAAGTAAACAGCCCACTGTTGAATATTTTTTTGAAAATTTTTAAATTTCTTATTCTTATTTTATCGATTGAATCTATTATAAATTTAATAGAATTGTTTTGATTTAATTAAGATCTATAAAATAATAATTATGTATATAATCTATCTCTTTAATTACAAAATAATATCGGCAAGGCTAAGAATACTAGTATAAAATGGTGTTGAATATATTCCAACTGTCTCCCGCAGCCTACACTTTGACCGGTTTATGGCGGTATTCATGAATTAGTCAGTCATTCACATAATAATCCAATCTAATAAATCATTCATTATTTATTAAATACTATTTGGTAGCTTCTTGGATGCCGCTTGAACACGTATTTAAAGATTTTGAACAAAAAAATTTATAATATTTTATTAAGTCAACATTTAATTTAATTCAAATTTACGGTCAACATAGAATTGAATAAATATTTTCAAGATCAAAATTTGATGGATGAAAAAATTTCAAGAAACTCGTTATCAAAATTTTCTCAAACTTTAATATTTAGATTTTGCATTTTCTAAGAAAAAAAAAATTTGCACAAAAAACCTTGTTAAATATTATTTAAACAAAAAAGTTAAATCAAATTTTTTTCCAATCAAACTTAAAAAAGTATATAAGTCATTTTATCTTTGAAAATGATATATATATATATACACCTTACTATCACTACTTGTATTTTTTGGTTTCCATAAGAAGTTTTCCACGACTCAGTCTGTTTCTACAACTTATTATCAATTTTCTTTTTCGTTTACTAACATTTGCAATATAAAATATTTTACCAATGTATTCCACAATTTATATTTTTATTGTCTTAAAGTATATTTGCACGATTTTTTTAGGTGATTGTCTTTTTTTTGTTATGATTTGACAAATTTGCAGATTAAAAGTAATAAATGAATAAATAGTAAAAATATAAAATTTATATTTAAAAAAAAAAATAGAACAATTCGAAAGATAAGACATTAGTTTATGGATAGAGAGACTATTAATGTTTTTTTTGGACAAACTTATGGCTGGAGTCTATGAGGCTTTGCCAAGCACCTATACCTATGCTATTGTTGCTGCCGCCTCCTTTACTACTACTACTACAAGCAATTCTCGTCGGTTCCTCTTCAGTTGCAAGATGTAGTTTTCTTTCAAAATGTTTATTATTTATAAATTTTTATTTGAAAAATATTAGATATCAATATTTATTTTTTACATTATATTAAAAAATATTTTATATTTCGAATATAATAAGGTGTGTTTGTTTAGGGATTTTGTTTAGAATAGAATTTTTTCTTAATTGAAACAATTATTTTTATTGTGATATAAAAATGAAAAGAAAAAGAAAAGAAAAAAATTATATAATAAATGAAATACTTGATGTTATATATGTTTCATAAAAAACAAGTATTTATTATGTAATTTACACTAAAATTATTAAAGATTTTTTTATTTAGATTTGTTTAATAAAAATCGTACATTTATATTTTTTCAAATTTTTTTTGCACTACTCAATTGACACAAAAAAAAAAAAACTCCAAAAATTACATTTAAAAAATTTTACATTTAAAATATTATATAAAAATATATATTTAAAAAAATTACATCTAATATCTATTAATTACATGACATCATATATCTATTTTCTAGTCAATTTTGTTATTATTCTCAAATCAACTCGGGTTTGTTTGTTTTTGATTTCAAAACTAAAGTTTCATAGTCTACAATTTTTTGATAAAAATATATTATATATTTTTTACAAAATATTATATTAAAGTAAATTTAAATTTTTTTTTTTTAAAAAAAAAAACTGAAATCAATAATTCAATTTCAAACTTAAACCAAAAGTACCCTAATTTCTTAGGCATATATTAACACAATCTAGGTTGGATGGAATTTTGGAATAAAATTACATGCTATGAATTAAATTGTACAAAAACAAAGAAGACAGGTACGGTCCAGCCCACTAAATGCATAAACACAGTGCTAAATTATTGCTAACCGTTACAGCCTACATGGGACATATCAAATTAATTACATGCATTGGACATATCAACACCCATGCAACTTCGGCCAGATGTGCTTGTCATGTAATAGTGTCCTAAAATATTTGCAACTTCTTTTTTTTTTATTATTTCACAAAAACATAAAAAGATACAATAAAATTTTTAACATATAAATGAGAAATCAAGAACCAAGCAGAAAAAATTAAAGCCGACCAGGATTAAAACATTTTGAATGAAAAACGTTACATGTAACTTATAAAAGAGAATCTGCTCTGATCTGATAATAGCTACAAAAATTCAAGCGAAATAAAATAAAAAAGGCACAAAAAGCATCAGTTTTTTCAACTTCCAAACGAGGTCTCTCTCCCTCCCAAGATAACAAAACATAGAAATTAATAAGGATGGGTTCATGGCAAGGACAAACTTATCTTGTGTACCTTAATTCTTCTATTCACTCAGTCCCATCCCATCGGGGCGGCGTCGCTGGGTGGCACAACATCGGCCGGAGCTGCCATTGCCGGTGGTGCAGGAGCCATGTCCCATCCATCAACAGCGCCAGCACCTGCATTACCGACAAAATTATATGTAACAAACATTTAGAGAATCAAGAGATCGATGTAAAAGAAAAGTGTGTATATGTATGTATGCACGCAGGCACACTGCATTCTTTGTTTCGGAATTTCTGACTATATTGTTGAAAACACCAACCTGCATCGGCAGTCCAGCTACTAGCAACAGGTGGGACTACACCAGGAGTCATGTCGGGAGCCCATTGGGCATCGGGGATCTGGCTGCTAGACCAATCACCGCCAATTGCGGCAGCAGAGTAATCAGCGCCGTAATCTGCAATGGCAGTAGCTTCCTCCTCTTCTTGCTCCTTAGCCTCCTCGGGCTCCCTGTAGAAGAACAAATCGACCTACACAAAAAAAGGTAAAACAAAGAACTCAACAGAATAGCTAAGAGACTTAAATTGGACAAGAAAAAGGAAAGCAATTACAAGGAGGGCAAATCAATATATTTTATTACCATGATGTCCCATTTGTGTCCGGGTGCAATGACACCACGCATCTGCAGAACCATCCTAGCAAGGAGCCAGAAGAGGCAACCGATGCTGTGTTTCCCCTTGTTATTGGCAGGAATACCAATGTCAACGTAGCGCATGGGAGAATCGGTGTCACAGAAAGCAATTGTGGGAATGTTGGAGAGAGCAGCTTCTTTAATTGGCTGCAAACAGACCATAATGAAAATAAGAAGAGTGAGGAAATGCAATATTGCAAGTAACCACAAACAAACCCCATAGTTCAATGACCTGGTGATCTGTTCTGGGGTCAGTGAGGATGAGAAGCCTTGGCTCACTGAATGAAGTTTGAAGTTGGTTAGTGAATGTTCCTGGTGTGTGACGTCCTGCAATTGCATGGGCACCAGTGTATTGGGCAAACTTCAACACAGCCCTCTGACCATATGGTCTGGCAGATTGAACAATGATGTCTTGAGGGTTTTCGATGGCAACTATAACTCTGGCAGCCATCTGGAGCTTTTCCCAGGTCTTTCCAAGATTGATGATGTAAATCCCTAAAAGATTATACAGAAACACAAGCAATTATAGAGCAACCACATTAAAAATCTACCATAAACCCCCCACAAATAGTGGCCATCATAAAGCCTTTACAACAACAATGTTTTAAACAAAAGACACAAGTTTCCGCACTTGCAACAATATTGTAGAAAATAAATGAAAGATATAATGTTTACATAGCAAATTCATTTTCCTCAAGTGTATTGGGCAGGGAACACTCAAAAGATATCTTGAGGTGTCAAACCATTTTAGCAGATTTTCCATTGTTCCATCTTTCTATAATAACGTAAAAGCAATTATTCATCTACGCATACAAATATCAAGGTGGTTCACCCGTTGTCACAACCACGCGCCGGAGATCAGGCGATACGGGCACGATTTAGTACATTATTCAACCAAACTAAACTTGTTACATTTTGAAGATAAATCAATCAGTGAAGGAGAAATTGAACATTGTTCCTAGGATCAAGAATGAAGTAGAAATCACCAATACCGGTAATAAACCTTAGAATTTCCCGACCTAATAATATATCAGGTAATTTCGCAAAAAGAATATGATGGTGCTAATACTACAAGCCACGACACAAATGACATAGAACAAAACCTAATAGATAATTTGACATCTCCTAATTCCACACACATCAACAACAAACGATCATTTCAAAAAAAAAAAACATCTCACCATCAGAACAGAAAGAACATCATCGAAAAAATCAAGATAAACCCCAAAATTACGACATCAACGGGACAGACGCATACATACCATCATTTCTGCGCTTAAAAACGTAACGCTCCATTTGAAAATTGCAGTTTTTGGTGCCGAGGTGAACTTCGGCCGCGAGCATCATTTGTATATCGGCCTCCTTCGTCGAAAGCGATCTCTGAGCGGTCGCCATCTTGGGTTTCTGTCACTGATTTGCAGCAATCGCCGGAATTGCTAGTGGATCTTGCCCTGACTGCAGAGTACGCGCGACGAAGGGTTAGCAGGCAGAGCGCAGCCGTGTACTTATAGCGTCTCTTGCTACACAGAAAAACCCTAAGATAAAAAGATGGGCCGTATTTTAGGCCCAGAAATGGATCTTGCCCTGACTGCAGAGTACGCGCGAGGAAGTGTATTACATTTAAAAAATTATTGTATACATAATGGGCTATTGGGAACAAATATGCATTTTTAGAATTAATATACATAATGGGCCATTAGGAAATTACCTATTATTAAAAAAAAAAAAAAAAAAAAAAAAAAAAAAAAAACTCCTTCAATCCCATCATAATTTACATTTATTTTTATTTTTGTTTGTCCGGTAATAATCGATAATTTTACAAATACTAAGACTCACTCAAAATCTTTTATTTCTATTTCTCTCCTTAAAAATGAATATTTTTATATATATTTAACACTATACATCTTTTATAAAATTGAATTATGTTAATCGTGAATAAATAAAAATATTTTTTTTATTTACTTATATTATAGAAAATTTTATTGTCTATATTCATATTACATAAATTTTTTAATTGTTATATAATTTTTAAATATTTAAACATATTTTTAAATTTTTTAATTATATATATTAAATTTACTTTAAATACGGTGTTTCTAAAGGTCAATTTCGGTGGGACAGAGTAAAATATAAAAATTATATATATTAAAAAATATAGAAAATTAGTTGGGTAAATACTTCCTAAATTAAAAATATATGGGCCGGTGACCCAGCAAACATTGGGCTTCGTCTGGGACAAATCTACGTTTATATACCGTATGGAGATCGCGGCAGCCATCGTCGTTGAAAATCAACGGGGGAGCTCCAATGGCAGGTAATGCTTACTGACGGACGACTTATTGGGGTCGTATTCCATTCGCTTTGCTCTTTAATTTCTCTGTTGGAGTGTTTTGTTTCGTTCGGTCGCTGTGGTTTTAATGATGTGACTCGAGGCTTGAGATGCAGCGCTGATTTGGGTAATTCCGTTTTCTGTTATTGTTTGCTGGTCGGGATGTAGGTGGTCAGCCGGAGAGAGAGGACAAAGTATCGTTGGAACTTACTGAAGAAATTCTTCAAAGCATGGAAGTTGGAATGGCCTTTCGCGATTATGTATGTATTTTTCTTTTATCTCTTTAAATTTAAATCTTTGTGATCTTATTGCTATTTGCTGGAAAACCGTGACGAAATTGTGAATTTCTTTATTAATTTCTATATATTTTCTTACTTGTATACGTGCTTATTATTCAAGATGCATTCATGTGACTGATTTAGTCGGGGCTTGTGTAGTGGTAGATAATTTTCTCCTGAAACGGAAGGAGAATCATCCACACCAAATTTCAGTAACTAGTGTTTTGATAGTGTCGTTTATTTTCGAAGTATTGGTGGTTGCTTGGCCCCTATAGGAACTAAATGTTTGGTTTATTGGAGAAGCTTTGAAAGAATCCAAATTTGAGTGCTATTTTTCTCAGTTGAATTTTATGAATGTGACTAATCTGCATTTTTCTATTGGGGTTTCATGCATATAAGCCGACTTCTGTGAAATCTTCTTTTAGTGCTTCGCAATTTAAATTAATTAATTACAGGTTTCAGAGAAGATGATAGGGAAGAGAATATTATTTCATTCTAAATTATTTCTTTGCAGAATGGTAGAATCAGCTCAATGGATTTCCATAAGACATCAAGTTATCTGGTTACTGCTAGTGATGATGAATCCATTCGCCTGTATGATGTTGCTAGTGCAACGTAATACTCTTTTTCTCTTCTTGAATCTCTAGATGCGTTGCTATCACACTGCATCACAATCACATGACAGATATTCTTCGATTAAATATCATGAAGCAATCTAATAACTATTTTCAAAATTTCTAATGCTTTTTTTGAAAGTAATATGGAAGAAATCACAACATGCATCCCTGAGATTGTGATCTTTAGGCATATTCTGATCTTTTCATTTTACATTTCCATTTGTCCCCCCCCCCCTCCTCCCTTTTTTTTTTGAGTTTCGAATGGAATCTTCATCTTTAATTGCATGGAGTAATTTTTTTGTTTAAGAATTTGATCTTCTAGAAACTGATAATCAAGTTTATTCACCTAACGAAAAGTTTACACACTTCCAGTTTTGTAATGGTTTATTACAAAATTTAGACAACTTCATTCATCCTTTTTCTGTTTATTTTTTTTAATGATATCGTCCAGCATATCTAACTTTCATTTCTCTACCTCAGATGCCTTAAAACAATCAACAGTAAGAAGTATGGGGTGGACCTAGTTTGCTTTACCTCTCATCCTACAACTGTTATATATTCCTCGAAGAATGGCTGGGATGGTACTTAAATTAGCCATCTTTCTAACCTTTGTAATATTTTGCAATCATTGATTTAACTTTTGGTGAAAACAGAATCCCTGCGGCTTCTGTCGTTGCATGATAACAAATATTTGAGATATTTCAAGGGCCATCATGACAGGCATGAATTTTGAATATTTGGATATTTTGAATTTGAGGTAACTGTTGTGGCAACAAATGATACATTATTAATGTATGAACAGGGTTGTTTCTCTTAGCCTCTGCTCTAGAAAAGATTGCTTTATTTCTGGTTCTCTGGACCGTACAGTTCTGCTTTGGGACCAAAGAGCAGAGAAATGTCAGGTAGAGGCTATACACCATCGTTAATGTTTTTTCAGTTACTTTAGTATACTCTGTGTTCACTGTGATCTTGAATTTAGGGTCTTCTACGTGTTCAAGGGAGACCAGCTGCAGCTTATGATGATCAAGGACTTGTTTTTTCCATCGCCTTTGGAGGATACATAAGAATGTTTGATGCTCGCAAATATGAAAAGGTCAGATTATGTGTTACATAATGCATAGAATAAGTGTTGTCCGATTAAATTTTGTAGCTACTGACCTATTTATTCTTAAAGGGACCTTTTGACATATTTTCCCTTGGAGGAGATACGTCAGAAGCTAATGTACTGAAGTTTAGCAATGACGGAAGACTTATGCTTCTGACAACAACAAATGGGCATATTCATGTTCTTGACTCATTCCGTGGCACCCTTGTGAGTTCTCAATACTGTGATTCGCAATCTCTGATGTCAATTGTTAATTGCATTGAATGGGTGTAGCTATTTTTCACTATACTATTTATTTCTTTTAGTTATCAACATATAATGTCAAGCCAGTCTCAAGCAACTCTACACTGGAGGCATCTTTCAGTCCAGAGGGGATGTTTGTCATATCAGGTCCATTAATCTTACAACGTTCAAAATATTATGTCTAATTTAGTTAATCATATTTGCTTTCTAGAATAGCTAACTGGTGCTGCATCCATGGCATTAGAAGCTTTAAAAATGTTAGGCTGCATGTGTGTTGGAATCTCCTTAAAACTTCCGATGACTGTTCCATGTGTACTTTGAAGATATAATTGAATATGGTATTCGCGTAGATCAAAGAAGAGATTTTAAGGTTTTGAGTTCACTAAACCATTAAGAAGAAATTTTATGAGTTAAGCTTCAGACAATTTGGTGGTGCGTGAGGGTACGTTGTATAGTTTTTAATACTAAATTTAAGTAGAATAAGTTTATATTAATTGTTACACCACATCTCTTTCGGTTCTCCATCCATTGAGTTGAGCATCTAACCTTTAGTGGATATTCTCAGAACTCCTTTTCTAAGTTCTTATTATATTTTTGCCAGAGGTAGCTCTCACATTTGTGGTTTCTGCAACTTGGCAGGTTCTGGGGATGGCAGTGTTTATGCTTGGAGCGTACGTAGCGGCAATAAAGTATGATGAGCTGATTTTTCGTGCATTTATCATTTGGATATTATTTCCGGTTGTTGCTTTTGAACTAATTAATTGTGTTTATGAATAATCTGTCACAATGCCTATGCATTACAAGTTATCTTTCATATTGGTTATTGGAAGTGTTTTTTGTTGGAAAAACTACTTTGTACTTGCATTGCTCTATCATGTAGAATGTTACCATAATTTTTGTTGTTTGTCAGGTTGCCAGTTGGATGAGTACTGAGTCTGAACCACCTGTAATAAAATGGGCTCCTGGAAGCTTAATGTTTGTCACTGGTTCTTCTGCGTTGTCCTTTTGGATTCCGGACTTATCTAAATTAGCTGCATATGTTGGAAGAAAGTAGGAAGATTTGATGGTGCCCCTCTAAAGCATTTTTTCCTGCGGCTGCATGGGTGTAGACTGTTTCTTTCGGGTGTAGAGATACTAGAGATTATCATGGAATGCCTCAACTTTTGCTCGAGTCACGGGAACAGCTGAGTAGATCTGACCTTCTGGCAATTGCTCTGTCTCTCATGTGAGAAAGCGCTGGGAATTTGGCATGCTCTAGATGAAAATCCTTCTCGTATGCTGCTTCCTCGTGTTGGACATATAGCACAATGTATGTCAGCATTGTCACAGCATCCTATTGGAGTATCAAAATATCAGGTATGGAAACACTATTTTCTCAAAGCGCCATGATAACAGCCTAGGTTATGTTATTCTGTGGTGTTTGCAGCTTTCTGTTTCAACATATACTCATTATGTTCAGGGCTTAGATATTGTAGTTATGGTGATTTGTAGGTTCATAGCTAATTGTTTGTTTCTTCGACTTTAAACTAACATGTATAAATTTAGAATGTTTCTCCTACGCCTGAAATTTTTACTAAGAGAAGTATGGGTGCTATCTGTTCAAGATAATATTTTGGCTTGGTTTCGAAAAATTTAATTGAAACAACCTCTACTCTGAACTGCCACAAAAGTATATATATATATATAAATCATGAAAAATGTGATGGAGCAGTTGTTTAGTGATTATATGCTAGAACAATTTGTATCTGCTATGTAGATGGGTTTTAGATTCTGGCAGCTTGCTGACCAGCAATGTGTTTCGGACTTTATTTTCTGGTGGTCATAAGGAATCTGAAACTTGGGATATCTGGACATAGAGCACTACTGTTGGAGTTTGCATTCTCTTCATTATTCTAATGACTTTCTGGACATAGTAATTTTGTGAACGAAATAAAACTTATATGCTTGCAATTAAGGGATCCAAAATACCGAGATTTTTTCATAAACATTTTAGAGTTTGAATGGTCAAACTGCCACGATAACTCTGATCATAAATTTCATGGTTCTAAGCACCCAAATATTCCATTTTTATCATATCCATGGTAATTTCTTGTAAAGATAGAAGAGTAAACTAATATAGGCAAGCAAGTCCAGTGGAGGTACCAAGCAAGTGGAATCATGTTTAACCCAAAATTTTAAATCAATGCTATTTCCATACTTTAGCCAGCTACTGATCAAGTGCTTTCTATGCATGTACCCTCCCCAACCCCATGAAAGTTATTTATGAACTTGCATACAGACTGGATTTAATATTTCTCATCTTTTCGGTATTGGCTTGAATATTACAATGGCTTCATGGCTGAGTAGGATCAATCCACAAGCCATTAACTGGCCTATGGTGGTTTCTTGCAAGGTGGTGATGCACATTATTAAATATCGTCCTTGAGTAGTGTTGACGGCACTATGGTATCATTTCGCAGCTCTGCCTGGGGACACCATTAGACGACCAGACCAGTAGCCTGAACATAAGATGGAGGAAAGCCGGAAACCCATTCCTTGGTAACAAAAGCTACTTAAAGAATATTTTGCAACAAAAGTTACTAGTTTTGGAATTTTAATTTCTTTCTCATATAATGTTCCATTATTTTGTCAATATTTCAAGATATCATATTTGTGGGACTCATTTTCCATCGAAAGGATAGCACCGTGTGTGTGTGTGTGTGTAATACTTCTTAAGCTATAATATGTGCCATCTATGAATGTGTTTATAAGCTTATTTTTGTTTAGATGTTTGCGAACATTCGAGGATCTATGTGTAATAACATTGTAGTGCTATTATGTCTTTGATTCCAATCACTAGAAGTTACATTTTGCTGTTGACACAGTTCCAATTCATGGTACTGAACAAATGCCACTTCATTGTGCTCATTAGTCCTAACAATTATTTCATCATTCACATGCAGATTCGGAATTATTTTAGGATATTTTAGTGTGTATGTTTTCATATTTCTCTTAGAGAAAATCCTGGAGACAATTAATTTAACAGTAGTGGAAATTTGTATTCAAGTTTGCAAAACTACATAATTATTTCTTAGTGAAATTTGTTAATAATGTAACAGGGAATATCTATATAGTGTGTGTCTTGATTCACATAGTAAGCTATGATGATGGAAGATAAAGCTTGGCCAAGTGGTCACTACTATCTAGTTTTGAGTATAAACTGATTAGTTGTGTTTATACTCAAATTTACTTTAGAAAGTTTTAAATATAAAGTGGCAAAATTTTCAATTGATTATCAAACACAATATTTTAAATAAATTACAATCATGCCAATAAATTACTAAGATCTTATTAAATAAAGATATGAAGTTGAATATTAATTAATAGTATAATTTAATTATAAGTAAAATTTTAAAAAATAAAAATATATTCTTTCTTTTCCTTCTAAAGTTTCCAAATTTAAAAGGGAATATAATTATAAGTAAAATTTTAAAAAATAAAAATATATACTAAACGACACTCTAATCTTTATTTTATTTATTTTTTCTCTCTTATATTCACTTCCAACACTCAAATTAGATAGTTTAATACTATTATATCACCTTCAATTCATTATTTTTGTAATTGTTTAAAATTCATAATAATTATTTATTTTATATATTTTTTTGTCTAATAATATATAAATAATATTTATCATATAATAGTATTATATTAAATTCTAGGATATTAATCTATATAAATTGTGATAATATTCTATTTCTAGTTCTTTGAAATAATATGAAAATAATATTATTGAAATTATATATATTTTTTCTTTAAAAAAATAATGATTGAAACAATTGTAGGTAAATATTGGATTTCAAATTATATGTATTATATTTGTACAGATAAATTATTCTAAATCTAATTTTTTAAAAGTTTTAAATTTCAAATTTTGGATAATAATTTATTAAATAATTAATTTTTATTATTTTTATGAAAGGTAAAATATTTTTAAAATATATAATATGCTCATGATAAATATTTTTATTAATAAAGGTAATAAATTTCATTATAACGAGAACGTAATTATAAAAATAACAAAAGTTACTTTAACATATCTCTATATAAAATTAAATAATATGAAATGTCATTACACACTTTTTCATAAATACCTTAATTATCTTTTGTAACTTTCTTACTTTTTAAATAGAATATACATTTTCATCCATTAATCCGGAAAGACGTAATGAATTACTCTCTCCGTTTCACATAATTTGTTCCTATTTTTTATTTTGGTTCGTCCCATGTAATTTTTCAATTCCTTTTTTTGAAATATAATTATACACTTTAATCTCATTTTAAATTTTATAATTTTTTTAATTTTAATTAAACTATTTAGTTATCTTAATCTTAATCCGCAATTATTTTTATTATACGATAATTATTTTTACTAATACACTTAATTACTTACTAATTATATTTTACATGAATTCTCGTATGTACAGCAATAAGCCCATAATACATGGGACAGAGAAAGTATTATTATTATTATTATGATTATTGTATTTTAGAATGATTGGGCTTATTAGAAATGATTGGGCCTTTTCGCCGGGCCGGGCTGGGACTACAAGGTGACGATTGAAAAAGCAACTGGAGGGATACTTTTGTGGGCCAAATTATAATTTCATGAAATAAGAAAAATATTGGATCAAATTGCAAATAATTTTAAATAGTCAGCTACCGAAGAGGGGTTTTTGGCTGCGCTTCAGTATCCCCAAACGCTGAAAAGTAAAACTGATATTCCCAAATTGGTTGGAAATCGGAGAAAATGGTCGGCGGCGGCGCCGGAGGAAAAGAAGGTGACTGGGAGTGCGGGGGATGTCGCAACAGGAACTACGCATTCAGATCCTTTTGCAACCGCTGTAAGCAGCCTCGCCTTCTTGTTGACATCAAAACCCCTGCCGATTCCAAGTGGCTTCCCCGGATAGGCGACTGGATCTGCACCGGTACTTTGCTGTTTTGTTCAATCACTCGTTTTCTTGCTTTCTGTACTGTGCTGAGGTTTCTTTGATTATTGTATCAATTGATTGAGGAGCTCTGTTCTTTGTACGGTTTTTGGTTGATAAAGGTCGTGGCTGAAATTTCGATGACTATTTCTCTTCCTTTTTTTATAAATTTAAATTCTTGCTTCGACATGAGTTAGCGTGTTCTTTAAATTCTGAATATCTTCGGTTATGTGTTTTTGCATCTAGAAATGGATTACGGAGAAGTACTTATTAGTGTTTCTTTTTCGAGAAGTTTATAGAATACTTGCAGCTTGTGATTATTCTCAAGTTTGAGAAAGTTTTCTTGCTTGGTAATAAGTTGGGTTATTTAAAGAATTATGCTGTTTATAACCAGGCTCAATATGCTATAGTGTGGTTAACAGCTCAAATTAAAATATGAAAATTTGGAATAGTTCTATAGTTATGCTATTGATTAGATTTCATTATATTTAAAGATTTTGTTTATAGTGTAAATAGTGTTAAAATTTGACAAAAGTTTCTTCAATCTATCTATTTGTAGTAACTTTGATAAGTATAATATAATACGAGGCCAATCTTTTGTGGAAAAATTTATTCAATTTTTTTTTACCTAATATACCAGTACAGATGCTTCCCCTCCCCTCCTCTCCGCCCCACCACTCAGTCTTAGATGCTTAGAACAACCTGACTGTAAAAGTTCTGGTAAGTAGTGTTTAAGATTGAAGAATTGGAAGTAATATTTGACATCATGTAATTTCATACTTGAAAACGGAGTTGAGTTCTGCAGTTTCACCAATAACTCTACAATTGAAATTTTAGAGTAATCATGGGATGTGGAATTGGCTTTTCCTATCTTCAGAAGATGGGTACACACAATCATCTAGTTTTCATAAGTCTTGGATTAATTCTTTTTTGCCCCTTATGTTTGCAGTTTTATAAAGAGAAGTAGTTTGTGATAATTAGATAATTGTTCCCCTTTTCTTGATGTCTTTAAACATGATTTATGTCCTTATTGATGTGTTTTTAAATTTGTCATAATTAAGCAACTTGGTTTCAATTAGGTTGAGTTGTTTTATATTTTCTGTATATGTTTTTGGTATTGGATGGCGGGTCGGCGTGCGTATTCTTCGCATATATCTTCTTCGTGGCTGGATTGTGGGTTGGTGCGTGTGTCAATGGATCAATAGGTTGCACTAACAACAATTATGCATCAAGAGAAAAGTGCAAAAAGTGTGGGCAACCTAAGGAGATAGCAGCAATGCCAGCTGTTGCAATCCCTGGAGCATCTCTCCCTACTCATCCTACTTATTTTCCCAGGGCTCAAGGAGGCATGGAACAGATGTTGAATGTTGAATCTCTACAACCATCAATGCCTTTGAGCTCTGGTTGGCCCCTTGGAGGGACTGGTCAATATGGAAATCGCTCTAGTGATCCCCAGGGTTTTCAGCCAGCATCTACTTGGCCCCTGGGAGGTAATAACATAACTGGAATCCCATATGCTGGCCAAACAAGTCAACTTCCTACAGTTACTAATGGTAATGGCTGGCGAGCTGGTGATTGGATGTGTAATTGTGGATTCCACAATTATTCTTCACGTGCACAGGTATACTTAGTCTTCTCTCTAATTAATTCAGAGTATGTTGTTTGCTTGCAATTGATGGTTTGTCCATTTTAGAGTGAAGAATTAAGAGATGATAAAAATAACTGGCCCTAACTCCTAAGATTGATGACTGTCCAGCAATTTTTTTTCTTATAACAATTGTCTGAGTCGGGATTATGGAATGTTTGCATTCAACTTTATCATTTAGAGTTTGCGACATGAAGAATATTGTTATAGTTAAACTTGTCAGTTTCTGCATCAACAATTCTCAGGCTCTGGCATTCAGGAAATAACCATATTAATGAGAGTTTAATTACTCCAGCTCTGCTGCCTTCTTCAATTTTGTGTACAAATTATGGCATTTCACTTCATCAATTTTCCAATACTTCTAATTGGTTGCACTAGTTCAAGTAAATAAGAAATTTGCTGATGAACCTATATAACTATATGCTAGTCACATGATGCTATGAAATTATTTCTCTTTCTTCTCGTGATTTTGTAGTGCAAGAAGTGCAATGCTCCTAAACCGTTATCGACACTCTCATCTCTCATTGCCCCAGCAGTTACAGGTATGTGTATTTTGTTGTATCTGTTCATAAACATAATTGTTTGTGGAAGTTGATGTCTGAAGCCTGGCTTAATATTTTGTTGAATGCTTATTAAATGTGGCAATAACCTGGCTGGCTTAGAGGGTGGTTAAAACAGGAATTTTCTGGCATCTTTATTATCATATCTCTGTATTACCAATTATCTTCGGGATATGCTATAGATGAAAGAGTGTCATGTTGGGCTTTGTGCTTGGTGGCTATGATGGGCATGGAGAAGGAGGGGTACACCCTCGCTATTAGTGAACTTTGTTTTTTATAAAAACTTAATCGTTGCAGTGTTCTACTGCGATAGACTTGAAAGTTTTGAGGTGTCCTCGGAACATCTTTGCCTATGACATGGTAATAGACTTGCCCGAATAACTACAAAATGCCTATTCGAATCGTTCGTTTTTCGGTTTTGGGTTGGCTTTTCAGTTTGAACCAGAACCATGAAGAATCTGTAATTGAAACTTGATTTATTAAGGTTTTTTTATTGGTTCTCTATTTTGTAAAATGGATAAGACTTAGTGACAGTGGAATGGGCAATTTAAATTAATCCAGTGTTCCGGTTTCTTCTTCTTTCTTTCTTTTTTTTTTTTTTTTTCACATGGATAACAACTTTTTTATATTTTAAAAGTTGTGAAATTTGTGAACTGAAGTTGCAAGAGAGTAATAAACTATAGTTTAAATACCATTAATTGAATTTGAACCACCTAACTGCATTCAACAGTGTTTTTATCATTCCACCATTTATATGTTCTCAACCTTCTGTTATATATATAAAAATCTTTTTGAAGTATGTCCTGATAAAAAAACAATGACACTTCCATCATCCTTTTATTGAAGCTCTTGGAACAAAACGCCTCGCCTCGGAAGAATTGGTCCATAACTGGAATAATAAGAGATTAAATGCAGGACAAGTAAGGGATATTTCAGAGTAAACATCTGATTAGATAATATGGGATCTCCATTCTCTGTTTTCTCCTATAATATTTGTTATTTTATGCTTTTGTTAAACTTACATCTGATTAAATCTCAGGCGTATGGTCTGCAGCAATTATTTACTGGGCTTGGGTCACTCCCAAGCCCCAGCGGTAATCAATTAAATGGTATGTACTCTACCCTTCCGAGCGGAAACCCAGCTGGCCATCCAAATATGCAAGTTAACCTTCATGTGCCGCATATTCCTGCAACTCCTGCACTCGTTGGGAAAGGGTAAAAGTGTTTTCCACCAAGCACATTACTCATATTTTAGAAGTAGTTGATGTAGCCTAACTTCATAATATTCAGTAGAAACAAATAAATTTATAATTTTTAAGTCTAGTATATAGTGACACATCAAAGTTTTGATCTCTTAAAAGCTTGCTTCTAAATATTATGTAAACACGCATGTGGATCCAATACAGGCATCTTAAAGATAATTTGTTTGAAGATTTACCGTGGAAGATGTATGCCTGTGTTTGTCTTGTTGTGTTACAGTTTATTTGCATTAAGATTCACCACAAATGGTGTCTTGCAGAGCAAAGCAATGGCGCAGTGGGGACTGGATGTGCTCGAACTGCAACAATCACAATTATGCCTCTCGAGAGCAGTGTAACAGGTGAGTATGTGATGATTAAGTTGATTGCAGTGATTTTTTAGTTGTCACAAGGCTATGCTTTTCAAAATAAAAAAAGATTTCAAAAAACTTTTATTTCGGCTTAGAATAAGTCGAACCAAGTATGAAAATAAACTTTAAATATTAGACTAATATCTCAAATATACATAGTAATTTTTGGAGAGAGTTTATTTAAGAGATTTTTCAAGATGTGTCTGTATTTGAATCTCACAATCGGTTTTTTCAATTGAATAACTGGGACTCTACCAGCTTTACCAGAGTAGAATGACGTCGGATTTTTTCAGTTTGATATGAATTAAGATATATAAGTAATCTGTTTGATAAGTTTCAGTTTTTGTTCTTGCAGGTGCAAAAGCCAGAGAGAGGTGCCTTCTCAAACTGTAAGTAGTGATGATGCCTTAGTCGTGACGTGAATCTAGTGATTGTTGTGCCATCTCTGCATCAATGATATATATATGGTTGATGATCGAGAAGACTCTGCTTTTCTGTCTTCTTTCTGCTACTGCTTTGGTTGTATTGTAACATCTGGATTTGATTTATAGGCCGATTCGGATTGAACCTATGCGGGGTTCTTAAAAGAATTAATCACCAAACGTGAGTGACGATGTTTTCTATTGGATTTGTCCGAACCGAGGAGATAGAGTTGAAGTGATTCAGATTTATTATATGGTATCTTCTTATCTTGTGTCTGGGCTTGTATGCATGCATACATGTTTATGAACTTCTTTTTTTCTTTTTCTTTTTTTTTCTCTCTCTGATGGAGTTGAAGCTATTATGTGGAGTATTTAACTTGTTCTTGCTTTGTTGGTTTCCCTAAGTGTGAGAAATATGCATTGGACATAATGTAACTACAAAAAATAGAAAAACAAAATGTGAGTTAATATGTATGGCTGGCAATTGGGACGAGTTTCGGCCTAAATCTGTTTAAATTAATATTATACTCCTTCGATCCGTCTCAAATACTATGCAAATTTTTTTTTTTATTTGTTCCACAATACTTTTAAATTTAGAAATAATTAATTATATTTTTATATATATATAAATGTATACTTCATTTTATTCTATCGTATCACTCAAATAAAAATAAATAAATATATATTTTTCTTTTCAAATTATTTCAAAATTGTTCTATTTAATATTCCTTATGTTCGCTTACAAAGTTTATATGTTTTTAGTTTGGGACTCCAATTATAAAGTTTATATTTCATTAAATATCTTACTAACTGCTCATTATTGTAATTAAAATACTATTATTTTTTAAACGTAAATGTAACCCTTGTAAATAGACGGAGGGAGTACTATTCATCTAAATTTTTGTGCTAAACTTATATGTTGCACACTGTGTTTAGGACAGATGAAGTATTTTCACTGTTTGAATGGAACATCAAATTTTAGTATAATATAACAAATAAATAATAGTGGTTTAATTTGATGTTCTTTAGAGTGAAAAAATGTTTGAAATAGTAAAATAAGGATAAAAAACTCACAAAATTTATTGTTTTTATTATTGAAAATTTTAAATTTAATATATGAATTCTTAATTATATCTTATTATATAATTTATAAAAGTAAAAAATTATTACTACCTTCGCCTCACGTAGATTTTTTAATATTAGTATTATATTAGTTCATAATAAAAAAGACAAAAATGCGCTTATTAAATTATGTGATATAAAAGTAAGAATATTTGTATAATATATTGAAAGTTGTAAATATATTAAATGGGTTCATAATAAAAAAGACAAAAATGCGCTTATTAGTTCATGTTTCACATATGCACCAATTTGAAATGGGTTTGTATTTTTTATTTTCGTCGTCCACTTATTATATATTGTATATATATATATATTTTGGCTGTTTTAATTATAAAATAATTATTGTAGAAGTATTTTACTTTTTATGTAAGTAAATTAATTTTATCATCGAATAATTATTTTTATACCAAAATACAAAGGCAAATTTGTGTTTACATTATTATTAATCATTTATTACAATTAAACTATTATCTCTTAAATTTTGTGATAAAATAAATATTTGTTTTTAATTGGACAGATAGTGTTTTTTTAGGTGACAATCATTATTCAGTTAAAATTATAGCAATTTGGAAACTCCCAGCCAATATAATATGTTGGAGTTTGAATCCATGATCTTAGAGTCACAAGTTTATTGTCACACATTTGTTTGATTATGTTTTGAGTTTGTTTACTTGAATTTTGAATTCTTTTTAGTTTAACTAGTAGTTTGTATGTGTTGTTTTATAACCAAAAAATTGTATATTTAAAAATAAAAATAAAAAATCATATGTTGAAGTCAAACTTCAACCGATTAAAAAATATACTTCTTTCTTTTCACTTACCGTGTTCATTTTTTCATTTCTACATGTTCTAGTTATTCCTTCATTTTTCTTTTTTGGAAAAGTATTACTCCCTCCGTCTCATTAAAAGATTATTATTTTCTATTTTCATCCGTTCCAAAAAAAGTTGTCATTTTCAAATTTAGTAATTGTATTACCTAGCTAATATAATAAATACCCTTCTAACTTATACTATATTACGTAAATATCATTACTTTTCTATTACACAATAGTAATAGGGATATTTTCGTCTTTTTCACTACAGCTCATTATAATACTAATATTAAAAAATCTACGTGCAAAAAGTAAACGACAATTTTACACCGAGACGGAGGGAGTATACACTTTAATCTCATTTATAATTTTTTTTAAATTTTAATTATACTAATTAATTATTTTAATTTTAATTTAAAATCACTTTTTATTAAATTATAATTATTTTCACCAATATATTTTTAATTATTTACTTAATTATACCCCTCTTAAATTTTAGTGTCTACAGTAAATGAGACATCATATCCGAGAGGGTGGGAGTAATATAAACTCACATTAATACAATATATATATATATATTATTATAGCTTTTTCTAGTTATTTTTATATATATATTTTTTAAAAAATAATATTTATACTTTTTATTTTTTAGAATTATAAATTTTGACTTAAAATTATCTTTAAAAATATGAAAAAATATATAATTACGATTATTAAATACTACTACATATTAAAGTTGTGCGAGGAATTGCCCTATTGAGTCATTTCCAACGAGCTAGTCCCCAAAAATGTCCGTTTGCTTGGCGAAAAAGTTGGGGCAACCAATTCACCTTGTGACTCATTCCTTCGGTCGAGTCTTCTTCTTCGTCATCTGCATCTGAAAAATATGGATAGGGAAAGATCACTAAGTCGAAATTTCGGGTATTATTATGATTATTATTATTTTACAATTATTTTTAAAAGCTATTGAAGCTTTAAGATTTCTTTTTTTAAAATAATGTATTATATATATTAAATAATTTGAATATAGAAATATATTTTAATTTGGTAAATTTTACCAAAAATAAAAAATATCAATAAGTAGATTTGATTGCCCTTAAATATTAAAAAATAATTAATAAGGTAAATTCAGAAAATAATGTCAAAATAATTGTTATTTGTTAAAATAAAAATAATTAAATTATGGAAGAAGAATAAGTTAGTAATGGAGTAATATTTTAATGTTAAAGTAAAATAGATAAAATAAAAATATTATGAGAAATTTATTTAAAAAATTGACAAAAAATTAAAGAAAATAATAATAATAAATTGATTATTAATGGGTAAAAAACAATAAAATTTTGAATGAAATAAGAAAATTGTTTATAAATAAATTAGATATAAATTTAAATAACAGTAGAAAAAATTAATACAACTTTTTAGAAAAAAAGCGAGTATATATATATATATATATTTATCGGTTCATTCGGTTGTTATTTTTATTTTTAACCATAAATTCAACTTTTTAATTATCAGATTTAAAAAATATAAATATTCATTTTTGGTGCAAATGTTAAAAAATAATACTCCATTCGTCCCACGTATTATGTCCATATTGCTATTTTTTTCTTCCCATATTTAATATCACTTTTCTTTTTTGGAAAATGATTACACTAATTAGTTATCTTAATTTTAATTTATAATTATTAATATTATAGGATAATTTTTTTTCAATAATACATTCTTAATTATTTACTAATTATACTTATCATAGATTCACATGTCTACGGTGACCTAAACTTCCAATGCGGGACGGAGGGAGTAATATTTTAATTAGCGAATAATTAAAAGTAATACTCTCTCTCTCGGATCTATTTATTCATTTACTTTTTGCGAATGTTTAGAAATATTAGTATTATATTAAGATGTAGAAATAAAAGTAAAAAACTAAACTACTTATTAGTATTCTATGTCATTAAGGCAATCACATTTATGTACTCACTCAGTCCCGTATACCATGTTCACGTTGCCGTTTCTGTCCGTCCCACATACCATGTTCACGTTACTGTTTCTGTTCGTCCCATATACCATGTCACTTTCCTTTTTTTGAAAATGATTATACACTTTAATCTTATTTTAAACATTTTAATTTTATTTTTTTAAAAATTTTAATTAAACTAATTAGTTATCTTAATATTAATTTATAATTATTTATATTATCGGATAATTATTTTCACTAATATATTCTTAATTATCTACTAATTACACACAAAATACAGTGTCTACAGTGTAGCAGACACGTTATGTTGGACGAAAGGAGTAATTTATTATAAATTGAAAGAGTATTTGTAATGTTAAATAGATAATACAATTACTAAAAAAAAATATACTTTGTTATGAAACGAACTAAAATGAAAAAATTGGTAAATTGTTAAGGAACGAATGAGAGTATAAAAATAATTTTGGTTTTATTGTATTGAGTAATAATGTAATAATAAAATAAAAATATTTGTAAAAAAAAAATCATAGTTACTAAAACTAATTATTTTGTAATAGATAATATAAAATAAAAATACTCGTTCCGTCTCATAAGAAAATGCATTTTTTATTTTTGTCTGTGTTATTTTCTTATGCAGTAATTGTACTAACTACTTAACATAGTTACAATTTTTAATATATTACACAAATATTATTATTTTTATATAAAACAATCTAATAGAGACATTTTTTTTTATCATTTTTCACTATAAATTAATATAACACTGATATTAAAAAATTTATGTATAAAAAATAAATATCGCTCTTCTTTCTGAACGGACATAGTATATATTTTGTGATTGGATAAAAAAAATATCATATCATATCAAATCTCAATTAAACGTATCTAAATGTTTGACTTCATAATTTAAAAAAAAAAACGGCGGTAAAATAAAAAAGGATGCGGTAAAAAGATGCGATATCAAATCAAAGCAGCAAACCGACCTCCGTCCTTTCTGAAATTACAATTATAACCTCGAGGAGTCCTACATCTATATATATCTGTCATCGGATCTTACACTTGTTGTGCGTTAAAAATTTTAGTTTGTTATTTTCCTGCTTCGTTCTTTCCTCTCTTCTTTCTTTCCTGCTCGTATTTAGTTTCTCTCTGCTTCTTCCTGTTCCTGCATTCAATTCTCTTTCCTCGTGAAAGATCGTCTGATATGGCCGATAGGTCTGAATGCAGGACCATGGAAGACTTCCTGCGTAATTTCACCGCCGAAGAAATCAAGGTTGCCGGCGAATTTCTGTACAATTGGTTGCCGTTTGTCACTGAAGGCCTCTGCGGACGTTGCACTCGGATAATCGGCGATCGCATCTCCTCACTCTCCACAGGTTTCTTTATTTCTTAATCTTTTGGCTTATCGATGGGGTTTTTGTGTGTTTGGGTTTATCCTCTTTCAGTTTTTTGATTGCACTGAATTTCTGTGAATATTTCTTTAACTATTCGGTGATTTCTATGGTTCTGTCTGAAATCTATGGTTTTTTTTTTTTGAATTGCTTTCTTTCTTTTTCTTTTTTGGATTGCTGGGAATTCGACAGTACTGCGTCAATTTTGGGTAAAATTGTAAAGATGCTGGCGAATGGATTTAGTTCGTTCTTCGAAAGATTTACTAATCGCCGATTTTAGGGTTTTTGTTGAAAATTCATTTCTTGAATTGAAATTGAACATCAATTAGCTGTACTTTCTCCTTTGCACAAGATCTTTTTAATTTTGTTTGTGGATTCTATTGCGAAACTTTCCATAACGGTGTTCTTACTCAAGTTGATGGAGAGTAAACTATGAAATTAGGGGATTTGATTATGTTCTTCGTACCACTAAGATTTTGTAATAATTATTGTGTCTAAATTCATGAATGTTGCCATTTCAGGCATGGATGTCGATCAACACCAAGACGAGCACGAGAAGTGCAGTGCCCATTCTGGTCACAGTGCTGAAAATAATCACGACGATCAGGATAGTGATCCACTGGGCAGTTGGAAAGATGAAGCTGAGTATCTATCAGAACAAATGGGTGAGTTGCAAATGCCGATTGTTTCGATCAGCTCTTCGCCATCTCCTGCTATATCTACAGTGAAGAAGTCCTGGGCAGATATGGCTACAGAGGATGATCTTGCCCTAGAAGAAACTGATAAAGGTGGATCTAACTATGTGAATTATTCTTCATCAGAGCCAGAAGCTTTGGAGGTTGAAGGTATCAAGCCAAAGGTCCAACTGTCAAGAGACCAACGGGAGTACATCAGATTCAATAATGTCCAGAGGAAGAAGGATTTCATATCCTTGGAGAGAATTAATGGAAAGCTGGTGAACATACTGGAAGGACTGGAGTTACATAAAGGTATCTTCAGCGCAGCCGAGCAGAAGAGAATTGTTAATTTCGTTGAAGAGTTACAGGAGAAAGGAAGGAATGGGCAATTGAAAGGTTAGTTTACAGAGTGTTTTTATATCTTTGATCTTATGACTGATTATGTTTGTCGTTAACCGATTCTTTTTTGCATAGTTAATTTAAATGATTTGTGTTATACACAGGGGATGAGTAGAGTTATTGATCTTTACTTGTTTTAGCATGTGTAGAAGATTGTTGTATGCTGTTTATCTTGACTTGCTCGAACACAATTAGTGCGCCGTATGTGCGTATGTATAAGATTGCTGTATTCAATTGTACCTGTTGCATCTTGCGCTCCTTGACAACGTTTGAATGGGAAACTAATTGTCCTTTTTGTCGATGTAAAAGTTTTAAGTTACCAATTCTTGCACGATGTGCGCTTACCTGTTGAGACTTTGTATTCTCAGAGCGCACGTACTCGGCACCAGTGAAGTGGATGAGGGGAAAGGGACGCCAAACTCTTCAATTTGGTTGCTGCTACAATTATGCTACTGTAAGTTGCTCGAAAAGTTTCATTTCACTGTGTTTTATACATACAATTATATAAAAAAATCAGCTGTTCGATTACTGAAATTAAGTATAACCAACCCTTGTTTTGTTTTAACAGGATAAAAATGGTAATCCACCAGGCATCATGAAGAGAGAATATGTCGACCCTCTGCCAGATCTATTTAAAACTATGATCAAAAGGCTTGTCAGGTGGCGCGTGCTGCCACCATCCTGTGTACCCGACAGCTGCATTGTGAACATCTATGAAGAGGGGGACTGCATACCGCCTCACATTGATAATCACGACTTTGTTAGGCCATTCTGCACCGTCTCCTTCCTCAGCGAGTGCGAAATCCTTTTTGGCTCAAACTTGAGAATACTTGGCCCTGGCGAGTTTGATGGCAAATTCTCAATCCCCCTGCCAGTCGGGTAAGTATCTGTTTGTTGAAAACTGTTACATATTCGGTATGATTAAATAAATTGACTCATTGTTTTTCTAAAATTTCGATCAGATCTGTTCTTGTACTGAATGGAAATGGAGCAGACGTTGCCAAACACTGCGTCCCTGCAGTTCCCCACAGAAGGTAAGCTCGGAAGAGACCTTCAATACGTACACATATATATATATGACATTGAGTGTTGTTTTGAATTGGCAGGGTGTCGATTACGTTCCGAAGAATGGATGTTTCTAAACGGCCGTACGGTTATGCACCAGAGCCGGATTTGGTAGGGATCGAGCCGCTGTGGGATGAACCGCACAACAACGACGAATCAAACAAGCTGTCGAACGAAGCTGACAACAGATCTTCTATGGTGGAAGTGGAAAGCAGAAGTAAGAATTCAGACGAAGGAGATGGATGGAAGCCGTACAGTTCGTCGAGAACGCGACGGGGTTACCGGAAGCCAATTGCTGGAAGCAGCTCGGGCCCCCGTTACTCTGGCCGGAGCCGTGATAATTGGCGCAGGCCTCGCCGCGGCGGCGGTGTTGGTGGTGCCAACTGATGGAAGTAAATTAAATGGTGCATTATCACCATTGTTGTTGCAAGGCAGAGGGGCAGGCAGGGAAGAAAAGGTTTTTCTGGGACTGCTTTATTGTTCGTCTTTCTGAGTGACTTTGTCAAACTTAATGTCGATTTTGTGTTTGTGTCGTCGTCGTGTCTGCATTTTTATTCGAGAGTATATATTGGTTATTTTAAATATATATATATATATATATATCTATACATTGGAGAGTGGTTATGCAATTGATTTTTCGGATTCAAGCTTTTGTATATATATTTATATTTTTATATATATATATGTAAATTTTATTTATTTATTTATTTTTTTCTGCTATTTTCATAATTTCTTATGTATTGTGTTTCTAGTTTTATTGTCACTCTTTTTATGAAAAAGTAAAATATAAGTTTTTTTTTACTAAAATATTTTTAAAATTTAATTAGTAAGAAGTGTAGTAAATATGTGTTGAAAGGTAGGTAATAATTATATATTAAAATTTTTACTTTCTCACAATTAGTAATGAATTAATTTTTGAATTATTTGAATTTGTATAGATAATATTATATTTATTAATTATATTTTAAATTAAAAAAATAATGACATAGAATAAAACTAATCCACAAGAGGTGTGTGTGTGTTTTTTTTATTTTTTTTATTTGAATACATCACCTTTAAATTATCATTTAAATTTAGAAATAAAAAATCGGGACACAAAGAATGTTCCGTACAAGACCGAACTAATTTGGAAGGTAAGTGGTAACTTTAACTTCAGACTGACTTGCCATTTGACCATTTACCATAATGTGTGGAAAGTCAGTGGTAACTTTAACCTCTGTTGACTTGCCATTTGACCTTGACCATAGTGTCGAGTAGGAAGAAGTCAACGCAGTCTTGACTTTTAAACAAAAATAAGAATCACTGCCACGGCGGATTAGCGACAATCCGACACGAATACAGCAGTGAAGACTGACGAAGAAAAGACACAATGTATTATCAATATTTATAAAATTTAAGAAAATATATATATATTTATAATATGAGAAATTAAATTATAAATAAAAAAAAAGATCCATCATTTACTTTTCGTTCGTCATAATTAATCTTAACAAATTGATAATTTTAATAGTTTAGTATTGAAAATTATATTTCAAAAATGCTAATGATTTAATCACTACATAAATGATAACATGAACTTTTTTTTATATATATATAAATTTAAAAGAAATTATGGGTGTGTTTGTTTTGTATTTTGGTTTAAAATAATTTTTTTAATATAAAGTATAAGAAATTGTGTAGATAATATAAAAATATATATAATATATTATTTTTTTTGAAAAAATAAATTTAAAATTTTTAAATAAAAAAACAAAATATATTACTATAAAGATACATATATATATATATAAAAAGTAAGCCTTATTATAATGGGCCTTGGGCGGGCGCTCCGCTCGCTGGCCCTGCGTCAATGCGAAGTTCTACGTACCAAAAATTTTTCGTAGTAGGCCGAGTGATTTTCCACCCGAAGAGTGCTCTACTGGGCCGACTGGAAGGGCTGGAAAGTCTAAGTATATATGGCACGAAAGGGAAATCCGATTTCGGTATTGTTACATAAAATTAGAAAACACAAACAGCAACTAGAATATGTATTAATCGAACAGTTAAACTTTTCTTTGACATGTTTAAGGAAATGTTTAGATGGGCAGTTGGAAATTAGATTTGTAATTGAAAATAGTAAAATTTTAAATTAAATATATTTTGTATTTGTTACAAATGACCGGTCTCAATTGTCAGCCATATATGTTTAATTTGGGTATGTTTCTTTAGACGAGTTTGATATTAAAATAATATATGATGAATGTTTTGTCAGATAAAAAATTGTATTTTTTTCGGAAAACGCAGAATCCAAATAATAAAAACTTGAAATTTTGGACAAAAGTAACATACTTTGATTTCTAACCTAAAACTCCTTTGTCACGAAGGATCGATGGGCTAACACATAACTCAATGTGAAGTCAACGATGGTATATGATAAATTTAAATATATATATATATATTTTTTGATCAAACAAATTTCAATTGGTTGGAAATTCAATTACATTATTTCTACAAACAAAAATAAGAAAATGCAAGAAAAAAGAATAAATAAAGTAAAATGCACACATTCAATTTGGCATTTATTCATCAATAAAATTTTATAAATTTTCCAAAAGAAATAAAGAATATAGTACATGATGCTTATATATGAAGTACTTAATTCTGTTATACAGTTACATTACATATATACAAAATGTGGCAATCATGTGGATATTGTATTTATTACTACTATGTACGTGTTGTATGTATACATTTATGGCTATTACAAGCCACATATTCAATGCTGTACCCCTATTTACATGCGTGTGTCTCTCATAATTAATTGCACTGTCACATATCTATATTTACATAAATATATTACATATCTATATACATACATACATACATACATATATATATCATTATATATATATACACTACACATATCAATACATATATATCTACTGGACAAATCTTTTCTATTATCGGTGTGTTTATTTCGGGGATTGGATTTCCAATCCACTATTTATTCCATTTTTTTTTCAAAAAATCAAATCAAACACTTATTTTTTTTATTTTTTATATTATACTAAAAATCAATTTTACATTCAAAACATCACATCAACACCTATTTATATCACATCATACAGCTACTCAAATTTAAAATTTTTTTAATTTTATAGTGATACGATTATTTATGAAAATGAAACTATTGTAGTGAGACGGACTGAGTATAAAATTTTTATGCTTTATAAAAAAAATATTTCAAATTAAAATGTTAAACATCAAACCATATGCGTTATATTGTATATTTATATTATATACTTCACAAAACATAGTTTTGGGTTCAATTGTACGTTTCTTTTGTCCAAAATTCCAGATTTTACTATTTGAACTCTGCATTTTAAAAAAAAAATACATTTTTTTTTCTCACAAAATATCCCATCATATATTATTTTAATAATAAATTCAAACTAAATTTTTTTTCAAACCCAGAGAACATATATATTGCTTTTCCTATACTGATCAATCACGCCATGTCTATTTAATTTTTTTATTTTATTAATATTTTTGTTTTAAAAATACATATGTACGATTGGTCGGTAGCGCAATACGGGTAGGGTAACTGAACCCGTCCCCGTCATTAACTTAGAGTGCTAAATAAATAATTTGATTTAATATTTTAAAAATAATAATAACAGAGTAGATTTTGTTTGCACTTGAATTTAAAGATAGGGAAAGGATAGAATGAACACTAACGCCAAATTCACGAATGACTGACTGCCCTCACGTGGCGGGATCTGATCGATTAAATTGTTTGTTTGTTTGTATTGATGATTAGGCATTGGCATCAGCCGTTGGACGATCAAAGCAAAGAGAGGGGAATCTCTGTGTGTTCCTGTCGTCTCCGTTCTCCCCATTCTGATACCAAGTCACTACCCGACAATCCCACTCCATTAAACGACAAGCCTGGAGAATTCTCCACAAATCGCATAGATTCTCTGCAACGTCAACCCTTGTCCTTTTCAAATAATGGCATCAAACAATCGGCTGCCAAGTCCGCGCTTTTCGTTATAAAATCCAGTCAGTGTCTGTGTCTCATGATGCAAGGAATTTGCAAGAGTGTGGATTAATATAATTTTATGGTGCACAGGCACTGCACACAAGGTGTTTGTTTATATGCCTGAATGAGCGAGTGGCGTTAGATGGACAGCAGCGAGGCGAGCTGAGCTTCAATGGCGACTGAGACGGGAGAGTGTGGAGAAGAAGGAAAACGAGGTGGATGTCTGATGGTGTTGGTTATTGGTGTTCTAGTCATGGCGGCTTCTTTCATCACTTTGAGTAAAAGTTTCAAACATGCCGATTTCTTTCCTTATCCTTTGCGGCGACATTCGATGATTGTCCAAAAGTATGGCGATGCTCTCGCCATTGCTCTGCAGTTTTTCGATGTCCAGAAATGTAAGGAAATCCGATTTTGATTTTGAATTTTTTCTTTGTCCTTTTAACATTAAGTTTAATCTAAAGATGAAATGTTTTTCTGCAGCTGGGAAGCTGGTGAACAATAGGATTAGTTGGAGAGGCGATTCGGCGTTGAACGATGGAAGAGAAGCGAATTTGGATTTGTCGAAAGGATTATTCGATGCCGGGGATTTGATCAAGTTTGGATTCCCTATGGCATTCACTGCCACAATTTTGGCATGGTCTATTCTTGAATATGGACACCATATGAAGGAGATGAAGGAGCTAGAAAATGCTCGGGATTCGCTGAAATGGGTCACCGATTATCTCATCAATGCGCATCCGTCGCCCAATGTTCTCTATGTTCAGGTTTTCGACATTTTCCATGCCTTTATCAATTCGATTCTTTGGCATATATGCTTATTTACAATCTTGATGTAGCATTCAAACCGAATGACTTTCTAATCATGACATTCTTGAAGATAAAAAGATTTAGGATATGGCCCGAGTTCTGATTTATTCTTTTCGCGTTCGATTAATCTTCGAACCTGACTTGTCTTTCGTGAAAAGCACGTTCAAATTACGAGCACTTGAATTTTTCCATGAAAGGTCGGCGAGCCCGAGCTAGACCACAAATGCTGGGAAAGACCCGAGAATATGACTGAGAGAAGACCCTTATCGCAAGTGAATACATCATATCCCGGATCAGATGTCGCTGCAGAAACTGCAGCAGCAATGGCGGCCGCCTCTCTAGTTTTCCGGCCTATAAACTCTTTGTATTCGAAGCTGCTTCTCCGGCACGCTCGAGAACTGTTTAGTTTTGCAGATACTTATCGAGGATCTTACAGCATCAGTGTTCCACAAGTTCAGGGCTTCTACAACTCGAGCGGATACTTTGACGAACTCCTGTGGGCGGCTGCTTGGCTTTATCATGCTACTCGAGACGAGTCATATCTCAGATACGCGACTGTGGAAGGAGATTTTTTCGCGAATTGGGGAACGCCGACATGGCTTAGTTGGGATAACAAACTTGCCGGAACTCAGGTACCGCGCTTTATCTCTTTTCGACGCTTGGAAAATGTTTTAACTGTACCATGAAATGAATTCCATCAGGTTCTACTGTCTAGAGTGAACTTTTTCGGGTCGAAAGATATTAAAGGAGATGAGAATATAGCTCTCCAGCTTTATCGAAGAACTGCTGAAGCTGTTATCTGTGGACTCATGCCGAATTCTTCATCAGGAACGGCTAAAAGAACGAAAGGTTATTAAATCCGATGAATTTTGCAGGTTTCGATTCCTTTTTACCTGACCGTTGCTCGTTCATCGTTTTGCTTGGATGCTGCAGGTGGCCTAGTGTGGGTCGACGAATGGGATGCTTTACAATACTCGGTCGCCTCAGCGTTTCTCACGCTTGTTTACAGCGACTATATGCTAACTTCGTCGACGAAATATTTGTATTGCAATGATGATCTTTACGAGCCTAGGGACCTTCGTAGTTTTTCTATAGCGCAGGTATGCGTCGACTAGTAGGAATATGCATTATTATATTACTTATTATAGTCTTCCAAAAGGCCCTTTTACGTTTAAGGTGAATTTATGTCACATACGAATTTTGCACGTAAAGAATTTTTTTTTAAAGAGTGGTGGGATTCGAATATGATGTAACAAAACTCGAGCACAGGTCTGAAAACTTTAAGGTCATATGATCATTTTAACATATATCTAATAGCGTAAATTTATCTTGCATGTAAGAGAAGTTTTGCTTTAACCCATGTACGCGGACTGAGTTATACAGTTCGTCTTGTTGCGAAATCTTGATATTTCATTTTTGTTTTTGGTTTGATCGTATTCTTACACTGGGTCAGGTGGATTACGTTTTAGGCGACAATCCGATGGAGATGAGCTATCTTGTAGGCTACGGGAGCAAGTACCCGGCATACGTGCACCATAGGGGTGCATCGATCCCGGCAGATGCCAATACAGGGTGCGGTGATGGATTCAAGTGGCTGAACTCGACGGATCCCAATCCAAATGTAGCCGTCGGGGCGCTTGTCGGAGGACCCTTTTTCAACGATAGTTATATAGACTCGAGGAACAATACTTTACAAGCTGAACCGACAACGTACAATAGCGCTCTTTTGGTTGGTCTCCTTTCCGGGCTCGTCGCTTCTTCTTCGATAGCTCGGTCGCTGTTATGACTTATGAGTGTTGTTTTTGCTCTTACCAGCAAACTTCCTGTGTAGATAAATCATTGATCTAATCTTATAGGATTGCAAAATTCAACCACTTGATCTCGAATTAGATCTTCTATAAATTATGAGATCAATGTAAATACATTTAAGCATGGAACTAAATGAAATATACTTGCATCTAATATTTTATTTTTCCATATATAACATCACATTAGACATTTTTCATTCAAGTTTTTGTTAACCCCCAAATAATACAAAACACTAAAATCACCTAAACATCTAGATGCATGCATAGATTCTTGTGAAATTTTCGATACTATTCCTCTCATCAAATACTAATTCCGTAAGAAATAGTCTGATGGTTTAGTATTAAAAGTTTTACCAATCCTCAAATAACTCAAAACCTCAAAATATTTTTAAAACACAACTAAGCAAATCATAGTTTTCAACCATGCCCTATCAAAACATCGCTCGTTCCGACCCAAGTTAAACCTAAAAGTAGCATAAGTCATTTCGACACAAGTTAGATCCGGCAATCCATCTTTAACACTTAAAACCTAACTATACATCATCATATTCATTGTGCACATACCATTGGCACAAAACAGCGCACTTGATGTTTCAAAGGCAGCAATGCAAGCAGTATAACGGCACAACAACACAATCACTGCAAGAGAAGTTGATGGAGAAAGTTCTCAAGAGTACAAATCTCAACAAGTATCCAATCAACATCATCAACTCATGATTTCCCATTTAATGAAACAACAGAATAGCCCGCTCTCATGATATGGTAACATAAGCCAGCAAATTGAGAGTGGAGTCGCGGAAGAGAGAGAGAGGTTCCGGCTACCTGTTATAGGATTTCAAGTACGCCAAACTAAATGTTGGAAGCGTTCAATGCCATAAGCTTGCACTGCTCGTTCATGGCCACAAGCTGTGCCTCTTTCTTGTCCAAGAGAGCACTCAGTCTAACATTCTCATCCATGAGTTTCTGGACCTCAACTTCCTTCTGCAGCTTTTCGACTTCCAACTGGGATGTTTTCGCAACAAGCCTAATCGGATTGAACTAACAAAAGTTAAATATCCAGAAGATACAAATGACATCCAAATCAACAAAGTCCAGCATAATCATATATATAAAACTGGCCAACATTTCTAAGAAATTGGATGGGCCCTCATTGGAAATTAATGAGGGTAATGAGAGTATGTGAGGACTTTATAGACACATTGACATTCAAATATTCATAGACTTATCTTTCACCATTTGCTAGAACTAAGAATGTGCATCCCATTCTATTAAGGAGAATGGGACTTGAAGGTCAAATTAAACCAAACTAATAGAATCACCACCACATGCTAACTAAAGTAGAATAAAATGAAATGCAAAACAATAAAATTCTGACGTGCCAACTTTAGGTAATTGTATGAAAAATTAATGAACTAACGCCATTATCTAGAGGATCGTCAAGTACTAACCGTTCAAAGTGCTTTTCAATTGTCTGAAACTGCTTCTCTGATGAAAGAAGTGTTTCCCTCACACTAATCAGAGTACTGACATATGATTTCAGGGATTCAAAGTCTCGCTTAACACGAGAAAGCTCCTGCTCATTTTCAGAAGCTCTCTGTCTTTGTCTAGTAGTTTCTTCAACCAAATCTTCAACCCTCTGTTTCATTTCATTCAAAACATTGTTTGTGCCCATTGCAAACTGTTCCATCTCCTCTAGTTTTACAGACATGTTCTCGATTTGAACTGCCTTCCGTTTTATTTCTTCCCGGCCAACAGTTACTTTTTCCTTCTCAACAGCTGTCTCAGTTTCGGCCAAAAGAACTCTCTTGACAAGACCTTCCATAACATCTGTGACCAATTGTACGCTTTGGAGTAACTCATTTATATAGGCCCCATCTTGTTCATCAAGAGAACCCTCTGCACTGCTAAGTGCAGTCCACGTGTCTTCATCTGCGCTATCCAAGGAAGATATATCTACATTCCTTGACCATCCAGACAGCGGTACACCATTTTTATCAACAAGGCCAACGCCATCGATTTGTTTGATACCACAGGATGTATGAGCCAAATTAGGAATAGCCATGATTCTGGCTTTAGATTTCAAGTATGTCAATAATGTTGCAGATGTTTTAACTCTCCGCCATAGAACACCTAGTTCTTTCTTTGCCTCTGCCTCTGACCCTTTTACGCATGCCTTAACTTCCATGAGCTTCTCTTGCAAGTCATCAACTTGCGAACGATTTCTATTTATTTCCTGCTTCCAGTTTGTTTGAGTTTGGTTTAGCTGTGATTTCAATGCTGACATATCAACATCTTCATCTGTGCCGGCCATTTATCTAACAGAAACAGAGTAAGAAGTCAAGAACCCCTTAGTTTGATGAATCTACAATCAGCAAATTATAACATTCCGTGAAGGTTTCAAGAATTTAACTCATTCCTTTTATGCACAAACATTTATCACTGAGAGAAAAAATGATTGCGTTTTACTTTCTGTGGCCATAAAATTTTTTTATGCAGAAACAACTCGTTGTACTTTGACGAATGCACATAGAAAGATCATAACATGTTAACACTTAACAAGATTACCACGTTTATAAGTTATTATGCAACATATGAAGATTAAAGAAAATACAACGCCGATATCATAGTAAGGTGCAGTTCATGTTTTCAAGTGACAAAAGAGATTAAAGCAGAATTACGACACAGACCATGATAACATCTCATAAAATTTCGATTGACATAAAGAGAATTCCTATTATGGCAAAACTAAAACCTATTCCTCTTTCCTGCGTCGTACTGAATTGATAACAAATGTAAAACTTACTTCATATTGTACTGCCAGATATTACAACTTTAAAAAAAGTATAAAAGTTTAATGGACCATAATGATATGCCAAGATAACACCAGAGAGCATATGCTGAGAATGCACCAATTCAATTCTAAATTTTAATTCAATCCACAGTCATGTTGAAAACCAAATTTTTATCCTAAATGTATATAAAAAATGGTTCTCGATCCAAGAAAATTGCAGTAAAGATACATATGATGTTAATTAAGTTGTCCCTTAACTATCCAAACTACCAAAAAAACAAAACACTAACAACATTCCCAGAGCAGAATAATAGCAGAGATAACAATCTCCTCAGGTTATAATACACAAACGAAATAACGGTCATAAAGTCCTATATTATGATGTTAATCCCCGTTTCTATATCTCAATTCTCAAAAGATACGAACATAAAATTTTATGGAAAATAAAAAAAGAACAAAGAGAAAAACCCCACGAAAAATCTTAACGTTTAAATTCTCATTCGCCAAATAACCAAGTCCCCAACAGCATAGAACTTCACAAACAGTAAGATCCACCCAAACCTAGACACCGATCATTCCTCGCGGATTTAACCAACTCCAACAACAAAATATTAGTTTTACCATATGTTTCCCGAAAAAGTCCGCGAATGTTACAAGATCCATTCAATTACGTCGAAATTTAATCAAACTCAGAAAATCCACGAACAGATGCTAGCAAGATACCTTTTCAAATAGTAAAACAGGGAATTTGGGAGCATCCGCCGGTAGAAAACTGCGACAAGGACTTCGGTCAACCGGGATTGCCAGATGACAACCCTCCCAAACCAAGAAAAGAAAAAAAAATTAGCAAAAAGTAAAGGTTATTATTTTATTTTCGGATTTGCAGGCTGATCCTCCATCTTCGCTAAATCACACTTTCACACAAAATAGTACAAAAAAAAAATTAAGGTCTATTCGGTTCCATTTGTCCATTTCAATTATAGTTTACATTATGCTTTTTTTTTTTTTTTTCTTTTTTCTTTTTTTTTTTTATTTTTAAGAGATTATCTATAATGGGACCGGATCCATTCCTGAAGAATTAGAGTTTATTTGGATTTGAATAAAAAAATTCAATTCGAATTTATAAATAAATTAATATTTCGTAGGACATTTTTAATTTAAAAATATATATATTTTTTAAAAATATCAAAATAATAGTATTTGAAAAACTTAAGAAACACTCTCACTTCTCTCTTTTTTATATTTAAAATTTTTTATTTTTTATAAAATTACATAATTGTATTATATAAATTGTTATTCATTTCAAAATAATATTTATATTATATATTTCCTTTAAAATAATCATTTCAAAAATATATATATGTTTTTTACAAATACTCTTAATTTATATTGTATCATTACTTTTATATAAAATAAATAAATAAATATATTTTTAAATTGGACGAATTTAATATGTTTTTTTCTTGTAAAATAATTAAATATCTCAATAGATATACAATTAATTTAAGCAAAAATGATATTGTATTAAAAGAGTTTGAGTTTCAACTGTAAAGTGATTAAAGCATTTTCATAAAATATTTTTTTGATTTTATTTAATATTTTGATTTAAAAAATAATTAGAATTAATATTTATATAAAAAAAATCATATAATATATTATTTATATAAAAAAAGTGTTAATTATAATATTTATAAATTTAAATATATTCTTTTTGGCTCCTTATATCATATTATCAATTAAAAAATAATAATATTTTATATATAAAAATATAAAATGAAATATTATAAAAAAATTATTTAAGAATTAATAAATTTAATATGATAATGAAAATATTATTTTTAATATTTCTAAACTAATAGTCATGAAAATTTACAATAATGAAAATAAAGGCGAAAAAACGAATAAGCGATTCAGTTATGGTCCAAAGTTAGAGGATGTTAGTGTGAATTTATAAAGTTGAAGGAGCGGAAAGCAACCTGAAGATAAAAATCTTCCCTCTTTCATTTTTACGCAAATTTTGTCATCCCTCACAATCCCTGCTCCTCAATTTCATTCGTATTTTTCCCCGGGCGGTAGCTCCCGAATTCCAAATTCAACTGTTGAAAGGTAAATTTTCTGGCCATTGTCTAGGGGTTCGGTGGATTTTATTAATTTCCGACACATTGAGTCTATCTTGGAATACTGAGGAACTTTCTCTGGAAACACATACTGATTTCGTAATTATATTGTCGGAATTGTTTAACTACACGAGTAATGATGTACTTCTGTATTAACTGTAGTTGTTGGTTCATACTGTGTTGTGAGGTTTTATGTTTCTGAAATGAGAATTTGGATGTGGAAGTATTAATTGCTGCTGTTTGAAAGCCTAGTGGAGATTTTTGTCTCCGCGATGTTCTGAATGTTTTTCTAACGTATTGTTCTGATTTGGTGAATAAGTTTATATTTTAGGGGCTGCTACGATCCTTGGTTAGTTTTTGATTTTATCTTTCTATCTTGAGATGTCTGTTGCATTAGCTGAACATGAGATCTTTTTTCTTTGTTTAATCGGAAGCTGAAGATGAGATCTTGATAACCCAATTGAGGGTTTGTGTGAAGCTTTACCTTCTTCTGTATTTTGACAATTGATTTGGCAGATTAACTTGTCATGGACATACATGATTGACTAACCACTGACTATAATTTTCATCTATTCAGCCAAATAGATATATTTTAAACATGTATATGATTGCATATAAATAATATTTTGGAAGTATGAGACTATATTGGTATTTTTGTGATTTATGAAGCTTACTTGCACAAACCTACCCAATTATGCATCAGGTTCTCATTGATTCCCCAGAGCCTGCCAAGCGAAGCAAAGTACGGGTGAAATTAAAAGGCCTTGAGCAGTAGAAACAAGAAGTGGCATTGATAAACATACACCCAAGTGCAATCAGGTTAAAATCCCTGGTCACATACAGTTGCATTGCTGAAAATTCACATATTCCTCTCAAATTTAAACCACGAGATGCATTGTGATGGCTGAAACTGAGGAAACCGGAGTTGAGTTGGAGCTAGATCCCAATGAGGCCACTCCAAAGCTACAACGCATCAAAATCACCAGGGTTTCTGAGGATAACAATAAGAAGGTATGCTCTGTCCAATAAACATGTTTTGTCTAATAATGATTAAAACATGCGGTAATGATGCTGTTTGTAGCTTTGTTGTGGAATAACACACTGCTGTTGGTATTGATTGGAGGTTTTCGTTTGAATAAAGGGAAATCAGTTGGATTCTTCTCCGATTTTATTTGAACTGTCTGACCAATGAGTAGTTAATGATGAGGTTATCCCGTGTTATGGAGCATGCAAACATGATTTATTAAGTGAAGCTGATTCAATGCTAAGCAGTTATATCATGGTTACATGAAACTCTCTATCTTGAAGAAGGTTTATACAGGTATTGTGTTACCTGTCTCAGTGCCATAAAATAATCCAAGTGTTTACATAACAAAGTAACATATTAGTTTAGAGGAATTGATATATAATTTACTATATTGTCATAGAAGTGTTGTATACTGGGATATAAAAAAAGATAAATAGACTGGAATCAAGCTTTGATTAAAGAATACAAGGGTTCTGTTAGAAAATAATATGGATTATATAATTTTTTGCTCTTTTTTGATAACAATATCTACAAAATGGTGATGGGGTCAGTTAAACATTTGGTTTTAAATCTGTCCTGAATCTCCTGATGTCAGGTCTTCATTCTCTTACTATTCCAGAACATTAAGGACCTTGCTTCTTATGGCACCTTTTAAATAATTATCTGGAAGTACTATGCCTTTAGTTTACTATTTTTGAGAAATAGAAATTTGTTAAAATCTAGTTGTATGCTTGGTTGTGGTAACTTAGTTGTTACACAATTATGGTAAGGCAATGAAAAACAAAAGGTTGAGTCATGAAAATGTACAATCTTTTTATTTCTTTTCATTTCAAGTTAATTTCACTTAATATCATTAGGTCTTGTTTACTTTGTTGTGTTAATTAATATCTATGTTATAATGTATAACATAAATATTAGCTTCGCAATGTAAAACAATCCCTTACAGTAGAGTTAAAAATATATAATGGAACAAAGATAGACAGCAAATAGATGCAAGAATAAAAAAAAAGCATGATTTGAGAAATTTAATAGGGTCCTCTCTGTTGCATAGCAAACAAACATGATTTAATGGTGTTTTATGATGGGAATGAAATTTTACTGAAAGAATAACAAACATAACAGTACTACGGGAAACCTCGTCCAAGGCATAGCCCTCTAGATACTGAATGACTGACGTAATGATTCATTTATTTAGATATGAGATTCAATATTATCATATTTTGGGTCCAACACAAAATGTGTGAAGTAGTCAATATTATGGGGAAGTTGAATAAGTTAAGCCAAGTCCACCACAAGAAAGTTGGAATTGGATGAGCCTTGCTTGGCTCACTAGTTATATACTTGGATTGGTGGATGGCCAACACCTCCGACAACGGCACAGCCTGCTCCGGGAGTCTCACTTATTTCTTCAAATCAGTTCCCCTTCACTGAGAGAGCCCTTGCCCTCAACGCTGAAGCCTTGACATTGTATGTCCACATTCTAGATCAAGTTGTGATTCGTGTTCAATGAGAATCCTTCTCATTTACCCACATTGTGTCTGCAAAAATCTGTCATTGAACAAGCTGTAAAAGTGACCCCATATTTTGAGAGCCTATCCACCACCCACCATGATGCATGTGTAGACCGGAACTTTAATGCCCATGATGAAATCAAAATGGGCTAATTTTTCCTCATTACCTCAGGAATCTTTCTGCTTGGCATTTATGCATATTAGGTAGCTTGTGTCTTCTGATATAGTCATGGACGAAGTCCTGTTTTGTTTATTAGCTTTAGGAGGGCAGAACCTTGGGGCTATATGGGTGTTGAACCTACTGTTAGTTTCAATGAGAGGTTTGTAAAACAGAGGCCTGCTTGACCTCCTTCGAGAGCATCATGGAACCCTGCTGTAGAGTCCAAATCCAACCCAAACCCATTTCAAATGAGGTGCTCTAATTTAACTCATCCTGAATATGTTGTGCAACTGCTCCCCTAAGTTGTTGATGAAATGAGTTACTCTGCCATAGCATGTGTTAGATTGGAAATACACCAATTCAAATAAACTAAAGTAAATCTCTATTAGAGAACACTAAAACTGTACTGCTATAGAGGGAGGAGTGGGCTTACCTATGGATGTTTTTGACTATTCAGCCCCCCCCCCCCCCATATTATCTTCAGGATGTATCTGTTTTGCGGTTAAAATTTGTTTTTTTAGCATGACAACTGTTGTATAAACTATTAGAAGTCATATGTCTTAATGTAAGTTATCTTGATTTGTCAAGAGATATATTTGGTTGTATCATTTTATAATTACCATAACGCTTGTGTCATGCATCTATTTGATAACTTTAACAGATACCGCACAAGAGACTCAAAGATGTGGAAATATGTGTTCCAATAGTCTATGGAACAATTGCATTTTGGCTGGGTAAAAAGGCCACTGAGTAAGTTGATATTATGAGATATCCTATTGAAAATAATTTTTTATTTTTTATTTTTGAGAATTGTAACTCCTTTGACCCAAATAATAAAATAATAATATTAGCATGACTTTCAATGGTTTTCATACTTTGCAGAGCTCAATCACATAAGTGGACTGTCTATGTGCGTGGAGCTACAAATGAGGATTTGGGTGCAGTGATTAAGCGAGCTGTATTTCAGCTGCATCCCAGTTTCAGTAATCCTGTTCGAGTTGTTGAATCACCACCTTTTGAGTTGTCAGAATGTGGTTGGGGAGAATTTGAAATTGCGATTTCCCTGTTTTTTCACAATGATGTCTGTGAAAAGCAGCTGGATTTGTAAGTATTCTTTTAGGTTTGCTTTAAATATTTTCCTGAATATTACTTGTAATCTCTTTTGATGATGTTTATTATTTATTGCAAGGTATCACCATCTTAAGTTGTATTTGGAAGATGAGAGTGGTCCTCAGTCAACCAAAAAACCTGTTGTTGTGGAAACTTACAATGAAATTGTATTTCCAGATCCTTATGAAGATTTTTATTTACGTGCACAAAAGAACCCTGCTGTAATTCTTCCTTGTCTTCCAATCACCTCAAACCTACCTTCTGGTGATGGTATGCGATATTTTGTGGTGTTTACTTTATCTGGAAAGAATTCATATAATTTACACAAATCTATTACCCCAATATAGCGGATCTGAATGAAAAGAAAGGTGATGCTAAAGATCACCCATTGAGCCAATGGTTTATCAATTTCTCAGAGGCAGATGAGTTATTAAAACTTGCGGCTGCACGTCAGAAGGTACAGGGTTTTTGTCTTTTTTGCAGCATTTAGATGGTTAATGCAAATGGCTTTCAGTTTATTTTAATTTTTTCCTATTTATCATCAACTTAGGGTCTGTTTGGTTAAGATTGTGGTTGGAAGTTCGATTTTACTATTTGAAATGAGATGTTTGGTTAATGGTTGGATTACGATATAATATATATTTGATTAAAAATAAATTTAAAATATATATTGAACTGTTTTAAAAATATACCTCAGGAAATATATATACCTCAATATAACTTTAATGTGGCATGTGGCATACATTGTTCCCCAGGCTGTGAAGAGCCTGTGTCCCACGCCATGCCATTTGCCATTAACAACTAGGATAGAAGGTCTCTATGATATTGTTCATGTATATAAAATACATTCAAACACACCTTAATTTATGTGCTTCATACATAAGACATTACCATTTAGTATATTTTTTATCTTCACATTTCTTAGGGCACATTGAATTTGGGAAAAATAGTTTCAATAAACGTATGGTTGCAATTTATGGTTTTAAATTCAATGCGCATTTCTCTTTCATCATTTAAATGTCATGTGATCATTTATATGCTTTGCTTGATTATTTCTTTGAATAGCCATTCTATTTTCCACGCTAGAAGTTTCAAAGTTGAAATTGATTTCAGTATGTGCCAATTCTGCATGTGTCCTTTTACTCTCCCTCACACTTTTTCTGTCTTTGGTTTATTAATTCTTTGTAGTGTCGTCATAAATTATAGTATTTTTCTGCCTACAGAGCTCCCTTAACCTTACATGATTTTTCTTTTTTGGGAAAAATTAAAACCTGCCTTGCATTTATGTTATTTGTCTGATTCTGTATTGTCCGGCATGTCATAGATTATTGGACTTTTATGGACTGTTCTTACTTCATCTCAATTTTGTAGGTCCAAGCACATATCGTCAAGCTAAGAAGGCAATTAAATACCTTAGAAGGGCCACCGTTGCAGTCATAGAAACCTTCTTCTGGTCAGTGGCATGCTTGATTTCACAAAGGTAGATGGGCACATTTTCGGTGATTGATGTACAAATATAGTATATGCTAGGCAAGGTTAGTTATTTATCATTTTGTTGATCTTTCATTGATGGTCTCCATTAGCATTTCACCATCAACACAATATTTAGGGCAATTTATGGTTTTCAATGCTATTTAGCTGATATCATGGTATCTGATCCTACATTTATAAAAATTTATTGCATTGCTTATATTTCATGGAGATCCCATTTTTGAGGCAACAGTTATCCTCAGCACATATCCTTAATCCTTCGATCCATCCCGACTGCTTTTACATGAATTAGTTGTAATAGGAGGGGAATGTTTTTTTGAGGATATACTTCACAGCCTTGAATTGTCTGGCCCCTGCATAACTTAACATTCTAGGATTAGGATTTGCTGTCATTTTCATCATTATGATATGCATTTTGACACATTATCTATGGCTCCACCTGCCCCCTGTAAATGAATACATTTTTCCTCCATATATAGATATATATATATATATATATTTTCCGGTGACTGTGTAATGAATAAGTTGTTTCCTGTTGTTTTTTGGTAATTTTTATTGAAAATTGTATCACAAAAAAATATTTGGTGACACACCATCATCTTCACGTTGTTAGAGAATTATTTGGGAATTTTCATATAAATGTGAGTCATAAAGCTGACAGTAACAATCTTCGTCAAATGCATATTAAAATTTTCATGTAATGTTAGGCTTACAGGATTGGATCATTTAAGAACATGTTTCATTCTAATTTATTGAATTTTTGTGAGAATATTTGGACTGCAAGTATTTTATTTTCTTTATGTTATCTTCTGACTAATACCCATGTTATTCCACCGGACTTAACACTTTATGGTGTGCCAATTATAGTCCAAAGATCTTTCTTCGAATCAATTAGTCTAGTTCAAATTGGACAGTAAATTTTTATTTGGTCAGTTAGTTATTTCTTCTTCAATATGTATAAATTAAGGATGGTTCCAACTTTTCTTTTATTGAATTTTTAGTAGTCTTATTTTCTTCAAATAAAAGGGATTTTTTTTCTTATTATTAGTATTACAAGTTATTTATTTAAGATAATTGATAGTATTAAAATGATATTTTTTTACGAGCTAATTGGATAATTTTTCTTCTTTTAGTATGTACAAGTGAAAAGAAGTTGCTGAGGTTAGAATGTTCATTATGGCTAATTAATACGGTGCTTATTGCCCTAACCATCACATAGGAATAATATACAAAATATATGTCATAATTGATCTCGTTATAAGATTTCGTATTAACATAATACAAATATTGACGACACATGATAATATTTGACATAATATGTCATAATTGATTTTAAAATATCCTAATGTTAACACATCACAAATACATATACGAATTTACAATTCATAGTAATAAAATATACAATATATACGGTTTTAATTACAATATATGCTAGACATATTATAACGGTGATTACGGTGTTGATCTGTGTTGATAACAGAATAATGCATTAAATATAAATTTACAATATATATATTCCTTCTGTCCCACATAATTTGTCTCTATTTTTTATTTTGGTTCGTCTCACATAATTTATTTTTTTCTTTTTTTGGAAAATTGATTATACACTATAATCATATTTTAAAATTTCAAATTTATAGTTTTTTTAATTTTAATTAAACTATTTAGTTATTTTAATCTTAATCTATAATTATTTTTACTAATAAATTTTCTAATTACTTACTAATTATATTTTATCTAAATTCTCGTATCTACGGTAATACTGTATGTAGCGTGTATTTGTCAGCTATATTTTTAATGCTAAAAGTGGTATATTTGAAAAGATAAGGACAACAAAACTAGTAATGTAGGACACATACGTATGTATTTGCTACTAAAGAATGAACCTTGTTTGCTTTCCTTTCTTACATGATCTTTCCAAAAGCAACAATTTCATGTCTTGTTCCTTATCCAATTATGTATAAATATGCCTCTTCTTCTTCCCTTCTTCTCCATCATTCTCCACCACAAAACCCCAAACTTTATAAAATTGTGCATCGATAGATGGCCATTTGGAAGGCAAACAAGAGCAATGCCATGGCGAGCTCTCCCGTGAAGCAAATCATTCTCAACAAGTGTTCAAGCCTCGGGAAGAAGCCATCCGTCGACATACCTAAAGGGCACTTTCCAGTGTACGTTGGGGAGAATCGTAATCGCTATATAGTCCCTTTAAGGTTCTTGTCCTGTCCTAATTTTCGGTGCTTTCTTCAACAAGCGGAAGAAGAGTTCGGGTTTCACCACGAGAACGGGATTACTCTGCCGTGCGATGAACAATCTTTTTGCTCAGTGTTTTCCATGCCGAGGTGATCGAAATGAAACAGATTGATGAATTGTGTCAAAATTCATTGATTTTTTTTCGGTTGAATTTCTTCACGGGACATGATATACTCCCTTTCGTCCCAAATGAAATGAGTTATTTGGGATTTTGTAATAGATTAAAAATTAATAATATTTTATTAATTAGTGGAAGTGTTTAGGAGTTTTTGATATTTTTTATTTTTGATTTTATGTGTAAAATAATTGTATGTATAATGATACGTTTGTAATTTAAGTAAAAGTTAATAGTATTTTGGTATTATTAGTATAAAATTATTTTTTTAAAAAAAAAAAAATACTTTGAGATCAATCTTTAGTACATGTGGATTTTGAAATATATATAAATAGATTTTGAAATATATATAAATTTCCTAATCGTTTGTGTCTAAAGCTATTATATGTAGTTATTCAATATTGAGATCATTATTATTTTCTTAAGTATCTTTGAAAAAGTTCCAAACTTTTTTATATTCTATATTTGGTTAGAGATTTGCACCAAATGGTTGCTTCTTTTATTGGACATACACAATAAATATTAATTAATAAATTCAATAAAGTAGATGAAACTAGGATTTATTGTTGTCTTGCAAATTTGGTTGATGAGATATTTTTAGTTGATAGTTGAATTTCAATGTAATATATATTTAATTGAAAATTTAAAATTTAGATTGAAATGTTTTAAATAAACTTATTATATTTTCAATTTATTTGATAAAAATAATATATAAATAGATTAATAATATAAATGTTATTTTATTTTATTTTTATTTTTAAAAATTGAAAATATTTTACAAATAAAATAAATTAAATGTAAAAAATTAATTATTTTCCACTTTTGTCCTAAGCGACAAGTAGCTATATACGGGCACTGGTAAACACACAATGCAGTTCATACACTCATGTCTGAGGTCAAGGCTGGCAATTTTTCATTCGATTTTTTTCCCGAATTGTGGATTTTTTCAAGAAATAAGATTTTGTCATATCCCTCTAATGACACGTAGCCCTACTCAAGCTGCATTATATACTCATCACCAATATATTGCAGGATTCATCATGACAGGAGCTTTTGCTCAAATTTATAAAAGTAAATTCATAAATTATTAAAAATATTAAAATAATTAATAAATAATGTAGTTAAAATACATACATATATATATATATATATAAGAGAGGGTTAGTGTTCAAGGATAGTTATAGAAAAAAAAAGTATCAAACGCTAATGCAAACGTACAGGTCATAGAATAATTTACTAAACACTTAAAAATTTTGAGCAACACCTAAAAATTATTCAATAAATTCAAAGATGATAAATAAGTTAATTATCAAATATCCTTTAAGTTATTTATATAAAAATAAATAACTATTCAAATTTAAATTTTTAATATTCAAAATTTAAACCTTCATACGAAAACATTTTATTTGATACTATTATTCATAGAACAAAATTATTGAACCATATATATATTTTATTTACCTAACTACAATATCCAATATGATGGTGGTAATAACAAAAGATTTTTGAACATTTTTGAACATTCACCCCACTACAAATTGAATATATATATATATATAAAATAACAAAAGATTTAGTATTTTTAAATAGAATGATTCTCTGTAAATATTATTTGAAAAAATACAATATATATATTTTATTCATTTACAAAAATTTAATAATTTAATATAAAATATTATTTTTTATATTACTAACCTAATTCCTTATATAAAACAAACAAAAAAAAAAAAAAAGAAAAAAAGAAGAACATATTTATTAAAAAACATAAGGTAAACAAACCCAAAGTCTCCATTAATGTTATGTTGTTTTTAAAATATCTCATCAACTTTGCTTATTACAAATTTGGCTAAAAGCCTAAATTATTTAGTAAGGGATAAAAATTGTATCTAATTCAAGTAAGTATATATATATATATATATATATATGAATCATTGAATCTGATATATGACGGCGTTAATGCTGATGATTCTTCGCTAATTTTAGAAAAAAATCGATGAATTTCCTTTCAATCTTTCCAAAAGTATCCGAGAAGTGTTCAAGTTATAAATATATATGTAAAAAAATTGTGTATTTTATGTATGGAAGTAAATATTCTATCCATACATCCATGAAAAGTATATTCAAATTTTTTTAATACTAAGATTAAAAAAAAAATTTTAATTCTCTGTATTTGACAATAAAAATATTTAAAATGATATTAAATAAATACTTCCAAATTTCTTTGCTAATATAAATTTAATTAATGCAAAGTCAATTTTACTTTAACATTATTTCTTTATCAAATAAATTGAATAAATGTTTAATTTGATATAAAAAAATTTTGATATAATATTTTAAATAATATTAAAATTTAAATATATAATTATATATATTTTTAAGAAAGACCATTTCAGTTCAAAGACTTTGTTTCTTTAACCAAATTTTTTTAAATATTATTATTTATAATTTGCATTAGAAAAATATATTTTTTTTATTTTTTTTTAAAACTCAACAAAAAAAAAAAAACACACAAAAACATACTACTATGTTTCTATAGTAACTTTATGTATGAATCAGAAATTGAGGGGCTATTATGCGGGAATAATCATAGATCGAGGGACTAAAGTGAAAATAATTAATCGATGTTTATTGTTAGGGGCAAAGGCAAACGAACAAATTCCAGCGCAAGTCGAAAGCGAGCGAGCGTGGAGTGAGAAAAGAGCAGAGTCCGTTGGATTCGATTGGCAGTTTCAGTCATGGCGGATGGAAATCCAACTGATGCTCATCAGCGACTTTCCTTACCTGCAGACTCCGCCGGTAATGGCGTCGATAACGTCGACGATGGTGACAATGCAACTAGTTCGAGTTCAGCGGTGGCCGAGGGTTTGTACTCTCTGATTTCCTCCGTAATGAATGATTTCGATTCGAGAGCTGAAGCTGCAGAGCGCAGCCAAGACCAACTTGAGTTTACTCTGGATCGTCTAACTGGAGGTATTTTCTTACTTTTCCTGTATTAATGTGCGTCCGTGCGTGTTTTTGCTGTTTATACTTACAATATTGTGCGCGGAATAGTGGAAAAAATGCTCTTTAACTGCTCTCAAATGGATTCCATCACTGTAAAATTGCACATGCAAATGTAAGGCTAGAGCATATATTGGAAATTCATATTTCACCAATCTGATGCTTTCAATTCTGACGAATCTCTAAGGACCCAACTTTTATCATGTGTTTCAGTGGGATAGAATTTATAACTTTGTTTTAATCCTATATATTTTATAATATTTATTATTACGAATTTTATTTGTTCCTAGTAATGTTTTGAAATGTTAATTTTCCAGATTATGGCATGATTGACATTTTCTGAGTAAAGTGCATTTTCCAGTGTTCATGAAAGAGGCTTTTAGATATGGTTGAGTTAACTTTCCGTATGATGCACTATGTTTATGTTATCCTTTTTCAAACTGTAAATTCAATTTTTTCAAAAAAAAGGTTTTTGCTATTTGGAAATGCTGTTTATAGTGCTTTTGCAGAGTGATGCTTTACACTTTATGAGATGGCTATAATTTGAGGTGTAGCATCAGCAATTGTGTTCTTATAAATCTTTGAATCGTTTTTGATATAAGTGAAGTTATAAATTTATTAATCTAAAGTTCTATTTATTTCTAGAGCTTGACAAATTGTTAGAGGATGCACCAACACCCTTTATTATACAGCATGCTGCAAAGATCTCTAGTGTTAGGAAAAGGGTAAAAGTGTTGAATACAGTTTTGAAGTCCGTACAGCATCGAATAGACAATCTGGACCAAATGCTGTCAACTGGATCAGTGCATGGTATACTTCTCTTTACCCTGATCCCCTCCCCACCCACCCCTCTAATTTTTTTGGTGGTTTTTTCGACTATTTTTGTTCATTTATGACTATCTTGCTTAGTTATAGAAGCGTTAAGGTTGCCTTTATCTGGAAATAACTATATTGATGTCATAGATTGCAGTTATTGCTTAAGATAATCTTGTGTTACGTTAATTAGTTCCATGATCCATTGTTTTAAATGGTGCGCTTGGTGCATGACACGGCCTGAAATGCAGATGGAGCAGCCTTGTTGCCATTTACAGTGGTGAGGCGCACTCCGCCTCTATGATTTTGATAGTTATTAGTTGAGCATTTATTAACCAATATGGAATAATAAACAACTACTGGGCCCTATCCTAAGTTGAGGCGTCCAAAGCTGCAAGACAAAAGCTAAATAGTTATGAATAATCGTAGTGGCACCTCTTAAGCCCGATGGCTTTTATATGTTAGCAAGTAACTGGACGAAAGACAAAAATATCAAAACAATAAAAATGACACTAAGTTAGGCTAAATTGGCTACGAGCTTGTGATACACTGTCTTTTCACCTCTCCAAAGGCATGATTTCATTTTTACCCTTTATTTATTTATAATTTATTGGAAAAAAAATATAAAAGCCTCAAGACATATTCTTATGCTTTTGACTTTTGCTATTTTATTCTCCAGATTCAATAATTTTTTAAAGGACCAAAAGTTATCCTAAGAAATCTATTACGCGGCGTTTACCCTGCACCGCACTTTGTACTGGCCTTTCATTGCAGTTGTCAAAGAATATATGCCAGCTAATGATAATGATCATTACAAGTGTATTCATTTTATTTATATGAGCACTTGTTTATAATTAATTGAATTGCACTCTCGGTACCATTGTTCAAATTTTTTTTTTGTTCCGCTGCAGCCATTACTTGTTTTTATAATTATTACAGAAATTCTCTGTTGTAACTGCTTATTCCTTGTTTATATTATGATTTGTGACAGACATTACCAATTCTTTATGGTGTTCCTCGTATATTCTTTCAATTTAGATTCTTATTATAATTTTTAGTATCACTTAAAATCAAATGAGGGTGACAAGGTCTGTTCTCATGAGAAGTCATCTTACCTCATTACAAATGGTAAGATGACTTCACAGGTGCAAAGTTCCTTTTTAATGTTTTTGGAATTTTAGTTGCGGAGGAAAAATTTATATTATGGATGTAAAATTGCAAAATTTCTTCCTATCATTGTTTAGTCCTTAATTTTTGTCTGTTTTGAAATATGTTGCTCTTTGTGCATGTATAGAAAACATCGCTGCGGAAAATAGCGGGCAACAGCAAGCTTGACAACTACGGTACTGCCCGACTTTCCCTATATATAATACTTGAACTTTATTCAGGATTTGATGTGGTAATAGCTTTAACATATAAGTCTGAGATGGAAAAAAAAGATATTATGTTTGTTTTAGGATATTTTTTAATTTTAGGTTGATTTGGATTTGAAATAATGATTGGATGTGATGTTGGTGCAAGAGTTTAGGACTTTAGGTGTTTGATAATATTTTTAATGGTATGTTGTTTTGGGTTTGTTTGTTTTGTTAAAAAAGCCCTAACACATTTTCTTAAAAAAATAAAAATTAATATATTACACATTTTTATATTACATCTTCAAATCAAAACACAAAACAAACAAACTTGTGTTTGAAATATTTTGATTTTTGTTGTTTTTTTAGGTAATAGTTGTTTGATTTAATGTTTTATATAGAAAATAAATATGTTTTAAAGGAAAAAACGATATTGCATAGTATAAGAAAACTTTGAGAAAAACTTAAAGAGAATAATTGTGTTTTGGAAGTGTTTGAGGTTGTTTCGAAAATAGTAAAAATTTGAATGAAAAATAAATATTAAATATAACGTTTAAGATGGAAGATAGGTGTTGATATATTTTACTTAATATTTTAAATAAAAATTAGATATTAGATGCAATTTTATTTTATTTTTTCAAAGAAAAATTTAAGGAATGATGTACTTTTACTGAAGAAATTTGATAATTATAGCCGACAAAAATTAACTCAAACAGACAATTCGTCGACCTGGCTTGTTTGGAGTAAGACTAAAAAAATTCCGTTGCCGGGACTTGAACCCGGGTCTCTCGGGTGAGAGCCGAGTATCCTAACCAACTAGACTACAACGGAAGGATGTTGAACTGCTATTTTATAAAATATTTCAAAACTTTAATAGAACATAAAATATTTCAAAACCTTAATAGAGCATATCAAACCCAAACTCGCATATATATTTTATTAAATTTGAAATACTATTATTTTCATTTCAACTCAAAATATCAAAATTATATTAAATATTTTTATTAATTAATAACATGTTAATATTATATTTTATTATAAAAAAAAATTGTAAAAAAACACATTATAAAAGAAAGTAAAATTCAAACTTAAAAAGTATTTATGTAAATAGATTTTTTTAAATCGTTGTATTATTTTACTATTATTTACCTCATAAATTTAGTGCAAATACATACATTAAAATAAAAATAAATATTTACAAGAATGATAAGTGTCATGGACTTAGTTGCCGAAAACTTCGCAGATAAGGCAATCCACGCAATTTTCCAAAATTTCAAGGGTCAAACGGTAAATCAAGTTCACCCCTCTCCAAGAAACCCCACATTCTATATACCAAATCATAAGAGTCGCCATTCTTGTCCTCCTTTTCTCCCTTACTGGTTATTCCGCATACTTTTAACAATCATGGTGCTCGAGGTTTTCCTTCGGTTTCATTTTGTGTTTTTCGGAGAGTTACTGTTTAAGTTGATTTCCGATTGCTGCTGAACGATAATGTTTTTTATCTTTGTGAAAATCAGGCGACGATGATCTGCATCGACAATTCTGAGTGGATGCGGAACGGCGACTACGCTCCCAGTCGATTCCAAGCTCAAGCCGATGCAGTTAACCTAATTTGCGGCGCTAAAACTCAAGTATTTGCTTTTGATTTGTTTTTTCTTTATATAAATCTTTTGTGTTAGTGTTGTATCGTCTTCGTTTGGATGGTTCTAGGGTTCATAATTCCTGTTTCGAATTTTCTCTTTTTTCGTTGAAGTGGTGTTGATTTATTGTGATGCACATTTCCTTGATGAGTTTAATTACTGTTTCTTCTGTAGTCGAATCCGGAGAATACAGTGGGAGTGCTGACAATGGCTGGAAAAGGGGTCCGTGTATTGGTTACCCCGACTACTGATCTCGGAAAAATTCTGGCTTGCATGCACGGTTAGTGTTTTCTTGTACCTTGTGTTTCTTGTTTAATTTAAGATCAGACAATGAGATTTAGTTTGATTAAGAGGAAGGGTAGTCGTCAGATGTCTAGATTATTTTGTATGTACATGTTATATGGATTTTATAATGAAAAAGGAATTTAAAAATTCAGAACTGAGGGTTTTGAATCTCAAAATTGTTGATGGTTTATCTTCCTAGAAGTAATAGTTCAGCATTTGCTTGTTGCAGTGTCTTATTCGGTCATTCATCTATTACTTTAAATATTTAATCTTGTGTAAACCTGCCAATCAAGTGCTTTATTGGTACACAGGTTTAGATATAGGTGGTGAAATGAATTTAGCTGCCGGGATACAAGTTGCCCAGCTGGCCCTCAAGCATCGCCAAAACAAGAAGCAACAACAAAGAATAATTGTCTTTGTAGGGAGGTAAAAATCATATTCACACTGCAGAGTTCAACTTTTGGTTTTCTTATATGGATTAATGTTTGCGTTAATTGTCTAATAATTAGCTTTTGTGTTGTTTATTTTATGATTTTTAAGTCCTGTCAAATATGACAAGAAGGTGTTAGAATTGATTGGAAGAAAGTTAAAGAAGAACAGTGTGGCACTTGACATTGTAAACTTTGGGGAAGAAGATGAGGAGAAGACCGAGAAACTCGAAGCATTGCTGTCTTCTGTAAATAATAATGATAGCAGCCATATTGTTCATGTTCCTTCTGGTCCTAGCGCCCTTTCAGACGTGCTTATAAGGTCTTCAGAATTCTTCGAAGTTGCAGGCATTTTTAACCATTTTGAACATACTCATCTATAATTCTCAAGTACTCTTATCTCTTCTGCAGCACCCCAATATTTACTGGTGATGGAGAAGGAGGGAGTGGTTTTGCTGCAGCAGCAGCTGCTGCTGCTGCTGGTGGAGTTTCTGGATTTGAATTTGGAGTAGATCCTAATTTGGATCCTGAACTTGCTCTTGCACTTCGTGTATCAATGGAAGAGGAAAGAGCAAGGCAAGAAGCAGCTGCAAAGAAAGCTGCAGAAGAAGCTACTAAACAGGAAAAAGGAGAACAGTCCACATCTCAAGATACAACTATGACTGAGAATGTGAACCCTGGAAGTTCTGAACCTGAAAAGAAGACTGCTGATCTTACGGTTGGTGTATATTTTTTGTTTAATTCCTTCTTTTCGCATAGTCCTATCTGTGTAACTTGTAATTATGAGATGGGATTAAACATGGCTTACTGCTAACTATAGTCTGTGGTGTTATATAATGACATCTAGAACATGATTCTATTGTTTAGTAATTTTTCACGTTAGCAATCATGGGATATATAAGCATGCCAGGAGTATTTGCACTAAATGTAAGTCAGTGCTTTCTTGATATAAGAAGGTTCTTGTATGATAGCTTAAATAAGGCAAGGGTCTATGATGTTTAGGTGGAACCTGCAGGAATGCTCTACATTTTTTAATTTTTTTTTCTGGGGTGGGGTGGGGTGTTGGTGGGTGGGGCTTGATTATTCTAGATATACTACTGGCTTGTGATATCATGTTTTTGAAGTACTTTATCTCACATTTACTTTGTTACATGACACTTCTACCTTTTGGAATTTGGAAGATGCCTTTTTGGGAGTTAAATAGATGCGAATAAGGTGGAATATCTTCCGAGTTAGATTGATAAAAGGATATTTGAATGAAAATCTTATGTGGTGTATCAAGAAAGTTAGAATGTTTATAGAAAATTATCTTGCCATTACCTCTAGCAAGTGTGGAAAGAGAAGCAACAGATAGGTTGTTGGTCTAAAGCCACATGATTGATTGTCAGTTACATTTGTAATTCTTTTTTGTATCTCTTTTCCTTGATGCAATTGGTTTGTGTGCCTGTCTTCCTTTTCTTTTTCTTTTCCACACCCTGTTGTGTACTTGTGTTAAATGTGTAGTTTCTGAGAATTGAGAATTTACTTGAGAAATTGTATTCAGATTCCATGTGTTGTGATAACTCATGCTATCTTTCTACAGGATGACGAGAATGCATTGTTACAGCAAGCACTCATGATGTCTATGGATGACAATTCTTCCACTGCTGCTGTTCGCGATACTGACATGTCAGATGCATCTGCTGATGATCATGACTTGCAACTTGGTGAGAACTTGTGCATGATCTGATGTATTATAGTAACTATATATTTGCTATATTGTGTGATTTCATTATCACAGTATCAAACAGTATTCATCGAATATTGCCTTTTGACTTTGACTTCAAGTTCTTTTTTAACTTGGCTTCAACAGTTGGAAGTCTTGGATTTCTTTGTGCTTCTTTGCGTTTTAAGTAGCGGTGGAGTTTTTTGTGTATTTGTGCCAAGTCTGAAGAGAATTTGACAAACCTTTCCTAGAAAATGAACAAGCAATGATGAATATGGAGGGAAAGTTCTCATTTAATGGATAAAATCCCAAAAGCAATGTATTTGATTTAATCTGAGTAGTGCTACCATATACATATTATATATGTGATTCAAAAGGATATTTCTACTTATATTTACTGAGTTCGAAATTTATTTATTGAACTTCCATAATGAAGTATTATTACTATAATATTAGCGGTAGAGCTTATTATTGTGACGAATTGGAATGCTAAGAAATCCCTGGTGTAACTTGAGGCAAGCCGAGTGGTAGGGTTTGTTTTCTTTTCTTTGTTCTTCCTTTGTTTTTAATCTATATGTAAATAAGGATATCAGTTGCTGTATTCTCATTTACCTGAAGAAATGCAACTGAAGTGCTCTAATACCCTCTGGATATACTCTTGGTATCAACTAATAGAATGAAAACTGATTGTTATGGGTCTGTTGAACTTTCAAACTATCTACGGTGCCTCTGTCCATTACATTAAATCCTTTGTAGGATTAGCTTTATGCTGTCATTTGGATTGTTTAACTTCTAAGCATGAGATGTCCTAATCATTTGTTACTTCCAAATAATTTGAGAGCTCTAAACTGGATTGAAAATTTTAAAATGAAAATAAAAATTAAGCATCCCAGGGTAATCATGGTCAATTTTCTAATAGACATCTATTAACTTCTTAGCTATGAATTTTGTGCCAGCAGTATATCACATTTTGATATTCCAGTGCTATTTAGATGATGATAGCGATGTTGTTTAAATTCAACTATTACTCTAGCTTCTAACTCAACTATCTTCTAAATTTATCATCCTTCATAAAGGTTTACTTGCACTCCATATCACTGCCTGACTTCCTTCTTCGATTCTTCCAGCCATTCAACTGTCTGTTCAAGAAGGTGCAGCAGGTGGGTCAGATCAAACAAACCAGGCTGACATGAGTAAGCTGTTGGCAGATCAAAACTTTGTTTCTTCCATCCTCGCATCTGTAAGTTCACTGCTATTATACATTGACACCGTCGTACCAAGTTTGATTGTGCATCCATGTAGTATAAATAAAATAAAAGGAATCATTGTTATCAGCTTATGTTTGACTTAAAGTTTGATTGTGATTCCTTCCTCAACTCATGTTTCTTGAACTTTTTTTTAACAGCTTCCAGGAGTTGATCCAAATGATCCACATGTCAAGGATTTGCTTGCATCCATGCAGAATCAGTCAGAGGTGAGTTCTATGATTGACCTCGAGTTAAATAAGGAACTGTTTGTCAAGATTTTGTTTTATGTCATATGCTATCTTCATCGCTATACCTCTTGCTTGAACACATTAATGCAATGTGTGAGGTAAAATCTGTAAATGCTTGTAAATGTGATTTTGATAGTTTATCTTACCCCACGGAAGTTGTAGCTTTTTTTTTAATAGACCACTCTGTTACACAGTTGTAGAACAAATTCCTCTACTTGATCGTTGTTTCTACATCATTATTTTATTTTCTATGGTTTAATTATGTCTGATAAAATATCTTTTAGATGCAGGTTTTTTTTCCTGCATATTTATCATGTCTAGTAGAATGAAGTAACTTAAGAGGCTCCTTAGAGACACAGAGATAAAGTAGGTGATTCTTTTCTAGTGCCCTGAGATAAATTAATTGTGGCAACTAGCAAGAGACCCAAGTTGTTTGATCATCTGATGGTAATAGCATGTCATTTGGGTGGTCGATTTTGCAGAGAAAAACAAGGAGTGGTTTAGTTGCAGCTAAATGTTATGATTATTTGTTTTGGTTACCTTGATTTGTCCAGTAAGTATATATATGTGTGTGTGTGTGTGTGTATACTTGTGTTAATGGGTGCTGCAATGCAACAGAAGAAAGAGGAAGATAAGGCGCCGGAAGATGAGGAAAAGAAGTGAAGAAGCAGAATAAGATGCATGAATGATGAGTGAGGTTCATCCTCAATTCCTACCTAATTTGTTTCGTATCGGTGATGACAGTGATTTGATGCAATGAAAGTTGGGATTTATTATTTTTATATTTAGCATTAGTATGTGTTTTTGTCTGTCTTCTCTTTTTCAGCTGATTTAGCACTCTCATTGACTGTGAATCTATCAATCAATTTGCTTTATGATTTACTTGGCTGCTAAAGGTGTGTGCTGTGCTGTGCTGTGCTCTATTGCTGCTAATAACAAATCTAAAATGCTCGGTGTAGAGGTTGGATTCAAAGCTGGCTTGTTGTCTGGTTTCCTTATGTGCTATTTTAACTTTGGGGCATGTTATTTTGTGATTTTGTTTTTGTTAGGGCTATATATATTTTGCTTTTGTTTCATATGGTATGGTGTAAATTTTAATCTGCTTTGTTCAGAGTAGGGTTGATTTAATTGAGTGCCAATGAGATCATTATACAATTGGAACAGACCTCTAAGCTTAGGTACATCTAAATTTTATTATTTTGGGATAAATGTATTTTAAGTCATGGTGAGCTTTTCTTCATCTTTTTATTGGCATGACATTGTTGGAGCTCTTCCTTAAAAATACTAACTTGAATAAATTTAGTACATATATATTTTTTAACAAATATGTTAATTAAATTCACATTGATGTTTGGAATTTATGTCAGCAAATGAGATATAGAATTATTTCTGTACATGTAGTTTAGGGGTCTAAGGTTTTGACTACAGAACCAAAAATGATATAAGTGATTAAAGTGGTGGTAATATAGAAAACTATTTATCCTTATTATTAAGTTTTATTAAAAGATGGGTCTTTTGCAATTAAATCTTTTTGAAATATTTATAAATGAAAAGCCCATGAGAATTTCTTGCATTGGATTATTGTTATTATTATTTACCAGCATATATGTTTTTTTTTTTACTTAGTAATGATATTTTGTACTCCCTCTGTAAAATTAATCTATTTATGTCCGGCATGAATATAGGTACTTTTGAAATTTTAATTAGTTATCAAAGATAATGTGATAAATGTAATAATTTTTATTGTAAATAAATAGTGAATAAAAGATTATAATTAAATGTTTTTTTTTTAATTTTGTCAAAAATAATAATAAAACAAATTTAATGGACAAAAAAGAAAGAATAAATTTATGGGATGGAGTAATATTTTTTTTACAAAAGTTGTTATATGATATGAAAAACACAAATTTTATTTAATCATAAACATTGATTTTACATGATACGAAAAACACAAATTTAATTTAACCATATATAATATAAGATATGACTATAGAAAAAGCTATGTTAGGTATGACTATACATTAATATCAAAATATTTTTTGTATTTTATATATAATGTACGAAAAAGTAAAATATGAAAATAACAGAGATCACTTGTGTTGATTAACTATAATATTAACAATCATAATTATATCTAAAACATAGTTAAATAATATATCCATTGGCTTAAAATTATCTTATATATTTTACTAATCAATAACATACAAATGAGATCAAATTATATTAATGGCGTTTTTTTTTTTTTTTTTCTTTTCTTATTCAAATCAATCTTCATTATTCATAAAATCAATTGTATTCACTTTAAACATAATTGAAATTCTAATCATTACCACATTTATCATTAGAAATCATATTTGTCCAACATTTATGATCCATAAAAATGTATAGTATATTAATTTTATTTTCATTACAAAATAATCACTAAGTGTATTTTTATTTTTCTTTTTCATCCGTAAATTAAATTTTTTAATAAAACTAACAAATTAACAAATAATTATTATTTTCTAGTTAATATTTATTTCCAATAAATATAAGTATTAACTTTCATAAATACCCTCAATTAGCTGAGGGAGGGACAATATAAATAGTCTGATGTGGACCAACGTACAATATCACTACTCTCCAAATGCATCTGCATGCGATTGAAGTACTATTTCGCAATTTGCAGCAATTGAAAACCTCCACACCGTACATCAATGGCGTCCCAATCCCCTCCGGCCGCCGATTCGATTCATGACAATGACAATGAGCCCCCTTCTTCCTCCGCTCAGTCTCAGTGTACCACCATGAAGGACCTGCTCGCAGACTTTTTCTCCGACTCGGATGATGAAACAAGCGCTAGATCCCCAACATCCTCCCCTCCGGCGTCGCTCGGTCACGGTGAAACGCTCGTCACAATCTCCGGCGCAATCCTTCACCTGATTGACAAAAGCTGCTCCGTCGAGCTCGCAACCGGAGATCTCCGGGTCGTCCGCCTCCGACAGGGCGGCAACACCGTCGCGACACTCGCGTCGGTCGCCGACGATGTTCACTGGCCGTTAGGCAAAGACATCACAGCCGTTAAACTCGATTCTTCGCATTACTTCTTCTCCTTCCAGGCGCCTCGAGATCCGGAGGACGACGACGAAGAGAACGACTCGAAAAAAAACAAGGAAAAGGAAAAGGGGAAAAACAGCAAACACGACAAAATCGAAACCGAAGTGTTGAGCTACGGATTAACGATCGCATCCAAAGGTCAGGAGAAGTTAATCAAGGAGTTGGATCACATACTGGAAGAGTGCAGCCATTTCTCGGTGCAGAAGGTAGACGAAAAGGCCGCCGTTGCAATGGGCGGCGCCGCTGGAATCAGCGCCGGCGAATTGGACGAGAATAAGGAGGAAGTCGAAGGACAGTGCGCGGCGTACTGGACGACGCTAGCGCCAAACGTAGAGGACTACAGCAGTATAGCAGCAAAGCTAATCGCCGTCGGCTCAGGGCAATTGGTTAGGGGAATATTGTGGTGTGGAGACGTCACAATCGAACGCCTGAATTGGGGAAACGAGGTTTTGAAGCAGAGAATGGGTCCAGGAACCAACAGAGAGCTCGATCCAAAAACCTTGAAGAGGATCAAGAGGTTTTTGAATTGAATACATACCTGATTTTGATTTCGATCTTTTTCATTCAAGATGAAATTGATTTTTTGCAGGGTTAAGAAGGTGACAAAGATAACCGAAAAAGTGGCGACCGGGGTGCTGTCGGGCGTGGTGAAGGTGTCCGGATTCTTCACCAGTTCAGTTTCGAATTCGACAATGGGGAAGAAGTTCTTCAATCTCTTGCCAGGGGAAGTTGTTCTTGCTTCATTGGATGGATTCAGTATGTCTCTTTTCCTTATACATATTTATCATACTCTGGTTTTTGATCATGTGTTTGCATCCATTGAATTGAAAATCAGGAAGATATCTTTTCATACAGCCATATATAGAAAGACATGAAATTTTTGCTTAAATAGAGCTTTTAGCACAAATATTGTTGAAATCTTGAAAGGATATTTCAACCATGTGTAATGGGACTGGTTTTGGTGTCGATCGAGACAAATTAGTACCATGCTTACGTGCAATATACTACTATTTATGTTATATTAATATAAGTTGTGTGCCGTCTATTATCATGTTATGTATTGTCTATCATAATGTCATGTGTTGTTATCTTCCGAATTGCAATATTCTGTAAGAGGATTGTTGACATTAGGAAATTAAATTATCTTTTGTACATCAATTGTGTGTCGTTTGTATGCTGTGCTTCTTCATTTCTTGATCCCATTTCAATGTGTATATTCATACATAGGCAAACTTTGCGATGCTGTTGAAGTAGCCGGAAAGAAAGTGATGACAACGTCTTCAACCGTGACAACAGACCTGGTGACCCACAGGTGCGACTAACTAACTAACTAGCGATCGATCAAGAAGTCTTGATTTTTGAATTAGCCTTAGATTTAAGTTGTGTTTGAATTTAAGGTATGGGGAAGACACAGCAAAGGCGGCTTCGGAAGGATTGGAAGCTGCCGGGCATGCTGTAGGGACTGCGTGGGCAGTGTTTCAAATTCGGAGGGGATTTAATCCTCGGAATGCGATCACTCCGGCGAACTTGTCGAGAAATGCTGCTGAGGCTGCAGCTGAAATCAGGAAAAAAAAAGCCCACAAGTAAGAAACTAACTCATTCCATACTACATTCATCTTCTTTTTTTTTGATTAGTTTTTGGATTCCATTCCAGGCTTGAATTTGTTCTCAATGTGTTTGTGTGTGTATATATAATGTTGATGTTGTCCTCCATTGTATTTTCTGTATGAGAATTCTAACATATCAGAACTCAGAGAAGATTCATATTCATATTCACTTTTGTTGAAATGAATGCTTTTTAAAAATATTTAGATTTTGTTTTAACAATTATTTGAATTTTGTAAAAAAAATATACTATATATTTATAGAGAATTATAAGAGTTTTTAAGTACATATATTGCAACAATTGGTGTATGCTTATTAGCTTTGATCAATGAAAAAGAAGTAAAGGAAGAATGATTGATTATATTTACCTGCAGCAGATTCTCAAGAATATTAAAAAATATATATATTTTTTATAAATTCTCAATATTAGTAAATTTATACTAAAATAAAATTATAATAATGTAAGCCGTAAAATTTAGGTTAAATTAAATAAAGTAATTATGTACTTCTTAATTTTTTCTCAATTAAACTAAATAAATATTCTATAATAAAAATATAAATATAATCAACATTAATACAGTAGGCAAATAATTTAAATATTGCAATTATAGTAATATAAAATTAAGCAACACTTTTACCCGTTGAATACATATCAATACATATAATATTACAATTTATATACCGATATAATTTGGGCCGACCCAGCCCAATAATGATATAATAAATGATGAAAGAGAAAAAAGTTTGGCCCAGCCCAATAATGATATAACGAAATATGAAAACCTAAAAACTTTGGCCCATGCAGGTCTCGAACCTGCGACCTTCGCGTTATTAGCACGACGCTCTAACCAGCTGAGCTAATAGGCCAATTTGTTTTATTGTTTTATAATAACTATATTAATATGGGTAAACCTAAAAAGTTTTTGTTGGTAGATTGAAGAGAACTCTGCAGGAGGATCTTCGGAGTCGACCTACCTCTACCCATGAAGGACTACGAGGTTATTTTCATGATTGCTCTCAATTTTTGAAGAATTTGTGGATGGGAAATGTTTTTTAATTTTGAATTTGTTGCGTTCATCTTTGATTTGTCTTGGAGATTCCGTTGCTCAATTGTTCTAGGATAGGTTTGGTTCAATGAATTTTTGAGTAGTTTCAAGTTTCCGTTATGATTTTTCTGCGGTGAATTTGCGTTCTTAGGTTAAGATCGACGTAGGTGTAGGATCATTTGTTTGCGATTTGAGAAATCAATTGTAAGTTTCCTATTTTCTGCGGATACCTTATATGCATTTCATTTCTATGGCAAAGGTAAGGTTTAGGGTTTAGGAACAATTTGTCTAACGTAGATGTTTCAGACAAGGTTTAGATTTATTTACCAAAATGGAGTGATCATAAACAAAGCCTATGAATGATTGTAACAGCAATGAAGTTGGTAATCTCATCACCATATGGGAATGATAGAACCGTTTTTTTACCCTCTTTCTTCTGTAATTTATTCTGACATGTTATATTGCATCAATTGTTGATTTACATCTTCAGAATACGACTAATTAATCTGAACTTTTTTGCCTAATTTTATGTTACTCTCGAACCAATCACATTCAGTTTCATATGGTGTTGCATACTTTTCTCTCTTCAAAACGGCATCTACAGATCCGAGAAATATAGTTTTCACAACCAAGAGTAATTTGGTGTAAATAATGAGCAAGATTTAACTCATCAAATAGGTTAATGTATACTAGAAAGAAAAGTCAAGCACATGTTAAAATATGATGATGCTTTTGTTGTAATTGTGGGCATAGAAAACCACGAGCTTTGACTTTGATGGAGCCGAATCCTGGTACTGATGCTGCCGATATGAATTAAGACCTAGACAGAGAAAAATATAAAAAAAATCTAATGGCTACGAAATTCCCTGTTTGTATATGAGCTGAAGATTAAGAACAGCTGTTTTGGAGATTGAATGTTTGTTCATATTTTTAATGCTTGCCTTCCTACAATGGCTCGTTAACAAGAGAATACAGTTGTAGCTTGTGTGACCATTATATTTTTCCTGTTTAATGTTCAAAATTGGATGCAGTGTGTGCAAGAGTTTTCATCTCACAAATCTGAAAATACGTATATATTGTAATATGCTAATAGTCCATTGATAACTCGGATCTATATACGGATAGAGAAAGCATTCCATATACTCAGAATGGTTACTTTTCGAATTTTCATTGCATTTTTTTTTTGCCTTATCTCATCTCATCTCATCTTAGCAACAAAAGTGTCACAGATTGAAGAAAAGAAGCAGGCTGCTGCTGATGTTCTATTTCAATATTCAAAATTTGCTCTGGCATGTCTTGGAAATCAAGTTCGACCCTGCGACTTAAGGTTGCATTTGATGAAGGTATCCTCCATCAATTGTTGTTATTCATGTGCTTTAGAAATAAATAAAAAACCCGAGTTCAAAAGAGAAGAGTAAAGTAGCAGAAGTAATGTTCTTATTTTGGAATTTAAATTTGGCTCTATTTTCTTTTTGTGATTTTTCGCAGTTTCTTTAATATACAATCCTCATGATTTTGTATAAAAGTTTACTATTTTTCTTTTTTTCCATAAAACATCGCATCCAACCTACTATTTAAACCGAAAAAATAAATATAAATATAAAAATCACAACATAAGGAAAGCCTAGACATTTTTATATCAACACTGACCCTTGTCCTTCAGAACTAATGTCAGTTTCATTTCCATGGGTACATATGTATGGAGTAAACAACCTGCTTTCACAAACCATGTTAGACGCATTTTCTCAATCGAAACTTTTGAGTATTACTCTTCACAGTCTGTGTCTCGCCTTCTGATTACCCATTGTTTTAAATAATTACCCGAAGAGATGGAGTTGAGTGTAAACGAGAAAAAAACCAAGAATAATTTTTATTTGACATTCTGAAAACTCTCTTGATGCTATGCTCAGGAAATTTCAGGTTTGCCTACTTCACTGAAAAAGGCACCATCCCATACGGCGGCACCTTCTCCTGAGGTGATGGGTGAATCTTCGAGCTCCGGAACTGCAAGGCTTGACAAGACAGATAGCTTTAGAACACTCTAAGACTGCCGGGTTGGGGTGACTCATGTCATCGTGCATCGTACTTTGCCTACTACTTCTATAGTTGTCGTTCTTGGTATATATGCACATTGGTGCATTGCAGTAAAGGCTATGGAATATCCAGATCCAGGCTACCATGTCCAGGTTTGCTTATAGATGCTATGATGATTATGATGTTGATAAGAACAATGAATTTCGGTTTTTCAAATATCTGTAGGAACTGCTACTGAGCTCTACTACTGTTAATTTTGTATTTGTGTCATTGTGTGTGGTTCTTTGGTATAATATTGTGTCGATTTTTATTTAGAGCTGGTATGATTTTAAAACCAGTAGATCATCCCAGCATGGTTGCAAACTTGGCCCGAAAATCTAGGTCTGGGTCCACCCCGGTTTGAAATCGGGTCGGGTTGGGCTCCTCGATCATTTTTCTGATTTTTTATAAAAATTTTAATTTCGTGGGAAGGCAATCGCTTCATAATGATGATGGGCATTTTGGGTGTTACCAAATACGAATCACTGGTATAAAAAATAAAAAATAAAAAAATAACCATCTAATTATTCAATAGTAATAAAAAATTTTAATTTTTCTCATTTCACACCCCATGCAACACATTTTCAGATTTTCTGTCCCAAAAATTAACAAATAAATAAATAATATAGATTTTTACAATTGTATCCAGCTTCTACCCCTAATAAATAAAATAGAAATACACTCCTGCCCTAAAAAATAAAATAAAATAAAAAATTGTCTAAAAAAACTCCCCCAACGGCTACTTTCTACCAACGGTCATAAAATTTTAAATTTCTCCACATCTAATACACCCTCCCTTCCCCAACCTTTCGTCCTCTCCCTCTCCCTCTCCCTCTCCCTCTCTCTCCACCGTACTGAACTCTCTCTCTCCTCAAAATGATGCAAGAAATCTGGAACGCTCCGCCACCGCCGCCGCCGGGCTTCCGGCCGACAAAATCCGCCCCATCATCTCCGGCAAAGCCGCTAGGCGGCGGCGTGTCCCGGACCCGGTCAGAGCTATTCCACGTCGCCCACAAAGTCCCCGTCGGCGACACCCCATACGTCCGAGCCAAAAACGTTCAATTAGTCGAGAAGGATCCCGACCGGGCGATCCCGCTCTTCTGGGCGGCGATCAACTCCGGCGACAGAGTCGACAGCGCGTTAAAAGACATGGCCATCGTAATGAAGCAGCAGAACCGCGCCGAAGAGGCCATCGAAGCCATTAAATCCCTCCGCGGCCGCTGCTCCGACCAGGCGCAGGAGTCGCTCGACAACATTCTCCTCGATCTCTACAAAAGGTGCGGCAGAGTCGATGATCAAATCGCCCTGCTCCGCCACAAGCTCCTGTTAATCAAACAGGGGATGGCCTTTAACGGCAAACGGACAAAAACGGCACGGTCACAGGGGAAGAAGTTTCAAGTCTCTGTCGAGCAGGAGGCCACGCGCCTCCTCGGAAACCTCGGCTGGGCTTTGATGCAGCAGGGGAATTACGTCGAGGCCGAGGAGGCCTACCGGCGCGCGCTTTTGCTCGCGCCGGATAACAACAAAATGTGCAATTTAGGGATTTGTTTGATGAAACAGGGGAGAGTTTCCGAGGCGAAAGAGACGCTCCGACGCGTCAAGCCGGCGGTTTCTGACGGGCCACGAGGCATCGATTCGCACCTCAAGGCCTACGAGAGAGCCCAGCAAATGCTCGTCGATCTACATTCGGATAAGATGATGAAATCCGGCGACCAGAGGTTGCTTTTCGACGCGTTCTTGGGGAACTCCGCCGTCTGGCAGCCGCAGCCGTGCAAAGACCACCACCACCACCACGGCGATCGCCGGAAATTGCATGACGACGATGAGGATAACGCTGGTTTCGGCAACGAGAATGCTAATATTAATGTTTTGACGAGCAACTACAACGGTCATAATTCGCTGAACATCGACGCGGCGCCGTTTTATTCGTCCAAGTTTATGCCGGAGAGTCTTAAGCGGACGAGGCCGGGGAATGAGGCCAACATTTTCAATCGGAGGATTCCAATGGAGCCGGGGAATAAGGTGCGGAAACAGCTGCCGGCGCCGGAGGAGCCGCCGGAGAGAGTCGAAGACTGGGACGACTTGCTGCCGGACAGCAAGGAATTCGAGGAGGCGATAATTGCCGCCGTTTTGGGCGAGGATGAGACGGCGGCGAGGAAGAAGAAGATGGAGGAGGACCGCCGTGGCAAGGCGGATAAGAGGCTGAGAGTTTTTCAGGACATTACTACGTCGTCGTCGTCATGCTTGAGCAGAGTTTGAGATCAGTCTGCAATAACTTTAGGGATTAGGAGATGAACTTGTTCTCCATAAAAATTCAGTCTTTTTTTTCATGTCTCGTTTTTTATTTGATTTATTTTGGAAAATTCCTCTTTGTAGTTTTCCCTTCAACAACATAAAGGACCGTTGGTCGTCTAATTTATTTATTTATCACTTCTTTTATAAATAATTGCCTTCTTAAGTTTGCTTTTGTATTTATTTGTTGATATTTATATTTTTTACTTGAAAAAGGAGAAAAATATTGTTCAAAATATATTGCAACGTAGGCCTATACCTATAAGTTATAGTTCAATCCAAACTGGATTACGTGTCAATTTGGATTGTAGTTATAAACTTTAGGACCAAACTAGCCCAAATAATTGCAGACCATCTGAAACAGAATTAAAAAATATTTTATTATAATCAATCATTTATAATACATAGTATCATAAAATCACAGTAAGAAAGCATGATCATAAAATTATGAATTGAATTTTTTAATGGTCTGGTTTTTGAGAAGCTGCGGGTTGAAAAAAAAAGGAATATTATACACAAACTACAAACTGATATATTTAATGCAAATTTTATACTCTCTCATTTTCACGTAGATTTTTTAATATTAGTATTATAATAAATTATAATAAAAAAAATGAAAATATTTCTAAGTATTGTATTATATAATATAAAAATAATAATATTTATATAATATTTATTATATAATCTAAGTTAAAAGTATATTTATTATATTAGGTATTAGAATTAGAAATGATTTTTAGTCTAAATTATTTTATTAAAAGATTACTTTTAATATTCAACTTAAATTTGTAGTTAATTGTGAATTAAGACTGAGAAAATAAATACACCTACCGATTCACCTAACTCGAAACCCACCAAACCTCCCAAGTGACGGATTTCATCGTCGATTGCAGATAAAGGTGTGCCCCGGCGGATATTCAATTACGCCGCCGCCGCAGGTCCTCTCATCTTTCGCCGGAAATGGCCGCTTCTTCTTCTTCTTCTTTCTGCCCAAACCGTGCTCCGTCACTGCCCGCTCCTTCGCGCAGCCGTAATCAACCCACTTTGTTTCATTCCCGCCGCCGCTGTCCCGTCTCCCCCGTTTCCCTGCCTTCCCGGTTACATCTCTCGGTTAATTTTAGTAATCGCACCTTGAAGCGCAGTTTAAAGGCGTCGGCGGCTCCGGTGATGGATCAAACTGCTTCCTCAGCTGCTGTTCCTACGACTGTAGAGGTGGATTTAGGGAATCGGAGCTACCCGATCTATATTGGCTCCGGACTTTTAACCCAACCGGAGCTGCTCCAAAGGTGAGTTGTTATTATCATTATATATAATCAAGTCAAGTAAAATCAAATGGTACTTCTGTGACGTTCTTGATGTTTTTAACTTTTTATATGTTGGATTGATTATTTGTTAAGCTTGTTTAATTCCAGTATTATCTTTATTAACCTGGTATTAATCTAAGTTTTGGTATCTGACTAGAATTATGTTGCCATGGCTATGATCCTGGTTAGAGTTTGGTGACACTAATGCAAAGTCAAGATTTATGTGGCAGTGGTGTGTTACCTGTAATGATGAATTTGGAGGGTTGATGTCTTTGCTAAGTTTAAGTCATTTTACATCTTTGTAGGCCTTAGGTCAAAATATAAAGCTTTCTTCAATTACTAATGACCAGACATCTTAAATTCTATTACATCATGTGAATATGTTATCTCCAAACAATAGACCTTATAATTGAATTGGGCCTTTCTGTAAACCATTCCATGATGATGATGTGGGATTGGTGAAATGGACAATTATGATGTTGTGTGATTGGCAAATAACTCCTGTTCCTAGACACCCTTACCTGGTTTTAGATACTATCTCAAAAAAGAGAGAAAAATTAGGGGTAGTGTTTCTAATGGTAAGATTTGATGTCATTAGTGAAATGAAAATATTGATGTGATTGTAGCAAAGGGCATGAGAATGCTCTGAAAGAAAATCGCTGGGATATGCGGGTTAAGATTTAATGGGTGAAAGGTTAGTAATGCTATCTTACATAATCAAAGTATGCCTTGTAAGTTGTGGAATTCAATCTCGAAGATAATTATATTTGATACCCATAGCTGTATCTTCTCTTCCCCTTCGGTCTTCATGTTACCTTCTCTGCCATGTAACTTGAATATACGATGAATTTTTCTCTTGCCTGCTTTTTAAAAATGTACAAAAAGACATCTATTTGTTAAGTGGCATAGTTGTCCGAGTTTTTTTTCGTCAATATTTGGCATAACGGGGAGAATTAAAATTAATTGGTTATGTTATGTTAGTGAAATCAAATACATTAGTCACATGTTAACTAGGTTGGTGTTTCTTTGGATTTAGATTGGGAGGATTTGGTTTAGGATTTGTATTTAAATAATGTTTGATGTGATGTACCGTAAGAAGTAACTTCATAATTCAAATATTATGTTCGTCTTCTATCCCCCAAAGTTGTTCCCTATTTATCTCCAATTTTTAATTCAAAATTTCATTTTTCTTTCAAACTTCCATTGAATGTGAAGTTATTTCGGGATTCAGGTTAGATCTATTGTTTTTACATCTGCTTTCCTAATTGTAAGTTGCCATTGTATCACAGGCATGTTCATGGAAAACAAGTTCTCGTGGTCACTAACACCACCGTTGCACCATTATATCTTGAAAAAACTATCCGGGCTTTAACAGATGGAAACGCTAATGTAAAAGTTGAGTATGTAGTTTTACCTGATGGAGAACAATACAAGAATATGGTGGGTATTCTAAGCATTATTGTAACTTATTACCTGACAAGAGTTTAATAACTCTGATCTGCTCACCATGTGTGGCTTTGTTTTTTTCAGGAAACTCTTATGAAAGTCTTCGATAAAGCAATTGAAACACGTATGGACAGGCGCTGTACATTTGTTGCTCTTGGTGGTGGTGTCATTGGTGACATGTGTGGATATGCCGCTGCTTCATATCTTCGTGGAGTGAATTTCATTCAAATTCCCACGACTGTTATGGCACAGGTCTGGATCAGTAGGCTCAAGCCTCTAAATCCATGCCTCCTAATTCTTTCACACTTGTTTTTCGCTGAATTTCCCACTATTTTATTATTTAGGTGGATTCTTCAGTTGGTGGTAAAACTGGAATAAACCATCCACTTGGAAAAAATTTAATTGGTGCATTCTATCAACCACAATGTGTGCTTGTGGACACTGACACATTGAACACATTGCCGGATCGAGAATTAGCATCGGGCCTGGCTGAAGTCATCAAGTATGGACTTATCAGAGATGCTCAATTTTTTGAGTGGCAGGAAAAGAATATGCACGCACTTCTTTCAAGGTAAGTATGCTTAATCAAACTAGCTCCTCCAGGTTCCTCGAAAAATTATGGCTTTACCATGAGCAATGTTCTGTAATTTCTTGAACTATTAAGTGATCTAATATTAATCAGAAATCGCTATTAGATGTAGGAAAATTATCCTGAAAATTACTTTTTGTCAATGAGGGGTATCCTTGTGCTGTTATTTTATTTTATTTTATAATTCTAATCCTTCTATATGTTTCCTGCATTACAATTTAAATGGTTTACTCTATGGCAGGGACCCAACTGCATTTGCCTATGCTATCAAGCGTTCCTGCGAAAATAAAGCTGAGGTTGTGTCGTTAGATGAGAAAGAGAGTGGCTTGAGGGCAACTCTGAACTTGGGTCACACTTTTGGACACGTAAGTATTCCTATCTCTTCATATCCAAATGCTTCCCGAAATGCATGTAATAATTTCTATGCTTCGGAAATACGAGCCAATGTGCTTTCAATTGTAATTCACAGGCAATCGAGACTGGTTTAGGCTATGGCCAGTGGCTTCATGGCGAGGCTGTTGCTGCTGGCACGGTATGGTTATAGTAAGGCACTTTTCATTTCTCACCCAAGCGCGCTTTTGTACTAAATGATATTACATGTTTAGGTAATGGCGGTGGACATGTCTTTCCGGCTTGGCTGGATTGACGACTCGTTAGTAAAGCGCGTGTACTCAATCCTGAAACAGGCGAAGTTACCTACAGCACCTCCTGAAACAATGACTGTAGACACATTCAAGTCCATCATGGCGGTGAGAGATTTGTGCGCAAATCCGACATCAATAGCCTGTTGTATCTTGCTCTAAAAAAGGTCGTTTCGTTGAATGCAGGTAGATAAGAAGGTAGCCGATGGGCTGCTGAGGCTCATCCTCTTGAAAGGCCCTCTAGGCAACTGCGTTTTCACCGGTGCGTACGATAGGTCGGCCCTCGATGACACTCTTCATGCATTTTGTAAGTCTTGATGATGCTAGTTTTGAATCTTTGGAAAGTTTGATCCACCTTGTATAATTATAATGTGTTTTGATCTTATTTATTGTGTTTGTTATGCCATGACAGAGTTTTTAAGGTTTTCAGTGACATGTTGTAAGAGCTTTGCTAATAATAATTTGTTCAGTCATATGTGATTGTAAGATATACTTGTAAGTTTTGTGTGACAGATAAGATTTTGAGGGTAAGGAGAGCTAAACAAAAATAAATCAAGCTTAGTTTAGTGCCAAACACTCAAAATTATGATCTAAACAAAGCTGTATTCTTTGAATATATATATATATATATCCATCACTTAAAGAAGATGAAATTAAAAATAAGTACAAACACACATAGGATAAGTATTACATTACTTAAAAAGTCCAGAATGATAAGTTTAGTTTATTTTCCAAAACCAGTGGATGTGTTTGTTATGATTTTAAATTAATTTTATCATTATTTAGTTTAATTTTCAATAATATATACTATTATTTATATAACATTAAATTACTGTTTAAACAAAAATTCAAATAAAAATCAAACAAATCCAATCCCAAAATGATCACAAGAATGGGAGACATTATTAAGATAAATAATTTAACTTAGGGTGTGTTTAAAAAATAATGAATAGTGAAAAAAAAGAAATTCAAACCAGCGGAGACATTTTAAATTTTAATTTAATCATATGACATAAATAACTTATTTTTATAATGAATAGTAAAAAAAAATAAAAAAATTAAATTTACCTGTTAGGTGATGATAATGGGTGGGCTGGTCTGGGCTGGGCTATCTAGGGCCCATTAAAAATGCTTGCCTATTTAAATTTAACAATCGAAGTAAAGTAAAGAAACTTCCATTTGGGCCCATCCCGACCCGAACAGCGAGCGGAGAGCGCGTGCGAGGCGGAGGCGGAGACGGAGACGGGGCCGGAGAAGAGACCGCTTCAAACTTCAATGGCAACGCCACCATTTTTTCCGACCGACTAAATAAAGGTGTGTATCCACGCTCGCTCGCCCGCCCACTCCCCGCCCCATTCCACTCTTTGCTTCTCCCATTCATTACTCCTCTTCTAACCTTCACCTTTACCCCGCCCATGCATTTTTCCCATTTTTGTGTCTAGGGTTTGCTTTTGATGTTTCGTGTCAGATTGTGATTGGCGGATTGCTCGTTGGATGCTTCAGGTCTTCAGTGGAAGATCTGAGTAGCGTACAGAGGAAGTTAGGAGAGGTGGAGGGAGGGGGGAATTGTAGGGCGCCTGAAAATGAGTGCTTCAAGGTTTGTAAAGTGCGTGACGGTGGGCGATGGTGCCGTTGGCAAGACCTGTCTCTTGATATCCTACACCAGCAACACTTTCCCCACGGTCAGTCAGTCACTCTCTTCGCTTCAGTTAATCTGAAATCAGCTGCAACTTTTCTGTCGTTTCTTTTCTTCTATCATTTTTGTTTTCCTTTGTTTGTTTACATATGGATGTTTTGGATCCGACTAGACACTTCAGCGAAGAAACGAACCAGCACATTTTATATGAGTTAATTCTGTTTATGGTTTCAAATACAAATTATACACTATTCAGCACACCATTTCCTCTCACAATACATCACAACAAAAATCAAATCAATTTTAAACAACAACAATAAGTTAGAAATTTAGATTCGTTGACGTCAGTACGTTTGCTGCTCAGCAGCTAATGTTATTACATGCTTCTTTTTTTTTTTTTTTGATATATTTAATTTCATATTATACACATTTCTCTATGTTGGCTTTCCAAGTAGTTGCAGCTATTGGGATGGTTTTCAACTTTCAGTTTTCATCCTATCCATTTCATGTGGACTGCATTTATGTTCGAAATATGATCTAATTAATTAAATGATTTTCTTACGTGTGCATTTCTTCATTTGGTGTACGTTATTAGGTAGACTACCACAGATAAGTAAATTATTGGACATGTTGCGAAATGCTGGCTTCTATCAGTTTAAAGTTTATAATCGCCTGGTTGGGTGTTTCTTGTAGACTGAAATTAGTTGTGGATCTCCAACAATTGCTTGCTATATATGGTTCATTTTTGTGTGGTCATTACTGTACTTGTTTTCTAGAGATGGTTTTATGGTTTTTTTGTTTACATTTTGAAGCATGATATTCTTACACTTTGACATTTCTGTCAAATATGTAATTGAAACAGGATTATGTGCCTACTGTATTTGATAATTTCAGTGCAAATGTGGATGTTAATGGAGCCACTGTTAACCTTGGCTTGTGGGATACTGCTGGTGAGTGCTACATTCCAAGCTGCTTATGGCATTGTAATATATGTGTGTCTTTTCAGTTAATTATTATAAAACCTTCAATTTCCCTTCATACAAACAGGCCAGGAGGACTACAACAGATTAAGACCTCTGAGCTATCGCGGTGCTGATGTTTTCATTTTGGCATTTTCTCTTATTAGCAAGGCCAGTTATGAAAATGTTTCAAAGAAGGTAAAGGCCCAAAAAAGTTTTATTTTTAACCTTGATATTTTTTTTTATCCAGTTGATCAAGTTCCTTTTTATTTATTTGTTTATTTATTTTTCTATTTTAGTGGATTCCTGAACTGAAGCATTACGCCCCAGGTGTTCCAATTGTTCTTGTTGGCACAAAAATTGGTAAGGTTTTCTGTTGATGAAATTTACGTTGTATGAACTGGCTGATCTAGTATCACAACCATTCTATGTCTGGTTTCATTATATAGAAATATATTAGAACAAACTAATTTCATGATATATGATTTATAGAGGTCACCATTTAGTTTTATCTTCCTTAAATGGAAAAGTTGGATAAATGCTTCCTGATTGCTGTGCCTTAAATGTTATGTGGTACTTCTCTCTGTCACAATAATATATTAAAAGTACCTTCTTATTGGAAATTGTGAAAGTTTGTTCAATGTAGTTGTCCACTTCTGTTATTTGGATAGAAAATTTGGTTTTATTAATGGAGAGAAATAATGAAGGGAAAAAGCCAAAGGAAAGGTGAAAGCAAATGAGTATCTCTTGATTTTTGAAGGACTATGGTTAGATTGATAACTCTACATTTCCTTTGGCGGCATGCTTGGTGATATAATCTGCCCCTTTGTGTGCACTTTGTGGGATATGCAGAAAATTGATGTAGGGAACTTTTGAGTAGGAGACATAGCTTGTTAATGTTGGAAGTTCAATTTCCTCTGTGTCATAGTACCAAGGATCCGACCAAGAGTGTTTATTTAGTTGCATTCTAGTACAAATTTGGAGAGGGGGCCAAGTTGATGATGGACCAAGAATGTGTGTGATGGCTAGAATCTTATGCCACTTTAGAATATATATAGAAGGAATGAAAAGGAAGCTGTGTGGTTGTGTTTGGTTTTTAGGTTTGGTTTAAATAGTGATTGGATGTGATGTTTTGATGAGCGTAAATAGTACATTTTATAGGAAATCCTGGGATGACATAGTAAAGAAAAAAATAAAACTAAAAAAGAATAGAACCAAAGTGGGAAAAGTAGGAATGATAAAAAAAAATCTCATCATTGAAGTTTTTATTTCCCTTTCCCAAACTCTGCAACCTGATGATCAAAGTCCTCAACAGACCTTATCATTGAACATGTAAAGTGAAGGTACGGATGAACACCGTCTTTAGGGCAAGATGTTGACATTCAAGGGTCACCCCAGAAACAAATCTTACTACCATTTTCTATTGAAACTTTGAAATAATTTACTATTTTCCCAAGACATATGTATGTTGGTAGGTTCCCAATTATGCACATTCAATACTTTGGAATGGTCAAATAAATTTTGGAATAATGTGAAATTTCCCACGGATAACATTCCAAAGGGATGAGTTCTGTTGGAATTGCTAATCCCATTTAACGAAGAGCGTTATTATAAAGTACAATGGGAAATCAGACAAGACCACCAAACTTTTTCCTCAAACAAATTGAATTTTAGTTAGTGAGGCACATTTTTACTCTGGTATGTATCTCTACATTAAATTATGGGATATAGATGCATGGGGTTGAAAATTATGCCAAGAGATCTTCAATAGAGGTTGGAAATGGAGAGGTAGGTTTAGTAGAACTGGTTGAACCAGGATGGCACAACCATTGAATGACTAGTTTCTATATTTCGAACCATAATCTAGACAACTACATCCAAATTCGAGGACTAGAGCGAAAGTTGATTATCTTAGCACGAATTGGTATGCCTAAATAAATTGTTGAATATCTTAGCACCAATTGGTGCACCTAAATAAGGGAGAAGCTCCCAACCATGCAACAGATTGAATTGGCCACTCCCAAGACAAGGGAAGGGGTGTAAACTTAACTCCGTACAGTGCACTCTTTTGAAAATTCACTTTAAGACGAGTTGAAAGCTGAGAATAGTTTAGGATGTGCTAAACAGTCAAGGGGTTCGACAGTTGAGTTATCGAAACAATGTGTTGTTTGCATACTAGAGATTTGCCTGTTCTGTCCAAGAAGTGCCTTTCAACATGCCCAATGAAACAACCATTTGTAAGAGTTTTCTGAGTTCTCAATACTAATGAACAAGCCAATAGAAGGTCTTCTGGCGGAACCCTTCGAAATGTTGAACTCAAGGAGTGGGAGATCCATTGAGCGAAACGAGACCATATGCCAAGGAAAAATGCAAGTTTAGATCCAAGAATTAACCACAGTATACTTGTTTTGCTTGAAAACTTCACGTTCATTATTACAATAGCCTACTATTTAGCTTTTCTTTAGGTGTGTTGAGAGTATGTATGCCTTTATTAAATATACTAATTTTGAATTTGATTGTTTTAGACCTTCGAGATGACAGTGAGTTCCTTAGTGAGCATCCAAGTGCTGTACCAATCACTAATGCACAGGTGATGGAGACTCGAAAACTTGATACAAGGCAGCATCTTTTGTTTTGATTTTACACTTACATCATTGGGAAACTTAACCAATATGAATTTTTCCTCCTGTTTCCTTTACTCTATAATAACTTTCAGGGCGAGGAGCTGAGAAAGATGATTGATTCACCTTATTACATTGAATGCAGTGCAAAAACACAGCAGGTTTACGCAAATCAATATTCATTCTTATTCAAATTCCCATATGATCAATTTCACGATACATTTGCTTCAGTTTCTAAACTAAACCACTCTCACCACATATTTCTTCCTCACCTCAGAATGTTAAGCAAGTTTTTGATGCTGCCATAAAAGTCGTGCTCCAGCCTCCCAAACAAAAGAAAAAGAAGAACAAGTCTCAGAAGGCCTGCTCCATTCTATGATATGATCACAACAGTAAGCATAAAAATGAAATCTATCCACCCGTCATTATGCTGTTTCTCTCCGTTTCTTCTCCCTCGATTCTTTCACACATGATGTAGGAGCATCCCTGACATGCTTTTATTAAGGGTAGCCACTGATCTATATTTCTGGGACTATTAGCGACTAGAATTGTGTTGTTGAAGTCGTGATCTAGGTTAATACTTTCTTTGTGCTCTCTGCTTAGAGTCTACTTTATGTATTCATTGATTAATCCAACACGTGATGTTTTTATTTTTTCCTTTTTTTTTTTTTTTGGCTGCGGTCAATGGTTCTCCTAAGAACACTTCTACACTTTGATATGATGCTGTTTTTAATTCCACAAACGATTTTCGTTTACCATATACGAGTATGGGATGCAGTTTGTGCGGTGATGGTGGCTAATCTGATTGATACTTTATTGCATATGTTATTTAAATTGTGGTGTTGCCTAAGTATCACGCGACGCGACAGGGTTCCCATTTCATGCTGACAGGCAATAGGAGGAATAAAGTTCTTTAGATATGCTACATACAGGCAAAAAGGGATAAGGTTCCCTTGAATATAGTGTGGGTTGTATGTTTTAATATGTGGCATAAATGAATGAATGATAGGGACACAGCCAGCCATGGCCCTGTTAAGTAGAAAGAAAGAATCTGTTTGATACATGAATTGAATTGAGTTGAAAACCATGTTTCCTTTAGTGTACCCTTCACCACAATTCTTGTCTTAAATTGAGCTATTTTCTTGTTTTATAATTTATAGGACTTGTCAAGATGACGTCATGGGTTTAAACTTTCGACGCCTTCAGGTCACCTGTCAGCCATGTTTCGCTTAATATGATTTATCTGTCTGACCTAGTTTGTTGGATATTAGGTCTATCCAATAAGTGTTTCGGGTAATGATGACGAGTTCTCACCTCATTAAAAATAAATAAATAAAATTGAGATGGGTAGGACTTTTTAATTTTGTTTGCCAGTGGAATCGAATGGGGATTTATTCTGTTCTAGAAGGAGAGAGAGTATTGACGTTTCCCATAGTCAAATTGCCCAATATTACAAATAAATTAATACTTAGGAATTTGTATCATCATTCCCTCCCTCTCTTTCATCTTCATCTTCATCTTCATTTCTTCTCTATATAAAGCTTGGTCTTGATCTTAGGTTTTAGTCCCTTTCTTACATGCGCTTTAATCAGTATACCAGTTCTTGTATGCACACATATACATAGTTATCTACTTAATCGATGGCTTCAAGGAGAATCCTAAAGGAACTAAGAGAATTGCAAAGAGACCCTCCAACATCATGCAGTGCAGGTACACACTTAATGTGCCAATTATTTGATTTGATTTGATTCGATTTGATCATCGACTGGTTCGTTCAGGCCCGGTGGGTTCAGCCGACATGTTCCATTGGCAGGCAACCATAATCGGGCCAAACGAAAGCCCCTACGCCGGCGGAGTCTTTCAAGTCACCATCCATTTCCCCACCGACTACCCTTTTAAGCCTCCCAAGGTTACCTACCTACCTACCTACCAACTTCGATCATTCTTTCATCTCCAAAATATAACAATCGATGATTTGTAAGTGTCGCAGGCAGCCTTTCGGACCAAAGTGTTCCATCCTAACATTAACAACAACGGCAACATCTGCTTGGACATCCTCAAGGACCAGTGGAGCCCTGCCCTCACCATCTCCAAAGTACTACTACTTCCCAACTCCATCGACATCCCTATACCCATTCATTTATTCAACCAGAGCTAATGCTTTGCTTCTTCAATTTTGTGCGCAGGTTCTACTGTCGATATGTTCTCTGCTGACAGACCCCAACCCAGACGACCCTCTTGTTCCGGACATTGCTCACCTGTACAAAGCCGATAGATCTAAATACGAGTCCATGGCGCGCACCTGGACTCATAAGTATGCCATGTGCTGACTGTGCCAATTATTTGTTTCGCAATAGCCAGCCCCCAATTTGTTGCCTGTAATAATGTGCTGGAACCACCATGGATCCTAGTTTCTTTTTCAGAAAATTTCGATCACAAATGTCCTGTACTTCTTTCTCTGGATGAATCAATCAGTGTTTCTTCTTTCTCTGATCCTGTTTTAGCAGCAACAACTGCAGATCTTTTATTGTATCTTCTTCAACACCAAAAAAAGAACAAGAAAAAGTGTAGTTTTCCTTTTGGTTACTACAGAAAGCTCAAATTGCAGTTGAAATATATATATGTACCACAAACATGCTTATGATAAACAAGATTTTCAACTCGTGTCGTAAATTCAAGAGTTATACCAGCTCTGCAGATATTTTCAGAGGTCGATGAGCTCCAGATAGAAACCACTTTGTTAGCTCGATGGGCAAAGGCTGGCAAGTTTTCTTTATGTGAAGGATCAAATCAAAACCGACTACTAATACACTTCTGATGTAAACGCAATCAATATTGATGTGATGTGTAAATTATACGGTGATGAGTTGGTACTTGTCGCCCAGAGAACCACCTTTGTCATTCTGGAATTGCATATACCGCTGCGTACTTGCAAAGAAAGCATCTGCCGCTGGGTCTGAATGCGTGTCATCACCATGCATCTCGTTTTTGATCAATTCGATCAGATCCTTGATGGATTCAACTGTAATCTGCGGAACTCCTTTTTCGTAGAAGTACAGATACCTAGCAATGAAAAAAAAACAGTAAATAATATGTAATAACCAGATATATATATATATATATATACATAGAGATGCAAAACCAAGGTCTGGTGAGTCGACTCCTCACTTGTTAAGTATCTCTATAAAAAGGATAACTGATCCACTGCTACCCCTTGTTGCATTGGCCATTTGTTGAACAGCGTTTGCAATTCTCAATGCTCGTTTTAAGCAGAGCAAGACCCTAAAGACAATAATGAGAATTAATATTAATGGAGAAATAAAAAAGCATTCATAAATTCAGAGAATATTTTGTTTTTCCTAAAGATTGCAGCTAAGTCTTCGACAAGCAGGGAAGAAATTAAAGAAGATCAGCAGGAGTTTTACAGTGGACAGAATTCGATGGCACACCTTTCTCCGTCTCTGATGCTATCATGATCATCATGCCAGAAGAGATGTGAGCATGCATAGACTGCCCGACACTGGTCAGGTTTCTTCAACAGCTTTGCAGAATACTGAAGGAATTATTACAAAATAAGTCATATCAAACATGGATTAAATTTGTCCATTCGACTATTTTTGGGAGTGAGGGAAAGGAAATGAAATTAGCATCTATAAGGGAACTAAAGGCACTATATGAAAATCATACTATGACAACAAAAGCTTACTATAATTTACCCCTGTGGCTTTATGTGTCAAGGCGTCTCTATTCTCAACACCAAAGACGCGCATTCTTTGAAGTGTCCCAATTATTAGATACGTGGAAGTCACTTGAGCTTTTGAATCCTGTTTATTATAATTGAGTATGTGGTAAAACTGTAAAAATCCTTTGCTCCTTTCCAGATAGCAAGAAACTATCAATTTATTATGAGCAGAAAAACTTTTAAATAAAAAATCAGAAATTGGAAAACTTATAGTTTACCGTGATTTCTTCTTCATACAATATATAAGCTTGGGTAAAAAATTCATAGGCCACAGGTTCCAGATCACAGTCATTTGCAGCCTGAGAACCAGAAAATTAATAGTTGTGAAACAAAGATAGATACTCCATCTGAGATGTCAGATTACCTCGGCACACTGCAGATACAATCCAAGAGCCAGTTCAGGTACTGGTATGCTTGACAAAGCCTCGATTATCTGCTATGCATATGAAATAGTTAGAATATCATAGGATAAAGGAGAGGCTTTTCTGATTGACAAGAGAGATGAACAGGATCACTGTCCTATATCCGCATATGAAGTACCGGAAACAGAAGATCTATCTGAAACCGCAAACTAGAGGAAATATTCGTAAGTTGGACATCGATTGACATTATGTTCCCAACATTTTTTACTTCAAATATTTTCCAAAATTTTCCAGGTGGAACTCACTAATAACTTTTTTCATTGTGAATCTAAATAAACAAATATTATATATATATATATTCAAAACTCCTTATTCTTTATAAATTTAAGTCATATTAATTATGTGTTTTTATAATTTTTTTTATGTATTTGTATTATATAAAAAAAATTATTTTTCATAATATGACATTCATATTTAATATACTTATTGAAGCATTTTTACATACATTTAAAATCATAACCCAATTATTAACCAAATATAATTTCATTTCAAATAGTAAAATCAAACTTCTAATCACAATCTGAAAAGTTAACGGACCCACTAACTTGAAGGGCTTTGGAGCTGTAAATTCATTCACTAACTTGGGTAAACAATTTTGGAAGAGGAGTGAAAACTTCACAAGCCAGTTGGTAGAAACCAAGAAACTGTCCATTCTACTGAAGAACTGGAGCCGATTTCCTATCCAAGTAAAATTACTACCATGTAGTTGAGGAAGATCTATAAGGCGTACATCATTAACCAAGTCCCTAAAATTAGAAGTTGATGGAGAGTGACTTGACACGCAAAAGGCAAACAAAGCAGAGTCTGGAAGGAAGCTTCTTAGCTAGTAGGCTTGCTCCTAGAGATCATGCCAGGATGTCAGATCACATGGGGCACAGACTTTGAGGATGAAATGTGATACTTAGTTTAGAAGACCCTGGATCGAGTCATCCAGGCAGATGGAATGTCCATCAGTTTCAGCTCCCATAAGCAAAAAAAGGCCCCCAGATCTCCCAAGAGCTGAGGTGGGCAGGATGAATAGAAGCTGATGGCAAAATTGATGCAATCAAAGACTTGTTCCATACTTTCAACTTAGTTTCTCAGAGGAAAAAACCAAAGGGATTATCAGACACCTTAATCTTTGATCTTTTAATATTACCCCCCAAACCTTTTAAGTTGAAATTCATCATCTTAAAGGATAGGAACTCGAAGAGGAAAGTATTATGACCTAGAAGTTTGGTCTGTATTTAAATGAAGGTTGTTCTTTGCAAGGAGAGAAGGATATGGATGAGGTTGATAATGCATAAGTATTCACCTATCACACATCTTTGAAGCCAGATTGTTCGTTCTTGTTCTTAATCTAAAGCAGGAGACACTTCCATTTCATGCTCGGATGGGAAGCAGTCAGCAAAGGAAGAAAAATTCAAAGACAGATTCGGAGGAATAGCAACCAGAGAGGGAGACAGAATGAAGACGCCCTTGACACAGTTTCAGAAAAAGTTATGTTTTCCAAGAAGAACCTGATAGAGTTCATACAACTTTTAGAGCTTCTCCAGCATCCATAAATCTGAAGAAGGCTGATTCCCAGCTGAGGATGCTGTTTTGGACAGTAGGGAAAACTATCAAAGACACACCAAAATGTTAATAATGGCAACCTGCAGTTCTTTTTCATTGCTGGGAATGTTTACATTTCCTACAAACACAGGAATAAGTTTCTCTGCACATTTGAAGTCATCTCTGGATCCGCTTACAGGAAGATTCATTTGCTAGGTTTCTTATCAGGATGGGGTGGCTGATTGATGGATGGAGTTGGGTGGGGTTAAATGAGAAAATTTGTGATTTTGGGAAGAATGAAAGCCTGAATACCAGAGAGAAGGTTTGAATTATATAGATTGTAGGCCTGCCCAGGTTTTGAGCACCACTGGAGGCGGGTTGAGGGGGCCTGAGAGGGAGGGGAGAGCTAATAGGGGAACATCCATCCTACAGAGATTCTATAAGGAGAAATTTTTTCTAATGATTTATTTTCGATTTAATCAGATAGTTAATTTAATCATCTAATAGTTAATTTTGATGTTAAGTATTAACTAATCTAATATGAGTAAGTAGTGTATGGAAAACATAGATAAAAACATTGTAAACACTAAACAAGCTAAATAAGAATCATTGAGCTATTAACCAAAATATTAAGAATTAAATAATCTATCTGAAATGTTCAAAAAATGAAATAAGCAAAACAGCAGAGGTCCATAGTTATAGAAGCAATAATGGATTAAGCATCACGTTAGACAAATCAAGAAAACATCTGACCTGTGTTACTATCTGAAAAATCTTTTTTGGTGTAGCTGATGCCTCTTTGTCAGATAAACTTTCATCCAGACCTTCCAGTCGTCGTACAAGCTGTCACAGTAGGGAGACATTAAAATAAAAATATCCGGGTGTAGGTTAAGAATGTTGTAAGGAATGTTAGTGGCAAGGACAAGTGAGGTTGGGTCAAGGCAGGTAGCAGAAATTAAAGATAAGAAACATATATGTATATGTATTTTAATTCCTTCAACACGTCCCCTGACTTTAACACAGTTTCCATGAGAAGCATTTTCCGACAAAAAGGAGTGTATTAAGGCAGCTAAAGAAGGAATTTGTTCTCTTCTGCAATGGTGGTCAATCAAGAAGGAAATTCAAAGAGAACATGAAAGAATTTTCAATAAAATTAATCTTCACCAAAATGAAAGAACCTGGTTCTTTCCAGTTTCCCAAATAGCACAAACACCATGTATAATGACCTTCCCAACCAAAAGCACGGATATTTCTACTTTTTTATGTTTTATATATAAATGACTTTATCTGATTCTCATAAAGCAACATATTTCACATTTTTTAACGGAAAAAAAAAAAGAAAAAAGAAAAGAAACAATTTTTATTTAGGCATGAAAAGGATAAAAATCTAAAATAGATAGGCAGGAGTAGTTTGCCCCCCTGCTGCATTCCAGTACACACAACTCAAGTTTAGTTGAATTCATGATCTTCTTGAGCATGATAATAGACTAATAGTTCTCAAAGAACACTCAAACATTTTAGATTTACGTTTTTGCATGGTTGATTTTGACTGAAACACAGGCACTCACATTTCAACAAAATATTTACTTATCCATCTGTAGATAATATAATTATAACTTGATTGCACATTTTAAAATTTTCTATACTAGGAATAGAGACAAGAACAAGAGATTGCATGCTTCTATCCCTCAAAATGCACCATTTCCAAATAACAACCATGAGGGAACAGCTGTTCTAGGACATAAGATCCATGATAACTTCCAGATTTCTAATTGTGGTGCTCAGAAAGAACATGCATAAAGGGAAGAAACCAACTTAATTGAAAAGCTAACATACCTTCAGAGAACTGAATATAAGTGGGGGGACTGTATGAGGGAGCCTCCTTGGCCCTCCGGTCAAAATATGTTTCCTCACAGTTTGTATTATCTGAAATAGCATGAAGCATCTAAACACCATGATATGGAACCAACAAACAAAAGAAGAGTGCTGCACATATACAAATATATGGCAGGTTGATTAAACATTTAAAGAGCACAAGAAAAATATCAATCTCCCACAGAGATACAAGAAAGAATAATGATAGTGTGCTAAACCAACAAGAATAGACAATACATAAAATCAAAGCAAACATTATGTATGACTACCTTCAACATCTCTTCTGGATCATCACTATGGAGCATCTGGATAAGACGAGCAACATTATATTGTTCCTCTTTGAAGTCCTCCTCATCCTGACAATACATAGAAAGTGTAAGTATCTCAAGGAAAATTACAATGGAGATCCTTAAGAGTAATTTCTATGTATCCTAAGTTGTGATCGAAAGAATACGAATTCCGAGCAAAGACCACATCTTTCGATCAGAAAAAAACCTCCACGCTACCTCATCTTGATTATCTCCATCTAAATCTTTAATGAGTCCCTTCATCAATTCAAATAATGCCTCCACCTATAAGAACAAGGTCTTTCAGGTCATGAAAGCAATCCAAATTCAAACAAGTATAGCAAATTTATGAAACACATACCTTCTCAGCAGTTGCTATGTAAGTCCTGTTTTTCATTATATTATGTACGATAATATTTGCCACCTCTTTATTAGTTCGATCATTTAAATGATCCAAGACACGAGGATAATTTGACAGTTTCAATACAATGTCTATATCCTTGAATTTCTCAAGTGGAGCACTTAGAAGTTCAACAATCTGTTGTGTTGCTTTGCTATCGTCAAGCTTTTGAATTCCTGAAATTTTTTTTACACATGATCCCTGCAGGACAGGAACTAGCTGGTTACATTCACATTAAGAAAATCTAATTAGTGATTAATCCTACAAAGCAGAAGTGTCATTTATTAAATCAAGATAGAACCATTACAGAGCAAAGTAGTCCAGTGAAAGCAGAAGTCAAAAAGGGGTTCAATGATACATCCAGGTCGAAGTTAAAAACAAGATCATAATTTGTGGGGCAGAACTCTATAATAAAAGTAAACTATGTGATGATGTTTTCCATAATCAGTTTGCACAGACATAACAGATCTTGAATGGCATGGACTGGGTGCCATTTGAAATTTGAACAGAAATCCTGGCTTCAGGTCATTCTTTACTTCCTTGCACGCCAGAAGAGAGGCAGTGTGAACAATTACTCACTGTTTCTAAGATTAAAAGAGACAAATGCAACTATGCAATGATATACTAGGTTCCAGCAAATATATATCCACTTGATGAAAATCCAATTTATGCAGGAGATAGCAAATACGAATATATGATCATAACCTAGAAACATTCTTCCCAAATAATTGAGTACATGAAGGGAAAATAAACAAGAATAAAAAGGAATTGTGAAGGTGAGAAACAGATATTTGCATATCCCGCAGAGATATTGCAACAAGCCATATAACACTGACCAGAATTTGGTCAACATAATCAAGTCGGTCCGGATGTACGTGTAAGGCGAATTTCAGCAGAGATGCATATAAAGTAACTATTCCACCAATGGGCATATTATCCTGTGCTTCTATAACCTGCATTAAAACAACTATTATAACTTTAAGTGGGATAAAACTATAAAATCTAAAACTTTGTCCACAGAAAATCATAGAAAAGCAATTTTTAAATGCCTTAATGCTAGGTGGCAACAGAAACTACATAGGAATGCATATCAACTCATTCAGACATGAAAGGTAAAAGCAGAAGATACATGATTGTTCATCACAAACCATTAGTAGATATAAATAAAACATATATAAAATAATAAAAAAGAACTATAAATACACCTCTATGCATAACAAAGTAAAATATATGTGGCCTCATTTTGAAGACTAGACTTGATACAGAAAAGGCCAAGAATATTCAATGAATCGCACAATGATTCATTTGGCTAATCCGTCACCAAAATTAACCAAAGCAACCTTTGGTTCCATTCAATAGCAAGGCAAGATTACTCCTAAAAATGGCTGAGATAATATGGAAGCAATCTATACTCCACAAAAGAACGGTCATCATCATTACTACAATAATATTAACATTCATAAAAATTTATCAAATGCTAATAATATTTGTCATGGTTACACTAATTGATCATTTACACTTAGTGTGCAAAAAAAAAATAATCAAAGAATGAATTATTTATAACTTAAAACACTCTGCATCATCTAGAACATCACAAACATCTCTCAATTTATGAAGTAAAAAAAGTAGATTTACCTTTCCTATGGCATTGTTAAGTTTTGCAAAGGCTTCTACTTGAAAAAACTCAGGCAACACCTGCAGCATGAAGTTTGTAAGGAACAATACTTCCAAACACCATTTTATTAAGCTCAAGATAAGACTTACTTCCGGACCAGATGCAGCATAATTTGAAAGCCTTTCCATAAGACGAGAAAGCACTGTTTTAACATCGACAGAAGCCTGTTTAAGGAAAATTGATAAACATTCAGCAAGAACAGAATTACAACCAAAACCTTCAAGTAGGGAAATTGTTCCAACCTGAAGTTGAGGACATGCATTCAATAAGGTTTCAAGAGTCTGCAAGTGGTATTCATCAGGGAAGACTTGAATTATGCAATCCATCAAGTAGTATTGAGCAAGTTCATCCTTGCAGTTAACAACCTGAAGTCAAATCACATAAGTATGGCATCAACCTACATGCAAAGGAAAGTAACAACAAATGATCTCTGAGTAAAAATTTACCTGCTCCAGCACTCTGGGAAGAACAGTTTCTTTGTACATCTCAAGGTCAACACCCTCAATCTGGCTGAGAACGTGAAGATTCTTGCCGACCTAATAAAAAAATGATGAATATACCTTATGTGATGATATTCCATAGTTAAATCAAGATGTAAAAAACAATGAACAAAGAAATTTTACAAGATCTCGCAGCTCACTCCTTTCCTTTTCCCTTTTATCTTTTTCCCTACTTGGCCCCTGCAAGCCATAGGAAAAAAATCATGCCCTCGCATTATTATTTTCCCATGGTCTTCATGGGAGTGAAATACATCAATTAATGAAAGCAAATACTAGATATAGCTACTTCTCATTTACCAGATGTTGCATTCTGACCCAGAGTTTATTCATTTCAGTGAAATTTTGGAGCACAAAATCAACAGCATCCATGACAGTATCAGCATCCCTGGCAGAGTCAAGAAACCATATAGGCTAAATATAGTAAACAAATATAAGATGACAGATAACATGTAGAGAGTAGAAACTAGAAAATTTCCCAAAAGCAAGATCCACCTCTAGGAGGAGATAATGATATAAATTAGGTGTGAAAGTCAAAATATAAGCAGACAGACACCTAGAGGATAATCAGGAACGCACACATATGAATCTAATTTTCGAAATGCATATAGATACTAATCATATGTTTGGAAACTACAAGCCAAATTATAGATTCAGACAAAATTTCAGCTTGAATTCAGTAGCTATTTATTAAATACAATTACGGTTCAGATTTAAAATTAAGTCTGTTATCCAGTTCCATTTTAACCACCAGAAAAATTTAGAAAGTGTTGTTCACCATGCATGCACTGTGATTAATTAATATTTGACTCAATGTTTAGAGATCTTCATTGTATCTAAAACTGAAAAATAAGCAGTTAACAACTCAAACCTGCACAGCCAACTCGTAAGGCTGAATCAACATAACTACAAAGAGAACCATTTTTATAACAATTTGATCAGAAATCATATTGAATATATAAGTAGCATAAAAATCTATGGTTGCAATCTGTCTGAAAGCAGACTGTGGGGCAAGTATGCTAGTTGATGAATTTCCCATAACCCAAATTCAAAAGTAAGGTTGTCAGCTTAAGAAACAGTTATTCCTTGTAATAAAAAAGTCATAATAGTACACTTCCTAATTTGTTGTAAAATTATATTTGATATAAATTTATGAAATATATTTTTGTATCCCATTCACCTATCTATAGTAGGTCTTTGTGCGATTATATAGGAGATATAAACAGCCATTTATTGTGATGTTTGTCTAAGGACTGAACAACATATTTGTGATCACTGTCCCTCTTCTCCCTCCTACTAATTCCAGCAGACATCAATCCCAAATTATACAGCATGGATGGACTTTGAACAGGAAGAAAAGAAAAATATCCAACATTTTCCATATATACGTTTTTTGCTCCTAATACCAATAATTGTTTAAAGTTAAGTTCACAAAGTGGGACACAACACACAGATCATATCATTACCCTTCATATTCAGAGCCAATGTCAGGCAATTTATCTCTACTAACTTGAGACAGGTAACTCCTTAGAAATAGCCCTCTTAGAGGATGCTGGATTCCACGACACATTTCTACAAGATCTTTGAGTATGTCCTTCGCTGGAGCTTCCTTGGATTTTATGTAGACAGAACCCGCAGTACAGAGCAAATATCTAACAAAATGACAACCAATATAAGAACAACACTGATCATTAATATAGGTAGGTCTTGAAGAGATTGAGGCTTCTTGAGAACCTCAATGACACTAGTTCAGAGTAGCAGAAACAATAGGCCCCTACATTCAAGACTGCAGATTCAATCTACACAAACAAATGGGATACTGTAATCTCATGCATAATAGGTCATCATCTACACTTTCCAAAATCAAATTATCATTCAAGTAGGTGGCGTTCATTAGCAAAACCCTCAAAACGAACATAAATTTGATAATATCATTGAATCTTAACCATACTTATCTGTCTTCAATTAGGATCTTAAAAAAAAAAAAAGAAAAAATGATTATGCAATGCATGACACTCCTGCAAAAAATATATTGATGTCAGCTCCTTTACTGAATGCAAATGCAAATGCAAATGCAAACTTTGACAGAAGAAAAATCAAAAAAACCAAAAGGGGGTACAAGAAGATAAATTTTAATAAATAAAATACAATTACGGAATAGAAGGAGACAAAAATCCTCACAATCTTGGTAAAATATTTCCAGCATGCTGTACAAGCTCATAAAGCTCGACGATGGAGCAACCTCGACTAGTTTCCTCCTTAAAAAACATTTCCAATTTCCTCAGTTCATCAAATGCCCTCATATCTACACAGAAAACCCAAATCAGCATACTGGGGATATATATACATACATATATATATATAAGTTCAGAAAGCACACAAAATAACGGAAAAGTGGAGACACTTTGAATCACACACAAAGTTCGTAGTATTTGTGAGGGGAAAGCCTCGAAGTGCGGAGCTCCGAAAGCATCTGAGCAGAGTACTTGAGAGCGTCCTTCAAATTGTTTGAATCCTAAAATCGAGAACCCAAATCGTAGTTCAGAAACTAGGGTTCAACTGAATCGACGGAAATTGGCAGAGAATCAGTAATAATGAAAGCAAAATACGAGAGCTCGATGCATGTAGAAGGCATTCTGCTGAAGGGCGGCGATCCCAGCGGAGAGCCATTTCTCCTCATCGTCTACCCCGTTGGCGATCATCGTCTCGTCTCTCCCAGTTAGTCTTCTTCGTCGGACGGTAACACCTATTGCTAGTTCAGTTGAAATAATGGAATTACAAAAACAAAAGTATTTAGCTGAGAGTAAAATAATAAAGGAAATTAATGAAACTCTTGTTCTAAATTTCTTCTTCTTCTTCCTTTTTTTTTTTTTTTTTTTTTTTTTTTTTTTTTTTTTCGCGTGAAACTGTTCTCTCTCGTTCTAATATTTGTTTCACTTTTTAATTTAAATAATTTTGAAATTTTTTATTATTTAAAATTATTTTATAAATTTGTAACTATGTATAAAGTAAAATGAATAAATAAATAGACTATGTAAAAATATAAAAAAAATAAATCATAAAAAAATTTTATCCAATATTATTCTCAATATACTTAATGTTCTTTTTATATATTTTTAGCATGCTATCTAATTAATATTATAAAAAAATTAATTTATACATATATATTCATAATATATAAGTATATATTTTATTTATTCAATGTGTTTGTTCACTTTTTTTTTTGTAAATAGATTTTTTTTTTTATGTTAAATACCAAAAATTTATTGAAAATAATATTTATATATTAAATTGGTGCTTTTTTATAAATAAATAAAATATGTAGTATATTACTTCTTTTGTTTCATATTAAATATTTATTTTCACCTAGAGAAAATATATATATTACTATAGTATATATATATAAGTATATATATTTAATAGTAATATTTATGAGAATTATTTCATCCAGGTTAGACGCACGTCATTCATAATTCTAGAAAAAGAAGCATATACTTCAGGAAATTTTCTGCAACAGTTGGAAACCTGATCTTACTTACAGCAACATTGCCCATAAAACACAGTCTTCTTCATCCATAGAAATGGCTTTGAACAGTAGAAAAAGAACAAAAAAACATATACTGTTAGTCTTACAAACATGACGATCAGCAGCAACGACAAGATAGGACATCAATGCACGTGTAAGGTTGGGACTTGGCCTCAATTTCTTCAGCCGTAGGCATCGGGTCCAATCTGTAAGGGCTGCAGCTTCCGGTGCAGCAGAACTGTTTCAAATTTCTGCAGATTCCTTTGTTGAAAGGATACACCCTCTCTGGAATTGCCCTGTAATAATCACCAGTAACAACGTAACATATTTGCTCGTTTAACTCATAACTTATCGATTCAATTTTGGCACCACAAATATGTGCTCAGTTTCAGGGACACGATTGCTATAATTCCTTTTTGCTTAAACTTATAAAGTCCACACACACATGCATCGTTTAACAATTTGCAACCTTTATGATTGCAAGCTTAAAAACACTGCCACGCATGCATCAAAGATGAAAACCATGGTGTGTGTGTGTACGCTTGAAAGTAAAATGTTTATGTTTCGACATCATAAGCCAGTAAGTGAAGTTCCAAGGAAATAAGGGAGTTATAAAATGGAAGAATAGGATGTAGAGGAAGAAACAAACCTTAAGTATGCGATTCTCTTTCGCCTCACAAGTTCATAAGTGGTTTGGTTGGTGAGAACAAGGTAGCTGTATATAAGAAACCCAAATTTCACGAGAACAGAGAAGATAAAAAACACAGCAAATCAGTAGATGCTTTTAAGTAGTGTATTTGGGAGTAAATACACAAGCTTATGTAATGTGCAGATACTACCTGTGAAAAAGGAACAGCAGCAGCAGAAAGACCAACGATATTAAGAGAGCCACCAAGAGCAGGATAATTATTATATAAGCCCACCTGAAGGACATTGAGTTAGCAGTTACACAACAAATCATGCCCCAATGTCATCTAGAAAGATCAAACAACATATAAAAACGAGTTACTAGTTATAGACATTCATTATATGGGCATATTTTATGGAATGTATATTATTTGCATTTTGACATCTTTAATTAAGAGGAGAAACAAAATGCTTTCTCAGACAAAAATAATCATCTTAGGAACATACCATGTCTTTGACATATTATACTTGAGGTAATCAATGTACATTATGCTCGTCCAAAGGCATAGTGTTGTTTCAACAAATATGTACCACCTGTTGTACCAAAAACATATCTTCAACCAAAGCATAAAGATCACTCATATAACATCAACATTTAAAGGTGTACAAGGCATATGATGCACAACGTTAATATAAAATGATGCTGCGTAAATTGATGTATTCAAAGATGATGAGCAAAGTCATATCACTTGAGTGAACAATTGAAGTATCATATTAGAACTGATTGAGGGAGGATACGATCAACGAAGTCAAATCTAACCTCTTTTTTTTTTTTTTTTTTTTTTCTGGCCATAAGACTAACAAAGTTATGACCTAGAAATGAGTTGCATTGGTAATTTTAAATTAAGGGTGTCAATTTATATCAACACTTTACATATGATTCAATACATTTTTGAAGTTTTTGAAGGAAGAACAAGTTAAAATCTGGTGGCCTGATCAAATAAAGCTTAGGCCATACTAATGAGAATTGAGACATTGATTATTAACTCATTTTAGCGAAGTTGTGAAACTGTTGGTGAAAAATGGGAATTATTTAGATAGTATCTGTACAAAAGAATTTGTTATATGGGACACACTAAACTTCAAGGAGGCAACAATATGAACTGGATGTAAGGAAGATTTATAAACTGAACTTACACCCAAATCCCAATTATTAAATAAGTTATCATTTATAATTCTTGATCTTTAGCAAACCTATTCAATAAAATCAAGGCCCAATTAAAGCAGTAAGAAAACTATTAGGACGAGAAAGCAGCCTCAACGGTTGAACAACAGACAAATCAATAACCAAGAAAAAGAAACTGATGATGACACTTCTCAGAAGCAATGGGCTAAAAAACAACAATCACAGGCTAAAAAAACACTTGACATAATGGGCACTCACCAAAAGAAACAATGGTTTCCCTGGCCTATGCAATTTCCAAGCCAAACGCAATGGTGATCAAATTGAAGAACACACTTGTCACAATCATGACAATGTTTTGCTCGTGGAGGCTGAAAACAAAATGCAAACACAAATGGTTTATATAACATAGCGCTTTACCACCTGTCAACCACAAAAGCCACAAAAAAAAAAAAAAAAAAAAAAAAAAAAAAACACTGAAAAGTAATGAAGAAAAACATAAGAATATAATTCCACCCACAAATGATGATGATTAACCATTTTTCAACGATACAATCTGACATTTTAATAAAGCTTATAGTGATGAGTATGTCACTTCAAAATGACAGTTGCTTTCAATCCCAAACAACTACTTCCATCTTTAAACACATCAAAAACATTTACCATACTTATTCAGCTTATGGTATTAGTTTTCTTCCTTCCAATTTGATAATTTGAGCAAAGTGTTTCTATAGCCATATTAATTGGAATTCCAACTTTCAGTTCTATACAAATATTCATCATTATATATGAAAAGTACTTTTCAGCCAATTTCTAATTCTATCAAATGAGATAAATGTTAAAATAAAGCATAATTATTCAACGCATATAGAGAAAAGTGAAGAATTAGAGATACACAATGAATAGCTATCCGTAACATACAAATTAGAAATGCACGAATTGTTATCCATAACATATAATCAACATGGAGAAAAGGCACGAGCAAGGCTTACCTGCACAATATTGCAGTAAGAGCAGGTTAAACATCTGGAAACAGATAACATATAAGAAATTGTCAGCAAAGGTAACTAATAAACAGATTAAGGATTTGGCGAGCATACTTTACATGATGGCTTGCAGATAGCATGCTTCACATTCAGTTGAACAGACGTAATAAGGACAATGTTAATAAGAAGTGGGGAATTTATATAGTCAACTTTGTGGGATGGGTAATTTCTATAACACAAAAATAGATGAGATCTGTTTTCCCAAGACTTATGATAGCTAAGGCAAGGCTACGAAATAGCCCCCCACTTACATACACGGTAAGCGAGCTTATGAATGAAACAAATTTCTATTTACATAATACCACAGTCAATAAATACATTACATTATGTACTACTTGTGACTTGAACAAAATTGCTGAAAAATTAAATGATATATGCACAGAACAGGAAGGAAAATCTGTTCGTTCAAAACATTAATTCCTTCAAAAATGAAAATAAATCAAATCATAATACTTTTGAAAACAGTTGCCTCTAAAGATTCAACTATAAAGACAATATAGTATTGCGACAAGAGGCAAGTCCTCAAAAAATCATTACAAATTCCAAGCAAGTGATTTGGTTTAGAGTAACATGCTTTCCAGAGGCCAGACCGCCAGGGGAATGATCAATGGATTTCCATATCAATGAGATGAAGGTTGCATATTGAAAAAACTCATAATGTATTCTTACCTAAAAGATGTCCCTTGTGGGTACATATCCATTACTAGTTTCGTCCAAGCAGATGCAATGCCTCTAGGCGAGTTCCTTCCATCCACAGTTATAACAACGCTACCATTTTTGCTTGAAGCTGGTTGTCTTTGCTTGAACATTATAACAAGACATATCCGAAAATTGGGGCAATTAGTCAATTTGTAATAAATCTTATACAACTTGCATGCTGTCTTGTAATCAGAAGCACACAGATGAATTCTGTGTTCCTGTAATATAATTTTAGAAAAGATATCAGAAAGTAACCTGCTTACTTTGAGACTGGGAATATCCTCCTAGCTAGAGCATCATTTTCATCAATAGCCTTTTGCGCATCAAGCACATAGCTACATTGTTACAAAGCAGAATAGATACTTAACCAAGACAATTCTGGGGAAAACACACACACAAAAAAAAAAAAAAAAAAAAAAAATTATCCACAAGTGTTAACATATACCCAGGAGGTGTTGCTGAGGTAACAAAATATAGAACCAGTGTTGCAACAAACAGTATTACATAGGCAGCCGTATACCTGAGTTAAAAAAGAAAATCAAGGATGTCATGTCTTACAAGAACAGGAAAAAACATACTCCATAAACACAAAATTGTATTGAATGAAGGTGCTGTGATTTAGATAGCATGCAAACTTTATTTATTCCCATTCTTCTGTGGACCCAGCCATACCAGAGAGCATTTCCCAGATTTCCACATACTTCTTTCAATGTTACAGGTGTAATTTCACTCATTCAGGGAGCAATCCATCACTGCCATTTTCTGACTCTAGTATTATAGTGAATATGCTTAACAGTTTCCAGTCGTTGACCTAATTTGTAACTTCCGGAACAATCAAAGAAAATGTCTGAATTTCACACAAGTTTTAACTCATAAAAATCCCAACTCATATTTTGTTGGTCTAGCCTTGGGTAATCCAAGGCTTCTGCAACCGACACTAATCAAGACTCAGAATCAGCGCTGAAAGCTTGGCGTAGGGCATAGACTGTCTCCAAACATCTAAGAGTCAAACTTGCAAATTCTTCTTAGGATTAATTGTTTCGTTACCGATGGGTCAAACTTGGGAATTTTCCAGCCAATCTAAAGATGAATAAGCTATGAACCGGTAAAGGTGATCTATGCAACAAAATTACAAAAATCCCTTTGGGCAGAAGGCCAATTAGAAAATCAGTCCTTGTCCTTGTCATAGTAATTGCTCAAACTAGTAATTGCAATTTATATTCAATCCCAAACAGAACCCTAGAATTTCATTCAATCAATGTCATAACAAGAAAGTGTAAATATAAAACCATCAACCACATTCCCAAGTATCAAGCTAAGTTCCTAAAATGAATTTAACATTAAGTAAACTTCAAAGGAACCATACAATCCAAAAGAGCACGTATATTAACTTTACCATGGTTCTTGTTTGCTCTTCTCAATCAAATCACCGTCGAGCAAAAACAAAACCCCAGCAAAAACTAAATGCAGCACCACTAACGTCACTTTCAGAGACAAAGCGGATCTTCGAGCTAAACAGAAATATCCAACCCAGACAATAAATTAACCTCAATTGTAACAGGGATAAGATAGCTCGAGAAGGAAGAAATTGTAAATGAAGATTACCCGGATCGGAGAGGCAGGGGAAGTAACGGGAGCAGCGATCAGAGGTTCGATTCCATAGGTCGCCACCGCACAAAACACCCATAATGTTTCTCACGCGCTCATCGCCGGAAGAGGATTGTGGTGTGTGCAGGGTTAAGTGTTCATTAATGGCCGGTGGGCGGGAGATCGAGTAAATGGATAATAGAGAGCGCGACGACGACGGGGGCGGCGTACGGAAATCTTGTCCGTAGGGAAATTTAGAGCTGAGAAGACTCTCTCATGACGGTCTTCGTTGATTAGGTTTGTTCCGCTTCTAACTCGATAATTTTACCATTTGAATCAATATATTGCTATATTCTATTTTTAAGTTTAATGTTTGACATGTATTTGAAAGTATTTTATTATTAATAAAATTAAAAAATTATATTTTCTCAGTCATTTGAAAGAGTAATTTTGAATTTTTGTACTATTTTCGTTCGGTAAAATTTGTTCACCAAAAAATTCTTAAAAAAAATATAATTATAAGTAATTATATTATAATAATTATAATTTAAAGTTAAATAATTAAATAATTTAATTAAAATTAAAATTAATTATAAATTTAAAATATAATTAAAACCCAACTCAACCACAAGCACCCATTTTAGATATAATTCAGGACCTAATCCTCCAGCACAGGATTTAAATTTGAAGATGGTCTGAAATTTTGTGTTCTTAGATTTATAAGATTGATTTGAGCTCGAAGAGTTTGATAGTATTGATTTGATAGGTAATTATTATATTGGTAGAATATAATAGTGAATTATTTATTTTTATTTAATTGGTAAATATGAAAGTTTATACAAATATATATATATATGTTTTTACACAATTTTTTTTTCTTTATAGGTCAAAATAAATTAATTATTTAAAAATAAATTGCATGTAAATTGGCGGTGATTTTTCCGGATATGATTAACAGAATTTTCGGAGTGAAAAAACATGTTATATATAAAATGCATGTAGTGAAAGTATTATGAGACGAAAGTGACCCTCCGCCTCTTTGGCCACCCACGACCTCGCCGCCGATAGATTGCCGGAAACGATTTCTCTGTTGCTTTTGGCAAGTTTTGTAATGTAAGGGACATGCATTAGGATTAGGTGTGAGTAAAATAAATAGAAGAAGAAATAAATTTTAAAAATAATAAATTTAAAAATCAATTCAAAGCGGAAAACACAAGTAAAAAAAAGTGAGTCGACCACAGGTATGCACTCGCACATAGGCCTAAAAGGTATTTGCACAATATCGTCAAAACGGCTTAAAGAAACAAGTCTAAAAAATATAAAGTTAATTGAAAAGAAAAAAAATAAAAATTGTCATAGTATTATTTTTTAGAAAATTGAGTCGATCAAAATTTATAATATGAGAATCACCATGGCTCTCCTGATATGTTCTTTCACAATTAAGAATTCATCTTTGCGCCACTAAATCTTTTACCAGATAAACTAAGGGTGAGTTTGTTTGGAATAAAAAATTTAAATTTGAATGAGTATTTGATTTGATGTTTTTGAGAAAAAAAAATTGAATGTAGTGTATATTTAAAATTCAATCCCAGACAAAAACACCCCCTAATCTTTTACCACAGAAACTTAGTTTGCTGCTGGCTATTATGATTTTCATTGTTATTAGATAACAATAAGATTAAAATTCTTGATGTTTTTGCATTTGTTTTGACACACGTAATTTGATTAATGTAACTCATTGAACCTAATTTACATCCTACTAACTTAGATTGAATTTAACATCTGCTAATTACGTGTAAAAAAAAATAAAAATAAAAGTAGACCAGAGGTAAAAAAAAAAAAAAAAAAAAAGTCAAAATCAAGAGTTAAGTTACATCAGCAGCTACTGAACGGCGAACTGAGATCGTCTGGCCGTCCTCCTCCACCGATCGGCTCGATCCGGCCACGACAAAGATCACTCCACACTTCATTCCTATCCTCCTTACCTGGCTATGACGATGGCGACGCCGGCCAATTTCTTCGTCCTAACATCTTCTTCTCTCCCCTGCGATCGTTCCCCCTCACCCTCTCTGACTCCCGTCTATTCACGGAACAAGGTTCGTAAATTTCTTCTTCTTTACGTCTGCAGTGGTGTGGCTTTTGTGAAACTTGATTGATCAGTACTAGTTTTCTAAAATGAAAAGACATTATTATTCTGTCGTAATTGTAGAGAGGAGCTTTGGGTTGCAGATTTCGGCTGCTTAAAGTGCATTGTGCATCGGAGTGTGGCAAAGACGACGCTGCTCCTGAATCTGAATCTGAATTTAAATATAAATCCGAACCCGACGCCCGTTTATCGTTTCTGTCTCGATTATTGCTTGAAGCTTCGTCCATTCCCTGCACCCTTATCGGTGAAGATAATGGATGCAGTTCAGCGTACAAATGGTATACTGTTCTTGGAGGAATTGGGTTTTTAGAAACAGCTTACTTGACTTATTTAAAGATTACTGATTCGGTCGACTTTTGCCTGACGGGAGGGGACGCTTTCTCTGCCATCTTGACCAGTGATCACTCCTCTGTTTTCGGTATGATTCTTGTATCGACTCTATAGAGGAAGGGGAAAACGCCAAGTAGCTGTTTTCCTTCACTGTTCTGTAGTTTGCAGATTCTTTTTCTTTCATGGTACTCATCTGTGTGGATGAATATATTTGACTCGTTTAGTTTAATCATACTTGATTTCCCTGGAAACTCTGGTTGACAGGGCAGATCAATAGATGAAATTAATAGTGAAAACAGGAATCCAAACGCAAGTTTGATGTTTTGTGGGATTCTAGATAACAGACGATTTTACTGGTTAGTTCAAAAGACTTCAGCTGGGTGTAACAAAATAATTCTACTGTGCTTGTGTGCATTATCATTTTTTCGAACCCTGATTTTACTGGAATGGAAGAGTCATATGCATATTGAGTAATATTCTTGTGAACATTGAGAGCATTGGAAAGTCAGATTTCCACCTTCAAATCATGTGGTGATGCAACTAAAATCACTAACATCTCTGGTGCTTGAGTGGTGATGGCAAATTGGTGATGTGTAAGGAGCCGACAAGGTTAATGTAAACAAGGCGCCAACCATTGATTAAAATTGGTAGCATGTTAATTATTTAAAGTAAATGATACAATTTTACCATTATTGTCTGACGACACTGATATTGGTGCTTTAATTGAGGTCGATTCTTTTGCTTTCCATATCTCCATTATGTGAGGTCAATGTTGTTTTCGCCAAGGCCCTTTGATGGAGTAAAACTATAGAATTACTGTGTTGTCTTGAAGGTGCTCCTCTTCCATTATTTGGTATGCTTGGATATGGATTGGTGGCAATCCTTGGACTGCAACGACAACTAGGTCCAAGAAAAGCATTTGGCATTGAGAAAATTGACGGTGAACTGATTTTAACTGGAACAACTACTTCCATGGCTGTTGCTAGTGCATACTTTTTGTATGTCCTCAGTACTGAATTTGTTGGACAATCATGTGTATTTTTTTTAGCATCAGCTGCGTTGTCCTTCAGCTTGTTCTTCATCACCTTGAAGGTTTTTTTCTGTTACAACATTTTGTCTTTTTGCCCTTTGTTGCACTTAATTCTATAGCAGTGTTGTTACACCATAACAATGGATTTATTTTGCAGGACTTTGGATTCAAGAAAATGCAAAAGATTTTGGGTTCCAAGTTGTGCGTAGCTGCATTGCTTTCTATTGCCTTGACTGCATCATGCTATGTTGTCCAACCTGTGCCATCCAGGTATATTGTTGGTTTTGTAATCATTAGTGTCTTAGTAAATTGTGTTACTTGATAGATCGAATGAATTGTATGCGTCGGTCAAGGTAGTGATATATGCTTTCAAGGTTGCCGGTGTCTTCGAGTAATTAACTTGAGGGTTGATAAAGGTAGTGTTTTATTGAACTGAATTTGTTTCCTAAATTACGATGACAGGTAAATTCTGTGCAAAAGTAAACACTTTGTTTCTTTACTTGATTCAATATGTCCAGATGTCTATGATGTTATGTCTATTTGGATTAAAAACAAGCTATGGGACTCTAGGATTGTGATATGAATATTATTTTACACGACACAAAGTAAACAACCCCTTATGTTTAGCTTATCTAATCAACATCAAATTTTCAACATCAAATTTTTAAATGCTTGGGCTTTTGCATTTGCATCTTTATTTGGCTCAATATATCTAAATATTGTATATTACTTGGATTTTAATGATATAATGTAAACTAATTCCATGAAATATTATCTGTATCTATGTTGTAAGAAAATGTTGTGCATCAGTTTAACCCTCAAAGATTGACACAAACCCAACTATATGTAATTACCCGACAGCTTGGCAGAGACCGAAATGGCGTATACTGAAGCAGAGATCACTAAAGAGTCCAGTCCTTTGGCTCTTTCTCTTGCGAGACATCTACATTCAATTGGAGCTAAATTATACGGGGCTTTTTGGTGTTCCCACTGCGTTGATCAAAAACAGGTATATATATATATACATTTCTACCTTGCTTATTTTGTTTGCTAGGAGGAAAATGAGGAATATGGGATCTGAACTATTTTCCAAGATATAGTAAAAGGAAAGAAAATTTAGACACCTTCCAATCTAATTTCCTTGTGTTCGTCACATTTGGAACAGATGTTTGGGCATGAAGCTGCAAAACTGTTGGACTATGTAGAGTGTTACCCGGACGGAGTAAGGGAAGGAACCAAAATGGCTAAGGTTTGTTCTAATGTGGAGCTGAAAGGGTTCCCAAGCTGGGAAATAAACGGCCAGGTGTGCGCGCTTTTGTCGACTAGTTCTTAGTATACTACTAGTTCTTAATATTTTGGAATCTTGTTACTTCATTCTGATTGCTGCTTCCCTTCAATCTCTATTTGAATTTAGTTGAGTGTTGTTGTCTTGATAATGCAGGTATATAGCGGCCGGAAACAGCTAGCAGAACTTGCTCGGTTGTCCGGATTCGACTATTAAACCCGAAACTGATTCATTCGACTGTTGGAAGCAGCAAACCACTCCGTTTTCTAATTCAATTATTGTGTCAGATTCATGTCAACCAATAACGTTACACACGTATGAGAGATCGATTATTAAGCCTCGCCAAAACAATAATAATAATAATAATCAGAAAAGAGTTTGACAGTCCTCCGGCTTGATTCTGAGCGTATGAGCATTGAGATCCAACGCAATGATATGATCGAAATGCGACAAGTAGCCGAAAATGTTGTCAGTATTTCCGGCGTTGGGAAGTATAGACATGCAGAGCACGCCGGGCTGGGGCGACACGAAGATCCCCGCCCGCGGCAGCAACACGTCCATGCCTCCTTTGAAGCTCGCCTTTATCTCCGGGAACTGCCACTTCACCCCGCCTTCCGGTATCTTGTAGCACAGCTTATCAGTGGTCTGCAACGGCGTATCGGGAATCCCTGCCTTCACCGCCGCCGCCACCGCATTGTAAAGATCCCGCGGGAGGTATGTCATCGTCGTCCCCGAGTCGATTATTATGTTCCCCTCTTTCCCGCTGTCCGCAAAACCCAGCCGTTGACCGCCCACCGTTATCGCGTCCAACGTTATATAGTAGAAGTGGTGGCCTTCTTTCTTGACCACCGGAGTTGTCACCACGTCTGGCCCTAAAGTTCATATTAGTAACGGAAAAAATGAATTTAGTGATAAAAAAGTTTTATTACAAAAATACTATTTTCAGCACTGTGTGAGATCTCTTACGTACCTGTGGCCTCGGCGCGTTCGCCAAATATTATGATGCCGTCGAACGGCGAATTGAGATTCTCAAGGCAATAAAGGAATTTGTTCTCGCCAAATTGCCGGATGAGCGATAGCGGGTGGTCGCCGAGGCTAGCTATCCCGCTAGACCGGCCCCTGAAGATCCCGGAATTTTTGTGCCCGCACCCGAACACAAAGTTCGGAAAAGCTTCGAGATACTGCGCCTTATTGTCGAGATAAGCCGTGTCGACCGACAACGTGCCTTGGCTACGGCTCCCGTCGGCGTAAGCCACCTCGTAAACGCAGGCGTCGTGGTGGCCGCAAGAGTAATGCACCAAGGATTTACACTCCGGCGCCGTGCATGGGATGGTTTTGAAAGTCTTCGATCGTGAGGGATCGAAGATCGGGTCGTACTGATGGAAGCACTCATGGCACGGCTTGCATTGCGTCCACGTAACAAAGTTCCCGGTGTCGGGAATTAAGAAGACTACCTGGCGGTCGTTGTCGTCGCCGATGAACATCCGCATTATGTACTCGGTGTTGTCTACGGTGATGCTCGATTGCGCGTCCTTCGCCGGAGATATCATCGACTCTTTCATTAGTCGAATTCCGGCCTGCCGGAGATTCGACCGCCGGAATGCATCTTGTATACGGTCGTAGGGCGTCTCCGACGCATTGTAGAACGGCGAGTTCGGGGAGCTGCGGGACATCAACGCAAACTTTGCGCTGCGGCCGCCGCCGGCGGGAGTGCTGCGGCGGCTGGTGGCGGAAAGTTCACTCACATGATGGATGAACAGAATGAGAAATATCCATAGGGATTTGTGTAAGTAGCCCATCGAATGTATGGATTTTGTTGTTTACAGCTAAATACACTGAAGTTCATATCTATATATATATATATATATATGTATAAATGGAGGAACGTCGTTATGGAAAGTAATAAATAATTTTGAAACAATAAATATTGCTCATTACACTCGAATTATCCATAACTTTAATGAAATTATATGCAATAATTTGGCCCAGAGGATGATAAAATTATCATTTGTCAAAAATTGCAATGTTCATTGTCATGATTTTTTGCTTAGTGGTTTTGAATCGCTTAATTGATAAAATTAATATTTTAGAATACTTATTATGGTTACTATAATGTCATTCATAAAATTATATTATAGAAAAACGATAATGTTATAATTTGCAATAATTATTATGGTTACTATATATGTTATACTATAATCATAACAATTAGATTAATATAAAATGTACCCACTGATGTGCTATACATATAGATTAAAAAAAAAAAAAAAAAAAAAAGGTAAAATTACTACTAACATCAATTGATTTTGGTTTATTTATAAGAAAAACTATCAATTTTATTTTCAATATAAATAATTTTAATTATTTTATGTCATATTTTTACAATACTAATAGTAATTACTGATGTAAACATAACGAATTGTAACGTAGCATTTGATTTTGTACTAATACGACGGTATTCAACAAAAATATAACCGTGCATACATAATTGACACTGGAAATATCATTAAAAATACGACCTTATTCAACTACCATGCATCTATGTTCAAAAAATCTAACTACCAATTGTAAATATGTTGGAGAAAGACTCCAAAGTGTGCAGTTATTATTTGAGTTTTAATTTTGAAATAAAATTAAGATAATATAATTGCAAAATGATAAAAAAAAAATAAAAAAATAAAAAATTACAGAATGAGAATTCAAAAATGAAGAAAAAAAAAACAAGGAAAAAATAAATAAATAAATAAAATGAAAAATAAAAAATAGTGTGTTTATTTCTTTTTGAAATATTTTAGATTATATTGTGTCTATTAACACATAGAGATGAGAGACTCAACAATTGTACAAGCTAGACTTACTTTGAACATTATACAATGTACAACAAACAATACATAATGTACAATAATCTCGAAAATTTCATGTTGTTCGCAAAAATTCTACCATGTTCCAAAAAGATTCCGTATATTCAAGAATTGAGAACCTTCTCCAATATTTGAGTAATTAAATTCTTTTCATATCCGAGCATTCTTATTAACAAAGAATTTGAGATTCTAATTTTAAAATCAACTGGTAATAAGTGAAATAATACTCTTCACTTTATATTAATAGAAGGTCCACAATTTTTTCAATACGAAACAACATTCAACAACTCTAGATATCATCGGAAAAATACCGTCTCAAGACAACCCATTTTATTGCATCCCAATGCAACGGAAACATCATATTTTCATATATATAGTAAACAAAGACAGTAGCCTTTTACTTATTTATTATCATTATAGACATAAATACCATAGAAGCATATTTTTTAGAACAACACAATTCTTTTAATTCATTTCATTTACTATCTTTATTTTTGTCGCCGTCGTCGACGGCACCTTTGTCGCCCTCCGGTGCATTTGATCGTCTCTCTTCTGCACGTCTCGCTTCTTCAACAGTTTTGTTAATCCAAGCTTGGCGCCGATGCGAGTTTTCGAAGGCTTTTCTTACACGATCATAGTCTGTCTCCGTCGGGTCGTAGAATGGAGATCTCGGGGAATTGCATTGGATCAAAGGGATCTTTATGTAGGTTCCGCTGCCATTGCCGTTGCCGCCGTTGTCGTTATTTTTGGCCTCTTCACTCATCGGAAGGATTGGGGGAGAAATATGAGAAAGATTAAATTAGGGTTTCTTCTAGAAATGCATCAAACACATAGACATGTATTAGGGATTTTGTGATGTACAAGAAAGTAGTGTATAAAATGTTGAAATTTATAGAGGTTGGAAAGTCATTTAAATCGATGAATGGATATTTACCATTTAATTTCGAGTAATGAATGCAAAGATTTCGATATTTACAATTTTTCATTTCTTAATGTGCAAGAGATATGTGTAGTAGTAATAATTTCATATCTATCCGTTACGTGTGTATTAGAAATGTGTTGTTTTGGCGTGTTTGGATGAAGTTTTATTTAGGTTCAATATTATTTATCATTTTTTCCTTAAAATAATTAATATATGTTATTTAAACGTTACATTAAAAATTGTTTTTGGTTTAAAGGATTATCTCAAAAATTTCACTCTAAGCTTCATGCAATATTTTTGAAAAATGGGGAAACATGTACTTATAGATATATATATTTATTTACAATGCAGATCTGAAAATGAATTCAATTTTTAATTTTAAGATTATATTTAAATTGATTTAATTATCTTTTATTAATTAATGGCTGAGATTTAAGTATGCATATGCTGAATTAGAAATACACTTCAATATATGATCCAAATGCATTTACTTGATACGGTAATATGTACTTTCTTCTTTCACTAGTAAAATTTTTATATGACTTTTGTAAATGAATTAAAGTAAATTAATAGTAGTTTATAAATATGTAATGTAATAAAGTAATATAATATTCATTTTACCTAGTTTATAAAAAAAAATACTATTTAAAAAATAAAAATCAATTACAAAATGAGTAGTTATTTAAATCATCAAAAACTATAAAGCACAAAAGAAATAGACAAAAAAAAAATAAAAACAATTGCAATTTTTTTTTAAAAGAACTTCCGGAAGGTAGAATCATACCAAGATCCTAAGTTTGATTTGTTGGGCCGTTTCGAATAAATTGTAAGTATTTCATCTAATTCGGAGTATGAGCACAAAAAGATAAAAAAATCTCAAAATAGAGATTAACAAGATTGCATTACAGCTACTCCAAGCATTCATATAGTAAAAGATCAATTGAAATAAAGAGAGTTAAAAAACCAAAAGGTTTGTTTAATTATGGTTTGAATAAAAGTTAGATTTGAATTTTTTTTAAAATATTTTATTTTGACAGCGTAGTAATCCATAATCTTTGAGTTTTTGTTTAAATATTTTATTTTAATAACATAAAAATCCGCTGTCGTTATCTTATCTTAATAACATATATGATAAGATCTGACAAGATAAGTCAAATCATACTAGGCTAATTATGTGTGTCCTCCATCACTCATCCCTTACTAGGCTTTATTTAAATATTATTTTAACATAATATTTGATAGATGAAATAGTGTATAACTTATACAATTATGGCTTCTGCTGGAGATTGTGAAATTAAATCAAAATGAACATGAAATATTATGTCTCCATTTGAAGTCTGCATGTCATCCAACTACTCTGCAAATTCATAGATGCATATCAAGCACAGCCTAGCTATCCTAAGTCTAAGTGGGTATAAAAGTTTGCTGTTCATTACAACCCACGTAAATAAACATGATTAATTACAACCATCCACTTCAGATAACCTACGAATCTCAAATTAAACTGAATTATATATATATACAGATATATGAGCTAGCTGCTAGTTATAGTAATACCTATATATATATATATATTTCCATTTTCCACTACATCTGTGATAAATTGTCTTGCCATCACAATTAATATATACAGTACTCATCTTCATCTTGCAACTTACAACTGTCCATAATAGCTAGACTTGCCTAACACCTACTTATATATATATATATATTAATTAGTCAAAGATTAGCCGGCCATAGTTAATTAAATTAATTGATCATATTCAATCCATAGTATATATTCATGCATATATGTATCGATCTCACTCTATAAATTAAACCCCTTTAGCTCGTTTGTTCACTCGCAGTTATTGTATCGATTGATCCATCGGCTCATATTCTATTGCATAAAGAAGCCTTCCTCGCCAAATTAAGTCGCATAATTCGCCAAAAATCCGATATATAATGGGGAGTAGAACATGCACTTGCATCCTGATTATTGCTGCCGTTGTTATTACCTTCGCCGGAAATATAAAAAACTCCGATGCTGCGCGTAATTTGCTGTATGTAGTGCCGGGGCTGGAACAACCATATTATAATACTCAACCGACCGTTACAAGTACTACTACCACTGTCGAAACAATTCCCACGGGTACTATCCCCACAACAACGACAACCGTTCCACAGGTCACATATCCTACCGTTGGCCTTGGGTATCCTACCGGTGGCATTGGGGGTACCATCCCCTAGTTATATATATATATATATATATATAGTAAGAGCCTCGTCTGTAGTAATTAATATATGATGCATTTGGTTAGGGTGTTGATTGAGAATTTATTAGCAGCATGATAATTGCTTCAATCAGCAAATAAAAATATTATAGATAATATATATGAAAACATAACATATAGTCAATGTTATATAAAGTATTAGTATCTACTCTCAATTTTATTTTATATGTGTATTGTGAATTTATATTTAATATTCTTTTTTATACATGTTACTATGTTATCAGCATGATCACGACTGTGATGCAGATATATGCAGGCCTAATGAAATTAATGGACACCTGTGTTGTGTTACTTCTTAATTATATAAAATTGTAATGACTTTGTTGTATGTTTTGTAAAGAGAACTCATTGTCCTAATGTATTTTGTTCCTATTAATGTATATATATTGTATTACTACTACTACATTAAATGAAATGGATTACTGTAACTCAGCTTTAATTTGTTTACTTCATACAGATTTCAATTACCCATATTACATATATTGGTTTGAACTTATAATTTCATAATCATAAATTCAGTCCACGTTGTCAAATTATATTATTTTAATATTTCATAAATAATCAAATATATAATATGTCCCTTATTTATATTGGGTCTGGGCGGACACACATTTGGCCCGAACCCAAAGCCGGCCCTGTGTAGTAACTTAGACTTTTTGACGTATCATTAATTTCACATGATCAATTTATTCTAATTTGAAGGGATTGTTGCTGTTGCACTTGCAAGCATCCAACAACTTCAA